CCTCGGTCGGGGTTATTAGATCCGGCGGGTTTCCTCCCTAAGGGTTATCGTCGACTCCCTATATCTCTACCTCTTCTAGTAGGGGTTATAGGGGTCCTAGGACGTCGTTCGTTTCCGCGATTAGGGCTAAGGTTCCTCTTAGGCGGTCGCTTATACGTCGAGTTATCGATATTACGTATTCTAACGGTCTAGTTTAATTAAGATTTAGCGATTAGAATATTAGGACCGGCGTGCTAGCGGGTCCTAGTAGGTAATATAGAACTAGAGTAAAGGAATAGTAGGGTACTAGTATATTTATAAACTAATCGCTAAAGAGCTAAGTTCCCCTAGTAGTCTCTATATAGATAACCTTTAGCGGGTCACGGGACTAGGTCACCTAACCCGGTAGGACTTAGTCTCCCTAGTACGGTCTCTAGCGGGGGGTCATGCTACCCCTACTAGGTCACGGGTTCTAGGTCATAGGACCAGGCGGGATCTAGCCTATGAGGCACTCTCCTAGTAGAGGGTTGTAACACCTAAACTCCGTAGTAACCTTATTTTATAGCCTAGGCTCGCTAACTATAGGATTATAGCGATATACGGAGATAAGGTTATTTTCCGGAAACTAGATAGTAGTATTCTTATAAAAGGATTATAAAAAGGTAAAAATTAGATACTAAACGTTCGCTACGTATACTAATATTAGACCCTAGATCTAGAAACGTTAGTTTTAACGATAGTATAGGAAGTAGGGGGCGTCGGATACCTAAAAATTTAGGCTAATACTCCTATTTCCGCCGAAAAAACTACCTACGGATACCTAATTTCTTAGGCTAATAATATAGAGGTTATCCTAAGAGACCCCTACCCCTAGCTAAGGGACCTAAGTACGTAAAAATTAGAAAACGCCGTAAGTTTACCTAGCTAACTAGTGAAAGACGCTATTCTACTAAAAAAGGTAATATCTCTTCTACCGAAAAAAGGACCCTTTTCTTAGGTAGAAAAGGTAGAAATACTCGCTACCTATAGAGTAATAAAGATATAGAGGATAAACTTATCTAGTAGCTTAAAATAATAATCCTTAGAGACTACCTTAACTTCTCCTAGCGAGCTACCTACTAAGCTTAAAAAGGATAGGGTTAATATCGATACCTAGTACTATAGACTATACTATATAGGGATTAAACCCCTATAGGAAATAGTAAAAATTATAGAAGGTATTAATATTATAGGCCTACCTACCCCTAAAAGACCCTATAGCTATTACTAAATCGGAAAGACCTAGCTTATACCTTATAGAACCCTAGTTTTATATAGATCTAGTAAAATAGGAGATCTTATATACCTCGATCTAAGAGGCGGGGGTAAAATACTTAGAGGTTAAGGAGATAGCTACTAATACTAAATAATTAGTATCGATAACTTCGATAGATAGGGAGAAATATAGTTTACCTCCTATAAAGACTTTATCCTAGATCTTATAATTAAAATAGTAAAACTATATTCCGCTAAAAGAGAGATAATAATTAAGACCTTTATAACCCCCGATCTCCCCTTATTACTAGTAATAGAAAGTAAAATACTACCGCCTAATAGACTAGAGATCGGAGCCTTCTAATTAGATTATAGAGGAGAGTTTAATAACTTCCGCCTATAAAAATAGACTAAGGACACTAATACCTGTCTATATTTCTTAGTACTATACGTATATAGGTAAAATAGTAAAGTTAAAAGAATAATACGAATAGTATAAGAACGTACTAGAGCTATTCTCGACGATACTAGACTCCTAGATATACTATAGCCCGAACTAATAAAAATAGTAATAATAACCTATAACCTTATTATCTATTTCGGTAGAAAAAGAGATAGTCTCCTAAACTAGATACTATATAAAATACAATTCGGTAGAAAATCTAATATCTTATTCCTATAGATACCTAGTAGTAAGGCTTACGTTATAAGAAGCCTTAAAGAGATTAGGGCTATAGTTAGTATATTAATAAGTAGATATTTATAGCCCCGCGCCTAAATAAGTAGACTTATCGGGTATAGTAGCTACTATAGTATATAATACCGTATCTAGTATCTAAATATAGATAGAAATAGAGGAGAGATTATAACCCGGAGAGACGTTATTTTTAATAAAGGAGACGACTAAACCCTATATAATAATCCTAATCTTCTAGTCTTATTAGAAACCCTATAGTTAGTAAAATAGTCTAGGTTCCTATTTCTAGACTCTAGGGACTTTATAGACCCTAAGAACCTTATAGACCCTAAGAACCCTATAAATAATATAAACTTCGTAATTTCTTCCGCTAAAAAGACCCCTATAACTTCTTCCGCCGAAGAAAGTACCCCTTTTCGGACTCTAAAGGAGATCTTAGACTTATCGATAAGAGTTCTAGTAACGAATTAGCCCTATTAGCTAACCTACCGAGACTATCTACTAAAGAACTTACTAACCTTAATTATAAGATCTAAAATAAGGTTTTCTATACTACTATACTATAGGTAGATAAAAAACGTATATAGGATCTAGTATAATATACTACTATCCTATATACGTAAGCTAGACTAACCCTATTATCTAAGGATCTCCTAATCTTACCCCTACTAATAACCCTAAAAAATATAGACCCTAAATAGATAGAAGACCCTAAATTAGTCCGATAAGTACGTAACTTACCCCTTTAGCCTTAGTAGTACCGCGCTATAAAAATTAAGTTTAAATAGCTTAGTTTAATTAAAGCTTAGGAGATAATCCCTACCCCTATACCCGCTAAGAATATATATATCCTTACCGGTAAGTAGATATATAAACTAAAACTCGACGCGGATAGAAACCCCCTAAAATTTAAGACTCGCTAGGTAGTAAGAGGTTTCTAATAATAGGAAGATCTAAACTATACTAAGACCTTTACTAGTATAGGTAGCTACGTTACGCTACGGATCCTCCTCGCTATAATTACGTAAAAGAAGCTTTTTACCGCCTATATTAATATAAACGTTATATATCTTAACGCTACGCTAAAGGAGAGACTCTTAATATACTACTCTAAAGGTTTCGAAGATAATACTAATTTTTTAGAGATCTAAGGTAAAGTCTACCTCTAAAAAAGAGTCTTTATAGTCTAAAATAGTTAGTAGTAAACTAGTTTAATATATTAGAGGACTACTTATTAACGAAAGGCTTTATACGATCTACTTCCGATCTATATCTTTATATATAGTATAATTAAGAGGGCGCCGGTATAATTATCTATATTTTTATATACGTCGACGATCTTTTAATTATAGCTTTTATAGCGGATCTCGTTAAAACTATAAAAGACCTTATTTTAATAAAATAGTTTATATCGGACCTTAGCGAGCTATCCTACTATTTTTCGATAAAAATAGTATACGATAGAGAGGCGGGAAAAATAATAATTTCGTAAAAAATATACGTTAAAAGGTTTTTAAAAACCGTAACTTTAAGACCTATAATCCCTTTATCTATTATCCTAATAAAGGAAGAGACTCTTACCGTTATAAGTAAGGTAGTAAAATAGTACTAATCTAATATAGACTCGATTAACTATACTAGTATAGTTATACGTCTAGATCTCTTACTTATAGTAAGTATACTTTCGTAGTTTACTATAAACCTAAACGTTAAATATAAGGATCTAGTATAAAGAGTAATTACTTATATAGAACGTACTAGCTATTATATAATTATATACTAATCTAGACCTAATTAGGACCTCTAAGGGTATATCGACGCCTTATACGGATTAGCCCTAGAAAGTAAAAGTAGGACTAGGTATATCTTCTTCCTCGTAAGAGGTCTAATATTATAGAAATCTTAAAAGTAGACTAGTATAGTAAAATTAAGCGCCGAAGCTAAATATATAGCCCTCTTAATTACTAGCGGAGAGGTAATTTAGCTACGAAAACTACTAAAAGATCTTAACTTTTACTAAGGAAGTATAGACCTCCCCCCTATCCCTTTATATAGCGATAGCTAGTCTACGATTATAATAACGAAGAACCCTACTATTTTAGGACGTTTAAAATATATCGATATATACTAACACTAGATCCGCGAGTAAGTTAAAAGGGGAAAAATTAAGCTTATATATATAAAAGGGACTAAAAATATTATAGATAGACTAACAAAGCCCCTCGGGGCTCCTAAATTTATAGAGTTTATCGTAGGTTTAAACCTCGACCCTAAAATATATAGACTTTCGGTAGAATAAACCCCTACGTCTTTCGTAGTATAAAACTACTAGTTTTACACCTTCCTATAGTCCAAAAGCTATACCTTTTGACTAAGAAACCTCATTCATCTCAGTCCCTAATAACATGATCTTACGATATATAACGGCTGCACGTTGAGGGGGCGTGTTAAGAACCATGCCTAAGGCAGGATTCTCTCATCCGCAGGATTATTAACGCTACGCCCTTTTTGTCTTTTCTACCGAAAAGCTCACCTTTGGGGGCCAAATTAAGGACTCCGATCCTCGGCACACAAAGGGGCATAAATAGCAGGAAAAGGCAGATATTATCTAGATCTCCAGACAATTCAATACTTCCATGAGAGATCCTATTCCTAGTATCATTTGAACCCATTGTTGAACCCTACATGCTGTATCATACCTCTGATCTTTAACACAAATGGGAGTTGCCCTAGTAAACTATGGCAGAAGAAATGACTGTCCTAAATATCCCATTCCACACCAAGCACCTAGGAGTATATCCTGAGTGGGGTTCGTTTTACATTGCGAATGATAAAGACTAATGAAGGCAGTTGATTATTGGTTGGAGGACATGTTGTGCCTGAGGCCGAGACGGCTTTGTAAAAGTCATGATCACATGATCTTACGTCAGTCAGTGATCTGCGCTAGTCCGAGAGAGGAATAGCGTATTACAATCATCGCGAAAAAAACATCTGAACCGGTTCTGGCCTCTTCTCCGCGACCATTTCATATTTTCATTTTCGTGCATTTTATCGCATTCATATAGGCAGGATGCCTCTGCCCGTACGCTCCTCGATATGCCTTCTGTGCCAAACCAAGGCGACCTTGATCGCTCCATCAATTCTCCCGACTTCATGGCAGACCGCTCGAGGCATGGCTACTGTTCGATTGCGCCGTAAGGCCGCTCGGATGGCACTGTCACCTACTGTATCCAACCCATCTCTCCCATCTTCGAACAAGCCACGAAGGGAACGGGCGGGTCCCTTTGCCTCAATGAATCAGACTCGGGCACGGATTCGAGACGTACCGCGTTCACGATCACAGGCGGCCCTCAAGCGTTCAGGGGAAGAGGGCAAGACAGAGAAGAAGGAGAGCCCGTTGTACAAAGCACTGAAGATGCAGACAACATTGACACCTGTGCCCTATGGTCGACGCTCCGCTATCAAAGCTAGACTTGCCGATATCACCAGCTTTGACCATTTCCCTCTCCTTCCTGCAGTTCGGCAATCGATCTTCGTCCAGGCTCTACCCGGCCTTAGTGATGTCACCCCCACGCCTATTCAGAGACTTGCGATCCCCGAATTGTTGCTCGAAGAACCTAAGAAGAAGAAATTGAGGAAGGCGGGTGAGGATGAAGAAGTTTACAATTTTGACCAGTATCTCCTGGCTGCAGAGACCGGTTCGGGCAAGACCCTCGCCTACTTGCTTCCAATCGTCGATGCTGTCAAGCGTGCTGAAGCTCGCGAGAAGGAAGAAGATAAAGTTATCGAGGAGCAGAAGGCAAAAGATCGAGAAGAGAGGATGAAGACTAAGGCGTTTAGTCTGGAGCCTGAGGAGCCTCCAATGACAAATGCCGCTCGCCCCCGGGCCATTATTCTCGTTCCCACCTCCGAATTGGTCTCACAAGTTGGTTCCAAGCTCAAAGAGTTGGCTCACACCGTCAAGTACCGCTCAGGCGAGATCTCATCAACCTTCACCCCCCGCCGGATCAAAAACACACTTTTCCACCCCGCCGGCATCGATATCCTCGTTTCAACCCCTCATCTTTTGGGATCTGTTGCGAAGTCAAACCCCAATATCCTTAGCCGAGTCACCCACCTTGTCCTGGATGAGGCCGATTCTCTTATGGATCGATCCTTCATCCCGACAACAACCGAAATCATCGCCAAGGTCTCTCCGTCACTCAAGAAACTGGTTCTTTGCTCGGCCACAATTCCCCGCAGTCTTGACAACCAGCTACGCAAGCGCTTCCCCGATCTTCAACGACTGACGACTCCGAACCTCCACGCCATTCCCCGTCGCGTTCAGTTGGGTGTCGTAGACATTGAAAAGGAGCCATACCGTGGAAACCGAAACCTTGCCTGCGCGGACGTCATCTGGTCGATCGGAAAGGCAGGAGATAGACACGAGCACACTGAAACATGGGGACCCCTCAACGCATACATGGAGCCGAAGACCAAGAAGATCATCGTGTTCGTCAATGAGCGCGAGGAAGCCAATGAGGTCACCAGTTTCCTGCGATCAAAGGGCATTGACGCCGTCTCGCTGTCCCGTGACACCGATTCCCGGAAACAGGAAGAGACTCTCTCGCAGTTCACAGAGGTCAAACTCCCTCCGACTGCAGAGGAAATTATGATTAATAAAAAGAAGAACCGCGCTGCTGGAAGTATTCCATTTGAACTTCCTGAGCGCGAAGAGAACATCCGCCGCCTTGCCGATACCAAGGTCCTTGTCACTACCGATATCGCCTCCCGTGGTATTGATACCCTGGCAGTGAAGACCGTCATCCTCTACCACGTGCCGCACACTACCATCGATTTCATCCACAGACTGGGCCGTCTCGGCCGTATGGGCAAGCGTGGTCGTGGTGTTGTGTTGGTGGGCAAGAAGGACCGCAAGGATGTTGTCCGCGAGGTTCGTGAGGGCATGTTCCGTGGCCAGGCTCTGATCTAGATCCAGATCCAGATCCACACATACGTGCATGCGTGAATTTATCACTTTGTATAAATCTTGTAACATATATGGCGTTGATTTGAGGTTGTGATTTCTTGGGAACTGGGAAACGACTATACCCATTGTCTTTGTGATAGTCATTGGATTTTTGGAAGTATGTACGATATGCAATCATATATGACGAACTTAATTCTCCTCTTATATTAATCTTGGTGCTTGACTCCAATCACATCCATTGTAACTGTAGTCACAACAATATGAACCCGGCCTCTCACAGTCTTCTGTCTGGAAGAAATATGCGAAAGCTTCTGCATAGCGTTCATAAATGACAGATAGGCCTACAAAACAGCACTTGTTCTAGTTCCAACAGCAGACAAAACCCAAGGGATGGAGTATTCGAGGAGATCCAACTCAGAATACCCGGTTATAATTATCCACTATATCCAACGTCATATCCTGAATCAATGTGTCAAGAAGGGCCAAGGGAGATCCTCTGCGAATAAATCCCAACACTGTCCACTTCCAACATCCAACCTGAAAATGCATCCTTATAAGAAACCTCATTCAAACTCCAAATCCAACTTCCATGCAATATGATGCCAAATGAAACAAAGACTGTCACATATGCGCATTCTCCTAAACCAAAACTCCGTACTCGCTCTTGTGATAGATCAAAATTCGTATTGTTTACATAGTCATGCGGAGTTCTCTAGCGCGACGCCGGCTTGCCCGAGCATCACGGCAAGACTCAGTGGCATCGCTGGTCTCCGTTTCCGGGGTATGTGTATCAGATAGCTCGGGGGTTGGGGTGATCCCGAAACTGACGCCACGGTCTCGACGGGAAATGCGTGATTGTGCGTCTGGAGATAGGAACCGATGAATAGTGCGGTGGTCCATGACTCGGTCCTCGCCGTCCGGGCTTTTGTCTGTGTATGGCCATTGGTATCCATACAGCTTGGAATGCCGTTCGCAGCGAGGACATTCACGCCGTGTGAGGTACGAGTTTGACTGGAGGAACCATGTATCACAGGTCTGGCACTCCACCCAGCGGTCATACTTCTGTGCAAGCAATCGCGATGTCTTAGTGTAGTCTCCGGGGACTCGGGCGACTTGTGACTCGGTCTCGACAGAGTCTACGATAAATCGGCGCTTGGTGCGAGGCTTTCGCTTCTTGGGTTTGTCGGCAGCGGTCTCATGGGCGTCGTCTAATCCAGGGTTGTTGTCCACAGAATGGGTAATGGCGGGCTGACCTTCAGAAGCCGCATCGGGGTGATCATCCCCATTGAGCAGTGGTGACTCTGTCGGTTCCAACGAATGTTCTTCTGTATTGATCTTGATTCCAACATCATCCACAGTGGTGGGGGTAGTTGATGCTGATGACCGGTGTGATTCATCGGTGGAATCTGGAGATTCGCAATCCGCAGGGATACTATTATGGATATCACCTGCCTCATTTCGATCGCTCGAGACAGCTTCCTTTGGCTGTTCCGCATCTGCAGGAATTGGAAGTGGGGTCGGCGAATCAGTTGGCGATGCCTCGGCGGTCAGCTCTGTAATTTGTTTCCTCAGGTCGGATGCCTGAGGTATAGCGTCCGTCAAAATGGCAGTGGGAACAAGCACAGTGTCTGGGACAGGTGTATTTGCTGATTTGCACGTATCCCCAGCAAGTTCAGAGGCCGAGATTTCTTCTCGTAATTTGGAAACTTGTCGTTGAAACTTCGTTCGCTTGCGCGGGGTGGAACATGACACAATAGAAGAGCTGTCAGACTCATCCGCGTCTGAGCTGCGTCTGCGCTTCCTGGAAACATTGCTATCCTCACCCGGGGTAGTTTCAGACACGGGGCTAGACTCTTTACTGTTTTCTTCTGTGTCAACATCCATAGACCAGCCATTCCGCACAGCTCTCTCACAAGTGAGACACAGACACTCGCAATTATCAACGCCAAAGTAGTCCTCTCCGTAGGAAACGGTGATCTCTTCTCCTTCGTGGATGTCACGCATAGCCAAAACAGACATGCCCTCGTTGCCCCTGGTGGTCAAACTGCCATTTGCATCGCAGTCATGGTTGGCAAAACGAGCAGGGCCCAAGAAAAATGATGGGGCTTTGCGGCGACTCGACATCACAATACTGAAGTCTTTGCGCGTCAAGCCGAGATCCAACTCCTCTTCGTGGGTCATGGACACGAGGGTTCCACTCAAGTGCTTGATCTCCTCTCCCTTCTTAATAAACCTACGAGCGCAGATTGCAGCCTCATGTTGCGTGATGATATATCGATTGGTCGTGGTGACCTCGAACGGACAGTCCGGAAGATACATATGAATGTACTTGCGGAGATGTCGTCGGAACCACTCCTGCTCTCGAGAGCTGCGGAGATTTGCCATGTATTTCTTCAAGCCTGATATATCCAGTAGTTTGCGTTCTGCAGTCGGGACATCCTTGGCAACAACAACATCGTGGAGGAGAATGCGCGCAACATCGTCATCGTGGATTCCGCGGGCAGGGCTGTATTTGGTGCGGTTTTTGCGCGTGGTGGTCCAAAAATAAGCCTAATAGCACTGAAGATCAGTAAACAGATATCTGTATTGTTATGTAGGCAAACAACATACGTGATCCACCAGCGCATCGGTTGCGACATCGTCATAGCTGGCCAGTTTGGCCAGGGTCAAGCGCTCGCGACGTTCAACGGTGGGCGAACTCTTTCGCACTCTCTTTGGAGGCATGGTGGGTGTAACAGAAAGCCGAAGAGCACTAGAGATTGGAGTGGAAGAGAAGACTTGATCTCATGGAATGCAGAGTGGGTGCAAAGGTGGTTGGAGCCAAAAGAACCCGGGGATCCGTGGGAAGATCGGAAAATGATCTGAAGTGCAAGACGGAAATTAAAAAGAGTGACTGACGATCAACCCGAGGAACATTGTGAAGTGATTGTCACCATTGAGGCTGTTCCAAGGAGAGAGGGAGACTATGCTCCTTCGCAGATGTTTTTAGGGGCGGAACGGACACTCGGGAGACCTTGCCGTCTCTCTCTACTCTACTCTTCCGCTTTCCCATGCACATCAGTCGCGTTTCCCTAGCCAATGATCGGACCAGAGGCGGTGATCGGTATTGTTTCGTTCTCTACGGAGTATACGGTGTGCTTCTGACCTTATTCTACGCGCCCATCTCGCATACAGCAGTATGCACCGTGCGTCAAAACATTCAATCTTCCTATGCCGTATCACAACAGTTTGTTAGAGTGGAACCACTGTGATGCATCCAATCAAGTCATTTTTAAGACCAACCGATTATTGATTTGCTTTCTTACGCGTAAAATATACCATATCTCTTTGTGGATCTTTGGATCTTCGTAGCCAAATCGCTATAGGATGTGAAGGAGCCCAGTATGAAGGCTGTTTTTTTTCCCGACTTTCTTGCAACTAGAATGTGATTTTTTTGGGTCGATTGTAGGTTTCTGTGTATCTCAGGTGTCATATGCACTCCTTCTGTCGGAAAGCAAAGAAAGAGTGAGGTCGCATATAAGCCCGAATCTGGGCCCCGGGGAAGTTGTTGGACCGGATCATTGGGGAGCTTCCGTTCTCTGATATGTTCCCCGAACACAGCATACAACATAGAAATGATATCAGTGTAGTTAATATATACGTATCAAGTAACTGCCAAGAGAGGAACACTCAGAAAACAACATCTAAACGGTCAAGTAGGCCAGGGTATATCCCCGAGATGCAGTGGATCTCAGGCTTGGTTTGAGAGGGCTTGGTTGAATTGGCCAGTTGCATTATCAAAAGGCAGCCCCTTGTAGCCGTGGAAGAAAGTGATTTACAGTCACATAATAATTGAGCAGCAGCAAGCCCCTTGTCCTCCCAAAACAAGCTTGAAGTCTCGTCGAGCATTGTATAGAGGCATATGGGTCCGGATAAACCTACTTTCCGGGAAACCTTCCTACGGCTCCGAGAACAAATTGCGGACAGGCACTATCTACAGACCACCACAACATCACGATGATTCAATTAAAGGTGAGCAAGACTCCTATTACCGATTTTGAAAATACTGACCTTCGCTCCAACAGACACTATTAAGTTGTATCGACAACTCCGGCGCCTCCATTGTCGAGTGCGTGAACGTTCTGAAGAAGAAGCGCCCTGCGACAATCGGTCAGTCTCCGCGGCACTCAATCCTGCCTAGGCGCAGCAAGAGAGGAATTTGAGCTAATATTGTGGTTCGGAATATAGGTGACCGGATAGTCGTCGTCGTCCAGAAGCAGCGATCTGCAGGCTCCGAAGCCACAACCGCGGCCGCGCTCGCGAGTAAGGTCCGTCGTGGTGATATCCGCCATGCTGTTGTTGTTCGAGTGAAGAAGGAGCTGCAGCGGCCTGATGGTTCTCTTGTTCGGTTCGGCGATAATGCCTGTGTCTTGGTCAACAAGTCCGGAGATCCCATTGGGACAAGAATGAACGGTGAGTGACCCTTGGGAGGAATGGGGATCAACCCCTTTTAACGATTTGAATACTGATGATATCTTTACAGGAGTGGTTGGACAAGAGCTCCGGAACAAGAAGTGGTCAAAAATCTTGTCGTTGGCCCCAATCCATGTGTAATATATCAAGTTTCTAGATTTGTTGGAAAGCGCTCTTTTTTTCATTGGCAGAATTTCGTTTCATATTTTCCTAGAAGATTCCTAGCATCATATGCACCCCCACCGAAATCTGCATGCAAGTTTCTCTGCTCCTACTCCGAAATATTCGCCAAACTCCGATGATATCGCAAAAAGGGAAAAAAACAAGAACTCAGGGGTATCGGAAAATGGAGACCGTGTCGTAGGAGCACCGAGAGGTCACATGTAGACATGGCCGCATGCACAGCAGACGTAGTAAAGTTTCTAAGCAAATCAAAGCGTAGGTCAGCGCATGAAGTCCAATTATATTAGGGTCAGGGGATCGAGGATCAGGTCTCACCATGCCGGTTTCGGCAGATCGTTGCTGTGATTGGAAAAAGACGGCTTCGGTTTCGCCGCAGCTTGGACAGAGCTTGTTCGCCCGTGGAAGCTGCGATCACAGGGGGTTAGCCTGTGGATGCTTAACACTCAGAGGTGGCAGTGGAGAGTTCGGAGGCAGAGGCCTTGGACTCAACCTCCGAAGAATCCAGGCAAGCACTCGCAGGCAGCACAGGCTCAAGATCATCCTCTTCGAGGGGAACGCAAAAAACACAAGTGATAATGTCACCGCATAGGAGACAAAAACCAGGAGGACGAACCGTGGGGTCAGACGTGACATCCTGGGTGACACCAGCAGTATCGCCGACCTGACTGTGCAGATTGTTTTGATAGACACAGTGGGAAGAAGCTGGCTCGCTGACATGACAGGTACGGCACGTGTACATCAACTGATTGTTGACGCGGTCTTCTTTCGGATAAAGAAGGTTGGAGCTACTGTATGGTTAGCGTGGGATTGTGGCGAGAGAGCAGTAAATGCCACAGCACTGAAACTGCATTAGAAATCTATCGAGAGCTCACCATTCGCGACAGAACTTGAAGTGTATCTGGCCGGACTGCTTGGTCTCAGCACCAGCAGCGGAGGGCGAAGGATGATCAGACATTGCGGCACGTGATTTTCGTGGGATCGTAGAACAAGCGTCGCAGAGAGGCGAATTGAGACAAGCTTTGCAGGAATTTGAGGGATCTCGGGGGTTTTAAAGGATCTCTTGCGTGGAGGGGAAGAGATATCGGGCCCTCTGTGCGGAGTACTCACTTGCATATTGTATGAGCGGCGGTCTCAAACAGTACTAGCGCGGATTTGACAGTCACGTGTAGGGATTGGCAAAGGAACAATGAAGATCCGAGGGTAGTGTGGAAGGGAAAAATAAAAGCCCGGGAATCACGTGGGAGGGGCACTGCTTTTATCTTCCAAGGCACCTGACTCGAGCCTTATTGATCAGGGTGTATTGTGTATTGACAGAATCCCAACTAGGCAAGAACAATGGTCATTGGCTCAGCTCGACATAAGCATTCTCATTGGTTCTCTACATGTACTGATTGAAACAGGCATGATTCCCATTTAGATGAGAGAATGTAATGGCTTACTTTTTTTCATTTATGCATTTTCCTGTCAATAGATATCGAGGTAGCCTAGGTATAACTTGTATCGAGTCACTTTAACCGAGCCTCTCCATGTACTTAGGTGCCCAGTTATGTCATTATACACGGCTATATCTCCACATGGCAGTAGGTACCTAAGACCTGCATGTAGGTATATTAATCCCAGGCACGGAGTACATGGTATCGATTCGGAAGGCTACGAAGGAGGGCGGGGAGCTAGAGCTTGACTGTGTTTGCGTGGTTTGCATGTATTTACCTTCCCCCGCAGTTTCCGCGTTAAGATTAGATCGTTTATCATTCACTTGACATTCACTGGGAGTCAGATTAATCTGTACAGCATAATTCTACCCACAAATACTCGAAACCTCTTGGTATAATTTGGAACAATGGTATTGTGAAATCATCCTTTGTTAGACGTTTGCCTAGCTGACATAGACCTAGGCCGACACAGGTCTCCCCGCTGGCTGGGAAGTTCGCCATTCGAACTCTAAGAATCTTCCATATTACTTCAACCCATCTACGAAGGAGTCTCGCTGGGAACCCCCTGCGGAAACTGATACCGAGAAACTCAAAGTCTACATGGCGCAAAACCACACCCCTGCTGCTCGCCCTGACGCCTCTGGCGAAGGCGAGGGCAAGATTCGTTGCAGCCACCTGCTCGTCAAGCACCGTGATAGCCGCCGTCCCAGCAGTTGGAGAGAAGCCGATATCACTCGTACGAAGGAGGAGGCCATAGAGATCTTGAAGGGACACGAACAGCGCATTCAATCTGGAGAGATCAGCCTCGGCGATCTGGCAGTTGCTGAGTCCGACTGCAGCAGTGCCCGAAAGAAGGGTGACTTGTGAGATTCTACCCATGCTCTATCTTCTCTGTACCTGACATGTTGCTAATTATCCGAAGGGGCTTCTTTGGCCGTGGTGAGATGCAGAAGGAGTTTGAAGATGCCGCTTTTGCCCTACAGCCTGGCCAGGTTAGCGGTATCATCGAGACAGCCTCTGGAGTCCACCTGATTGAACGGTATGTATTTCCTTATTTGTGGGGTATGGAAGAAAATCAGTGACTGACCCTGGTCTACAGCGTCCAATAATTGCTTGCTCTTACGCATGTCTCAACCGATTCCAACGGCGGGTAATATTTTCTGATCGCATAAATGCTTTTGAAATCCTGGTCTTACGTCTTTAAAATGATCTTTTCCAAAAATAAAGTACAAAGAATGAGATTTTGCCTTTGTGTTCTTTGATGTTAGATGGTCTTGTCTCGTCTCAGACAGGAACAATTGTATAGCCAGACTACCTAGGCTGTGAAAGTCTTTCATGCGCATATAAAGCTAAATGTAGGATGTCTCGAAAGACACTCAACTTTTATCTAGACACGGAGTTTCAGGATACACGTACCTAGGAGGTAGTTTGTAAAGAAAAATTTGAGTATATCATCATAGGACTTGAAACTCGCCGTTCGTTTGGACTCAGCAGCAACCTTGGAAACAAGCCACGAGAATTAAAACCAAGGCGAACCATGTTGTACTTCTGGTTTGTTTCGGTTTAGTTACTTTTAGTTACTATTCTGTTACTACAAAGGACACCGGAGATATGCCTGATATCAAATCTGTGGAAGCGTCGAAGTAAACACGAACTCTAAAATCGAAGATGCCTAGGAGAGCCAATAACAGGACAATTCAAGGCTTCAAATGACAATAGAACATGGGAAGAAAAACGGGAAAATAACATTAGCTATAGCCATCGAAGTCAAAGTAGGATCCTAAGGGGCATAATATCTGTATAAAACACCAGTTCTCTTACAGACAACAACACATCCCTCTACTTTACTTTGCGACATCTCATCTCAAACCCTTTCCTTTATCACAATCGCTCTCTATAACTTTGTGTTCCTCCTCAACTTCCTCGCTCACACTCACTCAAAATGAGCAACGCCACCCATCAACTTCGACAGAAGCTGTCCATGACGCGCCTTCTCAACCCACGCCGCTCGATCTTCGACTACACGGGGGACTCAAAAGCTTTTGTTATTCCCGGATGGATTCTTGTCCCCCCAGAAGTGCGCGATGCTATGCTTCATCTGGAGTACAGAGCTACGGTAGCTATTTTTAGCATGAAATCCCTCATGGTGATGCGGGACAGCCGCTATTTCGAGATGTGCCCCAGTGATAAGGACTCAGCAAGCTACAAGATGCATAAAGCCTCCATGCAACGCCTTCTTGAATGGAAGGAAGACTGGGACATACTTGATCCAACCCTCGCAACTTCAGCCAAGATCCCCCGTGAGTCCTTGCGGTTCTGTGTCGACTCAATCGCCTATGGCAGATACATTTCTGAATATACCACAAGAATTGACTTATTCATGAGCGGTCCTTATCAACATTGGCGTCAGATGCGCATCGAAGTCGAACACCTTGCCTTCCGTCTTATGGGCCACAAGAAACACGAGTATGAGGAGTGGCGTACCTGGTGGGATGGCAAATTTGCTAATGACATGTGGGAATGGGATTCCTGTCTTGAAGGCCTGGTTCTTCCTCTCTGGGAAGAAGTCGTTGACGATGTTTACCTCATGATCAAAGACCGCGTCGAAGAGCCCGAGGGGCTGGCCCGCTCGTTCCACATCAGCGGTCCGTCTTCAGCTTCAGTTTCGCCCAACTGATTTGTCTTCCAGTCCAATACCTTCAATTGGATCTTCCACGACTGTGATTGAGCGAACAAATACTGCAATATGACTTGGGTTTCGGGTTTGAGAAGCAATCTGCAAGGCGGGAATGATAATGAATGGAGATACCTGGGAGTTGCGGTTGTTTCTTCGGTTTTCTTTACTTTTTTCTTCGAAATACGCACAAATTACAAAAAAAAACATGTACTTTCTTATGGATTATGGCAGTCTAGGGCCGTTGCACTGTATCTAGTCGCAATTTAACCCAAATGATCTGCGCCGAACTTAACTTGATTCCACCACGACACACTAATCCCTAGCCCTCCACTACTTCCAATCATGATAAGAAGCTATTCAGAGCATCAGGACTAAGACTTTGGTATCTAATTTCCTATAGGAAAAGGTAAACATTGGACGCATGGTCACGTGCATATATGAGCCCTATATTGTGACAGTAACCCCGAGGGAGAATCAAGAGCTAAGACCCAGGGTCATTGTCTTTACAGTGCAAGAAAAGACAAAGAAGTCAGGAAATGAAAGCCCAATTAATAATTCAAACGAAGGCGGATAAAGAGACGACAAAGCAAACAGCAAACTAGTCGCAATGACCGCATGCTCTTTGTTCAATCCGGAGTTAAAACCCAACAACATGGACGCTCCCTTCAGTCTTAAACTACAAATAATACGGAATTCAAAGCTTATAATCTCCTACCAACATACTAAGTGCTGCTGCTCTCTAAGAAGTCAATCTACCAGAGTTCAAACCTCTTTGATCCATCACGATGTGCGTATTCCGGACATGCAGGTATACTATGTGTGGTTGCATTTGGGATATAGACTCAGAGAAATGCGCCGACAAGGAGCTTTGCTATGGTCAAAGAATGATTACACTCGAGTCACACACTGCGACATGCGAAGACTGTTGGGCAAGGGGAGACAGGCGCATAAGCGAGGAGTGGGTCAATGTCGACCCAGATTGCGAAAGCGACACAGACAGGAATGCTATAAGCTCAGACGATGAAGATGGCTATCTCAAGGCCGAAGTATTCCTATGCTCCCGGCCCTCAACACCACAATTGTACTATGAGATTCATTCGGCTTTGTGTCCTGTAATAGAGGACAATGATTTCGATTTGACCAGGGCCTGTGACCCGGTGCAACTTGGATCAATGGGGAGGGACTATCGAGCAAGGCGAAACAAGATGACATCATCCGAATGTTTATCAGATGGCGAGTCTGATGGCGCCGACTCTTTTGCTTCTTGTGAAGAATATATCAACGAAGAAACCCCGGAGGAGGAACAGCTCGACCGTGGAGATACTGAGAACAATGATGTCTACCAGAGTATGGTGGGCCCTCATGTTAGGCCTAAAAGTCCGATCAAGAGCTTGGAGGACCAATCACTGCTGTTCTATGACTTAGCGCAAGAGTACTACCCAACAGAATAGAATGGAATAGATACAAGAGGTGGATTGGAGCATGTACGAGGTAGCTTGACATACTGATAGACCACACCTTTGGCATGGAAAACTTTCAGTTCAAGTCGTGATTCATTCATAATCGCTTTGATACTATTCGAAGAACAGTTTAGAATTACTACGATGAATAGTCATATGGTAAACAGGAAAGAAAGCAGAATGAACTAGTTCTGAATCCACAAAGAGAACAAATATCCGAGGATCCATATACCAGCTGGAAGTAGGCACAAGATTAGAGACAGAGCAGAAATGATATTTTTCAACAATGGGTGGTGACCTCGAGGATCATGGTTCTAAAATCATCCAATGTCTCTTCTCACAATCATCGCGAATTGATACGTAATAACATACAAGCGGAAAACTACCAAAGTAGATCTTCCAACAACATGCAAAGCAGACAGCTCACAGACTTGTGTTCAGTCGTTCCAAGCGCGAGGTAATTGCATCAATGACAGCAGACCTAGAAGAAATTAGCCATTCATTCAACGATAGATGGATGGAAGAATACACTCACTCTCGTTCGACCATCCTCATCGCGTCTGCAACCTTGGCGCGTTGTAGTCGTTGCGGCACCTTAGTCAGACTTCCAGGAGTGGAAGGACTTCCAATTTCTGGAGAAGGCATTTTGCCCGCGATGGACTTGGTTTGGGAGATAAGGTCCAGAGCAAGACGTTTGACCTAGATAAATGTGAGTTCTTGACCAACGGAAAACCGGAAAATGAGATGCTTACAGTGTCCAATCGTGAGATCAGTGGCTGTTCCTCCTCTTGGTCTCCATCCTGCCGCAAGGATGCAGACAAAGTTTTTACTTCGGTCACCCAAGTCATTTCCCTTTCACTGAGAGGTCGACCTCCCGAGTTCAAAACCTTCGTACGCAATGCCTCATATCGTCGATTGAGCTCATTTTGCTTATCCTGGGCAGCTTGTAATCTCTTATCCAGCGCTTCTCCATTTCGAACTCCCTCCTTGCGGCATCCATCTTCCCCAATCTCACTTGTGACACCCTTGACACGTTCTGCGACATCTGCGAGCTGCTTCAATTGGTCTTGCATCTCGCCTTGAAGTCGCTCACAGCGGCGGAAAAGATCAGAGGCAGCGCGCTCAAGAGCATTTGTATGAGCAGACAGCACACGATGCGCCGTGGCCACAAGGTCCAACGTCGCAGGTGACAGGCGCACTTGTTCTTTGAGTGTATGGCGTTGCCGGTGTGGGACATGCTTCTCGACAAACGAATCCAGGGGAGAATTGGCGTAGAAAATGGCGGGGACTTGATAAGGGGCCCGGCTCGGGGGCAGAATCGGCAAGGCTGGCACTGGTGCCTTCGGCTCGTATAGTGACTTGTCCAGTGCCGCAGACAGGGAATCTTCCGGTGCATCCATGACAGCTGAATAGGTATTGGAAGGATGGTAAGTGAGAAGCAAATAGCCAAGATCAAAGTCATAGAAGACAAGAGATGCAGCAAGATGCTCGGTTTGGCTTGTAATATCGGCATCCGAAACCTGCAGGATTTTCTCTCGCTTGGTCACATTTCCGTCACATAGGACTTGAAGTCGGAAAGCGGAGCCTGCGGTGTCTTCAGCCTGTAATTCAGCTTCCAGTCTCTGTATCCAATCGGACAGAGACAAGGACACCACGTTAGTGGCTGTTGTGACAAAGAATGAGTATCTAGAATGGACATCCTTAGTGAATGTGGGCCATGAAGTTGATTCATGGCCGTTCTTAATAGTATCCAGCGATTCGACCAAGATCAAATCAGATGGCTCTGACAAGGGAGTTTGGAATGCGTTCTTTCTAGCTTTCGGTAGCCACTGCCCTTCAACACCATCAAGCTCTAGACAAATGTGAACACGGCCGTTCCCACTAGTCAGAGAGAGAACCGTTGCGGATAGCTTATCTTGGTTTCCAGCTTCCACAGCTAATTCTTCCTCCTCGCCCATCATGAGGTCTTCAACGTTCAAACTAGAAGCAATGACAAGAAGATCACAGAGGTCAAGATCATCGAGCTCATCACCATTATCGAAGCGGAAAGGCCCTTGCAATCTCGGGATGGCGCTGGGGTTGGCCGGGCGAGTGAACACATCTGCACCTTGGATTGTTTCGGATCTAGAAGGCGCATCCAGAGGCTCTTGTTCATCAAGCTCTGATAGCCAGTCGTACTGTTGCCGGCAAGCAATAAGTTCCTCCTCCGATTCCTCGGCTTCGTTTTCCAGAGCACCAAGCTTCGGAATGATCGCCGCAGAAAGTGATGGAATGGTTGTGGAGGGGGCTTGCCACTTGGAGGGCAGAAGAGGACATAACGCATAGAGATCACCAGGTCTCATCGCCACCCACAAGGTCATAGGTGCCCATGCATCTTCTTTCTCGTTCCCGCTGCCGGCGAAACAGGCCGATGCAACCTCCATATCAATGGCATCGGCAGAGAATCCCTTGTTCTTGCCGAATCCAGAAGGCGCAAAGTCCTGATCAGATGAGGTACCATCGACAAGCTTCTTCAGATCGATCGCCAGGCTTGGCTGGTCGAAAGACCAGTGGTTGTTTCTGTCCAACTCCCACACACGTACGGCAGCGTCGGCTGTGACAGTGACAATACAACCCCCTAGATTGCTATGCAGCCCGAGTGGATGCCATAGCGCCGACACCACCGGAGCCTCGGGAATAACATGGGTCGTAGGTCCTAACTGGTATGTCTTCAGCCGGATGGAATCGGAGTCAGAGGATGAAAGGTGTGAAGAATCGGGGAGGACAGAGATGTGAACAGTGTGTTCAGTGACTATCGCAAGGAAGGCGCCGTTCGGGGAGGGAATGATTTGTCTGATCAGTCCGTACACAGGCACTGCTAAAACCTGCACAACATGTTAGCCACAATCCAATTGAACCTGGTTCGGATTTCACCGCTATTCATGCTAGGTATTCATACCCTGTAGGGAGGAAGCTGAGTGTGGTCGATTTCGTCTTCAGCTTGACCAGCAGATCCCTTTTTCTGCTTAGTCTGTTGTTGCCATTGGTCTTTGAGTCTGGCAAGGTTTGACCACCGGATTTCATTGTCCACAACAGCAAAGACTTCATTCCCCCTCTTGGCGATTGTTCGCGTAGCGCCATTACTCGCAGGTTTAGATCCAGCTTGCAAGTCTTCCGCTGGACTTTGTGATGAGCTAGACAAGAACTTTGCGCCAGGCGACGGCCGGCAAAGCCAGGCAGGCGCATAACTGTTGACCTTCGGCATGAGGGATAAATCGTAAGAAAATTGTACAACCAGCACTTGTTAAGATTTTCAGACCATCCTGGGGCGGTAAGAGATAGTAGACAAGTTGGCGCTGTGAAACAGGCAAAAGCAAAGTTGTTGATGCGGAATGGAAATGGGTGCCAAGATCTTCCAGCTCCGAGCTGCTTTGCTTCCCTGCCGTCCATCAACCACACCCTCCAATTTCACCCTTTGCTCCAATCTTTCACCATGAGCTTGCTGTCTGTGAACACAGTTGATCGCCTCGATCGACCCAGCGCATACTATGCGGGCAAGGTAAGAACTTTCCTTTGAATGCGCTTCACCAAGCTGCGTTCAAATCCGACCGAATGGAACATAGAGGCTGAACCACCCCAGAACAAGCGACGCAGATTTAATGATCGCGAGGAAGAGGAACAGCAGGAGAAACCCGACGACAAGTTGAAAAACGCGACGACCCTCTATGTGGGAAATCTGTATGCAAACATGTCACCTATATGCAAGACCGTTACTGACCGACTCAAGTTCCTTCTATACCACCGAAGAACAAATTCACGAGCTTTTCGCCAAGTGAGAATGCACATTCGGTTCATTCTAGACTACGACTGACTTTGAGCCCTAGGTGCGGTGAAATCAAGCGACTAGTCATGGGTCTCGACCGATTCAATAAAACACCCTGCGGTTTCTGCTTCGTCGAGTATTATACCCACCAGGATGCGCTAGATTGCTTGAAGTACATTGGAGGAACAAAGCTCGATGAGCGGATCATCCGGACAGATCTTGACCCCGGATTTGAAGAAGGGCGACAATTCGGGTTTGTGTCTTCGGCCGTGAGGATTACGGGCTTGTTATGGCTAACTTTTCTTGCAGACGAGGCAAATCTGGCGGTCAAGTGCGTGATGAATACCGCGAAGAATACGATCCGGGCCGTGGTGGGTATGGCCGCGCTTATGATGAGCAGCGCCAGCGTGAGGAAGATGAATACGGTGCCGGAAGGTAGGTCAGGACATAATGGAAAAGTACTGGCTTGGCAAAGCAACGGCGTTACTTCGTGGCGAGTGAATCCAATTAGCAGAAACAGGAAATGTCTATTCACCGAATACCCTATATACAAGTGTCTTTTTCCCGTCCACTTCTAATGCTGCTTCTTATTTACTGCTTCAATTCGTTTCGTTTCAGCACGGCTGCTTGGACCTGGCGCAGCCACCAACTGTGGATTCTTGCATCGCCTGTTAACTCCGGATGGAAGCTGGTACCGAATACGTTTCCTTGTCGCACTGCGACAATATCGCCAACTTCCCTGTCTGGATTGATATCTCGGCCCTCTGTGGCGTTTTGAGCTGCCCTTCCCTCTAATGTGGCGAGTACCTCAACATGTTCCGCGGTCGCTGCTTCCGCCACCGAATCACGCACTTGTCTGGATGGCGCTACGACAACATCGTCGTGTTGAGTCTCTTCGGTCTGGATGCCTTCGTGATGCGGCAGAATTCGTTCCACAATTGGAGCTCGAATGAATACTGCTGGGAAGGGAGGCGCATCTTGACCTAGGAACGGGAGATCCAATGGGCCTTGGAAGCTTTCTGTCTGTCGACCAAAGTGATTCCTGTTCACCCGAACATCAAGACCACCGATGAGCTCTTGCCCGCCCTTCTTTGTCTTGTTGGCAGACTCCGCAAGCAGGATGAGCCCGGCACATGTACCCCACGTTGGTTTGCGATCCACTCTGCGAACGCCCGTTATATTAGATCGGATTGGGATGACCTGAGACCAGTCACTTACTTTACAAACTCCCGCAATGGCTCGAGAAGGTTTGACCTTGCTGCAACCAAAGACATGGTAGTACTCTCGCCACCAGGTAAGACCAGAGCATCGCATGTTGCCAGTTCCTGTGGCGTTCGTACTTCAATGAAGTTCCATTCGGACGATGGGGCTTGCTCGGTGGCTTTTTTCAATAACTGAACATGCTCAAAGAACGCACCCTGTAGGGCCAGAACTCCAACGGTGATAGCCATTGCCTCTAAGGAAAAAGAATTGAGGAATCTCCGAGTTCGGCTTGATCTTGATACTGATGACTCGTTTGGTAGCACGTGACTTAGACTTTCCGGCGGGGAACTTATCTTCACGTGAGTGGTTATTTGAAGCAATGAAGATATCACGTGCCGTTCTACCTATTTCCACATGTACTTATCTTATCATCCACGTGCTGATAGAGTCCGATAAGAATCGAAGATGGCTTCTATCGGGGATGCGGCTGGTGTGAATACATGAGACCCCGCAATAATAATACAATGGTGGTAGTCGGTGTGTCTGGTCTTGTGAGCAACTATAGTTCCCTTGAACTTCTTTAAAAATGTATAAACTAACCAAATTCAGGCCAAAATGGATCCTAATGAGATCAAGCCTGATGATAGCTCGAGGGAACCCAATTTGGAGAACGTTGATCATTCCATGATCGGACAACCCACGTTGGTCAGATGGTATATCGATGTGCGAACTTGGGACGAAAAATCGACCAATCTACCATTGATCGAGACCTTAACTCCGTCTGATCAGACAGCCATCAAGAAGTACTATCAAACTGCGGATAAGCGCATGTCTTTGGCTTCCCAGCTGTTGAAATATTACTATATCCACCAAGTCACTGGTGTTCCATGGAATAAGATCGAGGTTCAGCGTACTCCCATACCTGAAAATCGCCCGTTTTATGACTCTACTCTTGAGTTCAACGTCAGTCACCAGGCTGGTATCACTGTGTTGACAGGCACACGTGCGGTAAAGGCCGACCCTTCCACAGGTGAACCACGAACCTCGCCTCGCGTGGGCATTGACGTTGCCTGTGTCGATGAGCCTGCTCGTCGGCGTGCTGATCGTCCCCCCAAAACACTCGCCGGCCTCGCAACTTTTGTCGATGTCTTCACTGACGTCCTCTCCTTCCGTGAACTTACAACCATCAAGAACCCCAGCACGACTCTTCAATTAGCTCGCAAGCTTGGTCTGAGTAATAGTGAACCGAGCAAAGACAATGAAGAGTTCCTCGCTGCCTACGGTGTCCGGTTGTTCTACTCAATCTGGGCTCTCAAAGAAGCTTACTTGAAAATGACTGGAGATGGCCTTCTAGCCACTTGGATAAAGGATTTAGAATTTACTAACGTCGTCCCTCCCGAACCCGTCGAAGGGCTCGCAAATGCCCATCATCCTACCTCGACAATTGCGTCGTCCGTCCAAAAATGGGGCCCGCCCTACAGTGATGTCAATATCTCCTTGAACGGCATTCCCGTCAATTCTGCACGCGTCCAACTTGTTGGTTTCGAGCGGGACTACATCGTCGCTACAGCTGCCTCCGGTCCCAATATCAGTACGGTTTCCCGGAAGATTATGAATGACAGCAATCACCATCTACCTGGGTACATCACTATCCTCGACCCTCAACACGAAGCTCAGCAAGTCCGCATTGCCCCCATTGCAATCCGTGAAATCGGCGAACGGGATCCTTGGCGTGTACATTCGGCGATTTCCGACCCCTGGCTGCCCATTCAGGAGGTTGATATCGATCTCGATATCCGGCCTTGTGCCGAAGGCCGCTGCCTGCACTCATCTGACCCCCATCCTAGCTCCAGGTACGCCCCTTCCCCGAATCTATCTAACATAATGGCACTTTTCCTCCAAAAGTCATCCATAGTCACACTCAATTACTAATCCTTGATCCTCGTAGCAGCCAGTCCAACTTTTCGACTTCCCCACTTCCGGACTTGAACCTCTAGGTTTCGAAGTCCTTTTGGCCTAAAATATGACCAAGGGATCATCTTTTGGATATACTTGCATGTTGCATCTCTTCGTGGCATTTCCGAGCGAGCTTTTTACCGCGATTGTTGTTATTGTTGTATTAATTAACGTCCGACGGAGCATGGGCGTAGCCCGTGCTCCTGCTACCTCCCTTAGGGTATTAGGACGTGCTAAGCTATGGAATTATATATATGTTTGTGCACCTATAGAAAGCAACTCCTTCTTATATGATGAGCCCTAACGGCTTCTAGTTAGCTGCCCGTCCTTCTCCGCCGATTGAGATAGATATAGTGTGTTTTAGTGGTAGGGATAGTCCTACCTATAGTTCGCGAGGTGCTAGTACTCGGGTCTTAGGCGGGCTATCGCCCGCTTCGGTATAGGGTAAGAGGGGGCTATAGGGTCCTCTCTTCGCGGGGTTTTTATACCTAGGTAGCTAGTTAGGTAGGGGAAAAGGGGGTTAAGGAGGGTATTTAGTTAGGATATATAGGTATAGATATAGGAAACGTAGTATAGGGAGCGTTCGGGGGGGGGGGGGGGTAGATCCCTTAGGTAGACTATACTTTAGCGTAGGTTACCTAGTATAGATTACCGAGTAGAAGTAGGTGACCCGAAGTAGCTCGCTAAAGTCCTTCGGGCCTAGCTTCTTAAGGTAGGCTATCGCTTCCTCCCTACTCTAAGGAGGGTAGTATAGCCTTTCGGGCTAGTCCCTAAAACTACGCCTCGCTTTCCGGTAGAGTACGAGGTATTCCGGGGTCTTCGGCCTACTATAGGAGTAGGTAAGATTAGTATCTTTATAGCGGAATTTACGGTAATACTAGCTAAAGTCCCTATATAAGGACCGGAGGGCGAGCTAGCGGTATAGTACTAGGCGTTATAAGTTAAGTTCTAGGAGGTCCTTAACCTTATATACCCCTTCCTACCGCTAGTACTAAGTAAAGAGCTTTAAGAAGGCCCTCTACTATTACTCGAATCGTACTTCGTTCTATAGACTTTAGTATATAGACCGAATACTACTAATAGTAGACTTAGCTTACGGGCTATTACTTTAGGACCTATAGAGGGCTCTCTAGTTCGCTAGTTCGTTAGCCGTTTCGTTATCTTCTATCCCTATATAGCCTAAGGACTAGTAGACTCTAATATTACGCTATACTATAGTCTTATAATACTTAATAAATACCTACTATATTATAAAGGGTATATTATTATATATACCCTATATTATTAAGGTACTATCGAGGTAGAGCTAGATTATTATACCTAGGGGGTAGACTTTAAGGGCTTTCTATAGGCTACGTTAGGCCCCTACTACCTCTACGTTAAAGATATATAATTAGTTATATAACACTCTAAAGCTATCTATAATATATACGTTATTAGTATAGATTATATAGCTATAGCCTATATAGCGAGTATCTTCTATTTATTATTCTAAGCTATCTATAAAGACTATAATATCTATCGTTAGGAGTCCTACCTATTATAACTTAAAGTTAGATAATACTACGTCTTTATTAAGGCCTTTAGTAGGGTTATCTCGGTACCTAGGTATATAATAGAGGCTATATAAGACTAGCTATAGGATCTATAGAAGGAGGTATTCTAGGCGTTATACTTTCGTTTTTAGGGCCTATATAGTACTAATACCTCTCCCCTATATAATAAGCGGGGGGTTAATCCGTTATATAAGAGGGTAGTCTTTATCTATTATATATAGATATAGCGTAAAGCGGAGTTTAGCGTCTTTAAGGGCGGCTATCGCGGATAGAAGCTTTACGTCCTAGTAAAAGGTCGCGGCCGGGGTAATCCTTTATATAGGGAGGACTCCGCGTAAGATAAGTATAAAGGTACTATCTACTAGGTTAATATACTATCTAAGGCGGGAGCTAACTTCGCCCTAGCTAGTATATCTAGCCGGTTTCGTACGGCCTTTATATTACGCCTTAGTACTATATAGTAGCGATAAGATAATATAAGTAGCGATAGCCTTTCTTAATAAAGAGATAGGCGGCCTATCTACTATATAGGCTAGCGAGTAGATATATTAGGTAAGGGCTTAGGTCTTAGTGGCGTATACCGCTATATACTATCGCTAGGTAAGGCGCTTATCGAAGAAGACCCTTAGCTATCTAAGTATTAGTTACTATCTAGCTTTCTCGGCGGTAGTAATAGGGGTAATAGTAAGGTTATCGTTAACTCTAATCCTAGGGGTATTATCTATATATTTACGCGTAATATATATTATTTCGAGCTTCTTAAGGGCGAATACTACCTTATTAGTTACCTCTTAGTCTAGGATAAACTAGATATTATTAGCGAGGAGCTAATAGTTCTATTCTAAGGAGTTAGTAGCCTAGTAGAGGGCTAGATTATTAGCGTAGCCGAAGCGTAGGTATATATCTTAGAGAAGTAGCTCTATAAGATATAGTAAGAAGAGTATAGGTAATAGGAGGGAGCCCTAAGAGGTACTATATAAGACTATATAGTTAGGCGTAATAGCCTTTTCTAGTCGTACTTAGGCCCTCTTTCCGGTAAGGAAGCTATCGACTAGCTATATAAAGGGTCGTAGCTAGCCTTACTATACTATCTAACGGAGTAGACGCTTCCTAAGTAGGGTATCGAAAGCGCCTTAGACGTCTATAGTAACTATAGTAACTATCTTACCGCTAATAAAAGTAGCCTCTACGTTATAAGTAAAGGCGGTTACTAGATCTATAGTAGATCTTTTAGGGAGTACCCCCTTATACTAAGGGCTAAGTATATAGTACGTAAGTATAGTCTATACAATTCTCTTTATAACTATCCGTTCTAGACTTTTAGCGATATATAATAGTAGGGCGATCGGTCTCTAAAAGTAGACTAAGGACTTATCCTTTCGTCTAACTTTCGGTAGTATAGCTACTTCCGCTAACTTCTATAGGGTAGGGTAATACCTAGCGGTTAGATAGCGGCTAAAGAGGGTATATATAGTAAGTTAGATATCTACCTAGTAGGCCTTTAGGAGTCTAATAGTAATACTATCTACTCTAAAGGAGGTACTAATAACTCTAATAGTATTAATCTTAAGCTCTTCTATAGAGATAGTAGTATCTTAGGGGAGGTACTTATCTATTAGGACCGGCGTGCTAGCGGGTCCTAGTAGGTAATATAGAACTAGAGTGAAGGAATAGTAGGGTGCTAGTATATTCATAAACTAATCGCTAAAGAGCTAAGTTCCCCTGGCAGTCTCTATATAGATAACCTTTGGCGGGTCACGGGACTAGGTCACCTGACCCGGCAGGACTCAGTCTCCCTGGTGCGGTCTCTGGCGGGGGGTCATGCTACCCCTACTGGGTCACGGGTTCTAGGTCACTGGACTAGGCGGGATCTAGCCTATAAGGCACTCTCCTAGCAGAGGGTCGTAATATTATCCCTAATCTAGTATTTAATAGGGTTAGCTTTAAGGTCGTCGTCCTTAATAAAACGGCCTAGTACTACTTCCTATAGGGTTTTAGCCTTAGCTATCGTATCCTCTACTAAGCGTCTATCGATTATAAGGGGTAGTACCTTTAGGTTCGGGGTTAGTCTATACTAGGCTATAATATTATAGAGGTCCTTATTAGTCTAGACCTTATCGATAATACTTTTCTAGTACTTTTATTTTATATAGCGTACTAAGTTCTTAAAGGCTTCCCTCTATTAGGTAGTAGCCCTAGGGTTAGAGCGTCTAATAGCCTTCTAGGTAGTATATATAGCTTTATACTCTAGGGTCTACTACGGGGCTATCTTAGGGCTAGGAGGCTCGCGGCTTACTACCTCTACGGCCTCTATAAAGATAATAATAAGGAGTTCCGCGGCTTAGTTAAGCTAATAGGGTTTAGAGAGGGTCTAGATATCGGGTATATATATAATATCTAAGCGTATAAGACCGGTAAATTAGGGGAGGTCCTTATCTAGGACCCTTCGGTAGGTTATATCTATAATATACCTATTAATATTAGATATAGTAATAATCTATATCTTATAGTCTAAGCTATAGTATAAGTCCTCTTAGATCTTTATATAGGTAGCCTATATATTTAAGAAGGTAAGGTTAAAGATATAGCCGGTAATATATATTAGGGTACCTAGCTCCCCTATATAGTCTATACCTAAGGTCGCCGCCTAATAAGTAAGATCGCTTCTTTAATAGTTATTTATAACGCCCGGTTCGAACGTATTATACTAGACGTTAAAGTCGCCTCTAGCTAGGTAGTTAGGACCTAACTTAAGGTTAGTAATATACTCGATAACTTTAGGTATAGTAGGCTATTAGTATATATTAAGGATCCGGTAGCTATTAATACTAACCTAGAGGAGGTCGCGGCTCGTAATCGGTTAGTACTATTAGGCTAAAAGATTATTCTTTCTCTATATATAGGTTATAACTCTTAGGCGTTCGGCCTCCCTCTACTAAGGGTCTAAGGAGTCCTAAGAGTCTATTAGGGTATAGTAGTTATAGCTAAGGTAGTTAGAGGTCTTAATACTAGAGTACGTAAAGGGTTCTTAGATATATATTACGTTATATTCTACCTTAAAGACTAGATATAGTAGTACGGTATAGTAGGGAGGTAACTTCCCTATATTTATCTAGTAGACTATAAGGTCTATTTTAGGCGTCCTATTATAGCCTTAGCCGTAGTATCCCTAGGTTAGATATCTTAATATTAGGTATTATAGGTATTAGCTATCTTATCTATCGTTATAAAGGTAGGTAAGGGTTTAGAGCCTTAGGAGGCCCGGTTTCGTAGTAAGATCTTATTAAAGCTACCGTTATACGCTATACTTCGGCGCTATTAGTTTTTAGCGATAGTCTATTATTAGTTATCGCCCTCTATAGTCCTTCCTAAGGCTATCTATATTTCTAGAATAGCGGTAGTACCTAGAGGTAGGTTTATTATAGGTTATACTTAGGTCTAGGTATAGGTTTATTATATATAGATATCTTTATAATAACGGTCCTTATACCTATAGAGGCTATTAAGCTCCCTCTTAGTTAGGTATACTAGGATCCCGCCTTTATACTTAGGGGCTACTAGGTAGAGTTCGTATCCTACTAAGAAGGGTCTATAGTAGTTTATATATTATAGTTCGTTAGTATAGCTAGGGCCTTAGAGTCTATTATACTCGTTAGTATACTAGCTATATCTTATATAATATAGGACTTTAGAGTACTTTAGTAGAAAGTAGTAGCCTTAGTAGCCTAGGTTATATTATATAATAGGTAGTTTCTTATCGATTAGGCGGGAGGTTTTAATAGTATTAAATAGCGTAAAGGACCTAACTAGGTATAGGAATAAGATAATCTATATAGTAAGGCTAGTATTTAGATTCGGTCTATACCTAGATAGGTAGTAATTAATAGGTCTAGCGCCCGCTTAGGCGGTAGCCTTATCTTTAATAAGCTTATTAGTATTAAGCTAAGTATAATTAAAGACTATAACGGTAATAGATATACCTTAGACTACGTAGTTATACTACTTTTAAGAGATTATAACTTCTATTACTCCGAGTACTTAGTAGATAGTATTAGCGTTCTTAGGTTTAATTAGCTTATCTTATATAGCTATATCGACTAAGATAATAGCCTAGCCTATATATATAGGCTCTATCTATAGGATTTCGGTTATCGAGGTAAGGTAGCTTATAAGCTTAGTAAGAGTCTAGCGAACTAAGTATAGTTTTAGGCGTTTAAGGAGCCGAGATAGCTTAAGGGTAATTAGGACTCGGCGGTCTTTATATTAATTAGTTAACGTAGTAGATCCGCTATATATAGATTTTTCTTCCTATCCCGATCCGGCTAACCGCTAAGTCTTAACGGGGAGTATATCCGCGCCCGAGTTTTTTAGGGTCTAGGCTATATCCGCGTAGGAGATAGCTTTTCCGGAGGTAATATTTATTATAGGTAGACTCTATACCCGTACTAGGATAAAGGTAGCCCCGTTAATATCGGTATAGCTCGTTATAGAGATAAAGTAGGCGAATCTAGTATAAATATCTTAGGTAATAGCCTTCTTATCCGGCTATCTATTATTTAGGATAAAGAGGTCGATAGTATTAGCTAAAGACTAGTATACCTCTTTCCGGACGGTAAGTTTATAGTTAGCCTAGTCGAGCTAGCTACGGATAGCGGCCGATACGGCGGTGATTAGCGTACTAGGACCTTTTAGAACCGGGGGAGGCACGTTAGCGTAGGTGCTCTTAATTCTTTTCGTAGTGCGGAAGTTTATAGGGGACTCCGGTGCTTATAGGCGGGTGAAGTCTACGTCGTCGTCTAAGTTAGAGATAGGACGGTCGGGCGTCGAGGGGTCCATAACTTAGGCTATACGTAGGTTACGCGTTAGTAAGAGCCGGGAGGTAAGAGGTCGTAGGAGATAGGGTGTGCTAATGGGTTTTTAAAGCTCCTAGGGCCCTATTTGAAAGGTACCCCAAAATCAGAGATTGTTATAAAGGTGCTTTTTACCGCGATGATTCCCCCTCGGGCATATTTCTGTGCACTTTCTAGTTATGATTAGCGAACCTTGTCCCTTAGACAGCAATGACAGTGAAGTCTCTGCTTTCATCTCATATCCGTGTTTTCAAATCTGACGGCTAAGCTCTTTCGTAAGATGTGTTACCTACATAGGTACCTAGGTAGTTCCTTCCTGCTACGTAGATGTAGGATGATACTAGGATCCACCCCAAACTTCGTCGCGGACAGGCTATAAAACCTGATGGCGTGTCTTTGAACATCCCGAGACTTAGCTTGTCAGACTGAGTGCTTTAGCTTTGAATGAACACTGTCTTGAAAACCAATCTTGGATTAATCGGATTTTTGGACCCAATTTGTATCCACGAGAAGAACGTTCGAAGTATATAAAAAGAGACTTGGAAATTTATAAGCCAAGTAACTTCTATCCAGGAGTCTGAGAAGGGCCAACGTGTATATAAGGACAGAAAAGCAAACATTCAACATTAACCAGGTCATGTCATGCGTTCGTGCTAAAATATATACATTTCCAATTGCAAACGGGGAGGTGGATCAAGAGTGAAAAGGGTGTAGAAAGGCAGCGCCAATGTCTAGGGTATTGCTGATCCCCTGAAAATTCAAGGCTAATCAGCGGGATAGGTTTGAACAGCTGAGGTTCCCGTATCCTAAATTTGGGGCACATGGACAGGGGAGTATGTACTGAAAGAAAGAAACACGAATTTACCGCAGTGAATTCGAAGGGCCAGGTTGGCTCTCTTGTTAGGCTGTGGCGTTCGAATTTGCACTCTGCTGTAGTGGGCTTCCTTTTCGAATATCCGATATAGGGCTCAAATCAGCGAGATAAAAACCGGTGAGTTCCGAGCGTGATAGAGAGCATGTGACAGATCAAACTTTTTTATTCTCGCACTTAGATCTCGACGGCGCTAGAGACACCGTTAGTGCAAGAAGCGTCAGCCTCATTCTTCTGTGTGTGGGACATTGTCGCAAGAGTCTTGAGCATGGAATCCCGTGTAGATTGGGTCAACTGGTCTACATCGGTCGATGTCAAATCCTGAGTCTGGATGGGAGGCAGAACTGTTTCACAATCGTTAGCCATACTCTACTTCCGTAATTTGAACTACTACCAACCTTTAATTTTGATTGTACCAGCGTTGAATCGCAAGGCACGAGGCGACATCACGTGCGAATAGTTCTCCGTCACAATGGGCACAATGGGCACACCGGCCTTGACAGCGAGATGGAAAGCACCCTTCTTGAAAGGCAGAAGAGTAGGTTCATCGGAGTAGCTCCGCGTGCCCTCGGCGAAGATGAAGACACTCTGGCGATGGTCGCGCATCTCGGCGGCGGCACCATCGAAAGCCTTGAGGGCTGTCTCCCGGTTGGCACGGTCAATGAAGACAGTGCGAGACAGAGACATGAACCAGCCCAGGAAGGGAATGTTTCGCAAGGATTTCTTGGCAGTGACGCTGCAGTATGGAGGGAAGACAGAGCCAAGCATCAAGACATCCAGCTCGGTCTGGTGGTTGCCAATGAAGACGGCCGGGCGAGTGGTGAGGTATTCTGCGCCTTCGACAACCTCAAACTTGACACCAGTCGTCAACTGCATCATCCACTTGAAGCTGCGACCTGTTGCCCATTGCGAAATGCGGCCATATCCAGCTAAGCGCAGACAAATCGAGGCGACCACGCCGTATGCGGCACAAACGAGGAGAGATCCGTAGGATGCAAGACACCGTGCAGCGAAAGCAGCGCGAGGCACTTTCTGGCCGACTGCAAAGAGGGAGACGGTCACCACCACAAAGGAGGTAACACCTGAAACGATATAAGAGCCGAACGACATGATGACGATTGTTGGTGAAGTAAAAGAGCTAGGTAAATGCAGTCAGAAAATAGTAATTATGGACTGAGACGGGACTTACATTGGTCACCGGCGTGCGAACAGGCCCTGCCCAGGACTGTAATGCGATGAATAGGTCAATGAATAAAGAAAAAGAGGAACAGTCGATCAAATCCAAGAGTGAACCATGACTTGTGGGGAAGGGCGACTTGGAGTAGAAACGTTGAATCGTTTTTCTGCCCCGAGGCTGATTCACCGCCTGACAGACGCATATGACGGAGGTCACCGGGGCACTCGCGGGCGACAGGTAGACGCCGACATCGCAGAATGTAAAAACTTGAATGTTGAAGAATTTACAGCCAGTGGAGATTGTTTTTTTTGGAGAAAAATATGGAATTATGCACGCACCACCCTCATGATGCATGGGAAAATCATTGAACTAATGTACAGAACACCATCATATGCCAGATGTCTAAACCTGGAAAAGAAAACTCCACAGTGATGCTGTGCAAAGAGGCCCTTAAACGCCGTGCTCATAAGATAGGGCCACGCAAGAGCCCAAAAGACCTGGAACATCACAGGTCTAAGCTATGTCCTCATCGTCCATATCATCGTCGTCCAACGACTCCATCGCGTCCTTGATGTATTGTGCAGCCTGCGTGGGACCGAAGTTAGTAAAAGAAAAGTGGAAAAATTGGTATTTGAGACATACCTTAGGGTCTAAGTTCAAGGCCGCTGTGAAATGCTTGATAGCATTGGCCTTGTCGTGGAGCATTTTGTACAGCTTTCCCAGAAGATAGTGCACGTTTGCCTCGTCTGGCGCCATATCCTTCAAAACCTTCAATTCGGCTAAAGCAAACTTGTATTCACGCAGCTTCATCAGGACACGTGCCTTGCGGAACTTGGCCAGCACCGAGTTGGGGGCCAATGAGGAGGCTCGGCTATAATGGATCAAGGCATCCTGGGGATTGTTCATTTTCTCCAAAACCAGACCGATGCAGCAAATAAGTACCGCATTCGTCGGGTTGATGCTGGCTGCATTACGGAAATGTTGCTCAGCGAAGTCAAGTTTGCCCATTTTATCATATACGGTCCCCAGTCCGTACCATGCATTGTAGTGTCGGTTGTCCGCATTGATGCCGTGGCGGTAGGCTTCCAATGCCTTGTCGTATTCTTCATTGGCAACATATTCATGTCCCTGTAGCGTGAAAGCATATGCGAACTCAGGGTCTATCATAGTGGCACGTTTGAAGCACTTGAGTGCCTGGTCGTGATCACGTTGGTGAGAGAAAGAGTTTCCAATGGCACACCACGCCTGGGGGAAAGGCGATCGGCTTCGAGCAGCTGGTGCGCCAGATAAGCCAATTCAACATCGCTTTTCAGATGCCATAAGACAGTCGAATAGATCTCCATGTCCTCTAAGCGAGAGGGAGCTAATTTTTGAACCCTAGAAAAGTACTTGGCAGCTTCTGCGTAGCTTGCTTGTTCGAAATGGGCCCGTCCAAGCTGAGAAAGAACCCAAGGGGTTTCACGCTGCCCCTGAGAGAGAGAATTGAAAGAGCTAATGGCATCGGCGCACTTGTAACGACTCAATGAGAAATATCCAGAGGCAAGTTTGTTGAAGAGCCCCAAAAGCCAATCCAAGGCCTCGAGCTCTTTCGTTTTTTCAGCATTTTTGGGTAAGGGGGGAATGTGAGAATTGGGTTGCGAAAGGCCAGCACGATTGTCTTTACCATCATGTTCGGGTGCCTCCATGGGTTTCCGATTGCCACTCACGACACGTCCGACAGTGGGCACACTTCCAATTCGTCCTTTCGTGGGGCCGCCTCTTAGCTTCTTCATTTCGCGGCCGTCTTTGCCAGTTAGCGTGCTATTTGAAAGCTTGCTGGTAGTAGGTTTTATTTGATTGAACAAACGAACGCTCCGGCGTTGTGGAGCCCCTGGTTCAGTTGGTTGTGATGGAGGAAGAGGGTGTGCGACTTGACCAGAAACTGTGCGCTTGCGGTCACCAAATCTCGATATAAGGGAGGTGTCTCTGTCGACTGCGGCAGTCGGCGGACCTTCCGGTTCAGTTCTTGTTTTGTGTCGAGGTCTAATGCCTGTTGTGCGCATCCGTGGTGGAGGCTGTCCGGTATGGTCAAGGCTCATTGTCTGAATTGTCCGTGTCTTACGGGCCGGGGCCAGGGGTGCTTCCCATCCACCTTCTGGGTCAGTGACTCCATTCGCGATGCGGAAGTCTTCAGAACCACTGCTCTGTGCGCCTGGAGTCTCCATTCCGTCGTGAAAAACAGGCTGTGCCATCGAGGCGAAATTGGCAGAGCTTCCATTGAACTTCTCCCAAAGGGCAGAGCTGCCAAACGTGGCGTCCGTCTCGCCGCGGGAGGCAGAGACCATAAAAGGGTCAGATTCAGGATTTCCGGGAGGCTGCACGGGAAGATTTCCCTCCCCGTAAGCCAGATTATCTGACCTATTAGCTATTTCCTCTGGTGATGAGGATATGATTGCAAGAAGTTCTGGGCTGAGCTGAAAGATGTTCGGGACTCGAATATTGACACCTGATTTTGCGTTAGAAAGCCCCACTTGGAGAGACAAGACTGGACCTACCCGTTTCACAAAGCCCTAAGAAAGCATCCCACATGAAGGGGTTCAGCTTCAGGGCTTCCACGTAACAGTCAACTGCTTTGGTCAAATCTTTATGGGCATGCCAAAGCTTTGCCTGGAGAGAATACACAGCTGCAGCATCAGGGAGGTGTTGGCGCTGGGTTTCACTATGTTTGTCTGTAATGCGGTCAGTACTTGGGGTCTAAGCTGAATGAAAGTTTGGCGATGCTTACTCCAGTGGTTCTTGGAGGCCCAAAGGTTTTTGCTGCGCTCCAAAGCCGTGACACCGTCCAGGTATTTGCCCAAATCCAAGCATGCCTGGGCAAAGACATAGGCACAGCCAGCGTGCAGACCGCGCGAACCTGTAACTTGGCTGCATTCAAAGGCCGCCTTCACTTCTCCGTTGTGTAAATGGCAAAGGGCGAGTAGATATTGGGCCTCATGTGATCGTGGTTCGTAGGCAAGGAGTCGCGCAGCAAGGAAGAGCGCATTGCGAATTAGGTTATTGTCGAGTTGGTAGTAAATGAGATGCCGTAACTGGCTAACAACATGCCCGGTGGACAAGGCCATGGTGAGGGGTCGGAGGTACTTTATGCGACAGCACAAGGCAAGGTGAATATCGTGGGGGTTAAGTTGAATTTTGACACAATGATGCGATTGCAAGAGTCGGTCTTTTCGGCGCTACTGTGGCATCAATGTCCGGCGCCTTTGTGGTGTCCTCCGAGACGCGGGGAGGAAACAACGACGCGATCGAGTGGGTTGTTGTAGCGCGAGCGACTGGTCCATCAACACCCGCAAGACATGGACAGCGTCAAGTCCGATGCCTTCGTTATAACTTGTCTAGATGCAGGAACTGTTGATAGACCTCAATACGTAACAATGAGGAATGTAAGGCGAAGTCGGAAATGTAAGAGGATAAATGATCGGAGGAAGCGAATAGAGGTCCCTCTGATTACGTCATCTGCAGGCGCAGAATGGCTCTTTCAGAGTACCAGGGACATTTCCAAAGAAGCAAAGAATTGCAAAAGAGGCCCAGATAAGTTCAGCTTTAGCCGTTCTTTCTGTTATTTTGGTCTCAAGCGGCCTTTGTCGAATCTGCCGTTTTGAGAGGGCGGTGAGGGTCGTGGAGGGCAACAATCACCCGATGGGCTGCAGCTGTCATGTCCCCTCTGTCCTCTTGACTCCACCCAGCCTCGAAATTCGGTCATTTGCTTGTCATTCCGAAGAGCAGAGGTCAATTGATCTTGAGCTTCTCAAATTCGACGGAACCTCAATCAGCACTGCATTGCCGATCACGTAGTGATCGCATTCAACCATGGCCCAGGTATGTAATGAGAGTGCTTTCTTGCTGCCGCAAACCTCCAAACTGGCTTCAAGTATTGAATGGTATGGAATGAGAACCCTTCTGATTGTATAACAGAAAGCTGCCAAATCTTTGGCGACTCGCAATGGCGCTGTGCTCAGTCGCACTCACCTCATCTCTGCCGCATTGCACTTACTCTTCCTCCTGCTGCACTTCACCTTCGGACGGCCGCGCTCACTGAAGCCATACTTTTTCCTGGCTGTTCCAACTCTTGCCATTGAATACTATTTGGACCGGATGGGCCGGCCCCGCTATCATGAAGATGGCTCCCTGCGCTCTGCCGGCGAGGATCTCAATGCAACAGGCCTGACGGAGTATATGTGGGATGTGCTTTATTGGACCCAGGGATGTATTGTTGCTGCCTGCCTCTTCAATGACCGGGCTTGGTGGCTGTGGGCGGTGATCCCCATATACTCTGTCTATGCTGCCTATACCACAATCATGGGTGTGAAGAAGGGATTTGCTGGGATGAGTGGCAGTGATGCCGGACAAGAGGCTGACGCCCCGAAGAGCAAGACGCAATTGAAGAGAGAAAAGAGAGGGTCACACATGAAATACAGGTGATCGCGTGGGGGTTGTGAAAGATATGTACACAATATAATATTGTAAAATGTGGCTACAGACTCAGCTTCATCTTTGCTTCAACATCCTTAGTTGTTCCTATTAGAGCCACTATATTTGGTAGACTACAGCGATTACACCACATATGAGAGTTAACCAGTATCCACTACATGTAGTAAGACACTCTCAGTGACCCTGGACAGTAAACAGACAACATCGCCCCGAATCAGAAGATCCGTGCCAATACTAGCCACTAAGCGCTATAGGTGAAGTAATATGAATTCAGTGCAGCTGTTACTATGGACAAGAGAACTGAAGGCGAGCCATTTGGACAATGCAACATTTGCTCTTCACAGAGGTCGACCTATATCTCAGTGTAATAGGGGATAGACTACTGAATGTTGAAGGTCTGGATGGTTAATTCGTAGGAACATGCCAGGTATTTACTATCTAGGTAGATCAATATAATGAGACATAATAACCTTTAAAACTGTCTATCCATGAATGACCATTGGATTACCCTCTCTAATCGTGTTTTGTAGATGCAGTTACAAGGTGTTTTTGTGGAGGTATATATATTTCGATTGGTGGCATCTTTTTGAGGCTATAACCGGATAAAGGCACACAACAAAACTTATATAGCAAAAAGGAAAAACTTCCCAAGGAACTAAAAGAAAACTAAGATTGCATTGTCATAGCGATCCCAAAAAATTGTAGGGCCGTGGTGTCTTGGGGAGGACGGCTTATAAGCTCACTCAGTGATGAATAGTGCCACAAATGTGCTTTGCGAGACATATTCATACGCTAAATTACCCGGAAATAGGATTTATACGGCTGAATGCAGTTCAAAATAAGATCCTATCAAGCAGTTGCAACCGTAACAGTCCTGCTGCAATCCCAAGGAGGGCCCATGGATCACAGCTATCCAGGACCTAAGATCTAGTGCTTGCAGATCACTGAGCTATTCAAGTTGAAACTAGATAGGATCTTCCAACAATCCTTGCTGGGTATATTTGTCTGCTTGCTTGACAAGAGAACGTCGGTTAGAAGGGGGACGAGCACGAAAATCCCTCTTTATATATAGATAGATACATTGACCTAGGTAGCATCTACCTACCGACAAGACCGAGAAATCAATTACGATGGTTGAGAACTCATTCACTCACTATGTACTGAAAATATTTCACTTCGAAACCGAGCCCGTGTTTCAATCAGAAAGGAAGAAGAGGGGAACACAAAATCAGAAGATAATCCGAAAATAACAAAAAGATTGTGCATGTTACAGATCATCAGCATATGGCCGTCGTGACAAACTATATGGGGAATAATGCGCTAGAAACCGCGCATGGCATTCTCGAGGCATGAAATTCGTTGAGAGTAGATTGTTCGAGCCGAAATCAAAATGGACAAAGAAGGAAAGGGAAAAGAAACAAGAGATAAACGTTATACATGCTGTGATTGGAAAATCACAGTTCGTCCTTGACTGCAGCTGCAGCACTCTTGATGCTGCTTGTCACATCGTCAACATGGGATGCGGCAGTCTCAGCTGCCTCGGATGCAACACTGTTGGCACTGGCGGCTAGATCAGCCAACTGAGACTTGGCGCTTTCAACGGCTGCGGTGAGACGGACACTGGCGCTCTCCATTGCATTGGGCTCCTCGCCATACATGGCAGCACTGGCTTTGGATTGGATGTCATCGATGGCTTCTTTGGCCATATCGATATAACTGGATTCCTTGCCGTAGACGGCGCTGCTAATCTGAGAGAAAGCCGTAGAGTATGCATCGGCTGCGGCATCGGTAGCCTGCTCGAAGGAGCCTTTAGGGGTTCCGTAGATACCAACACTGGCGGCCTCGACAGCAGCATGAAGTTGGTCATTCGCGTGTTGCACAATATCTTCTATACGGGGGGCTTCTGAAATGATAGAAGCAGCAACTGAGGACGCAGATCCATAAGCCTCGTTGATGTAGCTAGAGGCGGAGGCAACAACGGTGACCGGGTATGGCGTCTCATATGCGGCATATAGCTTGCTCAGAACGCTCTCGGTGAATGAAGGCTGCTTGCCCACAAGCAGTTCGGAGACAAGCTCCTGGACTGCCTCAAATTGCAGACGCCCATTATTCACCACTTCCTGCATCAATGGAGTCGGTGAATTGTAAACTTGCTCGCTGGCCATAGAAATGAGATTCTCCCAGTTTTCAGATGCTTTACTAGAAACGGACTCTAAACGGCCGGTGGAAGTTCCATATATGGCCGAGCTGGCTGACATAGAAGCCAGGGAAAGGGTCGCCGAAGCCGCAGAGAGGGCAGCATTGTATTTGGATGACGCATCGTCGATGATACCTTGTGCTTTGCCATTATCTGCAGAAGAAACGACAGAGCTTGCCGATGCGACGACAGCGGCCAGACTTGCAGAAGCTAACGAGGACACGCGCTCGTACTGAGACCCTGCTTCTTCAATCATTCCCTTGAAACTTCCAGGAGCTGCTGTGGGGGTCGGTGAGCCGTAGACCGCACCGGACGCCGTGGAGATAAAAGCAGTGTAATGCTCATGGGCCAACCCGACTGCTTCATAGTAGCGGCGCTGCGCATCGAGGACAAATGGCTCGAGACCAGAGGGGCTGGCTAGTGTCGGTTGCACCTGGGCTAGGTGTTCCGACGCCAAGCTGAGCCCTCGGTCCAAGCGGGATGATGCGATATACGAGATGTGGGACAGGGGTCCAGAGCTGGATGATGTTGGAGTGGCTCGAACAGCATGAAGCTTCGATTCTAGCCCGTCCGTGGCATACTTCAGAGACCCAGAATAAGCCGATTCAACGGAAGCTAGGAGCTGGGAATGTATAGGAGCGCTAGATTGAGCCATTTGGCCAAGGATTTGGGACTTCGCAATCTCATAAAGAATTTTAGCCTGATCCGTGGAATCAGCAAGTGCTGAGCTGGCTTCGTTGACAAGAGATTGGACGACCGGTGTTGGTGTGCCGTATATGAGCGATGATGCACTGTGGCAGAAGTTCGCGTTAGCGAGAATTCAATTTTTATGTGATTCTAAGACACTGGTATATTCTATACTACTTACGCGGCTACAGCCTCGCTATATTTTTCAGAGGCGGCACTAGAGACTTTCTCCCCAGGGCCCAGAGGAGTGCCATAGATAGCGGTGGAGGCAGCGGCCCAAGCATGGGAATACTGGTCGCTAGCCAATGATGCTGCTTTCTCACCGACTCCGGGGGTGACCGATGTGCCGTAGATAGCCTCACTGACAGCGTTGCTTACCTCGGCGTAAGAGTTACTAGCCTGACTCGCTAGACTGTCCAGCACATCTTGGTCCTCTTCATCTAGAATGGGTGCTTGATGTGAATTTGCATCGGCAGCTGCAACACCAAAGATGCTTCCTGTGGAAGGCTGTTGTTCTAACACTATATCATCGGCCATGGAAGATTCGCTATCGGCATCAAAATCCGCCTCGACATCGACTGTCGCGAAAGACTCATCGGCAGGGAAGGGTTCTTCGGAAGTGTAATCCACCGAGTCTGATTCTAGTACCGCATCGGTGGACTCATCGTGATCAAGGTTCAGGCTGGTGGGCTCTTCGTCAGACTCTTGGGTCTCCGCCTGGGGCCTGGGTCTCGCTGGCGGGGGCTCTGTGCGAGATTCGAAGTTATCACTGACTTCACGAGCAGCGAGCTTCCAGATCCCAACATCCTTCAACCGAACAAGTTCTCTTGCAGCTTGCTCGGCTTCATGCATGCCCTGATCCAAAATGCCACTCGCAATGGCTCTGGCGTCTGAAATCGACTGATGGTTCATGCCAATAGTCCGAATCTCGTCACGCCATTCCTCGAGTTGGGCTTTGAGAGCATGATACTTCGCCCAATCCTTGTATGTGACGCTATCCATCCACACCCAGCGCATGCCAATTTCTTGTAGGCCTAGATCGCGAATGCTGTCGAGAACATCTAGGGTGGAATCGATGGCAGCCGTGACCCGACGCACAAGCTCATCCTCGAACGAAATCGACCATTCTCGGAGTGCATGGGCCCGATCTCTCACGGAGATAGCAGAAGCCCGGATGTCCCGCACGAGCAAGTCTCCAGTTGACTCCTCAATCTCGGGAGCGTCCTCATCTGGCATAGACTCCGCGAGTTCATTAATTCGTTGCTTGATTGAAGAAATCTGTTCGGCAGAGACCGACTGAAGGGCGATAGAAAGGCTTTCACCATGACTGTTCGCACTACTTGTAACCAGAGCAGAGACAATCTCAGCAATGCGTTCCTCTAGGTCTTCAATACCCTTATCAGCCGCTAGAGCAAATTTACCCTGCCACCGCTCAAGATCCGAATCAATCCTCTGGCGGGCTTGTTGAGCTTGCTCTGTAGGGGATAGGGTAGGTTGGACAGGAGCTTGGGTCGTAGATGTAGATGTAGATGTTACAGTGCTTGTAGTCTGAGTCTGTCCCTGAGATCTGGTAGCCGCCGAAATAACGGGTTGCACTGTTGCGGTGCTAGTGACAATAGTTAGCAAAGTCGTGGTCTGGAAAAGCAAGGAATTGCGAGTACCTATCCACATCCTCTACGACAGCGCGGAGTTGCTTGCCTTCCCTGTAGCTCGCCAGCCGCTGGCCAATCTTCACCAGCTGAGGCTCGACCTGCTCAGAGTAAAGACCAGTAATGTGGGGCCACAACGAGCTGTTAGCAAAGTAGACCGCAGATGACCAGGTATACCGTGCACCCGGCATGACATGGGTTACCAGAACTCCTTGGCTTGTTGAGTAGGCTTTGCCGATGAAAGGCATGGAACGAGTGTAAAAAGGTACAAGGTGGCCCTGATGGATGGTGGACACAGCCTTGTTGATCTTCCGATAGAACGGAGAGACAACAGCAACGCTGTGCTGAACATAAGGGTCTATTTTGGCCAGATATAGCTGATGCAGCTTGCCCTGAGAAGCCTCGAGTCTTGGTGTGACTTGAAGCTGCCATTGCTCAACCCCATAGGCCTGGGCTCGCTCCAATGCTGGCGCCCCATACTTTTCATATCCTGATTTGGCGACCTTTGACGCTGGAGTATAGACACGCTGATTGAAAACCTTCACATATGGCCGGGCTTGGTCGACGTAAGGCGCTGCATAGATTTCATAATATGGCGTGACATAAGGTTCCACGTGCGAACAAGCAATCAGGTACGGTTTGCAAACTCGCGGTGATGTCGCTGTAAGATCTGCGACATTGGATGGACATCGCAAGAACGACGTCACAAGCGCATACCAAATAAAAAGTCTGCGAGATAGAGATGTTAAAAGGAGACTCTGGCGGTTTATAAGCGCGGTGGTACCATTACTTACCTCACGACAAGCCCAATTGTCCATCGCACGAATCCTTTTTTCCGTGGCTTTTCAACATCTGGCTGCCCACTCGTCTTGCCTGTGGCCTCTGCCACTTGCCCATTCTCTGTCACTGCCATCTCGCAACTGACGTTGGCCTTGTCGAGATCGCGCGATTTCTTTGTGAGATGTGAGGTCGGCCGCCGTAATTTTCGGAGGGCTTCCCTTCCACACACTTAGATCGAGTCGACTCAGCAGAGGATTACCGCTGCATCGGAAGAAAAATGTAACAGCCCGGTCGAATAGGCGGCTTTCCTCAAGATTGGAGCTCGAGGCTGACTAGTGAAAGCAAATTATTAGCTACTGTAGGCGGAATGCTCGCGTCGGTCTTGGCACTACCAACTTTCACGGGCCGCAGTCAGGTACCTAGGCGATTTCCAAGGCTGTTGATTCCGAGGAGGAAAGCGTTGAGTACATTTATTTCAAGTCTAATGAAGTAGGCGTAGGCGTGATATTCTTATTAAAGCGACAATGGGACCCTGCGCATATGACACAATAATCAGGAATTTGCTTCTAGTCAGCGCTCAGTGAGGTCATCGGTGGCTATTCGTATTACAAATACGCTAATACGTGGCCCTCAGCCCTTGGAACTTTGAAAAGAATTGTATTTACCGTATTGCCAGCACACACCGCTGAGTCATCAACTGGATCGTCCGCCTGGGGGGCAGCAAAGCATCTGGGCCGAATTGCTTTGTTACTATCAAACACGGACAATCTCTAGGTCACGTCTGTGAGGTAAGGCGGCCTAGTATCGAGTGCGTGTGAACATTGTACTCATAATCTCAACCAGTCCAACTCGGATAACCTACCGACACGAGTCTTCCGCATGTTGATACCTGGATGCTCTCTCATTTCCGCTTGATTAGGAACATGGTGAATATCTGATCAACCACCAACCGTCGATTGGGCGAAATTCAACAATAATGGAGCCCGCGGACAACCGATTCCGCGATATTGCGGGTTCTGCTGCTACACCGTTTCCTGATCTAATGAACGACCCGGCTTATGACGAAAGGGAAAAGGGATTTGACGACCTGGATACTTGTCGGATATGTCATGGGGAGGCAACGGAGGAGGAACCGCTGTTCTACCCGTGCAAATGCAGCGGTAGTATCAAATTTGTCCACCAAATATGCCTGGTTGAATGGCTGTCGCATTCGCAGAAGAAACACTGTGAGCTCTGCAAAACGCCGTTTCGCTTTACTAAACTATACGACCCGAACATGCCCCAGAGCCTCCCAGCACCTTTATTTCTAAAGCAAGCTTTAATTCAGTGCTTCCGAACACTGGTGACGTGGCTAAGATTTGTTCTTGTCGCGTTTGTCTGGCTTGGGTGGTTACCATGGTCAATGCGTGCGATCTGGAGGGCACTGTTTTGGCTTGCTGATGGTCGGTGGTCTGCTAGCGACAACGTTCGGACCCAGGCCGCAAAAAATGCCCAGGAAGGGCTCGGGCAATTGTTCGCAAATGGCAGTGTCGCGAATGCTGGTGTGGCTAACTCGGTAACTTCAACGATTTCCAATGCCGCTATCTCTGCGACTGCTGTGCCATCTGCACCATCATCGATGCTGGATTTTGCGACTCATGAGCCGCTCATGCTCACTTTGATCAAGAAAGTGATGCCTAATCTGTTCATGCCCGCATTCACCTCGACTGTTGGTCAAGGCAACGTGCAAAACAACTCCACAATTACTTCAACCAAACCTCGGTATCCATCATGGCTCTCAGATGTGAAATTTTTGAACTCCCTGACACCGTATCCAACAATCAATAATATGATCATGGATACATTGGAAGGGCAACTCATCACCCTCCTTGTGGTCGTTGCGTTCATACTACTCTTCTTAATTCGTGAATGGGTTGTTCAACAGCAGCCAATGGCCAATATTGCAGAAGGGGAGCGTGAGGCTGCTCTTCAATTGATTGCCAATGCCAATAATCGGATCAACGATCGATTCAACGAAGAAGGTGGATTTGGGCAACGAGAAGCCGCTCCTGCCCAGCCAGGAAACGAGCTCAACAACCCACGCGCTGAAGCCAATGAGTTGGATAATGAGATCCTCCCTCGTTTCGCTCCTCACTCTCCAGCTCCTTCCTCGAATGGTTCTGACTACGATCTTCCTGGATACGAAGCGGAGCTCCGAGGATTGGATGAAAATGACCCAGACTATGAACCAGAAGGTCCTCCTCTCACAGCTCGTGCTCAGGCCTTCCGAGACCTAGTGGCCCGGACTCATGGCAATCACGAAGAAATGCTGCGTATACTCCGAGAAGAGGCTCATGGGGATGATTTTGATTGGATTGTTAATGCAATCACTGGGGCGACCGTCAACCGAGATGCATCGGCAGGGCCCTCTTCTCGTCCAGGTGATAACGATAACCCAGAAAATCTGGATGGCTCTGATGCTGTCAATTCTGTGGATGGAGGCACCAATGACATCTTGCTTGATGCGCACGCCGGACCCTCTGTTCAAAGTCCGGTCAATGAGTCACAGGCTAGAGATAACGCCTCCCCTATCGTTGATATACAACCGGAAGAAAGACCTCCGCAAGCCATCGGGGAGCGGATAATTGACTGGTTTTGGGGAGACATCACACCCATAGAGCGCAATGCAGAAGAGCCAGTTCTCGCGGACGAGGAGCATATTGTCCAGGACCCGGCTCTGGAAGATCCATTTGTGCCTCTGCCAAATCGCATGGAAGACATCCAAGCAAATGCTAACGCAAATGCCGCCGCTGGTCGCGCTGGGCTAGACCCTAACGACGTGGAAGCAGTCGAAGGGGATGACTTCGAAGGGATTATGGACCTCATTGGCATGCAAGGCCCCATCTTCGGGCTCTTCCAGAACGGTGTCTTTTGTGCCCTTCTGATTGCCTTTACGGTAGCTATTGGGATCTGGCTCCCTTACTTGTGGGGTAAAATTGCCCTTGTTCTGCTGGCCAACCCTCTTGAACTTGTCATTGGTGTTCCTATTACGGCTGTCGAAGTGGTCGCAGATATCGCCCTTGATACTCTGATTGGTGTCGTGGGATATCTTATGTACTGGTTCAGCTTTGTTTTCAAGATCATACTGAGTCCTTTCAGTGCTTTTATTCCCATTGCGGAATGGATTCCTCGGGACAAGTCTGTCACCAGTGCATCGCTTTCCCTCATCGACGCGAGCAGCCACCGCTTGAACAAAGTGATAAAGGCGTTTTTGGTGTTCCATGAATCCGATATTCCTATGTTTTCCGTGCTATCACACCAGGCGCTTAAGCTACACCAGGCCCGCCTCAACGTCGTTTTCCACTGGGTCTTTGTCACCTTTAAGTTTATATTGCATGACTTCCCACTTCGGATTGTGACACTCGGTGTTCCAGGCGCTCTGTCATTCGACCTAGATTTCTCACAGGCCAAGATTCTTACTAGCCAAATACAGCAACAACTCACCAATATTGCCAAATCGTCAGTCTTCTCCATGCCAGGGACAAGATTTATGAATGCAAGCGCGGCAAAAGCAGCCTCTGCCACAGTGCCAGTCGATTACGAACTTGCCGTGTGGGATTCCAAGGACCGAGTCATTGCTATCTTTATGGGCTATCTGCTTGCGTCCATGATCGGGCTTCTCTATCTGCGAATCACAGGGCTGCTATCTGGTGCCAACCGGGGACAACGGATCGAGGGAATGCTTGCTGAGGTCTTAATCCAAGCCGGAGGAGTGATGAAGGTTATTCTAATCATCGGGATCGAGATGATCGTTTTCCCTTTGTACTGTGGTAGCCTTCTTGATCTTGCTTTGCTTCCGCTCTTCTCTGAAGCTACAGTGACCTCCCGCATCGCATTCACAGCTGCATCCCCGCTCACATCGCTTTTCGTGCATTGGTTTGTTGGAACTTGTTACATGTTCCATTTCGCCCTCTTTGTTTCTATGTGCAGAAAGATTCTCAGGAGCGGTGTTCTTTGTAAGTGTCATTATCCCCTGGTTTAATGTTCTCGCTAATGCTCGAGTATAGATTTCATCCGTGATCCCGACGACCCAACTTTCCACCCGATACGTGATGTCCTCGAACGCACTATCACTACCCAGCTCCGGAAGATTGGTTTCAGTGCCCTTGTATACGGGGCGCTGGTTATCGTTTGCTTAGGAGGCGTTGTCTGGGGCTTGCATTTTGCACTCGATGGAGTTCTCCCCATCCACTGGTCAGCCAGTGCCCCCATGCTTGAATTTCCGGTTGATCTTTTATTCTACAACTTTGTATTGCCGGTAATCATTCAATCGTTCAAGCCCTCGGATGGGTTTCACGATATCTACAATTGGTGGTTCCACAAGTGTGCCCATTTCCTTCGTCTCAGCAACTTTTTCTTCCCGGAAAGACATCCAGAAGAAGAAGGCTACCACGTCCGGAAGACTTGGTGGGCCGTTCTCTCAAGAAGCAAGGGTGATTGGCAACACCCGGTTGTTGGAAATGATCAGCTGGCTGCAGCTGAACGGGAAAATCGCGAGGTCTACTTTTTGCGAGATGGCCGATACGTGCGTGCCCCTGGCTCTGATCAAGTTCGCATTCCAAAAGGCACCAACGTTTTCCTTGAGGTTACCGAGAACAATGATCGAATTGATATGAAGCATGATCCTGCAGACGGTCTACATGGCCGATCCAGCAGCATGTTTACCAAAGTTTATGTCCCCCCGTCCTTCCGGACCCGCATCGCTGCCTTCATCCTTCTCATTTGGTTATTTGCTGCTACCACCGGAGTAGGCATCACTATTATTCCTCTAATCATTGGTCGGAAGATCATCATGTCCTACTCGTCCACCCAGGCACCAGTGAACGACGTTTACGCATTTTCAAGTGGTCTCTGTGTGGTTGGTGCATTTGCCTACTTGGCATACTACTCCGGCACCGCACTTGATTTTGTGCGAGAGCATTCAGGCGGATACATTCGTTCCCCCCGCCAGGCAGCCCAGACCAGTCTTGACCTTATGCTACACGCAGCTCGGCTTCTTTACGTATTTATCGTTGCCGTTATTGTTCTCCCGTCACTCTTCGCACTTCTCACTGAACTATATGTACTCATTCCAGCGCACACAATCATCGGTGACGGTGAGTCACATGTTGTTCACGTTGTTCAAGACTGGGCACTAGGGGTATTATATGTCCAAATGGCTGTCAAGTTGACTTTTTGGCAACCCCATTCTTGGGTGGCAGCTGCGGTCAACAGTGTTTTCCATGATGGTTGGCTGAAACCAAACGTGAGTATTGCCACTCGTGCCCTCGTCCTTCCAATCATTCTCTTCGCCTCGGTTGCGATCGCATTGCCCCTGTCATTTGGATTCATTGTGCGCTGGACAATGTTCTACTCGCATGTCGAGGTGCAGCCTAATATCTATCGCTATGCATATCCCACCACACTTTTGATTGTGTTGTTTGCATTTACAGTGCATCTACTTATCAAACGAGTGGCGGTCTGGCGTACCAATATTCGCGATGAAGTCTATCTCATCGGCGAACGACTGCACAATTTCAGCGAAAAACGAGCACGGGATGTCGGTGTGTCGCGAATGATGACAGGATGACGAAACGGACATGTGGATTTTCTGGTTTGGCCTCGATGGCCTGGTTGCTCCGGCGACTCAATAGCATCTTAGCTTTCTTGTATGTACAATTAACCCAAATCAATAGAATGCAGAATTTGACTACTACATCTGGCCGCTTCCTTCCTGAGGCATCCATTCCTATACGTAATTGGTAACGGTAATACCGTAATATAACCCCCCCAATTGCCTGCTGCCTGCCACGTGACCCACTTCTAGCCTCTCTTGTGATCGCTCATTGGTTAGGCAACAGGATTCCCTCGATGCGCCGTGTGGTTATCGGCCTTCATCGCCGTGCTCAAGGCACCCATTGAAACTGCTCTGCAAGTCTTTGTCGACTCCCTTTCTTATTTCTGATGGATAATTTGCCCCTCAGCGACTCTCACTATGTGTTCTTGAACATTCCCAACTGCAGCGCCTTCCCTCGAATGTCCGAACTATATCTGTGATCCTTATCGATCCCTCCGCAATCGCCAAGATGTCAGTCCTCCGACATGGAGGAGGCGGGGGCTTCCTTCAGCGCCGCCTCACAAAGCTATATACCGATACGAAAACCTCATGCGAAAGTGTTACAACCGCATCAAAGGCTCTCGATGACCCTGAGCTTGTTGCTCTCCACGGGAGTTTCCAGAAACAGAGGGACCGCTTGCTGGCATGGGGTCTAGATTGGAGCGACGCGAGCGCCGCGCAGCCCAATGATATCGATGAATCTTTGACTGCCGCAGGATTTAGCGATGTTGTCGAGAGTGTCATGTCATCCATCCAAGAACTCCTCAATGATGCCGAACAAGTCCAGCATTTGGATGCACCTATGCTGCCTCCCAAGGACAGAAAACTCGATCTACCATCAAAGGATACCCTTGGTAGCAGACCACTTAAAACGCAATGGACGGAGCAAGACATAACTCGATCGAAGACGATTTTGAACGAACTCACTGGTTGCATCGATACTCTTTATGACCTTTCACGCTCCCGACGAACAATGGCTTCCAGCATGTCATCCACCAGGAACAGTGCCCGCCGCCCACGACCGAACCCAACCTCGCCCTACGATTCCTCGCATGGCTCATTTTCTGAATCGAAGGAGAAAGTACAGAGCCCGAAGCAAATGTTTGGCCCATTCACCTACTCCCCAGCGACACCGCACCGTGATTCGCGTAACCCCTTCCTGCCATCGGACCAACTCCTTATAGATCGATCGGCTCTACAATTATATGGAGCGGCCCACGATAACAGCCCACCACCATATGAACCTGTCGCCGCGTCTTCCAATTCGCGTGCTGTCGGACGCTTGAAGTCCTCGGCATCACCTCTTCTTGCCTCTACAAAAGAGTCCCATGTCTCAGTGCTCGTTGAGTTCATGCCTATCTTAGCTGAGTCAAACATGGAGAATAGGAGCTCTCGATTGGAAAAGCTTCAGAAGTCCCTTGAGCAATTGCTGCAGAATGCCAGAATCTCCCATTTGGGGTTGATGCGGTTTTTGGGTTACTGCATTGATAACTCGAATGCTCGTTATGCTTTTCTTTATCAAATGCCGGTTGACTATTTCCCATTCCTACAGAATCCAAGTGATCTGTTGAAAGAGTTGAAACCTAAGCCGTTGGTAGCTCTTCTTCCTTCAGCAGAGGAATACCGGGAGAACCGAGTTCCGAATCTCGACACTCGTTTTCGGTTAGCGTACGACCTTTTGATGTCGGCTCTCCATTTGAGAAGCCAGAATGCGGTTCATGGAAACGTAAACAGCAGCAACGTGATCTTTTTCCCTGGCAGAAGTGATGCTAGTGACGATGAGAGCGGTCTTGCACCGGATCTTCGTCGTCCTTATCTCACTTCTCCGGCGCGGTTCTCCGGAGATGGACCGACTCCCGAGCCGTTATCTTCTGCAATGTATCGTCATCCAGAGGATAAGCGGTCAGTCGAAGATGATGGTGCCTGGGCCTATGATCTTTACTCACTAGGCCTCATCTTATTGGAGATAGGGTTATGGGCACCAGTTGGACGGCTTTGGAAGCCGAAGTACGACCGCTCGTGGTTCAAGCATCGCGTGGAAGACCTCTATGTCAAGAAGCTTGGCCCAAAGTGCGGTGGTGCTTATCAGCAAGCAGTTCAGCTATGCCTTGATGCCCCAAACTTCCATTTGTCGACACAACCGATGACCGATCTTGGCCTTCGTGTGCCCCAAATCTACCATTACCCGGTGCTTGACTTGTCAGATCCTGATGGTACCTTCTCTTTCTCAATGAATTTCATGTACACAATTTGCAAAATTCTGTGGTCATGTTGCCGGATCGATATCTTCTCGGCACCCTCGGCGGAGGAACTGGATGACTGCCTTCCACTCGCCCTTGTGCCTACTCCAGAGCCAGTGACCATTCGGGACAAAGTGAACGCATACAAGTCATCGAAGCGTGAGATGTCCAATCTAGACACTAAGCTCTCCACAATCCCGGGTGATACATGGGGTATCATCAATGAAGACAGGAGCTTCGAAAAGCCACAAAAGAAACGTACCGTGAAGAGGCTTCCGAACTTGGAAATACCCGACGAACACCTACAAGAATGGAATTTTCAAATCATGCCACGAGTGAGTCGTCTTCTTCAGAAGATCTTGAAAGGGTCTTCCGAGTCGTGCGGCGTAAATCTCATAATGACTGGCGAGTCGCCTGAAAGTGCTAAAACGACAATCTGTGTCACCTGCGCTAGTGTGAAGAAAGTCAGAATGGCTCTCAAGAAGCACTTCGCTCTTGGTAGAGACGATTGGGATTTGATTGTCCTCCGTGGGGATATTGAACGCTCCAAGGTTCCCCGGAATAGACGCCGGAGGCCAGCCAAGGCTCGCCCAAATGCATCCAATGATACGCCCTTTCGCCAGCGAGAGCTCAACCCATGTCACCAACAGCGACCTCTGTGCGGGGCATCCATTGGTGCGTTTCAAAACGAGGAGCATCTACCCCCCGTCTCATACGGAGGAGCCGTCTTCGTCGATGGCTTACCTTATGGCCTAACTGTTCACCATATGTTGGAGGCTCCAAGCGACGATGAGGGCCAAGACAATGATCCTGCAGATTTCAACCAAGACGCCCCTTCGAGATCCTCTAGTAACTGGCCTCCTGATCCACCAAATATCCCTCATCCTGGGTTAATGTACGACTATCCAGAGGATGAGTCGTCTGAGGAGAACTATGATTTCGAAATTTCGGATCTGGAGGATGGCGATGATCCATCACATGGCCTCGAGTCTGGATATGATGAGTTCTGGCTTTCCGATGAAGATTCATCAGATGACGAATCTCTCGGTCCTGATGAGGTCGATGATGATGCTGCGTCTATTGGCGATACTGCTGGTGTTGAACCGGGCGAAGAACCTCGGCTGCTTGTCACACAACCAGCTATTGACGACGTACATGAAGACTTTTTTCCCTCCCCGGAAGATCGTGACGACGAGCACTTAGCCTCACACTCCTTGGGTTTTGTTCATGCATCCTCTGGAATAAGGCGCTGGACCCGAAATGGGCTGAAACACGAAATCGACTGGGCGCTCATCAAAGTTGACGATGCCCGTATGGACCCTCGCAATATCATTCTCGATACTACCAGATCCAGTAGCGCGCGCCCAGGACGTCCCATACCACCACAACCTATTTTCCTGAATCAAGTAGCTCGGATGGAGGAGCTAGGTGGTTTGCAAGTTCATTGTTGCGGTCGTACAAGTGGACTACAGACAGGGCAAATATCCAAGGCCATGACATTGGTCAAACTTCACGGACGACATTCTTTTTCAACCAGCTTTTGCGTCAATGGGAACTTTGGAGGTAAGAATTGCACCTCGGCAGATCCATGTTCATGTCTATACGATCCTTAATTAGATACCCTTTTTTTTTTTTTGTCATGTATACCCATCATTTGTTATCCTTCTTAGCTGGTAAACAAACAGCGTTTGGATCTTAAGACACCGACTCGTATCGAGTAAATGTTTCATGAAGCTAATTTCTCCTGATCCGATAGCCCCCGGCGACTCTGGTGCATGGGTTTTTGACCGTCCCACCGGCCGTGTCTGCGGCCACGTTCTCGCCTGGTCTGCAAAAAGCAATACCACCTACATCTCCCCGATGGAGGTGACGTTCGAGGACATTGCCCGGACCCTCGGCGCCTCCCTTGTCTCCCTTCCTGGCGATCCGAGCCGCTCGATGGGTTACATGAATCCTACCTCCCCTCAATACCGTTACCAAGCACAACGGCTCCCAGGGGACTTTGGCCGCCTGGCTCTTGGTGCTGGGGGCTCGCCTGGCCCACCTGTACCACCCCATCCTCATCATTATCTTCACCCTCATCCTCATCCTCATCCTCATCCTCACCCTCACCCTCACCCTCACCCTCACCCTCATCCTCACCACCCGGGTTACGGTCGTCCCCCACCTCCTCCTCCACCCCCTCCTGGCTCCCGAGAAGCCCATGGCCCGGTCTATCGAGGACCTGTGCCTCCGATCCCACCCTCTCTCCTTACCGGTCCACGCAACGTTGAGCGACAACTCGCTTGATCCTTCGGGGATCTATGACACGGGCACAATTTTCTGATGGTTCATGGCATAATGGTCTTGGTATACCGCAGTACTTTTCTTTTTCTTTCTTCATTATATCAATGTTTACGGTCACCGAGGATACCCAGGCTGGAGCGCTTTTTGTTTTTGGTCTTTTTGTTCGCCGTTGTGCATCTTCGTTGTATAAATTCTCTCGCGGGGGCGATTCGACCGGGCTTCACGAAAGATGTATACACCTTACTTGGGCTTGCTATAAAGCCGAGGAGCACACGTTCTTCATTTCATAGAGCTATAACATACATGACGATTAAGACTGAATCTTGGAGGATTATAGCCTGTTCTAAGACTAGATCATCGACCAAGGTAGTAAAGATCGCTACGTCATCGGTCTATTGTCTCATCATCTACTATCGTTCTTTGTATATCTTGTACACCAGATTTCTACTGTATATTTACCAATTAATCAATTAAGATCTCCATTTATCATCGGGTATGAAGACTTTCGATATTCCAGGTTCGGATGATCGAGATATCATTTAAACAGTCTCAACCCTAAGGTCGCACCTGCAGATCTAGAGGCTTTATATGCCGAGTACCACCAACCCAGCCCTGATGTACAACCCACATGCCTTTGTGCGATAAGTAGAGTTGCTCAAATGCCACTGGACTTCTGAATTAAGCCAAATAGATCGTGAGGTCTCCCTGGAGGCTGAGATATAATCCCCACGCCTCCATGACCCTACATTTGAGCTCCTAAATCCACCACGGCTTTTGAAATCGCAATTTCACTCGGATGTATGAATAAATAGACTCTTTGAGTCTCGAGAGGTATCAGGTTTTGCGATACTATGGTTAGCGACTGTAGTCCGTTCAACTCTTGTGTAATTCTGAAACGCCATTGAACGACAGTCACTTCAGGGGTCCATTAATTTGCCGAAGGATTTTATACCTCGATGCAATATATATAGTGTAGCACGGAGTGTAGAAGTCCTGGATCTTCCTTCCCACAGGACTATCGACTAACTCTCATTCAATGGCATTGCTGTGAGGTTTAAGCAATTTAACTCAAAAGGCAAGCCTTTCCCAAACTTGCATATTTCAATGATCGAATAAGCAACTATCTTTCTGCTGTGCTCAGTGCTCATATGGAATAGAAATACCACTCCCACATAGCTCCATGGCGCTATCCAAATATCTCTTGATTCTTGTACTCGGGCTAATCCTACTAGCCACCGATGTCCTCGGAGAAAGAGTCGTCTATACGGTATGGTACGAACAGGGTCTTGGAGGCCATCCAGCACATACTAGTCGTAAGGGAACGATCGCAGATGAGCACGTACAGCCCCTCTTAGACCATATTCATGAATGGTCAGGGGGAAGATATAGGGCCTCGAGAAGCAGACATCATCTCATCAATGTTTCAGCGCATGAGCGTACTGAAACTCTCAATCAAGCCCACCAAGAGGTCCAGGATATGATTCATTTGGTCTGTCAGCACTTGAGAGATTGTGGGCGTACATCGCCGTCATCTGAGTGAAGTTGAGATATATGTCTGTACTGGTGTACCAGCAAACGCACTGTCTTTACTTTTGTGTGGTTGAGTATTCTAGTGTTTGGAATGGATCCCTGGAGAGTGTACTCGATAGTATGTCGGCATTTCCTGGGATGGTGGTTCCAGTGAGAGTATGAGATGGAAATCGGAGACAATATGAGCTTATGGTCGTTGAATGGAGTTTCCTTGTTAGGTTGCCGTGTGACGAATGCCTCTAGCAAAAGGCCTTTCCTCCAGCTCAAGAGACGGTTAAAAGGAACCAATGTCCTGATTAGCTCTCCTGCTATAATCCTAGGGTAAGACTATATTGTAGGCTCGGGAGTATCACTATGACAGGATAATTTGAAGACACCATGATGGGACAAATAGATTGTTGTGCTATGAGCCTGAGATAATGATGGTCCAATGACAGCTCCATGCTAGAGATAAATGGATTTTGAATGAGACTGCGGCTCCTGTGATAACCCCTAGAATCTGATCCATCACTCCGAGCAAAGTTTGCTCGCTGTTGAGAACCTGTATTCTAATCCAGACCATGCGAGGCGATTTGGCACACAAACTTGTCTTCGTCCTCATATTCTGACAGCAACCACAGGCCGTACCTCGAAATTGATGGGGTAATCATCGCGGGATCCAAGAGCATCGCCTATCATTATGCCAGCTCTGGATATCAGGTCAAAATCGCAATCGGCGATCTGTTTGCCATCCAGCAGATCCCAACACCCGCGCTGTATATTCCAGACGAGGCTTATGTTTTCCTGGGCGCCCTCAAGCTCCCACCTCGGATTTACCCTGAGGCTGTTCCGGTCCCCCTTGTCAAACTTTGGAGCTTCATGGAGAATGACATAGAGGACTGTATCATAGTAAAAGCAGGTCATTGTGTTGTAGACGTGTAAGGAATCGACACCTTTATTCAGCCACCTCTCAGACACAGCAAAGCGTGTGAGGTTGATGGGTACGGACACCCTATCTGGAGGATTGAGATCCTCATGGGCAGACCAAATATCCCGCTGAAAGGTGTCGACCTCGTCCGGACCGATCCATAACACGTCGCGCATGGGGTCAAATGGGCGCAGGAAAACCGCGCACTGTCTCTCTTGATGGAACAGAATCTTGATACCCTGCGTGCGAGCCCATTCAATTGCAATGGCACGGGCTTCATGGTTCACGGCGGTGAGGGGGATCTTGACTGTAATGTAATCAAGCAAGTCGGGACGGAACTCCATCTCCACGACCGTCTGTTGATGGTGGTTATTCTCATCTTCGTTTTCGGGCGTGGCAACTGGACGCCAACAGCCGGCTCGGTATGGAGTCAGTGCCGGCGGGTCTGTCTCAGGCAAGCAGCAACGCCATATCTCAAGGCGCAATTCGGCAGGAAGGACAGGGAATTGATGGAAATTTGAGGAGCTGGTCGCCGGCGCGATCATCATTGAGATACTCATGGTTGAAGATGCCAGTGTGAAATTCCAGAGCAGAGGGTAATAAGAGAAGAAGAGTACAAAGAAACAGTGATTGTTTCAGTTGATAGGCATCTACCCCGGTGCCATGCCTGAGGCCGTCGTGATGGTCATCAACGTATTGAGCTACTCTCTGACCTTCCGGAACATTGTCAATTCCTATTTAGTGCTTTGTTCTCTATTCTTTGTGTCATATTTCTTGGGATATATGGAGCTAGATGGGTACATCGTAGACAGAAGCCTCCTTAGGGCTCAAAGAGATTGAATAATGGAATTGAATCAAAAGGCAGGGATGTAGTGATATCCATTTTGTGAGGTTTAGGGAATTAGGCTCTAGTCTTTCTACTTCGCAATCATATCAGACCTGATGACAATCGGAAACACACCCTGGAATCTTTACTATAATCTACCGTGTTGAGTCCTGCGCCTGGTGTTGCCTATGGCCTCCAAAGCGAGACAAGAAACCTGTTCCTGGGTCGTTGCATTGAGCTTCAAGCGGTTGTTCAGTTGTCTATCACCTACACCCTGCGATGACGTTTTATGGAAAATTCCACCAATTCTGGTGTTCGAAGCTTGGGCATACTGCAACCTATGCACCATGGAGGCAGCATCACCAACGGTATGACAAGGCTATAGCGAATTACCTGTGGAGGGCATGGGGCTATATGTCAAAGGCGATGAGGTGCTGAAACAAAAGAACCAGAGAGCCCACCCATTAGGAAGATACCGTTGTAAACGAGAGTTTGTTGACGCCATGATCAAGCCCCCTCTTGCGTATGTGGTTGCTGATGCTCATGCTCGTCATAGTCATCCTCATCTTCATTCATACTCTCCCACTCGTCTTCACCATCGCTCTGATCAACGTCTGCATCGTCTCCAAGCATGCTGAGTAGTTGTAATAACCCGGCTTGTGTGCGCCATGTATCTTCAGTTGGCAGATTCGGGCCGGAGCTAGCTTGTCCTTCGCCTGTTGTGTCATCGGATCCAGAAGCCTCGTCAGAGAGATTAGGAGCCAGGCTGACTATACGTATGACTTTTGTAGGGAAGACTCTGGGGATACCTCCACCATGCGGTGGAAGTACCCCACCAGCACTGTTAGAATCACGCCAGCCAAGAGTCTGTAATACCTCATGTTAGCCCTCCCATTCAGACTTTTTTTTCGGGAGTTGACAGGTAAGAAACTTGTACTTACTGTGTAAGTAGACATAATAGCATCATCCGCCAACGCCATATAACTGATTGGCACAGCAAGCTGCGGAGCGGAACTAGTGAGCAAGGCGTACGAAGCACGAGTGGGATTATCCACGTTCTGAACCCTATTGTCATCATCCAGTGCAACGACATAGATCCGATCTTGAATCTCGAACATCACACGGTGATTGCGGACTGATAACCAGCCCCCGAGGTCAAAGCTCAACCCGTCTGAGTCGCATTCTATAATGGAACTATTCGCCGCGAGGCTAGCTTCATCGCGGAGAGCCTTGCGGAAGTCTGAGCAAATGAAGACACGGCCCGCACGGGAAAAGCCAACAAAGAGGTCGCCATGCAACATTCCCGCTCCCCATTCGTCCTCCCCATGCCGAACGTGATCTGCCTCATCCGGTGGTGGCAGTGGACCTCTAGCGATTTGAATTGGTATCAAAGAATCCTTTCCGGAAGGTCCAGGAGCAAATGATTGTGGCATTGGACCAAGTCGCGCGGCTCCAGCTAAAGCTGCAGCCCCAGAAGCAGTAGATGCCGGGGGAGGGGGGATGTGATATTTCTCTGTCACTTGAGACGGCTTCAATGTGCCTAGAAACGCACCCGATTCTTTATTGTAGGCAAAATAGCCTTTCGCTCCCATTGAATAGATCACAATGTCCGCGCTTTGGTCAAGATGACCAATGCCCCCTCTTTCAATTTTTAGGTGCGTCTTCCGCTTAGGAGGCCGCTGTGTCATATCGTAGACAAAGCCCTGACCCTCGTTAGAAACAACACAGAGAGTCCAGTGGGATAACTGGAACCCTCTAGTTTGGCAATCATGGGTCAATGTAGCGATGCGCCGGAACTCCCCACGCTTCGCACCTTCATGGTCTGTCTGCCAGACCTCAACGGAATCTCCTTCATCGTTGAACACGGCCATTCCATCCTGATACTCTAAATGTGCGTGTCGACAAACTCCTTCTCCCCCGCTATCTACCGAGGGAAGTCGCCAAAGAATACGGCCCGTGTCCATATCAGTGACGTTCAACCCGCCAGCATGGGAGGTGGAAATGAAAAAGCGACGCTTAAAGTCGGCCCGGAATCGCCAAACCGGGTCATTCCCGACCTGCACCACGGACTCATGGCTGACTGGACGCTGCGCGGCCCAGTTACGGGCTAACAGTGTCTGGCGTTTGCACAGATCTTTCCATGATGCGGTGCCTTCAAATAATTTGGCGAAGCTGTGGGTATCGGAGAGGAAGGAGAAATCGCGGACACCTCCAAGTGGCTGAGCAGTCTTGCTCTCAGATGTATAAATAGCGTCTTGGTGGGTAACGTCGATAAATCGGTGCCAGGCTTTAGAAGTCGCGGTCAGGGAAGCAAGAGTGGAGACGGGGCTAAATTGTAAGATTTGGAGGACGATCTCTGGGGGCAGGACGGTGAGAGGATCCGCCATGTGCAAGCTGACGGCCATGTTCTCGAATAGAAGCAATTGAAGATTGTTACAGGAAGTGAATTGGAGCGGTGGGGGTGAGTATTTTGTCGTTCTCCACTGGGTATACGATGACGTAGCCATCGTCAAACTATCCGTGGATGCGCACGGCGGACAGCCCTGGAAGGTGTTCCCTGCTAAATTTAAGCTTAAATTGTTGTTATATGCTCAGGTCTCAGTCCTCTGGGTCTCTAGTTGTCCTGCCAGTGGACGTCTCCCAACCGAACCTGCGCAGTATCCGCCTCATCTCAAGCTGTCTCATTCGCTCTTCCATGTGCTCAATGGACTCTTGCCGATCTCTGTACCGTTTTCTGAATCCCTTTACAAGAACCGGGATAATTTCCCATCCAAGGAACATCAAGAGGCCTGCAAATAGAGCAAATAGTTGATCTTCTTCGTTGATCGACTGTGGGGCACACGGCATAAAGAAACACGATTGAGATGCCTTAACACTGCGAGCCACATAAGTCATAACAACATACCAAGCACTCGCACAGGTGAGCATTATGCTCCAAAAGATTGGAGCAACGAGCACAAGTAGATAGATATACATTGGGGCGAGGGGTAGCAGTCCCAATAACCACTTTTCATTCCTGGTGGCCTCGAGCATCATCATCGAGAGTATGAGCATAACAACTGACACGTAAGCAATTCCACGGAAGAGGCTTGCTATCACCCTCGATGCTCTCATTTTCTTCACTGTTCGCTTCCTCAGGTCGATGATCATTGTGGGCATCATTGGTATGTTCAAATAGTCGAGCAGCCACACGGAGAATGGCACAATAAAATACGGAGTTCCAGCAGCAACTCGCAAGTTGAAGTCCCGGGCGCCGCCGTGCATTCCTTGCCAGTATAGTTCAGGCACATTCATGGTTCTGATAAGCCCCGAGGAACTCAGTAATGCGATGGAGGGCAATATCATTCCGAGTAGGAGTGTCCATAAACGATGGCGTTGAGTCTTCATAGTGATACAATATCTCATCGTCACGAGATATTGTATCGAGGCATGAAAGGTTCCCCAGAACGTGATGGTGAATGCTGCAGCAATCGATCCTTGCATGCTGTTCAAATCTGCATCGTAGGTCGGAGAGTCTTGTGGAATACCTTGAGCCAAGCGGATCCCACGTAAAAGTCCGACAGCGGCCCAGTTCGTGCCGAGCAAAAAGAGCCATGTGTTTGGATCAAATCTCTCTTCTGAGCCTCGAATAAACCGGACCCACGAGGCTACGATGGAAAGGAACCATGCTGCCCAGCTTCCTGGTCCATAAAATCCGCTCACGTTTCCGATACCGAGGACATCAGGGGGCCCAGTTGTGACGGATAAATAAACGAAAGAACTGTCATCGGATGCTTCCGTACTAGATGAGCGGGCTGCCTCGGGTGAGGCGCTTGTCTTGTCAGTAGACACGGTCACATCGGTGGCTAGGGCACTAGTGACCTCGCTAGACTCGATAATTGGTGTTGGATTTGGCAATGAAAGATCTCTTATTGTTTGAAGTGCAAGTGCGCATGTTGTGGATATGAAAAGCAACGACAACAGTACAGTTTTGCGAATCATCGCATGTGTTGCAAAGAAGGGACCGAGGATCTGAAACTGCACTTGGTGAAACCACTTCAACGTTTTGATTCTTCAGGTATCTATTCGAACTCAAGTCTGATCAGGATAGTCATACGTACTTGATGAGGTTCCCCGTCACACCTGGGCAGCTCTGGGCTGTGATGAGCATGTCAGCAGCCTCAGCCACCGACTAGCGCTGTAGCGTGGCCTTTGGGCCAAAACAGACCACAAGTCCACGAGTCTTCCTAATTCATGGTTCTTTCCGTATGGCTAGATCGGCAGGAGATTTCATTCACCCCCTTATGTTAAGTGACCCGATTGCAAGAACTGTTTCGCGTTTTCCCCATGAACACACCCCGCTCATAAGCCATGGAGAACGACGTCCTCAAAAAGTTCGCCGCGCTCGACCTCCACTACTTAATTATAGGTGGAGGCACAGCCGGGCTAGCTGTTGCTGCACGTCTGTCCGAAACCCCCGGATTCACGTAGGAGTCATCGAGGCTGGCCCCTCGGTCCTAAACGACGATGATAACGGGGCGATTAATATCCCTGGCCGGTATGGCGAAACCATTGGCTCCCAGTACGATTGGAAATTTGAAACAACCCCACAGCCAGGCCTGGGAGGAAGATCGCTGCCATGGCCACGGGGTCGGGTATTAGGGGGCACAAGTGCACTTAATTTCATGGCCTGGAATCGGGGTCATCGCAAAGACTATGATGCATGGGCGGAACTGGGAAACATCGGATGGGGATGGGATGACTTACTGTATGAGTGATCAGCCCTACAGGATCATGGATCTATCTTGAATGGCCCTGGTGAGTACGGTGCTGAACTATACCGTGCAGGCCTTTTTTCCACCGTAGCGAGAGGTTCCATCCACCGAGTGCCACCCATCAGAGACATTATCGATCTTCATACGATTCCCAAGCCAATGGAAGGGATGGCCCTGTGCATACAACTCATGTCAAGCAGTATGGTATCGCACATCAATATTGGCACGACACACTCAATGCTCTAGGGGTGCCGTCCAGACGCGATAGTTTGGCTGGCGATAATACAGGCGTTTGGAACATGCTCTGCAGCATTGATCCTGATCACCAGGAGCGCAGCTACTCTGCGTCTGCGTACTATTCACCTATTGCAGAACGCCCCAACTTGCATGTACTTACTGAAGCAACTGCTATGGAGATCCTGTTAGAATCAAAACAGGAAGAATGGCATGCAAGAGGGGCTCGAGTACGCTGGCGTGGAATGGAAGCCAGCATCAAGGCACAGAAAGAGGTAATTTTATGTGCCGGTAGCGTGCAGTCGCCGCAACTCTTAGAACTATCGGGTATTGGCAATCGGGACGTGTTGAAAGCTGCGGGAATTGAGTTGAAAGTCCACAGCGCCAATGTAGGAGAGAATTTGCAGGATCACATGAGTATGGAAGGTACCCAGTGCTCCTTGAATCTTGGCTGATGCTCCTAGTGACTGCCACCATTTTTGAGATCCCCTCTAGACTTCCCACCCGTGATGATATTCTCAATGACCCAGTCCAGCGGGAAGCTGCCGATCATGCTTATTATGCCTCTCAGACCGGGCCTTGGACTGTGATGCCCTGTTCTGTGGCATATTGTCCTCTTTCGCAAATCCTCTCGCCCGAGGAATGTACCGAACTACACACACAAGCCAAGGAGATAGCGCAAATGATAGGGCGCCCGCATGATGCTATTTTAGCTAGTCAGTTTGAGTCAGGCCATGCGTGTGGTCAGATAGAATATCTCTTCGATCTTGGCAACTGGAGCCCGCACTTCGTTTCTGAGCCTGGAAAGAAATACGCCACGATGTTGCAAATGCTGCAGTACCCTTTCTCGCGCGGGTCTATCCATATACCTCCTAGAAGCCATGAAGGCCATGGAAAGGCTACGATTGATGAAAAGCCCGTGATCGATCCGCAGTACCTTCTCGGGCCAGGCGAGATTGACAAGAAGGTCATAGCCAAAGCACTCAAGTGGGGAAATCGCATCTGCCAAACCGAGCCTTTGGCAAGCCTGATTCACAGTCGTGTCTTTCCTCCATCTGCTACGGGACAAGACTCGGAAGAAAGGATATGGGAAGAATTTGTCTCAAACTATACTGTCACCGACTGGCACCGTACGTTTCCCCTTCAAGACCCATGCTTTCGGCAAACAACTAAGACATATACAGCCGTTGGGACCTGTGCTATGGGGAATGCCGATGGCACTCACGCTGGGGTCGTCAATGAGAGACTACAGGTTCATGGGGTCCGGTCCCTGCGGGTTGCAGATGCTAGTATCATGCCATTGCAGGTTGGTGCGCATATCCAAGCCACTGTATATGCGATTGCCGAAAAGGGGGCAGCAATGATATTAGATGACTGTGACCTATTGGATCATCTTTGAATCACTTGAGAAACAATGACGCAGCTCAATGGTCATGTCAGTCCATTTTCTAGTAGTCATGTGTCAAGAGGAAGAAGCAGCTTTTACGGCATTGCGTCCATTCCCTATATCCAAATTACCGTGCTGATTCAGGAAATGATGCAGGGCTCCAGGGCTAAGGAATGATGATAGTGCAGTGTTGAATCAAAATGCACAGACGCTAGTAAAAATGAACCTCCACTTTCTCTGACAATACCCTTTAACCAAAGTTCCCATAGGACCTTGGAAGTGTCTCAACCTAGGCACCAAAGTTGACTGGAAGATCTCCGATCGCCAATTGCGGCATCAAGAGAGGACTCTCTCCCCCGTCCCCTCTGTGGATATTCTTCTCCTTCACTCAAGTTCCGAAAAGGGAAAAGCAACTCCAATGCCCTGATATTCCGGTGTGTGGGTTCCAACCTTTGAACAAGCACAGTACAGATCAATTCGCAATAGATTATGTCATCTCGCTCCTCGGGCTTCACCACACCCAGATATCCTCCCCTCAGCGGAACAAAAATATCCGCTGGACATCTTGGCGCATCAAAGTTACTTGCAATAATTGCCAGTTCTTTGGGCCCTGTTCCCTCTCCCGGCCCAAAGGCATAGTTTCTCACATCACCTGCTTCATCGAAGTCTGTTGCAATCGCCAATCTGGAGTAAACTCCCTCGGCGGTCGCAACATGTACACTATACCACGTTTCTTCGGTATTGGACCTGACGTATGTGCATGGTCCAAACAGCTCTCCGCCTGAGCAGACAACCAGCTCGGGACTTGTGATCACCAGTCCTTGCTCTGTGACACAACCGTCAAGCTGTTCTACATCACTCGAGTCAGCCATAGATTCGGAAGGGCCTGCACCGCCCAGGCTGGAGCTTGTAGACCGTAAGAAGGATCGAGGAGCCCATCGAAGGCCTTCAGTGTCCATCCTCTGGCTTTTGAGGGTTAATAAATTGAGAGGCACCTTGTGAAGCATAGTCCAGAATTTTTCCATGCGGGCCTCTGGCTTAGTTCTGGCCAGAACACCAACATTTAGATTGAGAAGAGCTCCAAGACACAGCGGTTCATCGGACATTACGCTAGTCTCTCGATCTGCCAGAGCATGGGCCACTGCTAGTAGTCGAGCCTTCAGACTAAGTCCTTGGAAAACGGGAAAGGGGAGTTGATGGTAAAGTTGGACAAGGGTTGGTAACATCGTTAAACGGGTCACAGTATCCGCTGATTTCTGAAGTTCAGCCATCTCGGCATCGAAATCATAGGCCCGGTTCGCGAATTGAATGTATAAGAACCGGGGTAGGACGCCTTCCTGGAAAGTCCAAAGTCTCCGGGTCCAACCACATGACAAGGTTTGGGTGAATCTCTCTAGCACAGAGATTTTGGATCCATCGGTGTTGCATAACCAGCTATCAAGAACAAGCACCGCAGTTGCCTTTTCATAAGTCGACCTCATCAGATCCATGGCAATATTTTGGGGCTCAGTCATTTTCAGCGCGTCGGGTGGTACACATATAGTATCAAGCCAGAAATAAACACATTTAGAGCATTTACCATCATTTAAGCCACGAATCAAATGGCTTAATCGGAGTAACTGACAGCGAGGAAGAGCATTTCGTTGGGGGTTTCCCAAGCCATCAGACCATACATGTGAGATAGCTACATAGGGAACATTTAGCTCTGTTCCATCATCAACATCTGCCTCCTGAAAAACGATTTCATCGTTCTGGTCATGTTCATCAATGGAAAGGATCAGAGGTAGTTTCCTTCTGGCGAGAATATCACCAAGTTGCTCTGAATTTGCCTGGACCTCTGTGCATCCGGAACATTGGTCTGTATGCTTGGTACGATAGTTCTCGTCGTTCAGTGGCTTAGATGCATGTTTCAAGTTGGTACATTGGTCATTATTCTCCTGTCTGAGCTCTCCTCTTTTGCGAATTTGGATCATTTGGTGATTCTCCTCCGATCGCGGGCGACGTATGTTGGCAAGGAAGAAAATGCTCGGAGTCGAGAAGCGACGGAAGATAGCAGACAAGTCAGATGCACACCAGCCATTCCAGCGCATCTGAGCCCACAACGGGCTCTTCACGGGTGGTAAAAAAGGTGAGCGGAGCCGCCTTTGTCTTCGACGGGCTGCGATCCTTGATAATGAAGCCAATTGAACATCATTTCGAAAAGGATAGTAGTGACCAGGACTATCATTGGTGACCGGGGATCCTGAATATTCAAGTTGGTAAGGCCGTCGATTAATGAAATCTTCGTATATCGTAGGTCTGGATCATTGGCATCGCTGGCATTCTTTACCCGCAAACTGAGTTGCAGATGCAGCAACGGAGCGTTTGAGAAAGCTTCCACTAATCTCAACGGCCCACTCTCTTTATTTAGGCTATCGAACAGGCCGGGGAGATGCTCCATGGTCAGGACTGGGACTGATGACTCTCCGTCATGACGAATAAATTTTTCAATCCTGGCTTCGCTGCCAAAGAGTCCATGTAGCATGCCAAACAGAAACCAGCGCTCCAGGAAGACCACGAAAGACCGAGGAGGATTATCGAATAACTTGATCCATTCTTCACGCCGGCGTGTACCCCAGCCCTGACTATCCGGATACTGTAAAAATTTGTCTCCATCATATTTGTATTCTGTTGGGTCGGGGATCTCAATGCGTGGGAGAGGGAGGAGGGGGTTCAACGGTAGGTGTAAAAAGTCCATGATGAAGAATTCCTGTCTGTTGATGGTTGACGAGGCAATATGGTACGCTTTTTTATCCTTTCATTGCGTGAATCCTTTCATTGCGTGAATCTTTCAACGAGGATTTGCTTTCAAACAGGCCGTATCTCCTTGTATTAGCCATGTCGATCATTCGCCGCACTTCTTGGTTGCCTCTTGCGAGAAAAGCAGCTGTTCATCACAGCCACAGTTCCCCCACCTTCCCAGTCACCAATCGGAGACTCCTTGGAGATTTAGATCTGTAAGAATGCCCAACGTTGGGCAGACTATCCTGGTCAAGTTCATCTTGCAGAGTGAGGCAAACTTCGAGGGTTCCAGATAAAGCCGGTGTCCCGAGTCAGGGTGTTATGGTCAGGACTCAGGATTTCTTTTCGATTATGATGGCTTCTGCAGCACAGATCCAACAAGGTAAATTCACTGTTAAATTATGGCTCGTTCAAAAATATCTCACCGCAGTGTCTCATAGACCCCAAGCCAGCAAACTCCAGTTGCCAGCTCCTCGAGACCTTTGGGAAAGAAGGACCCTCTTTGGAGTGCGAAATATGCCGGGCTAGAGTGTGTGGAAGGTGGGCGGCGGAAGCACACGCAGTGTCGACATCGCATACCCAATTTTTCGACGTTTCCGATGAGGTCACAACTCATCTCTCTCCTCAACAGACCTCAGTAAAGACTGCGGAATCCGCTGGGTTTGATTTTTGGGAACTATTTCCAGCTCTCATTGAAAATGCCCACTCTCCTACTGAAATTCTAACCCGGGGATTAGAACTGGAGGAAGAGGAAGAAGAAATCATGAGTAAACTGGGGTCCTTTGGAACCGACGTTGTGCAGGGAATAGAGACCTTTTCAGAGCTCGCCCGGGTGTTTCACAAAAAGGGCAAGGCGGGAGAGGCCGCGAGTCTGTATACGCGAGTCCTGGGGAAAGCAGAGCTGTCACTAGGATATGAAAGCCTTTATACTCTTGGGGCCCTTCTATCACTGGCGGAATTACTTCAAGGAGCAAGCAAATACGCGGAAGCCGAGAGAAAGTACAGGAGAGTACTTTGGATGTTTCAAAGATATCCAGAAATGGAAGATGATGATATGATTGAGTTAAGAGCTCGCCGAAACCTCGAAGCTCTCCTACTCGCACAGGGAAGACTGGATCCCGCCAGAAGTTGCCTTCGGGAGACGCTCTCCCGATATGAAAAATGATACGGGGCATCTCATTATCACATTCTTCTTAGTCGCCGGCAATTGGCTGTCATTCTTCAGGAACATGGGTCGTTTGAAGAAGCGGAAAAAGAATACAAACACACTCTGCGATTATCCGAGGCCGCCCTTGGTTTCGATCACCCAGAAACTCGTGTATGCGTTTATTATCTTTCCAAATTGCTGGAAAATCAGGGACGAACATTGGAAGCCGAGACTTTTTACAATCGGCTTGAGCAAGGAAAGCGCAAAGCAACTGAAAGAGGACCGAGTTTAATCCCGGAACATGCCGCTCGGCTTGCCGGTCAGTTCAGCAAAAGGGGCAAAGTTCGAGTGGCAGAGCAGTTTTACTGGATTGCAGCCGAAGCCTTTCAGCGAACCTTAGGGCTAGATGATCGCAAAACACTTTGCTGTCTGAATGATCTTGCCAATTCCTTGCAGATACAGCACAAATTACACGAAGCACGAAAGATACAAGAGTTTGTCTACTCCAGGTTTCTAATAGCCTTTGGAGCGGACGATGAAGATACTCTAAAGGCCACCTGCAATGTTGCAGATATATACCTTAGGGCAAAGGATGCCACAACAGCAGAGACCCTGTGTCGTCGTGCTACTACAGGACTTGCAAGGACTCTGGGAGCAGATCACCCGCTAACTTTCGAGGCAAGCTGGAACTTATACTTAAGCTTAAAGTATCAAGAAGAGCACGAGTTAGCGTCGGTAATGCTCAGAGATAAGCTGAGACATGCGAAGAAAGTTCTTGATAGCTCAAACTTGACATCCTCTGATCGAGCCCATATGGAAGGTTACTTCTTCAGACTGACAGAGGAATACGCCGCCGTGCAAGCTGGCGGGTTGGATAGGCCAGGTAATGATTTACTGTTGTGGTCTGATTGAGGATCTTCAAGTTCATATGTACCCAGGTACTACGCCCAGGTGTTCACCTGGGCATACATGTGCAGTTGGAATCTGCGTTCCGTATCTATCGGTGTAATTTTGACGTTATTCCATTTCACTCAAATTGACGGTCTAGAGTTTGTTATTACTGGCAAGATTAGCGTGACGTGATGACTTGGTGTCAATCCTAAACGTGAATAAGCACGAAGCGCTCTGATCGGAGATAATCGATATCCCCCCGCCCCCCACCTCTGAAGTACATACGGGCTATTGCATTTGAACACGCTTCCTCATGCAAGTACACCTGGGCAGTTCACACTGGCGTTTGCCACGTGTTCTCGATCAATTGGTTCTTATCTACAGAGTAGGAGGGCCGTGGCAGACATTTGCGGAATTGGTAGGACTCGAATTGTCTATAGCATCGCCACTAGCACCACTTGGACTAGTTCAAGTGCTAGTGCTCGTATTGCGATATCCCGAGGACATAACCCATAATTTCGAAGTGCGCATGTGTGCGAGGCTCACAGCGATCTTGTCAGACTAACAGCAGCAGGCGCCTTGGTGCTCTCAACTGACTGGGAACCCCGCCCCCTCTCAATCCCCCATACAACTGGTAGGAGGCACATCCCGGAGTGCTTCATTAGCCTACTCTTGAAGCATAATTACATGTTGGGATCGTGTAAGTTGTAACACTCCAACCTCTGCCTGGGCTTCATTCAACGCCGGAAACAACCCGTGAATTCACTCCGTGTTGGGAGAAGGGAAAACGATGACGAACCCAGCCCCTACATGGCCTCCAGGGTTAATATCCACTGTCGGTGGCTGTGCTGGGTGAAGATTAGTTGGAATCATCAGGCCTGGGCCCAGGTGAAACATTTGTATGGGGCCCTGTCACGTCACATTATCCTGCACCCTGAAGGAACGTGCGAGACTTTATATCTGTGAGCTGACCTCAAAATATTTGGTCATCTTCCAGTACAGTTTCAAGTTAGCAAACCACACAAACATCCACTTGGGTCATATTAGCTCATAGTGTATGTTCTCTGGTGTCACTTGTAAAATGTATCTAGACGTCTTGAAACATTGGTCCGCCTTCAAAATCGACGCTTTGGGTCTTGTCACTTTACTAGGTGTAGAGGCTGTCGATCGTGCCGTTGGGCGTCTCGTTCAAAACCCCTTCACCGACTGGTTGCCCCTTATGGGTGCATATACTATCGCCAGTGACCAGGTGGTAGAGCCCACTCCCGGCTTTACTTTATATAACATCACAGATGCGATCCTCGCCGCTGATCTAACGGGCTGGTTCACGCGCTGGATGCTGACCCAGGATCTCGCCTTTGCAACCACAACACTCACCCTGGTTACCACTAGCCCCCCCAATCACCATCGCCCATCGAGGAGATGGATCCTCCCGTTTACTATCGGGATCCTTATAGTCTCAGCACTGATCATCCTATCTATTTTAATAGAAGACTGGTGGGCACTGGTTGCCGGGTTATCTATGGGGGTCTCTGTGGTTGTTCGCCAGATCATTCTGGGCCAGAACCGATGGGCGATAGATCGGGCTGTGGCGATGACTAGAAATGAGCCTGACGAGATTTGCAAACTGTTTGTGACAATCCCAAATGGCAAGGCGGTCACTATCTATGCCCCCAGGCGTATTATCCAGGGGCCTCTTCTTACCACTCCCCGTCCCGCCTATCCCCGTATCTATCTGATAGCTCGGTACATCGGCTGGGCTGCATTTGGAGGCCTTGTGATCTCTCTTGGGATGGCCAGTCTACTGTGCCAGCCTTACTCCGTTGTGGTTCTCATCGTAGCCTCCACGGTGACGGTGAGGGGGATTGGCGATGACGAGCGCTTCATTGGCTCCGGATTGATGATCTTTAGCGAGACAAGTGGAGATCGAGATTCCAGGATGACGGCATATTTAAAGATGCAATTGAGCGAGAGTGAAGAGGCTACTATGCTCTTGTGGAGTTTGCTACCACAAAGGTCTAACGTTGCCTGGTGGGAAACATACTCCGAGGTGAAGAAGCTCTATACAGAAGAGTTTCTCAAGCGAGGAGAATGAATGTTGTTATTTAGACACCGGAAGAATACTTGTTGAAATGCTTCCTGATGCCTGACCCTTCAGGTAGAGACTTCCCTTTGACAGACTCTTTCGTTTGCTAGCTTTGAGTCAGTGAGGACCATAAAGTCCCAGTTTTTCCTAGCTCTGAGAATCATAGGTGTTCTCTCCTTCCTTCCTCCCTTCTGGATCTCCCTTTCTCGGTAGCCTCAACACATTAAAATCTAACACGTACAAACAGAGCGTCTGCATTTTCCGCTACGGCAGTCGCCAGTCTCGTTGGCGCGACTGTTGGACCAACTATTTCTTTCAGTCTTATGGAAGTCTTTTCCCCTTGGGTTCCAGCCTTCATGAGCTTCTTCGCCAATTTAGGGGTTCTAACCACCGCTCTTCTCTGTATCTGAGACGGAGACGTTATCAACTTCAAAGTAACACTCCAATCCAGAGCAAGATGATGCCGAGTCAGAAGGACTTCGTAACTTCCAATCGCACCTGTCTCAGTCCTCCATCTCCTCAGCTCCCCCATCGCCTCTCTGAAATCTCCTTCTGTGATTATTATCTGATCCGCATTTCTCACTGCCGCACTCGAAGCACTGGGTACTTCCCAATTCTTCGCACAGTACTCCGTACTCCGTACATAGCAGAAGGTTGTATAGGTGACGTCATTTCGGCTGTCACGTGGACATATGTGGAACTATCGACACGCACTTATTTCGCATTTATGTGCACGCATCACATTGTACGCACGCACTTGTCCAATGAGGCATCCAGGTCCGCGACATCGATGTTTCATTACAAACTTGGGCTAATTATACCTTGAATTTGATGGGGCTAATATGGGAGCCACCCCAGCAGATGAATCCGCCCATCAACAACATATTTTTACTCCAGCCCGTTGTACAACATACACCTACGCCAGCCGTAGTACGAGCTGGGTATGTAAACTCAATGATTCAACTACAGCGAGCACAGATAAAAACTCCTTCCATTTCACTTCGACAAAGCTAAACATACGACATTTCCGAAACAATAAATCACAGGGCCTAGTCATGCGATTTCAACTTCTTCATACGAACCTCCTTCCAGGCTTGAAGGGCCACAACCCCCAAGAACACCAAGAAAAGGATGATCAGGATAAATGTTCTCGCAACGATGGCGCATGTTTTCCGTTCATTCTCCTGCCTTTCTTTGCGTTCCCGCTGGCGGTCACATTCTGAGCAGTGGATGTGTTGATTTGGCTCAGTGCCCACAACGGCTCTCTCGAAGGGGATGGGCCCATTGTGATGGCGATGGCCCTGCTCCACGTCTCTGTGCTCATCGGCAGCGTCGGTTTGATTGACTATGGCGTACTAACCGTCCACATTGGTTAGTATCTTGATAGACTGACTGGGACGACTTCATCCCTAGACTCAGTTCTTTATTGGCGGATTCTACTTACGCCATTCCGTGAGCTTGCACCAGGTGCATGGAACAGTTCCTCGTAGGCCGGGGCTGGCTCTGTGGGGTTTGAGTTGCCCATGGTTGATGATACAGGCGTGGGTTGTGTTGGTGAAAGGAGATGGGCAGATCTGACGATCGATGGTGATGTGATATGTCAGAGTACTCCGTATATGTATATTATGTATGCAATGGGGCGCTAGGCAACAACCTCGTACATCAGATACGCCAAATCGCCGGTTTGACGGTTCTCATTCGCTGCTCACCCTCGATCTGTCCTAAAATAGCCTAGTGTCTCTAGTCTAGGAAGTAAGCAGTACACGGTTGTATACAAGATGTACTGCTTGTAGCACTTACTTTTACAAAGGCTGCGGACTGTAGATGATTGTACATGGTTGGTATCGTTTTGCCCAGGTGGCCTCCTGTCTATCTCAAATCACACCAGATCTTCCAGGGCGATGGTTTCTTCCCGCCCAACCACTTTGCTTTCATGTAAGATATCACCGCTATACTTCCCTCTTGGTGCTGCGGGGGTTAGGGAAAGGGTAAGTGTGTCTAGTTCAGCCAAGCCAGAAAGGATACATATGCGATCAATATTTCATAGAATAGGGATCTCTACGGAGTAGTTGAGGTTGCCATGTAGACCCAAGATTTGCCAGAGCCATAAGCCCGACTATCACACCTCAATTCAATCTCAGTTGGCAAATTTCAACTTTGTGATGACACGATTTGCTTATAGTCGGACACGAACTACGATGTCTACCTCGACAACCCAAGATATATCTAGATACATAGTGTAGACTGACGGGGTGCTAGATGGTAGAGAAAATGCGGAGGAAAGAGACACTCAAGTGCATTTTCACGGGTTTCCAGGATACCGGGAGTGCAATAGCTACAAATTGTTCCAAGACTCAACCGAATTGGCCAGACTGGTATTGTACATTGACAATAGCTACATACAGATACTACGACATGCTCAAAGCCCTCTGAGGGCGAACGGACAAGCCACAACTACTCTAGCGAGGGAACGACCATCGAATCACGACTCTTGACCTTGATCAATAAGACTAACAGAGCACCCAGGCTTTATCTCATTCTTCTTCCAAATTTTATATAGTAGACTAATATAAATGATGCCCAGCGCTGTAAGGACTGGGTCCACGATTGCTCAGCTGTCCCGGTACGTCTTTGGAAAGGAGTGCGAGGGCTGAGATATTTCCTATCAACCTTGGGATAGACAGTATTTCAGTCCGAAGATGAGCCCTATCTTCTCGCAATGGTTACCTACAACATCGAAATGCCCAGAGGTGGGTATCGCACAGGTATCCCAATCGGGAAAGGATTGAGGCTCAGAGTCGCGCTAAACCTAATTCGATCAGATCTCTACTCCACTGAGCCACTTGGTTGTCCTTTTTCACTTCGTTCGGTTGTTTATGCCATAGCAGAGTAGTTAGGCTATAAAGATGGTATCTCCCACTCCACTGGGGGGCTTTCCCTGCGAAATATTGCCGTTGAGTCGCCTTGTTTGTCGGAACTATGTTCATCTACAAGAAAATCAAGAGACGCAATGACGGAAAACGCCAAGAGCATGCAATATCAACCACACCCAATAACAATGCGATCCAAGGGTATACAACGATTGAGAGCTTAGAGCTTGACGAACGGAATAAAAAGAAGAAAACTCTTTCGCCAGAGAAAGCTGCTGAGAAGCGACGAAGGACTATATACCGCTGGAAGATAATCCTAGGATTGTTCGTTCCCTACTGCTTGCAAGCCCTAGATACAACGATTGTGGCTTCAGCATTGCCATTCATCGCAGAGGACTTCAGTATGTGGCATACTTCTTTTTTCATCCATGACAATAACCAACTAACGACAACCAGACCAACTCAAACAATTAAACTGGATCATCTCCGTATTCAACCTCACATCTGCGGCCTTCCTGTTCTTCTGGGCCCAGCTAACCGATCTCTTCGGCCGCCACATCGTTCTACAATCCGCAATCTTCATCATGATGATCGGCTCGGCAATTTGCACCGGCGCCCCAACATCAGCATTCAGCGTTCTCCTCCTCGGCCGCGCCCTCCAAGGTATCGGTGCCGCAGGGGTGAATATCTCCATCCGCACAATCCTCGCTGACCGCGTCTCCCTCTCCGAGTACACCCTCAACTGGACAATCTTCGCACTCATATCGGGCATCGGATACAGTATAGGCCCCGTTGTTGGTGGATATCTGACCCAGACGTCGTGGCGGTGGTGTTTCGCAATTAACCTGCCCATCGCGGTTGCAGCCATGCCGGTCGTGGCTCTTGTCTTGAGAAATGAGTTACAGGGTCCGCAACCTGTTCCCGAACTAGAGGGCGAAAGTATAACGACTCGCTCTGGTCGGTTGCTTGCCAGAATCTCGACCATCGATTACGGTGGCCAGATGCTTTTTCTCTGGGGATTTGGTCTGCTTATCCTTGCTTTTACCTGGGCTGGTGGTATCTACTCTTGGAAGTCTGCCGCTGTTCTGGCGCCGATGGTGATCGGTGGGATCCTGGCTATTGTTTGGATGATCTATGAGCGCTGCATGGAGCCGGGATTGGCGATGTCACGAATCTTTCCACGCCAGAAGGCAATGGTGCCATGGGAATTGCTGAAACAGCGCGATATATGCTTGCTCTTTTTGGTGAATTTCTCGGTTGGAGTATCCATGTTTGCTGTGATGTATTTCATGGATCTATACTTCGCGTTGGTGGAAGGAAAGCCTTCTAGTGATGCCGGGCTAGCGCTGCTGTATTTCCTCCCTGGCTTGGGTGGTAAGTTTACCTTTCTAACTCATGGCTCGATCTCAGCTAATCCGAACTCAACAGCGGGTCTGTACATGGCCATGTTCTCCTCGAACGTCTGGCCCCGCCAAACCTTCCCGGCTCTGCTCTTGGGCAGTATCACAACCGCAACGGGAATGACGGTGCTTGCGTGGGGTGTACACGCGGGCAGAACGAATGTGATCTACGGTATGATGGCGCTCGTCGGACACGGAGTCGGCATGCGTATGAATCCAGCTTCAATGCATGGACTAGCGTATTTTCCCGCGATGACGGCGCAAATCTCGTGTCTTGCTTCGTTTGCTGTTCCATTTGGAGGTTTGCTCGGGTTAACGATTATGTCGACAGTGTTTACCAATAAGAGCGGTGTTGACCAGCGTGATGCTCAGGATGGTATCATGTGGGCATTTATTGCCATGATGCCGTTCATGTGGTTTTCTGTGGTGATTACGACTTTCCTTGGTAATGTGTGGATTTTGAAGGACGGAGGCCATGAGGTTGTAAATAAGCCATATTTCTGGTGTTTGATATTTCGAAGAGACAATTTGAGGGAGAAGAGGGATCGTGGGGAACAGGTGGATGATTCTGGGAGGACAAGGGACGTCGAGGCAACACCTGAGGGAGGTAGCCGATAGCCGGCCTGATACGCTACTTTAGATTCATATACAAGCAATGGCAAACCTTGAGCACGTTCATCTGAAGATTCCAAGTTCAGGTTGTAATTCTATATATTAAAGACTTTTGCAAAGGTACGATCTCTCATCTCGGTAGTAAAAGAGAAGTAATGAATGGAAAGAAGAACCCCAGAACACCAAAAACACTTTTTCAAGTCACAATAACCTCAGTGGTTTTGACAATCCCATCCTTTTCCTCGCATTCCTGCATCTGCCGTGAATTATCCGTCGAAAACCATTTCTTATGACGTGTCGTTGTGATATCACAATCCGACGCAAACTCGTCCTCGCGATCGTTTATCGACTCTCGACTCCCCAGCTCCTGGAGTGCATATTGATCGCCCCGATGGATAGACCAGATGTGGTTACTGTTGCCTGTCGTGGTTGGCACGCTGGTCCCTTTCGCAGTTTTCGTGCGAAGAGATCGCATGCGACTGTCATAGCGACTGCCGAAGCGACCCCGGGCTCGGGTGGAGCTTGCGTATTCGGAAAGGCTTAGTATCTTGCTTGCGAGAGGCTTGAGGGAGGGGATGCAAGCGGCTAGGATTCCGGTGTTGAATTGTGTCCTGTTTGGATAAGAATTAGTTACTGGCACATGTAGACAGTGGAAGGGATGGGGGTTCTCACAATGCCCAGAATAGAATCCAGTCGTTCCTAATTAGATGTAAGCGTTGGCAAAGAGTTGGGCTTGACGGATAAACATACAGGTAAGTGTCTTTGCTCGCCGCATATGCGATCTGATAGACGGATTTCACGACACCAAAGATGACAGCCCTATGAGATGAGATTAGTTTGCTTGTAACATATAGCGATTGGAAGGGCCACTAACACATAACCCAGGCTAAGAATGCCGATGAGATATAAACGCACTTTGGGTGCCATCTTGAGCGTCCAGATAATTGGTATAGGAATCGACGAGAAAAGAACGTCGGTGAAGATATTGAAGCCTGTAAAGAAGAGACCAATGTCAGTCCGTTATTCCATCTACCCATGGCGAGGGAGGTCATACCAGTATTGACAAGGCCGAAAGTGACAAACAGGTCTATTGAATAGCAACGAGCATCTGGAGAATGAGTCCAATAGCCAGACATTGGTGTGCAATAAAGGAAAAAGGCCATGGCGCCCATGAAGCAATAGGCGATGACAATCACTTGACAACCCGATCTGTCAGCGAACTGCAGTTTAAAATGCGCTGTGGTATATTCGGGTCCTCAGGAACTTCTGTCACCTACCGATGCTTGCCCAAAGACACCACACATACCACCGGGCCGGGCTCAGTCTTAACAAGTTCAAGGCGATTGAAACTTTGAGCATCGCCATCCCCAATGCGGAGTCGATGATGACCTGCCAGAAGGAGCCCTGTGCCACTTTTGTTGAATCGCCGTTTCCTGCGGCGAACCACGCATCAGTATGTCCCAGCCCGTGAACACCCCGAAAGATCCAAAGGATCCAACCGGCCAAAGTGCACAACTATTCAATCCGTACGTTAGCATGTCAACTTAAGCTACCTCGTGGCCCATGGGTCGCGCGATCTTAGTCTTGTGCGCTAGTTTGATACACCATCCACACTTGACACAAGCATCCCCAACCCCGAGGCAAGAAGAGTCCGGGAACAAGAGACATACCGCGGCAATCAACATGGTCCAGTCATCGGCAGCAGTATTATTGATCAATTTGATCCGGACATAGAGACGCAGTGCCACAGCCGTGAGAGCCAGAACTGTGAGCACAGTCTGCACGGCCAGAATTCGAGGCAGATGGTTCTGCCAGTTCAGTTCTGTGACTGCATTCTCGGCCATGGTCTGTTCGCGTGCTCAACCCACTCACAACGTGGGGAAGCTCAAACAGGAACTGCGATCGACAGCGATTTAACACAGATCGATTACGGAGTACATGCTCCTATCCACGTGTGGTCTGTGAATATGGAGTAAATCATAGCTGGTCTTTTTTTGTTCTTTACTTTTTTTCCCTCATTTTTCCCTATTTTTCCCGTATTTTTCTATTAATTTGACCCCTCTACTCCGTACTCCGTACAAGATCCTCCGTACGGAGTGTTCCGTAGTGGATAAGTTATTCCCGAGGCTCTGGTGGCGCCATGTGGCATGGTATGCAAGATTCCAGGTTTTATCCAGAATTGTGCTTCGAAGGATTCTGGATTCTTCGGAATTTTAGGCAAAATCCTTGCTGCATTAGCGGCATTTGGGCTGATTGGCAGGTTGTTTTTAGGTGCCACTATGGTTGCGGCGTGGTATATTTAGGACCACTTGTCCCTTCGGATCGGGAGGAACTGGGGTCTGGTTTACCCAGTCTCTTTGTCTCAGGAAGATACCCCAGTTACATAAATCAACCTATATTCTCCAGGTTAAACCCTGTAGAACTGATCGCTGGGTCACGCTGGGCCTCGGCTTCGGCCCCCAACGGGTAAGTTACTAGCTGCAGCCACAACGACTAGGATGCTCAGAGGCGTTTTTCGCTAATTTAGTCTGGGATTAGCCTGTCAAGAGGAAAAAAGTTTCATTTGAACCTTTGCATCTGAACTCCATACTCATTTTACAGCAGTGGATATACTATCGTGCCATGCTGTTCCACGAGCGTCCAGATCTCATATCGTCTGGGCAATGCTCTTGGTCAGAGGCGAACTATTGGCCATTGTTTCAGAAGCATATCGAGCCCTGAAACGTACACCAATCAGTATGAACAATTATATTGTTCTCATTTCGTTTGGGCTGAATGCTGGCCTCTCGTTTGCTGGATGTCCGGATGCTCGTTTCCGCCGCCTTGAGCCCCACTGTCTCTTGATGCTAACGATATGAACAATACAGAGTATGAACGGAATACGGAGTCGGATGCAGTGATTCGGAATATCTGCCGAGTCGTTGAACTGCCGGTGGCTTTAGGCGCTTCTTTTGCTTTCCTTCGCATTCATTTGCCGAAGGATGTTGAATAGGGGGCAATCCTTCAAGCACTTTAATTACTGATCCCTGTCCAAAAGCTACTCGTCTTCTGGAACAATATCACTTTTATTCTCCAGTAATAATCCTTGCTTTTTCTTCATCATGGTGCCTTCTCTGGCATCTATGGCCCTGGGCCTATGCTCTGTCTTGCCATTGGTCTCGGCCACCACTTTGCCAGACATCATCTACCGCGATGTCGTCGTGATTGGCGGAGGTGCTTCTGGTGCCTACGCTGCTGTGCGCATGCGTGATGACTTCGGCAAGAGCATCGCTTTGATCGAGAAGGAAGAAAACCTGGTATGTTACCGTCCCCTCTGTGAACGCCAAGCTTCAAGCGCAGAGAACAGGGCTAATGCTTGTAATGCAGGGTGGTATGGTGAACACCTACGTTGGCGAGTCTGGCGCTACCTTTGACTATGGTGTCCAGACCTTCCTGAACAAGAGCAAGGCCGCCGATTTCTTTGCTCGCTTCAACGTCCCCGTTGGCTCTGGCTCAAGCAGTCTTTCTCTGACCACTGACTACATCGACTTCAACACCGGAGCGTCCGTTGACTTCACGCCTCCTGCTATCGGCAAGCAGATTGCGGCTATTGCCAAGTTCTTTGAAATCATCGAGCCCTGGGAATCGATGCTGAGCCCTGGCTACTGGAACTTCCCCGAGCCCAGCGATATTCCCGAGGACCTGCTCATTCCCTTCGGAGAATTCCTGACCAAGCACGGTCTCGAGGATGCCACTCCTATCATGTACGCCTCCACCGGTCTCGGCGTCGGCAACATGGCCGAAGTCGAAACCATCTGGGTGCTTCAGAGCTTCGGCTGGGATATGGCCCGCGCTCTGACCGGCCAAATGGGCATGTTCGCCCCTACCTCCGGCGGCAACCAGGCTCTCTACGACGCCGTCGCCGAAGACCTCGGCGACGACGTCCTCTACACAAGCACTGTGATCGACAGCCACCGCACCGAATTCGGCGTCTTCCTCACCGTCCGCAACCACAAGACCGGCAAGATCACCCTGATCATTGCTCGCCGTCTTCTCGTCGCCATCGAGCCCACCGACGACAACGTCAAGCCCCTTGACCTCAGCGCCTTCGAGAAGAAGACTCTGGCCAAGTTCACCTACTCCAACGAGTTCACCGGCCTGGTCTCCAACTCCGGCTTCAACACTAGCTTCACTTACTCCAACCTCCCCTCCGCTGCTGCCCCCGACAACACCCTCGTCTTCCAGGACGAGCCCATGGTCTCTAGCTTCGAGTACACCGGTCTCGAGCACCTCTTCCGCGTCATGGTCATCGGTAACACCACCACCACCGCCGACGAAGCCAAGGCCCTTGCCCAGGAGAACTTCAACACCCTCCTGAAATCCGGCCAGCTGGATGAGTCCACGGTCGAGGAGCTGAACTGGGCTGCGTTCTCCGTCCACGGCGCCATGCACGCCCGTGTCACCAATGACCAGCTCAAGGGCGGCTTCTTCCAGGATCTGTACAAGCTGCAGGGAGCCCGCTCCACCTGGTGGACTGGCGGTGCCTTCGCCGCGAACTTCCAGACCCAGCTCTGGGAGTTCGACGAGGGTCTCATCCCCAAGATTCTCGAGGGTCTGTGAACAAGGATGTCGCGTTCATTAGAATTGTAGATACCTTTGATTCCGCAGTTCGCTTTCGGACTGCTGTATGTATAAGAATTTCAGTTGGCAAATATTGCCCTTTCAAGTATATTTTCTGTAACATCTATTCAAACGAAATCGATAGGACAGTAAGAAGACCACGGTACCCAAGTGATCTTCACACGGCTGAACACCTCACGATATCCACCTTCTGGCCCCCGATATACACAGCCAAGACGGCCCCCCTCAACCCCCATTGCTATGACATCAAGATCGATGTTCTAGCAACTACGCGTTTCGCATGAATGATTCCCGGGTATGGTATTCACGTTCCTGTATACGCTATTACCCCAGCTATCTCGCCCTTTCAAGCTCTTTGGAATTATAAACCGCAACTACAACACCAGCAGCTAACAATGTTCCCTTGCCAGATATCAAATCCAGCCCCCGACGACATGTTTACCTGGCTAAAAGGCCTCATCGGCTCGAAACCAGAGCCAGCGCCCTCAGAACCCTCTGAAACAACTCAGCCGAAACACAAGAAATCGTACAGCCGAGCACATAGCAAGCGAGTCCGCGAACGCGAACGCGATCTGCGACGGGAATGGACAGGCCAGAAGGGCGGGTGGAAGAAGGTCTCTAGCAAAGGAGGCTATGTAGTCGGCGGTGTCTGTTGATATTTCGAATTCTAAAGTCTGCTACGGACATACAATTCTACAGTTCTGTGATTCGGGAGGAAATGAATCTTAATATTGTTGAAAGACATAGTCCTGTATAAAATCCGAAACCAAAACAGAAAACACCATGTGAATCTTGTGGGGAAAAAGAGAATTTAAAATATAGAGAAGGACAATAAACATCAAGTCATAAATACTTCAAGCCTAAGCAGAAGCCAGGTACTTGAGGACACTCTCGCGCTCCTCAACAGGGAGCATGGAAAGAACTTGCTGCACACCGCGCAGACCACCCTCCTTGTTACCGATGAGCAGCTGGGCGACTTCGGACGCAACGCCCTCAGTGCGCAGCGACTCAACCTTGCTCTGGACGAGCTTCTTGTTCTCCTCGTACCAGGAAGCGACCTTCTGGTCGTCGTGCTCGAGCTCCTCATCCAGCATGCCAGTCCAGGCGTGGAGAGTGCGCAGGTGATCGGCGCGGGACTCGGAGTCGGCCTGGACACCGGCGGAAGCGGAGGCAGCGACCATGCGCTTGACGATCATGTCCTCGCTCAAACGGCGGCGCAGACGCCAGTAGAAGAAGCGACGAGAGTTGATCCATTGCAGAGGGCGGCGAATGGTGTTCTTGGCCTGCATGCGGCCGGCGCGATCGTGCAGATCGGCGAATTGCAGTGCAATCTGCATGTACACGGGCAGAAGCTGCTCCTCGCGGGCGGCCATCTGTGCCTTGACCTCGGCGAGCTGCTCCTTGGTGAGGGAGGTGTCGTTGAGGGAGCGGCGGAGGTTGCCGTAGGTGGCGTCCAGACGGGCCATGGTGTCGAGCTGCTTGTCGCGGCGGTACTTAATGCCAACGATACCTTCGGGCTCGAGGACACCACCGCGGGACTCCTCGTCGGCGTACATCTCCATCTGGTCGGGGTTGATGGTGGGGTCGACGACGACCCAGGATCCACCGCGGAGCTCGCCGTGGGGAGGAATGTACACGAAGATGGGCTGCTCGTACTTAACGAGGGCGTCGACGATGTACGAACCGTACTTGAGGACCTCGTTGTACATATCACGCTGACCACCGGAGAAACCTCTCCAGTTAGCCAGGATCATGACGGGCAGTTGTTCACCGTTGTTGAAGTCGCGCAGAGCCTGGGCGGTCTTGTAGGCAGAGTTGGGGTACCAAACACCACCAGCCTCGTTGGTGATCATCTCAATAGAGTCGGGGTTGGCGGGATCGGCAGGAGTAACGTTCTCGACTGAGCGAGTCTCGACAGCGATGACACCCATGGGGATACCGCCGAGACGGGCACGACCGACAACAACGGTGCGAGCCCAGCCACCAAGAGCCTCCTCGAAGGAGTCCTTGTCGAACAGACCGGGGAGGAAGCCGTCGACGTCCTCCTTACCGGCGATGGCCCATCTCACATCATAGGGCTGCTTGGGGGGAGGGAAGTAGCCAACGTCACGGTCCCAGTTATCGGACCAGGGACGAATGGGGATGGCGGCGTTCTTCTTGTCGGGGACGAAAGACATCCACTCAACAATCTTCTGAACACCCTCGAAGTCATCGGTGGCAGTCATGTGAGAAACACCGTTCTTGTACATGATCTGGGTGCCACCAAGCTGGAGGTTGGAGGTGTAGACCTCGCGACCGAGCAGCTTGTTGATGGCAGGGGCACCGGTGAGGATGATGGGCTGGCCCTCAACCTGGATGGCACGCTGACCGAGACGGACAAGGTAGGCACCGATACCGACGGAGCGGCAGGTGACGAGGGTGATGGTGAAGATGTCCTCGTAAGCCTTGGAGGTAGCCCCGGCAATGAGACCGGAGCCCTTCAGACACTCGACACCGAGACCATCCTTGGCACCGATGACAGTGGTGATCTTGTGGCGCTCCTCACCCTCATCGGTGATGAGCTCAGTGATGACCTCCTTCTTCTTGCTGGCATCGAAGCGCTCCTTGACCTCAGGGGTGAGGTAAAGGTACTTGAAGCCGGCCTCGGGCTTCTCGGGGTTGTTCCAGGCAACCGAGAAGTAGGGAATCAGCTCGTCGGCCATACCGATGCGAGCACCGGAGTTAGCAGACAAGTAGATACGGGGGATACCCAGCTTGCGGGCGAGCTCAGTGCACTTGTGGAAGAACTTATCTTCCTGAGGACCGAAGGAACCAATCTGGAAGGTGATGTCATTGGCGACAATGATGAAACGTCTGCCGCGGGGGGTACTCAGGAGTACGGGCAGTGACGATCCAGCCAACCATACCGTGGGTGTTGGTACCGGGCTCGCGAGACACCTCGACGAGGCTGTCGGTGTCATCGAGAACGAGCTCGTTGTAGTCAATGCACTCTCCAACAGGAGGGCGCTTCTCGTACAAGGAAGGAATGGTCTCGGCAACCTTGGTCCAGCTGTTCTGGAAGGCCTGGCGGAAGAGCTCGGGGAAATCGTAGACGTACTGAGTTCCCATCAAGTGAGCCTTGTAGCGCTTGGGCTGCAGCCACTCCTTGGTCGGGTAGGGGGTGGCCACAGGGCGCATGTGCATAGAGCCCAGCTTGGTAGTACCACCAATGCTCTGGAAGATCCACTCGCCCTTCTCGGACTTGCGCTCAATGTACAGCTCAACGTTGATAATGAAACCGTAGGTGTTGCTGATGATCACACGCAGAGGGTAGGGCATGCCGGTCGTGGGGTCGGTGCAGAGGATGCGGATCTCGGCGCCAGTGACACGGAGGCGCCACAGACGGCGACCGAAACGGTCGAGGAAGCCAGCAAGAGCCTGTTCGACATCATCGGGCTGGAGGTTGAAGACGGGGGAGAAGTTAATGAAGATGTGGTTCAGATCGGAGTTGTTGTTTCCGATAATCTCCAGGGCATCCAGGATGTCGTTCATGAGACGGTCAGCCTCCGAGATCAGGTACTCAGCGGTGGGGATGTCGTCACGCAGGCGGCCGGGGCGAACCACGGCACGGATGAAGTAGCGCTTATCGATAGCCTTGTCGTTCTCAGGTCCCTTGCCCATAGCCTCGTAAACATGAATGTTACGGTTCTCGGTGAATACGGGCTTGATGTTGAACTTGGACAGACGGCTGAGCTCCAGCTGGAAGGCAAGAGCAGGCTCGCTGTGACGGATACTCAGATCCTCCTCGTAGTTGGGACCACGGAAGGTGAAGTAACCGGGGTAGACTCCTTGCTTGCCGCAAATGAAGGTAACACGACGGATACGGCGGGCAACGAGGTCCTCCTTGTTGTCAGCGAGCAACTGCTTCATCTGTCCAACAAGCTCGTTGTCGTCCATGTCCTCAATGTCGCGGATGGCGATGTTGCAAACACCGGTGAGCTCGTTATCGCTCTCGGGCTTGGGAGTGGGGCGACGCTTGCCCTCGAGGCTGGCAATGAGGCCGTGCTCGCCGGAACGCTTGGCGTTGGAGCCGCCGAGAGGGAAGGCCTCAAGAGCCTTGGAGAGTATCTCCTCGGCATCTTCCAAGTATTGAACGGGGATGATAACACCCTTGCGGATGGGATCACTGTCGTTGCCGAAAGCAGACATATCGCTAATGGAGTTGATCCGCTTGAAGGGGTTGATCTCGGAAATCGGGGTGCCAGGGGCGGAAGGCTGAGTGGAGGAGAGAACACCGAACTCAGACTGGCCGAGCTTGCCAAGGGTGAAGTCCCAAGTCAGGAAAGGCTGCTCCGAGGAGGCGTGGTACTTGATACCCTTGAGAGTGTAGGCGCGGTAGGCACGGCGCACGTAGACCTCCAGAGAGGCAAGGGTAACCCAGGGGTCGTTGTGAACGAAGAAGCGAGGAAGAACATCGAAGACAGTGTACTTAGAGTCCACGACCTCCTTCAGGACATCGAAGGAAGGCTCACGGTGCTCCCAGCCGGTCTCACCGTAGCGAGACTCAACAACGGAAGAGCGCAGGATGTGCTCCATCTGGGACAGGCGCTCGTCCAGGGAGGGCATAGCGCACTGGATGAGAACCTCACGGGCCTTGAGGGTGACCTTGGCGGAAGAACGAGCCTCGAGCTCAGTCAGTTTCTTGAGGATAGGCTTGAAGTGGGCGCCAACATTCTCGAGGTGAGGCTGGTTGGGACGGTACATGTCCAAAATGGCCAAAACCAGGTTGTTCTTGGAGCCGATACGGCTGTGCGAGAGGACGGTGTGGACAATGCTGGTGATATCGTCCTTGTTCTCCTCACGGAGCTTAAGAATGACATCCTCGTCGCGGAAGTTGTGGGTGGAGAACAGCTTCTCGACGTTGTAGTACTGCTCAAGCAGACCAATGAAGACATTGTACTCGTTGGTCTTCAAGCCATCAATGTACTTGTTGATGACCTGGACCAAAGGCAGGAGGGTAGCCTTGAGAATCTCAGCATCAGCAGGGCCGATGTTCTCCTCGATGAAGCGAGAGATGGCCTTCTGAAGCTGCTTGGCAGGGAACTCAGCCTTACGAGCCTTGGCACGATCAACCACGTTCTCCAGCTGAGCGTCCAGTCTCTGGGGAATGCGAGAGTGCAGGGCGGAGGATTGCGAGTTCCATTCTCCGTAAGGAAGGTCGGGATTGCGCAGAACCTCAACAAGATCCTTCAAGGTGGTGCTCATGATGACCTGGTTGTCGAAACCCCGAAGGATATTCTCCAAAATGCCGTGGAGCAAGAAGAACCGCTGGGAGGGTTTGTTGCCGAGAACCGTGGGCGACCCAAGCTCAGGCAGCTGGCCAGTGAAGGGCTGCGCGTGCTTGACACGGGAGGGGTCATCCAAGGCAAGGATACCGAGGATGTCACCGGCCTCAAGGGTAGCACCGGGCTGCTTGATGAGCTGCACAATACCATCCTCGTTGGCAATGAGGGGCATGTACATCTTCATGACCTCAACCTCAGCGTAAGATTGACCAGCACGGACGTGCTCGCCGTTCTCAACGGTGAACTTGACAAGCTTACCGGGAGAGGGAGAACGAAGCTGGGTAGGATCGTTCTCCTGCTCCAACAGGCAAGTTTTGCCATCAACGCTGAGACGGGTGGCAGCAGCCTCCTCCTTCCAGTAGACGTTGTGACTGCGACCGCTGAGCAGAACAAGAAGACCACCATCGGCTAAGGCACGAACACCAACAGAGCACTTGGAGCCGTTGATGAAGAGGTGGTAGCTGTCCAAGCTGGCACGAGTGGCGGTGAACTTGTAGCGCTCGCCCTCGTAGATGAAGTCAACGGGGAAGACAGTCTTCAAGATATCCTTGGAAGGGACCTGGCCCTTTCCGAGACTGTTACGGTACTCCTCAATACCGGCCTCGCTAGCGAGGTGAGCCTTGGTGACGGCACCACAGATGATGGCGACGTTCTGATCGGGGCGCTCAGCAGTCAACTTGTTGGAAATAAGCTGGTCGAGCCATCCAGTGGTGATGGTGTTGTCCTCGAAAGCGGGGGTCTCCAGAAGCTTGATGAGGTACTCGACGGTGGTACGGAAATCACCACGAATGCTCAACTCCTTAAGAGCAACAACCATGTGTTTGCGGGAAGCGGATCGGTTCTCGCCGTAGGCGAAAATGTGACCGAACTGACTGTCGGAGAAACTGTGGATACCACCAGCAGTACCGACAGAGAAGTAACCCCAGACGTTAGAAGAACTACGGAAGTTCAGCTCGTGCATGGTACCGCTGGAAGGCTTGAAACCCTCGCCAGGATCCTCGGAAGTGATACGACAAGCAGTGGTGTGGCCCTTGGGCTGAGGACGGCGCTGAGTCTGGAAGCTCTCCTCCTTGGAGAAGTCGAAGTCAATCTCAGCAGCAGTGTTGGGATCAACACCGTAGAGGAGACGAATGTCACGAATGCGGTGCAGAGGGATACCCATGGCAATCTGGAGCTGGGCAGCGGGCAGGTTGACACCGGAAACCATCTCGGTGGTGGGATGCTCGACCTGCAGACGGGGGTTCAACTCGAGGAAGTAGAACTTGTCATCGGAGTGCGAGTAGAGGTACTCGACGGTACCGGCCGAAACGTATCCCACCAGGCGACCGAGGCTGACAGCGGCACGCTCCATAGCCTGGAAAGTGGGCTGCTTAGCAATGGTCACAGGAGCCTCCTCGATAATCTTCTGGTGGCGACGCTGAACGGAACAATCACGACCGAAGAGAGAGATGTTGTTGCCGTACTGATCAGCCAGCAATTGCACCTCCAAGTGGCGAGCATTACCGGCCAACTTCATGATGAAGATAGGTGATCCAGGAATCTCGTTAGCGGCGGCGTTGTACAGAGCAAAGAACTCCTCCTCGTTCTCGACCTTGCGAATACCCTTACCACCACCACCTTCGGAAGCCTTGACCATGACGGGGAACCCAATTTCCTTCGCCTTGGCCAAACCCTCCTCTGGGGAGAAAGTGCAGCCCTTGTTATAGATCTCGTCCTCGACTGTCACGATACCGTTGTCATCAACCTTGACTTCGTCAACACCGGTTCCAGACCAGGGAATGCAAGGAACACCGGCATGCTGTGCAACAATGGTAGAAGAAATCTTGTCACCGAGTGAGCGCATAGCCGAAGCCGGGGGTCCAATGAAGATAATCTTCTTTGGTGACGCAGCGAGAGATTCGGGTAACCGAGGGTTTTCGGAAGCGTGACCCCTACACAAGGAGCATCAGTATTCCATTTCTCACGATCTAACCCCCCAAAATCACTTACCATCCTGCCCACACGGCGTGAACATCCATACGCTCCGCAACATCGACAATCAACTCGACGTTGGCATAATTATTATTATTGGTTCCACCGGGAACCTCGACATACTGGTCGGCCATGCGAATATAGTCGGCGTTGGCGTGTAGATCCTCGGGCGTGGCCATCACCGTGAATTGGATGGCCCGCTCGTTGCCAAAGGTCTCGTAAGCCCATTTCCGCACTGAACGGATCTCTTTGACAGCGGCGATACCGTTGTTGGCAATAAGCACCTATTTGGAGAATAGCAGAAAGAATCAGTCCCAGTTCTCAATTGCGCACAAATTGCAGTCAATCGGTTTGGCTTACCGAGGTAATGACTGAGTGACCATCGTGAGCGGCCACGAAATCCTTCACAGCGCTAGGAGGTGCTGATTCGAGGGCGTTGCCACCGATGAAATGTGAAGGAAGGTCCTGTTTGCTGATGGTCGAGCTGCCGGTGACCGGCGCGTTTCCATTTGTGGCGCCCATGATGTAGTGATCACAGGTCCGACTCCGTTGTAAGAATTGAAGTTCTGAATCGCAAATGCAAATGCAATAGCGCTGATTAAAAGTCGGTAATGTACAATGTTGGGAGTGGCGGAGCCCGAGTGGCAGAAAAAAAGGGAATCAGGTAAAGAGGGAAGAGAAAGCCGGAGCGAAAGAGATGTGTCAGGAATGAGCTCTGAGAGGAAAAAATAGGGCGTCAGCAATGAGAAATTAGTCGCAACAGATAACGCCAAATGCGGTATTCCTCCTTCGCAAACAGCCAACTTACCGGGAACCACCCCAAAAAAAATAAGAGTCTAATACAAGAGATTGAAGAGATTCCGAACGGTCAATTAATGAAGTCCAGGGGAGAAAATTGCTGAGATGATTTTCGGGAGTCCCACCAAGGAGGATCCCAACTGATGGTTGCCCTTCAGGGGACTGTGCCGGATGTACCCCTCCATAGTAAATAGTATGGCGAGGTACTTCCCAGGAACGGGCTCCCCCAACTCCCTGGCTTTGTTGGGCCGGTTCCACTGCAGTCTGCGCCCACCACTTCTGCCGCGTTCCATCGTCTTTGGGGGTTTGGGGCTATATTCTGGTCATTCGAGTTCTTTTCTATACGATGCCCAAATCAGTCTCACTAGGACAATTACAGAAAGTCGAGGATCAACTACTCCCGTACCACATCTAACGTCCATCAGACCACATAAGCATCTATGTTCCCACGAGTCCCGGGCCCTTCGGCAGCCAACTCGGAGGGTTTTTCTCGGCGATTAGTTAATAGACACAGCATATTCGGGTCCCGAACGTTAGCGCTGTACATCAATCAGCCTAGGGCTGTCTGTTATTTTTTTGGTTATTTTTTTTTGGTTTTTCTTCTCTTTTGCGATGTAAGAAATAGATACACAGGGAGGATGGGTCCATATATACCCGTGCTTCGATTCCTACTAAATTGCTACCGAGATAGGTCGTAGGTAAACAGGGTTAAACTACCAATCTTCAGGCCATATGCAGTCGAGGATCAAATTAATATGGATGCTCCACGTCACCGCCAAGCGCGACGATGGCGCTCACGCTATTCCCATTCGACTGGTCTGCAGGATTCAACACGATCCCCGTAGATGCGAAAAAAATGGATCGCCAATCAGAGGCCGCGTCGTCCTCAACCCATTCCCGAGATCTACGCCACACCCAACCCTACGTCAATTTAAACAGGCAACTTATAATTGGAGCATAACATCGTGGGTATTATTGAATATTGAAATGACAACCGCTGAGACACAGCTTAGGACGCCCCCGGAATCCACCGGGGGCCACATTCACACACAATCGAGCCAGGCCTGGCTGGTCCGAGACAAATCAACAGGCAAATAAAAGACTGTACAAGAACTAAGCCTTGCAGGACAACCCTGGTAGAGGCAGTCGATCAAGGTCAAGGCATGTAAAAGTAAAAACCGTTGAAAAGGGACCCCCTACGCGAAGAACCAATCGGTTCACTGAACCCTCCCATGCGAATCTCAGAACGCAGATCAAAAGGTCTCCCCCAGGTCGCTGACTTGGGGTTTGCGGCTGGGCGGTGGCATCGAACCAGGTCCGATACTCGTCTTGAAACTTCGCGGAGCTGGGATGCCACTGGGGGTGCGCTTCTTCAATCCAGGAGTGGGGGTGGTCGAGACCGATGGTCGCCGAATATCCTGAGGGGGGCGGGAGGTCGTGGGCGTGGGAATATCTTTATCCTCATCAATAAGCGACATGCCAGCGATGTTAGGGAGTTGGCCGGCGTGGTTGCTGAGAGAAGATCGAGGCCGCCGTCCTTCCGTCATAGGGTTCGTGGAGTAGTGACCCAAGGGGGTTTTGGCTCCAGGACGACTGGAACGACTTTCAGGCCGGCCATTCACCGGAACACCGGAATGCACGCTTTGGCTGAAGGAACTGCGGCTGGAAAAGCTGGTTCGGCTACTCGGGCGACTCTCACCGGGTTTTCCTAACGACTGACGACCCGGTGGAACGTGCGACGGAGTACCTTCGCTATCCCGCACAGAGGAGCCCAAGCTACTGTTACTCTGGCGCTTGTGCGAATTTCTACGAACGGTGATCGACGTGGGGACCGGACTTTCGCTAGCCACAGACCCGGAGCGAGGGGATCCACGAGAGGACGTATCGGATGGGGCGGGAAGTCGTGATTTGGCCGATTGGACGCGCTCTTCAAGCTTCTGCATCTTGCCGATCAGGCCGCGGATCTGGAACAGGGATCCAGACTTGGGAATGGCTGGCGGCCGCGAGGTGTTCACTCTCGACAATGTGCTGCGAGACGAGAGCGACATGGATGGAGTGGACCGCCCATTGCTATTGCTGTAAGCACCATTGCTGTAAGCAAGGGAAGTAGTTCGGGAATGAGTCGCGCGCGGTTGAGTTCGAGCATGAAGGGTTCTAGAGTTCACTGGCTCTGCACCAGCAGCTCTCTGTCGGGGGAACGTAGGCGTCGCATTGGAATATGCGCTAATCGACTTGCGCATGTTCACCGACGACTCGGAGATAGGAGGCGAAGGAGGGGTAGCGGTCGACGACGCAAGGGATGGTTTAGTGGGGGGCGTAGCGAAGACTGGTGACGGGGTAGCGGTGGCAGGCGAACGGTCGAAGATCTCCAAGCTTTGCGGAGTTGCTGGGCTGCGATGATAGAGAGGGGTGGGCTTGCGGCGGCGGAAGCCATGGCCTTCGGTGTTTCGAAGCTTCTCTTGGATGATCTCAGCCTCAATCTTCAGGTCGGCCAGCTCATCGCGGAGGCGTTGGTTGTCAATGCGCAGTTGTTCGCGCTCTTGCTCCCCGGTCCTGATTTCCTCCTCTAGCAAGACCCCACGCTCAATGCCGATGTTGTACTTAGACTCCATGTCCTCCAGGGACGACGTCGTATTTCGGGCTTGGCGCTCATAATCATCATTGGCAACTTCAATGTCTCGAAGCTTCAGTTGCAAGGTGCGGTTCGCATCTCGCAGGGTCGTGATTTCTTTTTGCAGATTGTTCTGTGCAGAGTTTCCTTCGGTCTTCGACTGTTTGTACTTGGACTATTGGTAAACAATGTCAGCATCATACACGACTGTGAACATTGAGAAAGATCCCCTACCTTCCACTCGTCAACTTCGTATCGCATTGTATCGAGCTTTTCTTTCAACTGCCGCTCCCGCTTTTCCGAGGCTTCAATGTCTTTCTCTAGCTCAGTCTCCAGCTCCCGGCTGGAGGACTGAAAGTCCGCAAGCTCCGCCTCAAGTTGCTCATACTGGGCTTTGTAATGAGCCAATTCATCTCTGTAAGAGCTGCTCGTGTGCTTCCGTTCGGAAGCTGGTTCGTCGACGGCCGGCATCTTCCCGCGTTGGATACCCACAAACCCGGTCGCAAAGAAGACGTCCGGACGACCGATGTCGTCCAAATTTCGCGAAAGTCACGAGAGACCGAAGACCAGGCTGTCTTGCCCTGCAGATCACGCCAGCCCCTCTCAAAAACTCATATGTCGTGTAGTGACCCGACGTCGACAACCGTGCGTTTGATAAGAGCCCCTCGCCGAGGCGGTGACGCAAGGGATTGATTGCCGTAGTCGGAGTTGTATCGGTCCACCGAGAGAAGAAGAAATTATCGAGGAATGCCACGATCTGAGATGTGCAAAGCTGGGTTGCGTTCGACCCGCCTCGTGTCGCAACGCGGGTTCGATTAGATCGGGCTGGGAGAAACCGATGTTGTTGTTTCGGTCGTCAGGGGGGCCGGGAGGTGCGCTAGTCTGCATTGGGCAGATCTTGGTTCAGCCACCCACCGCTCTTTTGATGCCTGAAGACAAGGATCTCTGCCTCAGGCGTTCAGCCATGTATGTCGATTGAGTCCACAGGTACATGATGTAAGTAGTGTCAACGCACGAGGATACCTATGTCAATACAGCAATTAGGACAATCACTCCAAGCAAAAGTATGCCTTGCACTTCACATTCCAGTGACTTCGACAAAGCTGAGTCGATCATGGAGTGCGTAAAAATAAGAATACAACGAAGGTGATCTGTATACATGTCACAAGCCTAGACTCGGCTAAACTTTGCTGCCCCTGCAGTTCTTCAAAGAAGAGGCATAAACTCCGCTCTCTTCTAAGGTTATTCGGGCTCGTGTCATCCCTCGGCTACGGGCTTTATAATGGATGAAGCCAGTTTAGCTTTTACCCACGGAGTCAAGGATCATCGCAACAAGCAGGATTTCTCGAGGCATATAATCAAGCAGATGTTGATTTTGCATGCCGAAGCCCAGGCATAATATATGTCTTGACTAGTTCTAAGGTGAACATCTAATAGTTTGACTAGTCTCACTATTGAGCCTATTAATCCTGAACAGTTACCACTATGTCCAGGAGTGTTCCTAGGTAAAACCATAGTGCTCTTGAATGCTTATAAGTGGCCCTTCCAACAAAGACTCGATAGAAAAAGCATCATGGTCCTTTCAGGATAATCACGGCCATAAATAATCTATTTTCCCTGTTCACGATTGGAGGGAATGTGTTGCATGATACTCAATATATATGTAGACGATTAAGCCACGAGAACTGGCCGATTATTGGCAATTATACTTTTTTAGTGTCGTTTCTAATACACTTTTGGACCCTTTGCAAGCTCGTATCAACAATATATCCAAAGGGTCGGGAGAGTACTCTTCGTGAAGTACTTACGACTCAGTCAGTAGCTTACATATAGAGGTTGTCTTGATGGCGTTAGAAAACGTTATATACCTAGTGGACATCGCCCTGGGCGAGTGCTATGCGTGTACTTCATAGCGGTAGTCTCAATGCGAGTGATGTATCGATAATTACATAAGAGGTTGCCTTATCTCCTAAATGTGTCTCGCCTATGATGAGCTGCGTTGGATATTCCAATCCAGATATACATCACGTGACCAGTTTGATGCGTTTGTCTCTATCCCAGAACACGACAGAAATGTTTTATAGCTACGTCGTAGGTACGCTAGTGGACCCAAGAGATCGACCTCAGCCCGTGATCTGGACTCAGCAGTCCCCAGTCCCCAGTCCCTGGGTCTTTTAAAGCATTCGAAGCTAGAGAGGTAAGTAGATTTGTTTGCATTCTAATATTTACTATGACTTTCTATGCGTGCTTCCAGACTCTGGAACCATGTGTTTGTTGTCTCCAGGCACCACCCTGAATGCTATGCCCACGCACGTTGTTTTTAAGATCGCTGACCACCCTGTTTGCTTCCACGCACCTGTTTACCCCCGATTATTCGCAAGCTTCATCTATCCCAGTGCTGAGAAGCATCGACTGGAAGTTATATGGGAGTATGACATTGGCACTGACAATTCCTTCGCCTCGATAGATCCCCTTAAGTGAGGCTAAGGCCGTCTCCCATCTATCATCATGGCAGACTCCACTGATCTTAACCTGGACGATGCTCCCAGTGACCTTCAAGATATTCCAGATCTGGCGATGCAATTGGTCCCTCCTCCGGAGGGGACATATCCTGATAAGTAAGTATCAATCACATCATCCCTTATGTGATAACACTAAACTCACCAACTCTCTACAGAGCAACTCTTCTAGCCGCAGTCCAGGAACATGGCAAAGAGCATGGCTACAACGTGGTTGTCAAGTCATCTAGCACGCCCACAGAAAAGAAACCTGGTCGCACTGCTAAGGTATGGCTGCGCTGTGATCGTGGGGGCCATTACCGGCCACGAAACGGCCTGACTGAGGAGACGCGCAAGCGTCGCAGGACCTCGCGATTGATGGATTGTCCTTTTATGCTCGTCGCCGCAGGCTCTCCAGGTATTTGGACCTTGACAGTGCTGAACGCGACACATAATCATGGTCCTATTATCGAGAAGCCGCGACAGGTGCCTCACCATAAGGTCCGCAAGGGCCAGCTCCCAGCCATTCCATATGACTGGCCTCATGATGCCTCATTCACCCCATACACCACTGCGCTTGTGATCATTGACATGCAAAAGGACTGTAAGTATTCTAGCTCCATTGGCATGATCATATGATCATTTGGCTAATTTTTCTCTAGTCTGTTTACCCGAGGGCTACATGGGTTATCAGGGCTATGATGTCTCTGGCGCGCAAGCTTTGATTCCCCAATTGCAAAGGCTGCTTGAGGCTTTCCGTTCTGGGGGCTTCCCAGTGTATCATACTCGTGAGGGTACATAGTCCCTCACGCCTCTATTCCAATACATACACGCTAACATATATCAGGACATCGACCTGATTTGTCAACTCTTTCAAGCCGGGAGGCATACCGATCCCGCAACAATACATCCGGCTTGGGCATCGGTGCCCCTGGGCCCATGGGTCGCCTGCTCATCCGTGGAGAACTGGGCCACGACATCGTGGACGAACTCTATCCACGCCTCGGTGAGCCGATCATTGACAAGCCCGGTCGAAGTGCCTTTGCACACACCGATTTCGAGCTTCTCCTGCGCAACAAAGGTGTGAAGAACTTAGTTATCGCTGGTGTCACCACCGACGTCTGCGTCTCGACAACCATGCGCGAAGCTAACGACCGTGGCTTTGACTGTGTCGTCTTGGAGGATGGTACTGCAGCGGCTGAGCCATCGCTGCACCTGGGAACAATCGAGTCTGTGAAAATGGAAGGCGGTATCTTCGGATCTGTTGCCAAACTTGAAGATGTCATCCATGCAGTCGATAATTTCAAAGCTGTCACCATGAAAAAGCTGGCCCCTCAAATGGCCGTCTGAGTCTTTACTCGTTGTTTTAGCGCAGTCACTTTCGACGCTGGTACTGGAGGGGATATTCCCGGCGTTTGGGAATGGAGTTTGTCTCTTTTCTTACGAGATGCTGCAAGCGCGCATACGTCTTTTTCTTTTTCGTCCATTTTTTCATGTCATATCAGGATTAGCGGACCGTGGAATCATTATAGGTATGATACCACATTTTTTGATTTTCGCCAACCAGTTTAGGCTCCAAATAGTCATCACCACTTCCTGTTCATAATACATTGCGAACAAGTAGAGTTGTGTTTGTATGTATACTACAGGGCTATTAGGTACTCGACGCCATCAAAGACTTGGAGACTTTCATTTTTCTTATTAGGTGAGGCAAGTTGCAGCAATGTAACCATACAGAGCATTAACGCCTCATAAAATACATGCCCTAAAACGCCACGCTCATGAATCAAAATGACCGAGAGAGAGAGTCATATTACCATATCACAGCCACTTTTTCCCTGCAGCCGTAACCCGCGCCCTGAAAACAGGGCTCTTTATCTCCATTCCCTGCTTGTAGAACGGGCTCATCGCCGTCTTGACATAATTCTCGAATACCTCATTCATGAACTGGCGCACAGCCTCTTCGGTCTGAGGAGAAGTCGGGTTTGCAGCAATGGAGCTCGATGAGGCTCGTGTGGTAGATCCTGCTGTGCCTAGCAGTGACGAAGACCCAAGGCCGCCGCCTGTGCTGGATGAAGAGGGGAGATGCGGAGGTTGGTGGAGGAGAAGGAATCGTGCGCCGCTTGGAGTGAGGAAAGCGGTAATGTAGGCTGCCGCCGGCGGATAGGTGTCAATGTGCTTCAGGTACCTATCGCGACAATTAGCTTTGAGACTGGACAGTGTGGGGTACGAAGCCGCGGGCCATTGAGCTTGGGATATTTTGGTGTTTGTCCCAGGAACAAGCTCCCGGGGGCCTTCAGGATAGGATGGCAGAATTGGTTGAAACAGTAATGACTTTTAACGACTCACATTCCACTATTTGTCCATTGTGCTTCTTCCAATATGTCCAGACTTGAGTGAATGATGAACTGGTTCATGTACTGTGCTGTCTCTGGGAAGCGGAAGCGGGCAATGCCATCACCACCCCCCTTCGATGTCCCGAAGGCGATGTTGAATAAGGGAGTGTCAGTTGGCGACAGAATAGTGAAGTAGTAAGACATTTTGTGCCGGTTGTGAGTATTCAGATTGAAATAGACGGTCGAGGAGCTGGGGATCGTGGCTTCACTAGCGGCCGCCATCACGTGGCTGATAAGAGGTGAGCTTCTCGGTTTGGTTTGGTTGACAGTGGTGTAAATGCTTTTTTATATGATTGATATCAAAAGCTTGTGTCTACTGGGGATTCTGATCTTTAGATGCTATTAGGGCCATTCAAATAGTGGTTCAAATAATTCTAGATTAACTGTCAGAGCAGGAATGAGTGCTCAACTATTATATACCTTCGCATCTATAGATCTGAAACTGGGATTTCACAATAACGCTTGTGATATTCTTTGAACCTAGCAAACCAACCAACGCATGACATTATTCTACAAGACATTATTAAGAAGATCTAGTAGATAACTTGGCATTAGCTTGTGTTTAGTATACTTGCGGCCGAAGGCAAATGCTCCGATCTCCCCGCAAAAGGTACCAGCACGTGATCCTCTGATAACAGCCATGGCTTTATCGTAATCGATTGCTGGCGCAACTTTTCGACTTCGACAAGCACCTACTACCCAATACACCTGCCCTTGTTGTTATTCAGCAAGATCTATACAGCTCTGGAGCTTCCAAGAAAAGCCAATTAAATATGCCGACGAACATTCCTTACGGATTGAACCTCCCAAACAAAAATACATCGGCAACGAAACCGGGGAATGCTCTCGGACAGAAGAGAAAGAAGAATATCTTTGATGATGATTCTGGGGATGAAGATCAACAAATTGGCAATGGCGCAGTTGAAGTTTCGACAATCGGAGGGCTAGAAGAGCCTGCTAGAAAAACGAAGGCCCCGTCAATCGCAGGGCCACCGCCGAAACGCAAGATGCAGTTCGGAAGCGGTCCCAAACTAACCGCTAAACCGCTCAGCAAAAACTCTATATTCGCAGATGATGAGGACGAAGATGAGGAAAGGGAGAAAGAGCAACAAGCCGGAGTGAGACTCGGACTGAACCCAACAAAATCAAAGAAGTCATCCGCTTCTACCGAAGACTTCACAAACCTCTCGTCAATACGTAGCAGCAAGATGCATGCAAAGCAAGCCGAGGAACTCGACCCGTCAATCTACTCATATGATGCAGTCTATGACACCCTGCATGCCAAACCCGCCAAGGCCTCGGTGGAAACCAAGAGCGACACACCGAAATACATGAAAAATTTGTTGCAGAGTGCAGAACTCCGGAAACGCGACCAGCTGCGCGCTAAAGATCGCCAGCTTGCCAGAGAGCGTGAAGCCGAAGGCGATGAGTTTGAAGACAAGGAGAAATTCGTCACTTCTGCCTACAAGGCGCAACAAGAGGAATTGCGTAAGGCAGAGGAAGAGGAGGCGCGCCGTGAAAAAGAGGAAGAAGAACGAAGGAAGCGGAGTGGCGGCTCTGGTATGATTGGGTTCTACCGAGATGTCCTTTCGCGAGGAGAGGAGCGACACGAGGAAGTCGTCAAAGCCGCGGAAGAAAAAGCGCGTCGCGTTAAGGCAGGAGAGGTATCAGAAGATACTGACAAGAAAGAAGAGGAGGAGAAGACCGATGGGCAAAAGGCAGCAGAGCTTAATTCTCATGGTGCTCGAATTGTTGTTAATGATGAGGGCCAAGTCGTCGACAAGCGCCAGCTATTGTCTGCAGGACTTAACGTGGCACCGAAACCAAAAGCTCAACCATCTGGTCCCAAACCAGGAGTTCCACGGCCTTCTGCTGGACGACCAGGTGCCGGTGCTGGCTACCAGGGTGCTCGTGCCGCCCAGCGGGCTCGGCAAACAGACATGGTCGCAAGCCAATACGAGGAGCGTGCGCGACAAGAAGAGGAGGCCGAGGCCGCAAGGCAAAAAGAAGTTGCCGAAAAGAGTCGCAGCCGCAAGACCGAGGGAGAGGTGTCCAGCGCCAAAGAGCGGTACCTCGCAAGAAAGAGGGAACGGGAAGAGGCTGCTGCCAAAGAGAAAGCAAAGGGAGCTTAGGTGTATGCTTGAGGGCATCTTGGGCGTTGTATCTAACGAACCTTGGAACAATACCATGTATTACATCGCACTGGAACAACCCTGGAATCCATGGAAGAGACTTGTATATTACACATGATACCTAAAAGAGACCCCGACTTTGAGTCACAGGGCTTACCACCAACGGGCAAACACCCGTAAACAATGATTGGGGCTATCAGTAATCCCTGTGTGCCCTCATAAGCGTCCCTTTTTCTTTCTTTCACACATCAGTCTTTACCACTACAGCACTTGGTGAGTTATATCGACCGTTCTACCCCCCCATTTAGATCGGAAAAACTATATTGCCAAGACCCTTAACCCCGGCTTACCTCACCAACTTATCTCACATCACATGACCCCACACGGGCTGAGTTAATCCGGACCGAAAGCACTCGCTAAGCCGCCCCACACAGGTCGCACTCCCAATTTTGCACTCCCAATCGAGATTCAAGAACCGCTTCATCACCAAACCACTTCCATTTCCCGTTCATCAACGTCAATCATCCAACATGGGTAAGGTTCACGGCTCTCTCGCCCGTGCCGGTAAGGTCAAGGCTGCCACTCCTAAGGTGAGTTATCTTCGATTTCCCGCGAACGCCACTCGACACACGATCGCAGTGGCCATCTCTCCGACCAGAGTTTTTAACGACAATTTTGCAACCAGGTCGAGCCCCAGGAGAAGAAGAAGAACCCCAAGGGTCGCGCCTACAAGCGTGTTCTCTACACCCGCCGTTTCGTCAACGTTACCATGACCGGTGGCAAGCGCAAGGTACATATCGAATGACTCACACCCACAAAGCACAACCGAACACAATCCAAATCCCGCGAAACCTCTCCGACCACACACCACGAATACGAGAATGAAGGACAGGAAGGCTGACAAGTCGCGAAATGCAGATGAACCCCAACCCCGGCCAATAGATTATTCAAGTCGTTAAAACAACCATCTGAGCCGCGATCGGCTAGTCGAGTTCTACGATGAAAATCTTCGCATGACCACGGCACGACCACGGCCCAAACGAACGAAAGCACACCAGATACGGCTGGTACTTGTACGGATGATATCACGCTTCTTCGTCTTCACTTGAATTTTTTTTTTGCTGGCAAACGGATGGGTTTTTTTGGAGGTTGATTCGCGGAAATGGATTAATACCCATGGTGGTCTGAGGATGGGAAGCTGTGGCTGGATGTGAGCTGTCTACGGGCAGTCCTCGCAGACTGGACCTCAGAGTCACTTTTCGACTCGTTTTATAGGCTCCATGAATTGCATTTCCGATCCAGAAATGGACTCTGCCTCTTTTTCCATCCTTTACGGATTCCGATCTGAGTCTGATGCTGTGCCTGGGCCTGGACACAATAGGCTTGCTCTTCTTAGCCGCTTATCTGCCTGTGGATTTTTAAGTTGTAGAATGGATCAAGCGGGCCTTTCCATGGTGGGATCTAGGCTGGTCCTATGCGATCTGTTCTATCCCACTGCGACCATGTAGTTCAAATGCTCCCTGTTTATCGTGATTCATATGCCTGGAGCTTGGTGTTCAACACTTCGACATTTCAACTTTCTGTCGCATCATGGGGCCCCGCGTCGTCTGATAGTGGGGGCTCGTAGAAAATGGGCTCGTCCTTCCACGCAAGCTTTGGCTAAGACCACGGGCACTCCCCAGGTACGAGGTATGCGGACTATGTAGCTCAATCATAGGACCCCTCGAAAGCATGTTGGGCAACCTGAGACTGATTTGACCCCAACCGCCAACTTTGTCTTTGGTCTTACCGAATTGAAATTCGAAGCGTCCCCAAGATCCTTGAATGGCAGGCATATAGTAGCTCATTACTCATATGTTCCAGCAATCTATTATACTTACACCTATTAAAAGGCGTAGACCGAAAATAGACTGAAATGAACTACACCTTAGACCTCGAAAATATAGAGAAAGGTCCAGAACTCAGGGCAGTCGGAACTATGTATCTTACTTCTATTCGTCTTTGGTGTTGCAGTAATTTCCGATAGACCCAAGAATGTCGTCAACTAGGTAGTGTGTCAATATCATGGACTAAAGCGAGTAGAGTGTTTTTATCTTGCAAGTCTAGAAGATGGCTTTCGTCCGGAACCGGTGTGCGTAGTTCACGAATGACGTTGTACCGTCTCGCACATTTCCCACAACTGGCGTTCGGGAAGCTACATAGGGAGATTTGGCACAACTAGCATGAGCACATGAGCGTATGGTTCTGGGATAGTAACTTGCACTTTTAAAACAACTTATCATGATCGGGTTCTCTTGATGTAGATGTTACCGCAATTTCAAGGAAATGCAGAGGATGTCCGAGATTCACCCAATCGATAACGTGACAGAAATGGCGGATATTCCCGCAGTGGATTGGCATCAAATCAAGCAACATGACTTCATCAACTGCCGGGCCATCCGGACTTCCTCAACTGTCGTTCATCGCCAAATGATCGAAGGCCTAACCCAAGACGTCCACGGATCGGCGAGGTAATTTAAGGTTATCGAGCTCAGTGACCTCCCGTGATCGACGATGCATTGGTCAATCACTGCAATCTGGAATACTACCTACATCAACCGAGAAATGTGGGACAAGCTGGGCGCTCAAATGTCTTAACGTCAGAGAGTGGAGAACTATCTACATCGCTTAGGCCATTGAGTTCAACGGGAGCCAATCGTCCCAAACTCCAGATCTTTACCCCACGCATGGCAATGACATCGATCGAACTCAATTCCTAGGAAGGTTGGACTTGGGAAACGAGACACAACACGGGGAGCAGCGTCCATAATCCCAAGTGACTTGACACGTCGCCAGAGCTAGAACTCAACAAAAAGGTCGCAAGCTGCTAAACCGAAGTATCTGAGCTGGAGAAAAAAAAACCGTTTAATCTGAGACCTTGATGTACTTCAAAACCTGGAGTGGACACCAGCTGCCTGAAGATCCACTCACCTCGTGCCTGCTTTCGGTTGAGCATCATCGACTTTGAACCTTAGACTTGCTATGACATCGCGGTTCTAGTTGCTCTCTTGGATCGGGCTACGGGCCTTGGAATCCAAGCAAAAGCATGACATGGTTCAGTTACATACACCGGCAGCTCTTCCCTCCTACGCCCACTTGTGCTTGTGCATCCACTACTGGATATAGACATGTGGTTTAGAAACCACCGAAATAAGTTGATGATGCAATGGACACGAGGATTGCTGATATTATTTAGGTATCTCCATTCCCTGAATCATTACTATATTTTTCTTTATCTACTACTTCTGAATTTCCTAACAAACACGACCGTATGACACTTTTATTTGATTTTTAATTTGTATACTTACGATTAACCTATTGTCAATATCTTTACGCATCAATTCCTCAACCATCATGTCCGCCAAAGAAACAATGGTCCCCAATGCCGAACAGGCGGAAAACATTGGGCTTGGGTTTGCCAAGAGACTCAGCAAGAAATTCTCTTTGGGTCACGGAAACACAGACGGCCATGAAGGCAAGGCCAGCGACATTCTCGATAGGAGCTCATCCATCCGCGACGAAGTCAAACATGGCAACTTCAATGGCGCCAAGGAGATCATCACTCAAGGCCAAACCACCAAAGAATCGAGAAGCCAAGGAGACGCTGGTGGAGCATCGGGTAGCGCGGCTGGAATGAACCAAGAACACTTCAACAACGAGAATGTATCCGACGCCACAAAACAAACCAGCCAAGGAGATGCCGGTGCGGTATCAAGTGGCATGGGTGGAGCGAACAAGGGTCTCGATCAAGAGAGTGTTCAGAAGACCGCAAAGCAAATCAGCAATCAAGATGTCGGTGGAGCATCGAGCGGTGCTGTTGGAATGAACATGGGGGACCTTAACGAACAAAACCTCCAAAAAACCGCAAAGCAAGCCAGCAAAGGAGACACCAGTGCAGTATCCAACAGCGCTGCTGGAATGAACACCCGAAATATCAACCGGAAGAGCGTCCAGAACACCGCAAACAAAGTCAGCAAAGGAGATACTAGTGGAGTATCCAATAGCGCTGCTGGGGTAAACACAGGAGACCTCACCAAGGACAATCTCCAGAACACTGCAGAGCAAGTCAGCAAGGGAGACACTAGCGCAGTATCTAACAGCGCTGCCGGGATGAACACTGGTGATCTCAACAAGGACAATCTCCAGAACACTGCAAAGCAACTCAGCAAGGGAGACACTAGCGCAGTATCCAACAGCGCTGCTGGGATGAACACTGGTGATCTCAACAACGAAAGCCTCCAAAATACCGCAAAGCAAGCCAGCATAGGAGGCATTGAGCAAGGAAATACCGGCAAATCTTCCACTGGCGACATCAGCGCGGAGCAACGCGACATTCGCAGCAAGAAGCGGGAAACCAGCCAGCAAACGCAAGACACCAGCAATGAAATTTCGAGCATTGGCTCTCAGGAGTCTGACTACAAAAGCGTTGGTGATCGCAAAGGTAGTGTGGCGGCCGGAGTCCTCGAACCGAATTATGACATTCGAAAAGGTCCCATCACTATGCCGGGCACTTTCCAAGAGAAGAATTTCCACACCGATAGCGGCAAGGAGACTATTGTTCAGAGAGGAACCAGTAGCGAGGGACTTTCCAAAAAGGTGAAGGAAGACAACGCCAACGCTGGTGCCGATGCCGATGCCTCGAGCACCCAAAAGTCAATTCCCTCCCATATCGCCTTTGCAGGCGCAGCAGGCGACAACCAGAACACCCCAAGCCAAGGAAACGCCATGAAAGCCGACACCGGAGACGGATCTAGCAATGACTTCATTGAAAAAGAGCTCCATGAACAAGACAACATCAGCTCAGAGGTCTTCGATGATGGAAGTAGCGCCACAAACCTTTCCAAGAAGGCTGCCGCTCAAGAGGCTTCCGGAAAATACCGGATGGACAAAGAGGACCTGGACATGCAAGGCTCCAAGCCTTCCCAGAAAGAAGAAGCAGCTGAAGCAGCAGCAGCTGCCGCTGCTGTCGCTGCTGTCGGTGGTGGCCATGGAATGCGCAAAGGTGTTAGCGGCCAGAGCTCTAATACCAGAAACATGACAGGCCATAATGATTCCGGGCTTGGAGCCAGCGCCGCTAGAGCCGATGATCTTGCCTCCACAAGTCCGAAAAGCAAGATTGCTTCCACTGCGGGAGGTTATGACTATGCAAGCGGACATGATCTGACTACCCCAAATCTGACAAACAACATGAGTCATGCCTATGTCGGTGCAATTGACAGTCAAGGCTCAAAGTCCGAGACTCCGATAAGCACAGCAACCACAAGCGGAATCAACCAGCCAAGTGTTTCACGGTCTGCCACCGTAGACCGGACAAAGAATGACCTCTCCAGCACCGGCATTATTGGATCTAACCAAGGAACACTTGTCGGCGGAGGAATTCGCGGACTTCAGAAAGATGATAATCATGGTATTCCCGATACCAGCAGTGTTGGGATGAACCAAACAAACATTGTTGGTAGCGGAAGTCAACATGGAGGCATCTATGATGCCTCTAGCAACAATGCTTTCAACAATGGAGTCACCGGTGTTAGCTCCGGCAGCAAGAGCAGCGTCGGAAATGGCGTGGTCACGAGGCGGATTGTCCGGCCGCTAAGTGGCAGCGGCTACAAGCTCAGCGTTCTCCAGGAGAAGGTCCAGGCTGTGTCTCAGAAGTGTAAGACTCAACTTGGCCTGTCTTCTAGTGAGATAGGCCAGCGTAGCCCCAATGTCGATGCTTTCTTCGATGCTGTTGCGGCCGAACGTCTCCGCTGGATGCCTCGTGATGGCAGCAGGCTCGACTGCAGCCTCAGATGGGCTTCCAGATTGGCGTATGCGGTAGATGCTCTTCGGGAGTCTGTCGGAGCTTTTGCACCTGCTGCAAATGAGGCTGCAATGCTTGTTTGGGGATTCTGTATCCTTCTCTTGGAGGTGAGCTCAGGAAGTTCGAGGAAAAACTGGAACATAGATACTAACTATCTGCATAGTCTGATATCGACAACACGGATGTTTTCGAAAGCGTCTTTGGCCGGTATGGTCGTGTTGCCGTCGGAATCTACTTGCTTCTGCAGTATGAGACTGCGTACAAATCCTCTCCTGAGCTTCAGCCAGAGGTTGCCGCGGTCTTTGCTGACTTGCTCGAGATGGTCTGTAGCACGACTACTAGCTGTGTCGAGGGATTCAAGAGCAAGGAGTCCGACCAGGTCATCGGACGCAATGTGGATGCGGCCTTTGTGACATATGCTAAACGCTTCTCCAATCACTGGAACTGCGTTGTTGACGATCATACCTCAAAGCTGGTAGAGGGTAGCTCTTTGATCTATTCCTCCCCTGAGCTGGGTAGTTTGCGCCAATTCCTAGGAGTTCAGGACCGTCCTCTCCAATTTATCCTTGATTCCCGCGCTCATTCGCTTGCTGAGGGATCGTTTGAGTGGTTCAACAACACGCTCTACGACTTCACCACTGCAAGCTCCCCTGTGATGCTAATTACGGGAGGCCCTGGCTCCGGAAAGAGTGCGCTTGCTCAGTGGACTGTCGAAAGACTGCAAGAGTCAGCCGAACACGATAGTTGGAACGTTATCCCATACTCGATTCGTGAGTTTCCCCGAGCTGTTTCTGTTGATATGCTTGCTAATTGTTGAAGGTGCCGATATTCCTGTCGCCACTTTACCCCTACGTATCTTGAAGGGCGTTCTGCACCAGATGTTGGATCACTCTGTCAGTGACAAGCGCACCCAAGAGGCGATCCTGGTTGAAGCTGCCCAGGCTGCCCAAGGGGCGATTGATGGCGCTGGAGACCTGGCAGTTGAAGAGAGTCTTTGGCGGGGTATCCGTGCTGGTCTTTCTACAAACATACAGTATATGTTTGTGATTGACGGTATCGACCAGATCAAGGGGGGCAATGCCAATGCCGTTGCCTGTCTGGACAAATTCTGTTCGCTTCTCTCCGAGCAGAACTCAGGATCTAAAATGATCGCTTTCACTCGACCTCTGAGCTCGAAGATCACTTCTAGGGAGATCCAACACTTCAATATGCAGACTTCCCAGACCAAGTCCGATCTCACGGCATATGTCAACAAGATGCTTGCATCTGGAGCTAACTTTGACATCCACAAGGGCCACGAGCTCCAAGCCGCTGTATCCGCAATCGTCGCCCGCTCTCAGGGCTCTTTCAGTTGGGCTGAAATGTCAGTTGCTTACGCCAAACAGCAAAAGACACTAAGCCAAGCTGTTGCAGCAGTGCAGGGCTTGCCACAGTCAATGCCGGAGCTGCTTGACTTCCACACCAAGAGCTTGGACCTTAGCCAACCGGGTACCATCAACATCGTCTCCTGGCTCGCAGCATCTGAGAGACCATTGCTGGTCGAGGAGATTGAGCACTTGCTGAATGTGGACCCCAAGGGCCCTAGCTACTCCTCCAAGCAACTCACTGGAAGCTATGATACACTCAATGCGTTGAGCCCGCTGGTCATGACCCGTGATGGTGTGGTATCCTTTGCGCACACCTGCATTCGTGACCATGTCATCAAGCAGGCCATGTCTGCTATTGGACCCTCTCAGCTCAACATGAAGGACGCTCACTACGACTTGCTTGTGAGGTGTCTTTCTTGCATCCAATTGAGCGTGCGCGAAGAGGTGGACGTTTCCATGGATAAGCTGAACATTGAAGAGCGCAACCATCTCTTCGACAAGTATGTCGTCTTGGAATACACGGCGCGTTACTGGCTATCGCATCTTCTGTCTTCACCTTTGGTCACCGATCGCGGAGAGTTCCAATTCAATTCGACTTTCACGAAGCTCATGCCCGCGACAGTCCTCTTCGCGCGCCTCGAATTGACTTGCCGCGAGTCGCAGTTCACTCGGTCCAGTGTTGTTGAGCTCTACAGACTTGCGAGTGACATCCGCTGCCTGGTTCTCGGCGAGAAGTCTATCGCCCTGCTGCAGAGTTTACTACTCAGCGCACGCGTATCCAAGTTGGCGCATGCCAGCCATGCAGATGAGACCTGCTACGAAGCCTGGAAGCTGAGCCAAGAAGTTCTTGGACAGTCACACTCGATCACTTTGACATGCTCTGACATGATGGCGCAGTCATTCTCCGACCGAGGCACGATGACATCCCAGCAGGAGGACATCATGAAGTACTTGATTTTGACTGACTCCGAGGTCACTGGCGTTGAGTTTAATCAACGACTCAGGTACCTTGGTGTAATTGTCAGCATGTATAAAACTCGCGGTGATAACCAGTCTGCGTTGCTTATCTCGAAGCACTTCTACCAGCAAATCCTCCAGAAATACGGTACCAACTCGCGCCAGTCATCCGAGACTGCCGACTTCCTGACTACTCATTTCTCGACATCTGGAAACGACGAGTTGAGCCGCGACATTGCTCGAACCAAGTATGACAATATGGTTCACACCATGGATGTCACTGATGAGCGCCGGATCAAGTACACTTTGTACATGGCACAGATGTACGAGGATCAAGGAGACTACGTCCATGCTCAGTCAATTCTGTCAAGCCTGTGGGCTGGTCTCAATTCGCACGACATTGATTCGGTTGACATGATGGACAAAAAGGCAAACGTTGCCCTTGTGTACTATCAGTTCCTTCGTCGTCGGGGCAGAAATGACGAAGCTGAGGTCATCATCCGTGAACTGGTTGCAGACCTCGAGGTCACAGGCATTCACTCCGCAGAGATGCTGGAGCGTGTGCAGCTTCTTCGTGCTGAGACCCGGGAGATGCTGATGTACAGTTTGGATCGTTCTTTGTCGGTTCTCATGTGGCGCTACTACAAGGAGACTCATCAAGAATATTCCGAGGAGTCAACTGCTCTAGCGCTCTCAATTGCGCAGAGTATGGCAAACGCAGTGTCGATCGAGGAGGCATCATCTCTGTCTACCCGTGACCGCAAATTGCTGGTTGAGCTGCTGGACGTGATCTCAGCCAGTGCAGACAACATGACCGTCACCACGCTGATTATGTGCCACAACCTCGCTAGCATCTATGTGAACGAGGGGGATTGGATTCAGGCTAGCGATTGCTCAATGGCTGTGCTGAAACATATTTGGCCGACCGTTGAACAGGCCAAATCCCACCAGAAATTCTCGCACGACCTGGCGCCTCCAGTGGCGGATCTCGCTTTGATCTTGGCCTATTGTCATTTCCGCAGACTGCACCTGGAACAGGCCACAGTGGTGTATGAAAATGCCTTTGGCTCTTTGGTCAGCTCTGACAGAGTGCCTGTACCTTCTGTGCTCGCCGTTGCCAAAGCGGTTGTCGAGTTCCACGAGACCTCATACCAGTTCACGAAGGCCCTCACTTTGCTTCATACCGTGAGCAACTTCTTGGCCTCCCGCCTCGGAGAGAGTCATAAACACACTATTGACAACATGTATCTCGAGGCTGCCTTGGCAATGCGCCTGGAGATGACCGGTGAGGCCAAAAGCACCTACCAGCGGATCTACAACGCTACCTCGCGCGACAACGGCATCGCTCCGGAGGGTATCGAAGCTGCAAATGCTCTCATCGCCCTGTACGAGAAAGGAATGGAGTGGGATTCTGCATTGCATATCTACCGATCTCTCTGGCCGACTCTAGTGGTTCAAGACATCAAGGGGCAGACCTATGACCACAAACTGGTTGACCAGATGCTGGAGAAGACCTACATGGGTTATATGTCAATTCTGACAACTCACAAGGGCTCTGACTTCTCTGAGCGGTACCAAGTTGCCTCTGAGTACGTCATGACCTGTCAGCACGTCCACGGCGCAACGAGTCAGAAGACGCTCAATGCTACTTTGCTCTTTGCCGAGCTATGCGAGTCTAGCGAATCATATCTTGATCAAGCTATTGCGTTGTACAAGCTGCCTTTGGAAACCAACGAGTGGGTGCCCACTTCCCAATCATCGAAGGGTCTCGAGCAGATGACTGCGCCCCTACCCATCACGCTCAAGCACAAGCTAGCGCAGCTGTTTGTCCGCAAGCATGATTCGACCAGTGAAGCCCGTTCAATCTACACCGAAGAGTTCCAGCTGGCCAAGAAGACTCAAGGTTACTTTTCCACCACGACTCTCTCTTGGCTCCGTGAGCTCGCTCTCGCTCATTCACGACAGGGGACACCCTCCTCCATCCAGCAGGGCAATGCCATCCTCCACACCTACTCTACTGATGTGTTGCACGCAGGCGGAGATCCTGACAAGATCACTGACTGGGCCCGCCGTATCGCAAGTATCTACCTCGAGTGCGGCTTCATCGAGGGTGGCAACAGCCTCCTTGACGAGCTCCGTTACCGCGTGGTGTACAGCTCCGAAACCTCGGCTACGATTTTGGGTGACCGCCACGATGCCATGTTTGTTGCTGCCTTTGAGGAAGTCTTCGGCAGACGTGCCACTTATGATCAAATCATGAGGGAGATGGCTCGCGAGATGGAGACTTACCAGACCTTCTCTAAGAGTCTTTCTGGCCACGACTTTATTCCTACTTTGGTTTCTGGTCACCTGCTCTACACTCTTCAGCACGATCAGAAGCGGATCCGTGCCGCCAATGACACCAAAGACAAGTTGTATGGCTACTTCTGCTCCAACCTCTCTGCCACCAGTGTTGCAGACAAGGAAGTGGTACAGCAATTCTACCAGATCTGTCTGCGCGAGGTCCACCTTGAGAACTACAACATGAACATTCTAACAATAACCACCGAGATGGTTCGAGACCTGTGCAACTCCTCCCGCTTCCAGGAGGCTAGCATTCTGACGGGCGTTCTTCACTCCTTCATGCATTTGACCGACGGTCTCAACAACTACGACAATATCAAGATTGCCACACAGCTCTGCCTCTACCTGAGCGGACACAAAGCACAGAAATGCACCGACGAAACAATCTACCACAGCATGTCCATCAAGTCCAAGCTCCTCCTGCAAGAGATCATGGCAGCCTCGAAATCCATGGGCATCGACATGGTCGACCTCCCCTTCAACGACCTCAACGACATAATCACCCTCCTGGGCGAGTACGAGATGTTCGACGACCTAGAAGGCATCCTGACGCAACTCTGGACATCCCGAATCGTGCAGCGCACCTGGACCCCAGACGTGGTGGTATGGATCGGACGACGCCTCGTCGAGACTCGCTTCTGCCGCGGAAACGTCGACTCCTCCATCCAGCTATGTCGCGACATCTGCTACAACCTCCGACAGGTCTGGGGCAGCTGCGACCCCGTCACATTGGAGATGACGAAGCTCCTGTCCGGATTGTTCACAGCCTCGGATAACCACCAGTCCGCAGCTACGCTGCACGAGGGAGTTCTATACGATCTTCTCGCTGACTCCGGGGCAAAGGACCACGCCCACGTTGCTGACACCGCGTCGCAACATATGGAGCTGCTGCGCCGTGCCCAAGCCCGTCTTGGTGACGAACAGACCTCGAGCCGTGCGTCTACACATGCGGAACTATTGCAGTCGTTGACGGATCGGTTCGGTGTGCAGTCCGAGCAGATCAAGAATGTTGGAGAGGCCAATGGCGGTGCGCAGTTTGGTGTCTGGTCGAAGCCCAGACGGTTCAGTATTGACGTTGAGGATATGGAGGAAGACGGTCAGACACACCACAACCACCTGCGGGAATCTAGTGGTGCGGGATTGTACGGTAGCGCTCCTCGTCGGATCTCCGTGCAAGCCCTGTGAGTATATATAAGTTGAAGCTGAGGGAACGTGAGGCGTTTGGGGTTGTGCTTTAACTGCCATTTAAATTATGTGGACCGAAATTGTACAACTTGTCCACACTAAAAATACATTTGTTATCTGCTTTCAGTATGAAAAGAACTTGTAATCTGGTAGATGTTTTAGATTGAATCGGATCGCATTGTTCTATGTTACCTACAGTTCGATCGGTTTAATGTAGAGGAGAGAATAATGTCATAAGGTCATAGGCAAATGCATATGAGAACTTGGGTATAGTACATCGGTATAGTACAGAATAGATCCTCAGCGAGGACAATGTGATATACAATCGTTAGCTCCGGCACCAGCTACAGCTTACTTCCTCAATTTGAGGTGGTAGGTCTGCAAAGCCTCCTCGGTCATAGGGCTCGGGGCGCCAACCATGGCATCGTCACCACCCTTGCCAGTCTTCGGGAACGCAATCACATCACGCACGGATTCTTTGCCTAGCATGACAGCAACAAGTCTGTCAAAGCCCAGCGCGAGTCCCGCATGGGGCGGACAGCCAGAGCGGAGGGCATCGAGCAGATGCGAGAAGTCGGCCAACCGCTCAGCTGGCATCTGAAGAATATCCCGGAAAATGAATTCCTGTACTGCTGCATCGTGGATACGGCGACTGCCGCCACCCAGCTCAACGCCGTTCACGACCAAATCGTAGTGATCGGCCACCGCCTGGGTGGGGTCTGTCAGGAGAAGATCGACATCAGCGGGGGTCTTGGGTGCGGTGAAGGGATGGTGTGTGGAGGAGAAGCCTGCTGCGCCGCCCTGGCCGGGCTCTGAGTCTGAAGAGGGGGAGAAAAGAGGGAAGTCGACGACCCAGAGGAAGTCAAATCCTGTAGGGGCAGGCTTGAAACCCGTTGAGACGGAGGCAGCGTGCAATGCACGGCGGAGATCGCCCATGGGGGTTGAGCCCCCTGAGAATGGAGCACGGGGACGTGCTTGCAGAATGATCAGGTCACCGTGGTCTGGGTCCAACCGGTCCTCGAGTTGCTCGGCAGCTTCGAAACCGAAGGGCTGGAGTCCGCAAAGGGGCTGCTTGCCATTATAGATGAAGACGCCTGGGCCGCCATCTGGGTTGTTGATGAATGGAGCACCTGCGGGAGAGTCGAGGAACTGGGTGATGAACTTGTGAGTTTCAGCGGGATCGTTGTCATTGCCTTCAAACTTGAAAGCCTCCACAATAGGATCGTCAAGGTCAGAGATCTTGTCGATCAGATCCACTGGAAGAGCATGATCAAGTCGGATGATTTCCATTCCATATCTTGTGTCTGGCTTGTCAGAGCCATATTTGGCCATGACTTCCTGATACGGAACCTTGCGGAATGGGCCCTCTGGAGCAGGGTCTTTCATCAATGTCGACCAAAGTCGGCGAATGACTCCTTCCACGGTGCGCATAACATCGTCGCCCGTCGCGAAAGACATTTCCATATCAAGCTAGACATATTGGGTCAGCAATTATCAACTATCAACTCCCCCACTAAGAGGGTAATTCATACCTGAGTAAATTCAGGCTGTCGATCAGCCCGCAAATCCTCATCCCGGAAGCAGCGCGCAAACTGATAATACCTCGGCAAACCACTAGCCATGAGAATCTGCTTGTACTGCTGGGGACTCTGCGGCAAAGCATAAGCCAATCCCTCCCTCCGAGTAGGCACAATAAACTCCCTTGCGCCTTCCGGTGTAGACTTGAACAAGAGCGGAGTCTCAATCTCCACAAACGGCGGTCGGGACTGCTCCTCCAATTCCTTCTTGCAGAGATTATGCGCGCGTGCGCGGAACCGTAATGCTTCGCGCAACTCTTCATCCGAACGCAGTTGCAGATATCGCTGCTCGGGTGGGAACACCGTTTCGGGTGTCATAATTATTTCCTTGGGGAAGTCGTTGAGAGGATGGATCTCTTCCAGTGCGAGCTCCCATAGGTCCGAGGCTGGTGTGGTCTCTGCCTCTGATGGTTTGACCTTCTTCTTTTGGACTGTTCCGCGGACAGCGACGGGGCTGTTCGCATTCACAGTCTTCAATTGCTCGAAGGCATCGTTCTTGGCGAATGCGACGACTTGCAGGCTGTGTTGCAGGGTGGGATCAGATAACCGCACGAAAGATAGTTTCTTTGATAGATCTGCGCGGTTCCCAAGGTATCCGTGTAGAACTACTTGCGTGTTTGGCTCAGCCTGTGCGAAGAACGTTTCGAAGTCATGTGTGGCAGGAGGGAAGTCCACTATAAGACATTATATATTAGCCAGGTTTCCCCCAAGGATCCAACAAAAGTGACCCGCATACCAGCCCGCTTATAAGCCTCCAAAAAAGCAGGAAGCTGTTTAGGAGGCTCCTCCTGTCGCAGACACGCCCGAGCATGGAAATGCCGCGGCGTCTGAACGGGGTTATAGCATTGTCCGTGCCAAGCCACCGATCGGCCTCGAAGTATATTTGATATCTCGATGTAGCTAGACCTCAGCCGCAAAGCGCGGAGCTGCATCGCAGCCATCGGCATATTTCAATTGTAAAGAGTGCAATTGAAGTCCCAGAGCAAGCGAGTCAGTCCGAATGATCTGACGATGGAAAAACCGGCAGAAAGCGACTCCGCCCTGGAAGCGGACTAGCGGCCGCAGAAATAAAAGCCGCGGGATTTTCACTTTTCCTTTCTTCTTCATCCTTCCAAGTTTTATACTTGTGAGTATCACTGTTTCCAGCCCTATGGGCGTCACGTTTTTTGATCGTTTGTACTGACTGTTTTCCAGAATGATGAAAGCCTAGTGTGTTATATATGAGACAGTCGCTTCCCTCTGAGACGTGCGGCTCTCTTTCTTCGGAGAGCTTAAGGGCTGTACGACTCGAGGGGAGGGTTTGTGATATATGCGTTCGGCATACCAACCTTGTTTACACAACGGACGCGATGAAGGCATCTCTGATCCAATTTACAAGACTTGAAGGTGTCCCCATTGGCTTTGCGCAATGGGGTTGAGGGTTATCCTCAAAGCGGGAAGAGATGGATGTTAGACGGGTGTTGGGAACGACGCCTCTATGACTAATGTCCTCTGTTCTGGCTCTTATATCCGAATCTATCTAGCTACCTCCATATGACTCGATCAAATTCCGAATCGAATTGATATATTTTGAAATAAGCATATCATCCAGCTTGAAAGTAATCTATACAAAAACAACCTCAACGTAACTCTCCCAATCTCGCGCTATATATGCATTGCTTCACTTTCTACTCAAAGATCATTTTTTCCAGCACATCCTTCTCCCCACTGTTCTCAACAAGATTCTTAAACACGCCGCCCTCAATCCCCATAAGATCCCTCGGCGATCCAAACTCAGCTGCCTTTCCAGCATCCATAACAAGAATGCGATCAAAGTCCGCGATTGTACTGAGCCGGTGAGCAATGACTAGTAGCGTAGTAGCATTACGACCGAATTCCGCGCGAATAGACTGCTGAATCAACGCATCGGTCTCCATATCAACAGCGGACGTCGCCTCATCCAGAACCATAATTTTGGGCCGCGAAACAATAGCACGTGCGAGACAAAGAAGCTGGCGCTGTCCTTGAGAGAAGTTGAGGCCGCCCTCGGAGATTGTCGCGGAAAGAGAGGTGAAGACATTAGAGTTGGTTTTCTGGACTGTATTTGGTGTCGTGGTTCCCGTTTCGCTGATCTGATGAGGCGCGGTAGTCTGCGACGTCAGGGTGAGCTGGTCGTCATCGGCCTCAGAAATGAGTCGCACGCGTGCCAGCGCATCGTAAAGCTCCTTGTCGCTGTATTCATCGAACGGGTCTAGATTTGACCGCACAGTACCAGAGAATAGAACCGGGTCTTGTGGGATGATAGCAAGTCGGCTGCGGAGGTCGTGGAGTTTGATCTTGGAGATATCAAGTCCGTCGATGAAGATTTGGCCTGAGCGTGCTTCCAGGAATCGGAAAAGTGCAAGTGTCAACGAAGACTTGCCTGCACCGGTGCGTCCGACGACGCCCACGCGCTGGTTTTTCTCGACCGTGAAGCTGAGTCCGTTTAAGACAGGTGGTAGATCTGGTGCGTAGCCTACTACAAGATCGTGGACCTCGAGATTGCCTTCTGTAGGCCAAGCCGCGGGTGCATCGGCCCCTCCTTGGTTCTCGATCTCAATATTGGAATACTCGAGAACACGCTCTGTGGCGTTCATGTTCAATTCGATGTTAGCATATTGCCGCAGTGCCATCGTGATTGCTGAATTATACTGCAACGCAAAGCTCAGAGCAAAGCCGGCAAGGGAAGCGCTGATGCCTGGGAGATAGATCACAAGAGCGGCAGTGACAGTTGAGAAGATAGCGCCGACGACATTCATTCGGAACGCGAGCCAGCGATTGAACACCCATAAATTCCACCATGCCTGTGCATGGCGATTGACCTTGTGGTATATGATCTCAATATAGGTGTCTGGTTTGCTGAAAGCGCGAATCGTAATCAGGCCAGCGAGGCTGGAACCGAACTGCTCAAACACGGGACTTTTTGCGGTGCTCTCAAGACGTTTGATTTGACGGGCACCCGCTAGATAGACTACGGCCAGTTTCAAACATATGGCCAGCAGGATCAGGGCAAACATAATGACCATCCAGTCGACAAGCATTCCCGCAATCATGACTGCGAAAACCTCTAGCATCTTGTTCACGAAGAACCCGATATCGTATCCAATTCGTGAATCAATAGCATGGAAATCAGCTGTGAAGCGGTTGAGGATTCTTCCCAATGGAACTGTGTCCAGCCATCGGAGTGGTGCGCGAAGAATACTATAAATCAAGCCATTGAACAGGTTCCTCGACGCCCGAACTGCTGCTAAAAGAGTGAAGTAATAGCGAACTGTCCCGATTATGCATGCTGTGACCGAGATGGCAATATAGACTCCAAGATACATGAAGAGGTCGTCATCTTGTGGAACTGGTGCAGTCGGTTGCATGGTATGCTGAAACAACACATCGTATTGCTCGGGGTGCGCTCGTGTATTGGAAGATGAACCTGTCCAGATATTCATCCACCATGCCTGTCGGAAATAACCATTAGAACTAACCGCAAACCCATAGGAAGGAACTGAAGGTCCATAAACTTACACGTCCGATCATGAGACATGAAAATAGCAAGAAGACAGAGATCGTCAGTAGCCAGAAGGCTACCGAACCACCTTTGTTCAAGAAAGCAAGGTACACTGACAGCCGCACCGAACCAGTTTCCCTCTTTTCGTCTTCAACGAACTTCTTCGGCGTAGATCCCTGCTGCGCAGTCCCCGATTGTGCAGGAGTAGTTCCATTTCCGTTATGATTGTGCCCGTTGGCAGCCGCGCTGGCTCTCCGGCGGGGGGTATTCGAGATGACCTTTTGAAGAGTTGTCTCTTCGTCATTGAGGAATTCATTATCATCTCCATCAACTAGATGATCCGCCTCTTCGGCGGCTTGTTCCTCGCGAAGGATATCTTCCAAGTGACGTGATGCCTTCAGTTCATCAATGGTACCGGCGTATTTGATGCGACCGTTTTCTAATAGCACGGAGTAATCCGTCCGAGGAAGACACAAGGCAACATGGTGAGTGACCAAGATACGAGTTCGGTTCTGGCCAAGTTCCCCGGTAAGAGCGTGCTCGAAGACGTGACGACCTGTGTGAGCATCAAGAGCGCTGAAGATGTCATCCATGATCAGTATACCCGCCCTAGAGTACAATGCTCGGGCAAAGGAGACGCGCCAACGTTGACCACCGCTCATGTTGACGCCATTTGCACCAATATCGGTCAAGTCGCCGTCTGGCATCATCTCAAAGTCTTTCTCCAAAGAACAAGCAAAGAGGACCTTTTTATAGCGCTCTGGATCATCTGGGAGTCCAAATAGGATGTTCGCTTTGATAGTCGCATTTTCTATCCATGGGATCTGAGCAACATAGGCAATGGCTGAGTCAATGATCCAATTTGCCTTCGTTGCAAGGTGGTCATAACGGTCTGTAATAGGAGGTGGAACGGGTACTTTGAGTGTACCCGCGAGGATATCACATTCGCCCAAGATAGCCGACAAAAGCAGGCTCTTTCCAGAGCCAGTTCGACCCGATACTACGCTCAAGCACTTTGGAGGGAACTTCAAGGTCAGCTCGCGCAGGGCGAAAGTCTCATCGGAATCTTGAGGCTCTCCTTCTTCTGTGGGCCATGCAACAGACACTTCCTCAAAGGCGATATGATCAGCGGGAACGGTATTGACGATCTTTTCGGGTGTAGCAAGGAATTTATCGATACGCTCTGCGCTAACTTTTGCTTCTAGACCCATTGACATGAGTTCTGGTATAACAGCGAGCGCCATCTCGAGAGAAGAGAACACTGACATGGCCGTGAAAGCCACAGAAGGCGATAATCCCCCGTGGATAATGGCATATGTGGTCAAGGAAACAGCTGACAATCCGACAGGGCCCAGAATCCAAATCGCAAGCAGGCCAAGATCAGCAATGAAAGAAGCCCACAACGCGCCAAGCTCTGTCTCTCGTGTTTGCCGGACACGCTGCTCCCATTGCTCCTCCAAGGCTGAGAACTTGATTTGCCGGATGCCTTGCAGCACTTCTGTCACGATTGCCAGCTTCTGATCACGGAATTTCATCAACCGGTCTTGGGCGTTTGAATATTTTTTTCGCGGCGTAGATGTTCAATGGCGTGACAAGAACAGCGATAGAAAGGCCAGCAAAGGCACTACGCCAGCCAAGAATCTGAACCAAAAAGGTGGCGCCGATGATAATTCTGAGTACTGCCTGTGGAATAATGTAGTTTAGAGCAGTAAAGTCGGTTATGCGACGAGCGTCTACGGCCGCATGGTTGATGATACTCTGCCGACTCTTCTTCAACGCATTCTCATCATCTTCATCGACCTCAGTTTCGGCTGACGTGGACCCTTTGCTGGAAGCATCAGAGCCATCAGCCGTGGTGGACTTCTTTGTATGCTTCACATCCTTCCGACGCATGGCCTTGGCAAAGACGACAGCTGAAAGCTCTGCGTAGATTGGCACTGCAAGTCTAGAGTAGACTAGCCAATATAGCTGGGCTTCTATACTTGATCCAAGGAACATCAGCCCACCCAGGGCCAGAACCCAGAGATACGATGCTGCGGCATTCCAATATGGGGTATCGCGCAGTTCAAGGGTCTTCAAGATTTGGAACAATGCAATTTGAGGACCAAAGCTTAGGAAGCAAACCAGCACACAAAGCGATATTTGAAGGACCAGGTCCCCAAAATGCGCTGCGATAACCGCCTTCCACATCTTTCGACCCTTTTTAGCACTTTCGAACTTTTGGCGGAGAAACCCAGCACGCTTCGATGCCGTGAGCTTGGGAATGTCGTCCAGTTCCATGGCATTGTATTTCTTTGCATGATTCAACAACTCACTGGCCCAGCTAAAAGTGAAGCGGCTGAGTAGAGAAACTGAAAATTCCTGTTCAACCAGCTTACCTTCGTGGTAAACATCTGGGCGACGCGGTAACAGGACACAGAACAAGCCACGAAGCGCAGTACTGGCAATCTGAGCCACCTGCAGAGCAACTGAAACTCTTCCACGAGGATGGGAGAGCCGAGAAAACACCAGAGTACCTAGTTCGATGCCCGGAACCACGATGGCGATGGTACTCCCCCAGAAAGCGAATAGGCCGAGAGTATATCGGCTTGTCGGTCGGGGTTCAGTAAAGAACGCAACGGCCTGAATAGCAAGCAAAACCTAGAAATGGGAATAAAAATTGACAATCAGCTTATTCCAGATCATACGGTTATGCATCCTTTGTCGGGATTTCTACGCACCCAGACCCCGAACTGTAACCACGCCAACGGTGTAGCATCGGTGACTCCAGTTTTCAATGTTGAAAGAACAGCCAATGCGAGAGTCAATAATAACCCAGTTAGAGAGAATAGGGCAATGGCGATTCTTTGCCATTTGTCCGAGAATGCTCGGAGGGATTCCTCGGTCGCCTCGCCATCTTCGTCGCGATAGACATCTCTGGCCAACTCGATCGGCTCGTAGTCACGAGCTCGGGTGATGCGGTTGACGATGCTCTGAATAGCAGGAATACTATCCAACGCAGCCAGCGACAAGGCTATAGAGCTTGTCATGAATGGCGAGAAGAAAGCCATCCTTCATATCGACAGACAGAAAAAAGGAAAAAAAAAGGAAAGAAAGAAAGAAAGAAAGAAAGACGAAGTACTCCGTATGCGCTATCGACTCGGACTATCACGAATGCGCTTACTCCATAGAAACCCTAGCGCAAGCCCCGATGCACGTAACGAGCGGGGAACAGTTCTTAGAATCCAAGTGACTCAGAGAAAATACGGAATACCTGTATCCTAACTGTCAGATTAATTTTACCCGGAAATTGACCTGAGTCACATCTTATGCAATGCAGCCATTCCCTGCTCGTATCGGAAAGGCGGGCACCGAAATAGGCCAGAATCGACAGCCCCAATGGGGAACATGTGCATGGCGACCTGTAAACCCATGTGGAAGCCAACTCCGAAGTCCGAGATCAGTTGATCACGGTGCCGATAGAAGCTGAAAAGCACGGGGCGAGGAATGGCGACGAGTAGCAACGCTCCTAGCGACGGCCATAGATCGATAGATACACTTTCCACACTCTTCCCAAAAGGCACGTCTAGTTCTTAGTTGTATAGCTTGTGTTCATCTAATGCAGGACCGGCCTCCACCCGCGTCTCGGCACAAACTCCTCGACGCCCTCGTCCTCCAAGACATCGCGCCCCAAGCGCGCCGTTACCACGCTCCGCTCAACCTCCGGCCCGTGCACGTAGAAAGGCTCGAATCCATGTCCGACGGGTCTCCGAGTCCATGCTTTTTTCTTTCTTTTCGATCCAGTCTCATTACTTGGTGATGTTGTACGTTCAAACCCGGAGGATTCCCGGTCAAGACTGAGATACCACCGCCGTTGATGGATTGAGCCTATTGTATTGCTTGACCCGGGGTAGGCGTTGTTTCGTTGGATCTCGAGGTCGGCGGTATAAGTATTGTCTGCATGTTTAGCCTCGGATTGAATTCCATATCGAGATCGATTGGGTGGCGTTGATCCTCTTTCTTTCGGTGACGGCGAGGGGGATTCCGAGTCTGATGTAGACGATGCTCGTGGCACCGTCCGTTTATATGGGTGTCGACGGCGTCGCTTGGGACCTTCACGGATTGGCCTCGCGAAATCAGTTGTTTTATCCATCCGCATTATAATAGTGTAATTCTTTGGCAGGCGGGTTCCATGCAGTCGAAGTCGTATTTTGCGCTTATGGGCTCAGTGTCAGAGAATGAGGCCCTTGGTTTCATGTTCGACAGGGATGTACCTACATTCTGAAAAGCTTCTCGCAACTTCGCACTATCTGAGATCCGCTCTTCCGCGGTAACATGGCTATCTTGAGAGATCTCTGATCGCGAGTCATCGGTCTCAGGTCCAGATGGACCCATCTGGTAAGGTAGGATTTCATATTCTCCTGTATCCCAGATAATCAGACTCCCAGTTTTGTGCGAGGCTGTCTCAATCAGATGATTCTGCAAAGAATTTAGCGCTTGCAATCACACCCGTCTGTCGCAGCCAATAAAACGACCTACCCATAAACAATGGATGCGAGTCTCGGTCGCATTGCGGTTCAATCGCTGGCTATTGGGATCCCCGGGCATCCCATACATAACTGACCAACTAACGGAGCTTGTCTCCGAGAATTGTAATCGAAGGTCATAGTGAGGCCCCGCGATGGGGTGATCATGTTGATGGATGACAAAATGACGGCCTTCTGGGTGCTCGTTCCGTTTGTATAGATCCATCCATTCCGTGATGGGTAGCTGTATTGTTGGTTGATTCGGAAATGAGCGAATGAATGCTTTCAGCCTTGCGGAGATCGTGCCCAGATGGTCGATCACTTCCACTTGTCCTGCCTCAATAGCAGCAAGACTGGCTGAAGAATCTGGTTGTGGTGCGTTCGACGGAAGTGTGTCCGTGTCTCCTCTGTCTCCTCTGTCTCCACCATTGGCCTGTTCAATGCATATTCTTGTAGGTGGAGGAGAAACAGGTTCAATTAGGCTAAGGAGTATTGGCCGCTGTTCATTCTGCGGAATGTGTTCTTCCAGATCGTGCTCTGGTCTACTCTCCGGGCTGTAGGAGCGTTTCATGATCTCCAAGCTAACCGGAGTGGGTCTATCTCACGGATAGGAGCAGATGATAGGCACATCTATCACTTCAATCATTCGGCTTATTGGTTTCAAATGTTTCTGTGAGGCAAGCCGAGCAGCTGTTGATGTCGTCTCGGGATCGGTCGCAGATAGCTTACTAATGAAGGCATCGAAGTTGAGGCCAATGACGTCGGGTAAAAGACGACGTTGAACTGTATAGAAAAGGCCTGCGATACATAATATAGCAATAATGCACCTAGGTATGTGGAGGGGGACGAGAAGGATGCTGTGGGAGTGAATTCTGAGAAGACCGTAAAACAAATTCTGAAGCAAGCCATCAACTCTCTTCGTCCTTGCACGTTATATATTTCCTCCCTACAACATAGACCTTCCATATAATATGAACGCTCACAAGCGTGATGTAATGTCAAACTTGATGTGAATTTCAAACTAGTTATATGGAATATAGCAGAATTGATACCAACAAAAGTATGGATATGGTCCTGCGATGGTGCCACTAAAGCATGTCAATCTGCCACCTGATCTTCTCTCCCAGCAATAGTAATCTCCCAGCAATAGTAACTGTGATGATCGTCTGGGAATGACTAGACATCTTGAAGCTGCAAGTCACGCCGATTGGTGATTGGATTCACAGGCACACTCTGCGGGTTGTGGAAAATATCTCTCGGATCGACAAGCGTTTTGATACTTTGAAGACGTTCAAGATTGGAGCCCCAGTACGCCATCTGGCCATTCTTGAGATAAGGATCAACATATCCCGGATAGGCACGCATAGGACCCGCTGGACGGTTTTCTAACACGACTTGATGCAAGCGATTGAGGAACCTCCGTGCGATGAATCCAGGAGGTTCGAACCCGACGACGGAATAGGATTGCATCCACATGACAGCATCGCGGTGCACGAAGGATGTGGCATTCATGGGAACATCGTTGATCGCACCACCCTCCATGTCAAAAATGACCCACCAGGTCTGAGTTCCCTTTGGTGCGGTGTCGAGATAAGTGAAGAAAGTGACAAGATCCCGCTCGGTAAACATCTGATCAGCGGTAAACGACAATGACTTGGAATAGAACGATGTGAGTAGGCCGCCAGCGAGTGAGATCAGGTAGTTCTCAGCGGAATTAGCCACTAAGGCTAGCCAGTTCGTGATGTATGCCACATTGCCCATACTTTCAATTGGGAGACCGTTCTCATGCTGGAATTCTTGGAACTCCTCTCGGGTACCGAGGAAACTACCCATGATCACGATACCGTCTTGGAAGATGGTGAGTTCGGTGGAAAAGTTGCGCGTAATATTAGGCTTTGCGACCAGAGACTGCCAGGCTTGGAACAATTTCACTTTGTCCAATATGTCTCCTTGGCTGAATGTATATGTGTATTGGATAGCAGCCTTAGGAACTTCATGTGTGCGAACTTTGAATTGAGTGACGATTCCAAAACTGGCAGCTGCACCCTTGATAGCCCAGAAGATATCTTGGTTTTGGGTGTCCGAGGCCGTCACAACGCTGGAATTGGCCAGGACTACTTCAGCCTCCACCACATGATCCAGCGACGTTCCCCATTGTCGTGACATGAGACCCAATCCACCGATAGTGAAATGACCACCCACGCCGACTTGTGGACAAGATCCATGTGCCATCGCTCTACCACCCGCATGCAAAAGACGGTTCTGGAGGTCACCCAAGTTTGTACCTGCTCCAACCGTGGCAATGTGGGTATCCGGATCCATGGAGAATTGCTGGAAGTTTTTCAGGTCGATGACAACATGGCCATCAGTACCCCCCAGACCTACAATCGCATATTTGCTTTAGTAATCGGAGGGTTTTAGACTTGAACGGGGTTGTACCATAGTTGCCATAGCTATGACCGCCACTGTAAGCTTGCACCCGATATTTCTCCTCCACGGCACAGCGCACAATCTCAGCAACCTGCGTCGTATTCTTGGGATAGGTGATGACCTCAGGAATGACAGGAATCGCGAGGTTGTAGGACGGCAAGGCCCGAAATTCATACAACAGATCGCCACGAAACGCAGCCAGATTAGGATCCCCTCCCACAGCAGCCATGAAGCAGTCACGGCCCGCGACACTAGCTGTGTTACCCATTTCAAAGAAAAACAGCAGTGATTCAAGTTTGATGTTCCAATATGGACAAGTAGAAGGAAGTTGGAAGAGTTGGACTTCATGTAAGGGACCCAACTAATGGGCTGTCCAACATATGGAAGGACCTTGATCGCGACTTCTTCACGAGCCAGAATGGTGCTCAGGTCTGCTGTTCATATTTTGATCTCGTCGGTTGCACATTTGTTACATTCAGACTGTTGGTGATACTATTCCGGAGATCTCCTGATCTGATTAGCATGTCTCAAAATGTCCTGTCCTGCAGGTGCACGCAGGGACTGGTGTAACCGGAGTAATTAGGGCATGAGATGCATATACATGAAGTGTGTCAAAATTAAGCATGAAAGAGTGAGCCAATCAACTTGAAGGACCAATACCAAGAGGCCGAGAGAAAGGCCGACAGAAAGGCCTCGGGGACCACCATTCGCCATCAGACGTTAATGGTCCCCGATCCGGCAATCCGCTGGAAGAATGTGCAAAACCCTACCTTGCCCCCTATATCTAGATGCTTCATTCCTTTACATCTGGTTCAGTTCAATCTCTACGAGAAATCAGTTCTATTTTTCACCGTCATTCTTTGCTTCTGCTGTCGTTGCTGGATCTCCACTAAACCCCGGACGCTAATGACATCAGGGAGCAAACTTTAATAAAGCGGACTCGACGACTAAAGGAGCATTCAACATCATGTTCACCCCAATTCACACCACGCTAGGCGCACTGTTGCTATTCCAAGGCTCCTCGGGCCTGCTTGTACACAACGGCGCTGTCTTCGGTATCTCTTCTCTCCTATCCGGATGCGCCTTCAACCCGAGCCGTGACAATGTGCCAATCATCGCTGGATTGGTATCCAGCATCATCCCAGTATATCTGCTGGCGCCATCACTGATTCCAAACTATCCGGCACCTCCGCAGTCCTGGGGTTCTGCTGTTGCCACCTTGGGAGTGGGCTTCTTATTGGGATGGGGCACAAAGGTAGGGAGCATCGGATATGATTTGTAAGGCAAAACCCAAGCTGACTATGTGAATACAGAACGGCCGAGGCTGTACCTCCGGACACATGCTGTGTGGTCTTTCCCGTCTCTCGCCCCGCTCGCTGATTGCAACCGCTGTCTTCTTCACAACTGCCTTGCTCACGGCCAACTTTGTCGAGGGAGGAGCTAACATGCCATCTTGTGGCTCAACACCGTGCTATACACCCGTTTATCCATCGGGATCAGAGTTAGGGTTCATGACCGGGGCAGTCCTGCTGGCGGCTATCACCAACTTCATTATTGTCCCGCGAAACGCCCGTCGGTCGGAGGAGTCCCGAGTCGCCTTTTCCTATGTGGCAGGGTTGGAGTTTGGCCTAGGTCTGTTGATCTCCGGTATGGCAAATTCGGCCAAAGTGCTCGGATTCTTTGCCTTTTTGACTGACCCATCTCGATTTGATCCGTCGTTGGCGTTGATCATTTTGTTTGGGATTGGACCTTCACTTTTCACCTTCTTGACTGGGAAACCAGGTCAAGAACGTGAAAAAGGAAAGCCTCTTGCAAAGCCTACCCTCGCTGAGAAATGGCGACTTCCAACAGCAACAGTGGCCGATATTGACTGGCGATTTGTTGCTGGTGCTGCGTCGTTCGGGCTAGCTTGGGGACTGAAAGGAGTTTGCCCAGGTCCTGCAATTCTGCGTACAGTCCTGCAACCAACCTGGGGATTGGTGACAATGGCTGGATACATGTTGGGTAACCTTTTCTAAGGGGATGTTATCTGTACATTATGGACATAGAAATTCAATTCTTCGTTGACTTATTCAAGCTTTGACTTGAACGTATCAGACTCGATGGGGCGAACGCAATATGAGGTGTCTCAAAAGCTGCATCCGAGATTTGATTAGCGAGGGAAATAATGCCATGTAATATGTACGTAGTTGGTTCGAAAGAGAATAGATGATATTGGCCGTTGAATAAATGGATTGGGTATATAACAGTGGGGAAATGCGAGACAGAAGACAAAAAACATCGACGAGGTCAGTAAAGGAGGAATGGCTTACAACTCAGTCTTCCTATCCAAGCGAATCGCCTCCAACTCAGTAGAGTCTTCGTCACTGCGTGCGTTAGGGGTAGATGAGTGGTCGAAGTAACCTTCTAGCCCCATCCACTCAGCAGCAAAAGCAGTAACCAGCATGCTCCAGTCTTCGACAGTATCTAAATCAAGATGTTCGCCATCGTCGTCGATTGTATGCCAAACAGATGGAAATCCTTTGAAGGGACTATAGTCGATGAGATGGAGGATCTCAACCCCCTTTGCGAGGAAGGGAAGGTGGTCATCTTGAATACCCCCCAAAGCCAAAATTTTGTGTCCATCCTTTTCAGTATCCACAAACCAAGGATCGGCCGCGGCTGTTTTGAATTGCTTTAGTGACTTGAATCGCTTTTCAAGAGCACCCAGGTTTTGGTAAGCCCAGTGAGTGGTCGGGTAATAAGAGTGAATTGTCGGAGATTTTGAACCTAGTAGATCCAAAAGAACGAAAAGAGAGATTGAGGACAAAGGAGTCTTGAATTCCGACATCGCAGGGTAGAATTGGTCATCCCAATGTGTAGCCAGCGCGCGAGCCCCGTAAAGAGAATCCGTGGCAGTCCACTCTTTGAAAGCTTCTTCGCCATCCAGAAAAATGACCTGGAGACCCTGTGCCTCGTCGAGGAACTCATATAGTCCCTGCTCCTTCAATGCAGACCATTTCTTCTCCAGCGCGCCATCGATACTGCGCATAGCATGCATAATCATGGCACATGGCGCTGCACTATCAATCCCTCCGATGAAGCCTTCGGGCGCCACCTTGCTGTCATAATGGGCGACAAGAGTCAACCGGTTGACGTCTCCAACCGAAGCCCAAGGAGGATCGCGAGTAGCGATGAAGTTTCGAAAAGGCACCTCCTTCCCCTTTGAAAGTGGTGTTTTGGATGTAGAGTTATGGATCTCAATTTTCCATTTAGGCAATGTGGTTCGAAAGAAATCAGCAAAGTGATTGAGCACTGCGGTGGAGCCGGGGGTGCCAGGAACGCGGGTCCTTAGTATAGGTGACAACAGTGCGCCATTGTGAATGTCAAAGTCGTTCTGCGGCCGTGATAGAGCGGTCAGAGTCTCATCTGATATTTTCTCATACGCATTTACGCATGACAGTAGGATAATAAGGAGGCCTAGCCAAAGTGACACAACGCCCGGTGGGCTGCGATAAGCCGGAGACATGGCGTTGAAGAGAAGCACACGCTAACGGCTCATGACTTGCATCAAAGCGACAGTCGGAAAGGATTGAAGCCTAGTCGAGCCAGGCACTCAGCAATACTGATAGGGTAAGGGATCAAACAAGACTGCGTCCAAGCTGGCAGGGGTCAGCGTCGCGCAACCTAAACAGACCGAGCGGAAGGCAAGGCGGTCACCTTTTGCCGGATGATCGGCGCTGATTTATCGGAGTCGATCAACGTCCAGATCCCGACTTAACGCCCAACCCACAGCTAAAATGCGCCTGCAGATTTTGCTTCACCCTCACTTGCGCACGAAGCTGCCGCAATGTGCCCAGCAAAGCCTTCGAAGGAGTGTCTGGGTCCGGTACAAGTCGCAAATCCCTCGGCCATCTCAGAAGCACCTTTCACCACTACCTAAATCAAAGGAATCGGTTCCTATTGCGCGCTCTCCAGTCACAAGGACCACCACACAGCCAAGAACAAGCATTAGGACAGGTAACACAAACACCAGCGGTTATAAAATGCGTGTGCTGAGCTAGAGTTGCAGGTCCACCCGAACGGATCCTGGTCTACTATGGAGGCACTGGCAGAGCTATCTTTCTGGGAACACTCCGGATCACCACAGTGCTTCTCTTTGGAGCAGCATGTCTGATCGTTGCACCGGCATGCTCCGTCGCTGATTACCCTTGGTACAGCACACCCGCGGGTAAGCTACATTCCACGTCGTATCCCCCGAGCGTCAATACTGATTCCACTATTAGTGATTGCCGCTGGTGCCCTGCCAATGCTATTTGTCTCGTATACTGCCGCGCCGTACGTGAATTTCATCCACCTGGCCCTGCCCGCCTTCGCGAGAAAGTCACGTGAAGCTGCTGCTCAGTATGCAAAGGAACTGCCTCCGACAGCCGTGCTGTATCTCACTAGCATGCGGTTCAACACAATTCCTCGGCAGACCGCTGTGCGTGTGGGAGACCTTGTCCCAGTTAAGGATGCCTTGCGGCCTGTCACATTCCAGAACTTAAACCCTTCGCCGCAACGATGGTGGCAGGGGAAAGCTCCTGTTCAGTTTTATACTGGAGCGCATAGCAAACCGGGCCGACAGACCTCAGCCTTCTTCCCTGAATTATGGAATTCGATTTACCAGCAGATCCAGAAAGCCAAGCCGCAGCCACGCTAATCAATCGTACAGCTTTGAGTTAGCCACTGGTTGCATTCATTCAAACTGTGATGCTATTGCATATACTTGGTCTTTTATTATATCCACCTAGTCCATCGATCAATATATAAATCCATTATATCCCTTATATGAACATTCATAGGAAATGTGTGTTTCAGTTTGCATGGATCAAGGCCATGACGCTTGGTATACGTAGCATCGTAGTAATATTGTGTTACATGAGTAGATACTATGAGTCGATGAAAGGTCTACAACATAATGATATTCTAAGAGCGTCAGATCAATGCAGTTTTGCCTATGCCGAGGCTCTTAGAGTGGATCGGCTCTCTTACCGTGGGTGTGTTGTCACCTCTCCCTTGTTAGATTCCCAAAGACATCCCAATGACAGCGCAAAAGCAGAATCTTGTGAGAAGATGTCATACCAAGCGCTGTAATACATTATAACAGCCATCACAAATAACCTTTCGGATGGTATCCTAAATGGTATCACGAAAGCTATGATGAACGATATTTCAGAAGATATCCTGGAAGACATCCTTAAAAAGCCCTATAAAACGTATATATAGAGACATGCTCGATGGAATTCCAGAAGCGTCACGGTCTCCATAATGCTGAATTAAGCAGAGATAGTGACCCTCAGGCGATTTTGGAATGCTTAAACGAAAAAGTACATGTATGCACGCGATGCGAAGTCTGGTAGGTACTAGGTTGCTTGAAATCAGGACAATACAAATCGGATCTATGCTTTCTAGGTAGGTCTGTGTGGCTACTTCGCTGACCTTATATCACATTTAGATCAACGTTATAACGATGGCTATATCTTTCATGCAAATGACATCCTGTATGTTAGCACAGCAGACATTTTTAAAAAAAGCTCTGTATAGTCTCTCAATCAGCGTTTCCAACAGCTTCGGGAAAGAGGTGCTTGATACTATCTCAGAGGACATAGCGGAAGATATCATGAATGATATCCTCATGTTATGAAAGAGAAAGTAGGGACCAAGGTTTTGGAAGAGATTAAGAACAATATGAAGGATGATATTATGAGGGCATTCCCAAAGAGGTCGCGAATGACACCCCGAAGGCCATTGCGGGAGACCACGCAAATGATATCTTCAGGTATACATCGAGAACGGTCGTGAAAGACGTTTCGAAAGACCCCCAAAAAGGCCTTGAAGAGCAACTCGAAAGACGTCTCGAAAGACACGCAGAAAGTGGCTGGAGATTGCTTGCACTTGGATAGTACAGGATAGAAGCCAAGCCGTTATATATGATCTTTAGAATGCCATATTCATACAGATATCTGCTCTTGAATTTGAAATCTCATCTCCACAGTGTGATCTAGTCAGGACAGCGAAGGCGGAGGATTTAGATAGAACCAATTGTAAGATTGTACAGTGTGAATTGATTGATCAATGTGCGAAGGTGTACGGAGTACGGAGTATAGCAGCCTCTGTTCGATTTCAATGAAATCCCAATTTCTCTTTTATTTCTACCTCCATACTGCGAAGAGGCATAACGGTAAATATCCCAATAGACCTTTTGGCCTATTTGATACCCTGAAATCCCTTATTGGTGCCTTATTTTGAACAGGCAGAAATTAAAATATCCAAAGTGCCCAAGTCCAATAAAATGAAGCTATTCCCACCATACAAAATATTATAGACCCCCCGAGCCTGGCCATGAATGCATTTTTATTTGATGATACTCCCTTCTCTTCTATCTCTCAATCTCTACCCTCACTACTACCTGCGTCCCCGCTTCACACCTAGCTCAAGGTAAACTTCCGTCCTCTGTCTTCCGTCGTCCGTCCAGCTCAAGAATGGTGCGTATAGCTTCATGGGTGGCTTTTGCTGGAGAAGATCGAGTATCTCGGCTTTGTGAGGCTCAGTATCAATGTAGGCTAGCATTTCGTGCGTCATGACGGTGGTTGGAGGTGGCAATAGCTTTGGGGCGATGATAATGATGAAAACGATGATAGGAGTAGCTTCATTTACAGTGACTGTATAAAGCGGTCAAACAAGCGATCTAGAATCAGGCATGATTCAGACATCAAATAGGCCAAAAGGTCTATTGGGACACTGGACGTCATGTCCCTTCGCAGTATGGAGGTAGAAATAAAAGAAGATTGGGATGTTAATTGAAACTGAACAGAGACTGCCATACAGCATCGGAATCAAGCAATAGATTCGTGAAGGACAAGCTGTTTATTTGCGGATGTTACCACACATTTCGAGGGCCTGGACATTGAAGTCTTGATTGAGCATCTGGATTGGCTCAGGCTTGCTGGCGATTAAAACTGATTGCATCAATATTTGTTCCATGATGCCTAGAATCTCTATAATCCTGAAAGTGCAGTAGATTCAGAATTCCCTCTCACTAGGAACTTATACGAGATTCTCCTCTGGCAGAATAGGCATGTCTGTTGGTGCTCATTCTGTTATTCCAAATGAAAACTGAAGCAGATTTCTATGTAGGCGTAGGTACGTAAGTCGAAAATCGCGCATTTTACTCGCATTTATCTCTCAGATTCCTCTCATCTCTGGGATTCTGAACCTGAAACGTTTGGAGAGCGCCGAATACGATTGTTTTCATCATTTCCCTCGTCCCAATATGCATTTTCAAGAGTATAAAACGAGTTGTCTGCACCGAACCCAGTTCTCTTCTCCTCAACAACCATCGAGTACCTTCTTTTCTAATTGACATCTGCCTTTTGCTCTCTTTCCAGCCACTGGGAGTTCTGATTCCTTGATATTCTTCTTTTTCTTTTCAACCACACCACCTCGTTGCCTTCCAGTATTCTACATTTGCACCCTCCGTCGCTTTCTGCGATTTCCCGTTCTCAACCACGCTGTTTCCTTGCCCCTACTTTACATTCACGTTACTTAACTCGCACTTCACTTTTACCTGCAACAAACCCATCCCTCTGTGCGTACGTGCAGCCTCGAATCCGAGTCCGAACCAAAGGATCGACTACCGAGTACAATACCCCTGCTCCTGTTACCAACAAGGAACGTCCACAATGGCTAATCGTGGATCTGGCAAAGAAAGCAGCTTGTTTGCTGGGCTATCCAGAACTGAAACCAACCTGCTCGTGATGGCAAATGTCTGCATCAAAAATGGCAAGGTATACCATCCAGCCCTAATATTCCAGATCCAATGGATTTGCTAACACAATCAATCATGAAGGTTGACTACCAACAACTTGCTGCCTATGTCGGAGTCAAGATGTCGTCTGCTCAGACATTGTTTCGAAATGCGAAGCGCAAGATTGACAAAATGATTGCGAGCGGCAACGATGCAGCTGAAGGTAACGAGGGCCAGGGTGAGACTCCTGCCAAGAGGAGAAAGTCTGCTGTCAAGGCGAAGAAGCCTCGTACCCCCAATAAACCCAAAGCCGCAGCTCCTAAGGCCTCGAAGTCTGCCAAGAAAGTGAAATCTGCCAAAACTGCTACCGAAACTGAGACAAGCGAGGATGAGGCCCTCCACAACTCTGCCCCCAAGCCGGTCAACAAGCGTACTGCCAAGGCTGCTATCAAGTCCTCTGTTGAAGGCTCTGCCAGTGACGCCGCTGCGACATCCGATGATGCAGGGGTGATTATCAAGCCCGAGGTCAACAATTCCGAGGAAGAGGAGACAGAGAATTCCATGGTTGAGGCATCTCCCACTGCAGTTGAAACCACCGAGCTGATGGACAAGGCCAGAATCGAGGACCATGGCGAAGGCAAGAAAGGCCATTTTACCGGCGAGCTCGATGTCCAGGCCACTGAGGCTGCCCTTGACTGGGCTGTCAAGCAGAAACGCCCTTCTTCACCCTCGATTTCTCCCTCGCCCGCAGGCGAGGATGCATAGATTCCAGCACTTTGAATCCTAAGCACGAGAGAAGGACACAAATTGACAAAGATCTAATTGGCACTTAATGGTTTTTAGGAGGAGCATGGGAGGAGGAGGCTTGGTGGTAATTTGATGATGAGAAAGCCGTGGTTTTGAGGGAAGCTTGCGGAGGTCAACTTGAATTTCATCCTTTTGCGCGACTTTGAGATTCTTATTATTTATGTCTCAAGGTACTTAAATGGAATTCTCTTGCCATCTCGCATGCTATACGGATTTAGATGTTGTTTGTTGGATCGATGATCAAACAAAGATGAAGTGTAGGCTCATTGTTGAAGTGCAGATCGCAGCTATGGGAACCATATGCCGTAGCACTCATATCGTCTTTACCATATTTTTAAGTTAGTGCTATAGTTGCCCTCCTTTGGTCATCCCCCCCTGGCAATCCAGGTATGTTAGCTTTCGCCTGGTTTTAAATCAAGGCACCAAGGCAGGAAACAGACCGACGTTTGCATTCTAATTGAGGCCGCTATGCACCACCGCAGCAGTGGTCTTCCTTAGACCTTGTCGGGTTCTCCTTTCTGACACTGTCAAAGTCCGACATTTTGATCTATATGGAGTGTCCTTTCCGTAGCATAAAAACTGGGATTTTTCACCCTCGAATTCTTTTCTACCCACTGAGGCTCTATGACTTCCACCACCTCCCTGAAAAAACATCAGAAAATATTGGCTGAAGACGCCAGTCACACCGATTGTGAGTTTTACTATCTCCTGGGGGTGTTCATATGCAAGGAACCAAGCGATGCGCCAACAACCCGTTCAATTTCATACATCTAAGCGAAAAGTTAACAGCGGACTCCATAGGATCATCATAGACTCTGCTAGAACCAGCCGTTTCGAGGGAAATAGCCAGAATACATGCCGTAGCAAAAATATAGATACAGTTGAACAACGGGGCTCCATTCGACCGCAGTTCTACTACAGTGGGTGCATCTGCTGCACCCGCCACAGCTACACAACCCCCATCAGTATGAGAATAGGCGGCCTTTCTCACTTTAGTAGCGTCAAGAGGACCAGCGGCTCTGCTTCCTATGATGTTACAATAAGCACTCGTTTCGTCTCAAGTTCTGGCTGAATGCATAGCGGAAACAGGCCCATGCCATGAACCTACATATTCTAGATCTGGGCTGGAACTTGCGATCTATGAACCAACTTCGATAAATCTGTTATGATCTAACTCAATGCATAACGGCCATGTAGATATTCGGTTCGAAAAAGCCAACTCGCAGTCTATACTTCCATATCGAGTCGTATCAGTCCCCCCAATAGTCATCTTCAATATTCGTTTTTCCAATCCCCCGTTTTAATGGCCTCCACCCACACGCTTCGCTGCCAATTGGACTTTCTCGCGATCTGGGTTTTGTGATATTACACTGCTACTGCTGAGATACTCGTATTATTCGTCTCGTCGTATCAGGCATCGTAATAACCACCCTAAACAGTGGACAGAATAGTACCCATGCGGCATGGCTCGGCGACGGAGTTTACCGAGTCTTTCGTACTAGTCCTCACGCATCGCGACGGTTACACGTCCTCGAGTAGATCCAGACTCACGTATTCTCGTCTCAGGTGAAGCAAAGCGATGTAATACTTTTGGTATCGCCCTGACGACACGTACGTGTGCCGTCGATTTATTAACCCTCTGCCGCCGACGAACCTTCTTCGCTCTTCCACTCTTCCACTTCATTCATCTCACACAGAACAAAGCAGTTGGCTTTCATCCAATCCTGTAACCATCTCAATTACCATTACGCAATGTCCAGCCAGTCTCCTAAGAAGCCTGGCTTTGGCGACCTTAGTGCTGCCGAATTGAACCTCATGCTGGCCAGCACCTTCTGCTCTACTGCTGGCGGCAAAGTAAGCTTCCCCAACCAAATTCAGACGAATGGCTTGTGCTGATGATACATCTGTACTAGCTTGACTACGATAAGCTCGGTTTTCTCGCTGGAATGAAGAAGAAGTCAGCCAGCACCCGCTACCCAGCTGTCAGGCGTAAGCTGCACAAGATGTTCGAGGACCAGCTCGACAAGTTCGAGGATGAGTCTTTGATCAAAGGCAAGCCTCCTGTCAAGCGCCGCAAGATCCAGCTCGATTTCGATTTTCTGAACGACATAGAGCCTGATCTCAAGACTGAGGCTGCATCTGAGCTGAAAGTAAAGTCCCCTGCCAAGGAAATTAAGCAGGAGCCAGTTGATGATGACCATTCGGAGGACTACTACACCAGCTACTTTTACTCCACCGAAGGTGCTGATCCCAAGGTCGATACTCCCCTCAAGGCGAACACCAATGACTTGGATAGCAACCCCGAGGATTCCTGCACTATCAAGGTCGAGCCCACTGATTAAGTGCTGGTGCATCACATTCGAACTTGCAGGACGTGCAATGAGAGAGAGCTATGGATGGAATCTTGAGTCGAGTCTTCCTTTATTCTACAAAGGAGTTGTATGCAGCTGTTGCACGGAACCTTCCCAGTGGAAAAGGAAATGAATCCTGTGAAATACCAATCGAGGCATTTTTTCTTAATGTATCTAGTTTGCCCTCCCTCATAGGAATGGCCAGATAACCAGATATTTGCCAAAGCAAAACAAGCATTGCTCAGTAAAATCACATAGCCCGTAAATTGTATGTAGGTTTTGGGCTGTACATGAATGTGCAGTATAAACTCCCTTCCTCGCTCGTTCCAAGGTTACCCCCTTTGCTGATTCCACGATTCTGTGATTACTATCCACATACCCACAACCAGGATAATTCCCGCCAACCAAGGGACCATGTTCTCCCAGAAACATACCAAGTACCCTCCGTGGATGGGTCTCAAAGGGATCGACGTGAAGTTCTTGCTTCTTGCAAACCTCTGCTACAATAGCACAGTTGTTCACATATGCTTACCTTTATTTGGCCCAACTAATATGTGCCTAGGAACTCGATTTCAAACGCCTATCGCAGATGATGCATGTAGAACTCCACACCAGCATCAGGTGCTTCCGCGAAGCTCTGAAAAACTTACAAGCCCTGTGTGATAACCAGTCAGGCAAGCTAGATTTCGGAGCACATGCAGATAGCGCAGAGGAGACTTCTGATGGCGATATCCTGAACAACTCCCCCTACGCCCGACGCTTCCTGCGTCGGAAACGGAAGCAAAAGATCAAAAAGCCAAAATATCTTTTCAATTCTGACGAAGGATACGAAGAGACATCAGAATCAGACACCGACCATCTATCCCCGAAGAGCCATCACCAGCAAGGGACACGCCAGAGAAAGACCGTCCCAGACAGTGATGGAGAGGGAAATGAAATTGAGAACGATGGCATTTCTGGGATGAACATCGAATTTCCACGCTGCGCTGATCGCCGGAACACCAAGGAAAAGGCTACAAAGGACGATGGTCACACAAAAGACACTACAGGCAATGCTATAAATCACAACCGATATCTGTCTCGTGGACGTACCGGAATCTCAAGCGCTCATGTAGGCCGGGACAGAGTCAAGCCGATTAAAAAGCGCCTCAGAGATACATACTTCTCTGAGAATAGCCCTACCGACGAAAGCTCCAATATTTCATTGACTGAAGACATCAAAACCTCCTCTCACCGCAATAGCCATGGTAGCGCCAAGCGCAAGCGAGTTGCGACCTCGGGTGGTGCGACCGATAGCACAAACGAGCAGAGTGAGATGGATGAAAGTGGACGGCAATCTTCCGGCGCTCACACCGAACCTGGGTCAGTTAAGATGCAGCCTCACAAGGACCATCGCAACAAGATGGCCAAGATGAACATACAGACTGATCCGGTTAAAGACCTTATTGGAGATGCCATGGCTGGGCTTGCTCTGGAAGGTGATCCAGTGAAGAAAGCCGGCCGTGATATGAAGGTTACAAAGCATCGGCATCGGGAGGATAGTTACATGCATGGGGGATCTGACTCTGAGGAAGCCAGCGCATATGAGTCTTGCAATTCAGGGGTTGACTGATTGGTGGATTGATACTGTGTTTGTTTGAGTAGGGCATTTGCAGGCACGTGAGACGGATGACTACCTGCTATGATTGATCTAAACCTTTGTGTGATGGATTTGTGAACCACTTGTTGTGCTCAATGAAAGCATGGAGAAGAGAGATAATCCGAAAACCCAAAAAAACAATGATGACAGTGACCTATCTCGCGGACTTGATTGAAAAAATTATGATGAATTGAATAACACTTGCTTCGCTATGGAGATACAAATTTTTAAACTAGCAGACAAGATCCATCAAGCCTGAAAGTTAACCGAACAATCCCGGGGCGCCTTTTGAACCCACACATAAAGGACAAGAAGATAGCTGATAGGAAGCGTCTGTAGAAGGGAAAGACAGGCACAATGTTCATTACAAAGATGATCAAAAGAAATAAGAAGCCACTTGAAAAAAAGATATCTCGATGACTAGAGGGCCTCGATTGCCTTCATCAAGACATCCAGGCCACGATCGGAGACATCCCCTGAGTTTGAATCTTCCTCTGTGACAGTTTCACGCAGGGCCCAAGCTACATCGCTCCACCACCCCAGACCAACGAAGCCACCGCCCTTACGACGCTCGAGGCTTTCCTTGAGACGGCTGGTATGCTCCCACTGCTTGGCAGCATTTTCGGCACATTCGATGACTTTGCTTGGGATACCGCACATAGAAGCACAATGCATACCGAAGCTGCCCTCCGCAACGCCCTTCTCAAGCTTGTATAGGAATGCGACACGGCGCTCGACATCATCGACGTGGATAGCCATGCGCTTGGGTGCGATTTCAGGGTGGTTTTCGAACTCGGCAGCGAGCGAGTGGTAGTGAGTGGCAAAGAAGCCCAGTGCGCCGATGTGGGTAGCAATGTGATGTAGCACGGCCTGGGCCACGGCGACACCATCATAAGAGCTAGTTCCACGACCGAGTTCATCAAGAATAACTAGTGATCGCGGAGTAGCCTCGGAGAGAATTTTCTTTGTCTCGGACAACTCGACGAAGAAGGTTGACTGAGCTGCGAAGATGTTGTCGTTTGCGCCCAGACGGGACATGATTCGGTCGACCGGGGTCAATCGGGCTGACTGACAGGGAAGATAGCAACCGATCTGAGCCATGATGACCGCAACACAGGTCTGGATTCGTTAGCAAGATGAGACAAATGGAGGAAAGGTGTTGACATACCATTCGAAGAACAGTGGACTTTCCGGCAGCATTGGCACCGGTGAGCAAATCAATATTGGCATGCTCTCCTCCAAGCTGGATATCGTTGGGAATAAAGTCCTCGACAGAGGAAAGAAGACAAGGGTGACGGAGCTCCTCAAACTCTAGGACACTTCGTTCGTCGTCCACGAAAACTGGCCGGCAACTGGGGTGACCAATAGCGCCAGAAGCCTTCGCTAAACTGATTAGACAGTCAAGCTGCGAAACGATTCTCACAGCAGCAAGCCATGTGCTGTAGTGCTCATCGAATCGGGCATGGAACCGTCGAGCAACCTCCTTGACAATTTGACTATGGGTTTCTTGGGCCTCTTGCAACTTGCGAATGAGGCTTCGTAGCTCAGGGAAGTAGTATCGCTTGACCTGTTTGGTCGCAGACATCTGGTTCCAATCCTTGGGAACGTTCTTTACCTTGATAGGGACCTCGAGCTGGTAAATCTCCTTGCCATTGTCCCGGTAGCAGATAGCAGAAGAGCCCAAGTCTCGGCGTGCCTTTTTGAGTAGTGTATCGAGGTCTTTGTGGAGTTGTTCGATGATTTCTTGGGAATGATCAAAGTCCTCTTCAACGCCAGCCTCGGGAACGAGAATTCCGTTTTCCCTAGCCTTGGGCCGATCAAATGCGGTCTTCCAGTAGCCAAGCAGAGAGGCCAGATCAGGCATTGCGGTTATCAGTTCACCAATAATGCTTTCGCTTGAACCGATATCACTTTCCTTCAAGAGACCCATAGTATAGTCAATCTGTTCAAAGCCTTCTAGGACTCGTACAAAGTCCTGAGCCTTGCAGTTGCCAGCGTGGATACGAGAGATCAGTCGCTCGAGATCCGGCATCTTTGTTAACTGGGACGAGAACTGATCGCGGACACTAGGGTCACCATTGAGGGCATCGACGGCGTCAAGTCTTGCATTGATCTTCTTTGAATCCACAAGTGGGTGGCACACCCATTGCTTGAACATGCGCTTGCCGAAAGGTGTGATGCAGCGGTTGAGCAATTGGAACAAAGTGCCTTCGGAGCCGCCATCAAAGGAGTTGGCGAAGATTTCCATGTTGATCAGAGTCTGACCATCCAAGACAAGGCTGGTAGCCTTCTTGATTGGGTCATACCACGTGAAGTTGCCAATGGTGATCAAGTCACGCTCAATCTTCAGCACTCGCAGATATTGAACCATAGCACCAAATGCACACATCAGCAGCTCCTTTTCGCGGGCTTGACGCAGAACCTCAGGCCATGCTGTGAGGTTATCGTCATCCGCGGAGACGAAGTACTCGCTTGCCTCAAGCTCGCGAATTGTGATATCTGATTCCCAGAACTCTTTGCCTGGTTTCATGAAGTTCCAGATTGTGGTTGGGCCAGTATTGTTTTTGAGGATACGCATGGCCTTCTGCGAAACACAAGACTTCTCCAGCAACAACTCTCGAGGGCGTGTTTGTGCGACGAAAGTCTCGAATTTGGTCATGTCCACATCGTCAACAAACTCAGACAAAAAGAATTGACCTGTAGCGGTATCAACAAAAGAGATTCCGAACGCAGGATGTTCGTCCACAATTGCTTCCTTGATTGCAACACAGTAGGTAGACATATCATCTTGGAGCATGGACCCTTCAACCAGCGTTCCCGCAGTGAGAACGCAGGCGAGCTCTCGCTTGATGATCTTGTCTTCTTTTGTGGGCTTCTTGCCCTCCCTCTCACGCATCTCTTTGCCGAGAGCAGATTCGGACTGGTCCACACGGGCAATCTTGAAGCCCTTGGCCACAAACTGGTTTGCCCAGTGATCTAAACTCATCTCAGGAACACCGACCATGCGCATATTGACTCTGTCAGTGAGCTTGAGATCGAAAAGCTGGTGACCAATAGTGGCGTCGTTCTCGTAAAGTTCATAGAACTTGCCCTTCTTGAAGAAGACAACGGTATCCCAAAACTTCTGTTTAATCTCCCAGTATTGTTTTTCGAAAGGCGAGAATCTGGACCATGCAAGAGGAGGAATGTAGATGGTGCGGGGATCGTAGTCAGGGTGGCCCTTTGGATTGCCATCGATATCCTTGAGCGTCGCGAGCCATGAATAACGTTGCTCCGGCTCTTTAATGTGGGCTTTCTCTTTTTTGGCACTGGCCGGTGCCTTGGAGGGAACCACAGCAGCCCGCTCCTTCCGAGGTTCCCTGTTTTCCGGATCAAACGTCCATTTCTTCGCGGTGCCAGATGGACCCTCTCCCTCGGGAATATCAATATCGATGTCGTCGACAGGTGGGGGAGGAGCGGGGACGGAGGAGGATTTGGAGGCGGACTTGCGTGCAGATTGCGTGGAGGGTCTCTTCCGTTTGGTGGATGATGCGATAGCTTCTTCCTCAGAGTCATCTGCGACGACAAAATCGTCCATGTCTATACCAATGTCAATCGTGTACCAGGCAAAAGTACTAGCGCCGGAACTACATACCATCGTCCGAGTATCCAATATCATCGCCGGCCGCTTTAAACTCATCCTCGCTCTCTGGCTCGCTTCGTCTTCTCTTCACTGCCCGGCCAGAGACACGGTCCTGGCGATTAGGACGGAAAATAACCTCATCGTCATCTTCGCCCTCGGAGTCAGACTCCTTGTAGCTGACCTTCTTTTGACCCTACATGAAGTAAGTTAGCAGGGCGGATTAAGTAAAGGATCGAAACACAAATTCCCACGTACCCGACGCGAAGGCGACATGGCGGACTCCTGTTGTGCCTCTTTGGTAGTCTGACGAGCGAAGAGTTCAGTCAGCGCGAAGGAACAAACAAAAAGCAGGCTCAAGACCGATATACCTTCAAAATTTTTCCATTCTCCTCTACTTCCTCTGGTATCGGGAGATCGCTGCTCGGTACAGGACTCAAGTCCTGCGCAAAGCTTGAAAAGCTTCGTTTTTGCTCCTTGGGTGTGGGCTTGACAGTGCTACGCTGCTCCGCGGCTCTTTGTGCGGGAGAAGAAGCCGGCTCTCGAACGCGATTATTGGAAGGAGTTGCTGGTGATGATTTTTGGAAGAATCCCAGAATTGATTTCTGGCTTCGCATATTCTGGGTGCTTGGTGTCGCGCGCTTCAGCGCCGGGGAGGACGCCGCCGACGGAGAGGAGGCCGATGGTTTAGCCATGCTTTTTGTTATATATGTTGGAAGTGAGATATCGGATCAAAATGAAACCACTATATTCCCAATTCAATGCATGGCAATTAAGGGAGTTGTGAGGGAACTGGGGATGGGGAGGAGATAAGACCCAGGGCGCGAATCGCGTCGACGCGTAAAGCACTTTGCCCGGACTCGACCTGTCCATTGATCATCCTCACCCGTGTCGGGCTTTTTTTTCTCTCGCTACACGGATTATTATGATTGGTTATTACTTCACAGATGACTTCAAAGAGTATGTATAATATTGTACAGATTGGATATTGTAGAATTACAGATCTAGTGGAGGTTCACAGAACACACTTAGTCCGACTTGGCCGGCTCAGTCGGCTCAACTGGTTCGGTCTCCCATCCAGGAGCTGTGAGGCCTTGCGCGCGGAATTCTTCATCGCTGATAATGTGGACAGCCTTGAACTTCCACTTGCCGAGCTTGAGCATCAAGAGATTGTCATTCAAGACAAACTCTCGTGTCTTCTCGGCATCCCATGGTCGAATGGGCGTGAAAGACAGTTGGTCCGTCATGGGACCGCTATCGCCAGGACGGCTTCCAACTTTGGCGCCGTTGTTAACGATGACTCGGTGACCTTCGCTCTTGGACGAAACAAGGCCGGCTGACCAAAGGATTTTGTTGAAGGGCTGGTTGAAAACAAGAGATTCGGGGAGAGTAACCTTGATATCACCCATGTTGGACCAGTTTGTTTGAGGAGCATAAGGGTTACCAGATTGAGGATTATCAAAGCCAGCAGTGGGAGATTGCGCATGGCTCGAGGGAGGGGTAGATGATTTAAGGAGAGGAGTTGGCTCGGCCGTGGAGGATCGGGGGCGGAAGAGCTGGCGGTGTTGAAGAGCTACTGCATCAGCTTCGGCCTTGCCGTGAACAAGCTCGACAAACTCGAGGGCGAGCTTATGCTGCGCAACACGCTTGGAGGGGTCCTTGTTCTGCTCCTCCATAATGGTAGCGATTTCGGGCAGGGGAATGAAAGTGAACAGCTTGAGGTAACGCTCAACGGTATCATCCGGTGTGCGCACGAAGAACTGGTAAAGTTCAAATGTAGAAGTGAGGTCTTTATCGAGCCAGATAGCGTTTCCTGCAGACTTGCCGAACTTCTCGCCGGATGGAGCCGTCAGAAGTGGTGTGGTAAAGCCAATAGGCCGGTCTAGTTCAGACTCTAATGGGTTTCGGACTTGCTCATCGGCGGTATTCCGGCTGATAGACTTGACAGCTTCCATGCCAAACAAGATGTTTCCATACTGATCGGCACCTCCGACTTGAATTTGTGTGCCCTTTTGGAACAAGGTCCACCAATCCCAGGCCTGGAGGAGGGGATAAGAAAACTCAGCAAACGACATGCCGTCACCTTGAGTCAGTCGAGTCTTGACACTAGTAGAAAACATCAGCAACCCCATGTTCCCAGTACCATAGGAACCGGCTCAACTCACGTATCTCTGCCCAGCATAGGACCAAGTCGCATGAAAGCGCCGAGGTCTCGCAACACCTCAAGGAAAGGCATCGAGTTCCACCAAGTGTTGTTATTTGTCAATGCCCGCTTCCACATTGGGTGCCTCTCGTGTCCATGTCTTCTGCCATAGTGCTCAATACTCGATCCCAACTTCTTCAGCTGCATGTGCATGCTAGCCATATTTGCTTTTCGGATCGAGGAATGGACTGCGTCACGGCCCTTAAGACGCCCGCTAGGGTCACCGACTCTAGATGTAGCACCGCCGAGCTATACAACGTCAGCTGCGGGATTTCGATCGAGCCGAGGAGCCGAAGAAAACTAACCAAGAAAGTTACGGGTAAACCCCAGACGTATCCCCAAGCCAATACCATGAAGGGCAGCATGTGTCCGACGTGCATTGAAGGAGCAGTCGGATCAATTCCAACGTATATACCAGCCCGCTTCTCCGTTAACACCTTGTGCAACAAGTCACGTTCTCTGCAATCGAAAGAAACTATCAGCATGCCATTCAAACATAACCCCGAATCTAAATTAACCGGATCAAGTGGAAATAGGTGCTCCATACCCGACAACATCATGGATCAAACCACGCTCCTCCAAGTGTTGCGCGAAGTTCTTCCGGGTCCCTGCCTTGATTTCCTGGGCAAATCCAGCCCATTCCTTCTCTCCATCCTTCATACGCTGGATATGCTTTTGTGTGATCCATCGCTGCTGTTGAAAGCATGTCCCGGACTGCGAAGCAGACAATACCGGCCGATTGCTATCACCGCGCAACGGAAGTGCTGTTGTTGTGGCAAAGCTGCGCGCTCCGCACGGGATGTGACGGCGGTTGAGAAGGCTCCGGCATGGCGCCCGACTGAGCGATGCCGACTGTGGTCGCATTGGACCGGTTTTGGAATGCGAATATTATTGACACGGCTTCCAATGGGCTCACGGCTGTAGAGAAAGCTCCGAGATTCTTTCGATAAGTCCGGAACATTGATGATGCGGTCCTTATCTCTGGCCTGTTGATCATGTCCCTGATTTGGGTGCAGATTAGGGCTCAGGGCTACTTGAACTATCTCGGACATCTAGAGAGATATAGCAGAGATACTCCGTTGAAATAGTTTGTCTCTATCAAGAAGACCAGATGATAATGTCCAAGTCTATATAGAAACTCGCCCCTTCTTAACCCACAAACACTTGTACAAAGGCCTCATTGCTCCACCCACTGTCCAACTTCATAGCCTTCCAAGCCGCCAACACATCAATTGCTAGCACATTAGCAGTCTCTCCACCTTCTATCCAGACCGTCTCCTCCGGAACTGCGCGTCCCAAGATCATGACCATAAAGTTCCGCGCAATAGTCCTGTCTTGAAGATCGGAGAAATAAATCCCCAGGGTTCCCAGCGCCTTCAAGCTAATGTCAAATCGCAAACGGCCGTTCTCAACAAGAGATATATCAGAAGTCACCACAGCCGCTGCACCGGTCATCTTGCCTAGAAGACCAAGGACAGCCACATGTGTCAGACCATCACCAGATGGGTTACATCCATGGCTTCCCTTCAGCGTGAATGAGCAAGTCGGGTACGCAGTGAGAATCTCCCAGCCCTCTGGCTCCAGGACAACCGCAACCAGGGAGTTCTGTGTCAAGGGCCGCATGCGAGTGGAGATCTTACCGCTGCTATGTGCACGTACAATGTAGTGGCCGTGGGAGTCCTCATGGATCCCTGGGAAATCCATCAAGGAGACTATACTTGAAGCCTGCGCGGAATTAATATTGAACAGGCCCAATATTCCACTTCCAGTCTTGGCCCAGCCAGTGTAGCTTCCCACACGCAGGAGATGTCCTTCATTGTAGCCGTGGTACATGTCGATTGTGCGTCCAATGACACTAGGGCGTAGGATTACCGTAGTTCCTTTGACTGTGGGTGCAGCTATTTGGTCCAACACAGTCAAGTCATGCTTGCCCGGCTCATCGGTGATATAGATGGGTCCTCCCGACACACATCGTGCTGCAGCATGGAATGATGCGTACGGATGACTTGTTTGGAACATATCCCAGTCGGGCAATACATTCAAGAAGCGGGTGAGCAAGGAGTTATGAGCGTTGCAGAACACATGCCACGGGTGAGAGGCAGGAACATCCGGGAAAAAGTCATCGGAGTTTCGCAATGGAATTGTGGGTTTGTTGGTGGGCATTTGTGAATGGAAGATTATTTGAGGGGTCATTGAGCCGCATGAGATTGCCCGAGTGCTGAAATGCTTCAGTGATGCTATAGACCACGCATCTTGATAAGAAGTCATGAATCTCTGGCGGTCTTCTGGATCTTCAAGAAGATCGATAAAGAATTGTGCATCGGTCTTCACGGAGTCTATGCCGACCGAGCTAAGGTAGCCATAGAATTCGTCGTAGAATCGTTGAACATCATCAGGATCGATAGCAAGGATTTTACCATCTGGCAGATTTTTCGCGATGGGGCCGTTGGTGGAAGGGTCCTTGATCTTCACTTGCTTTGTTTTGAATCTTTGAGCTAGGTCGCTATCTGGTGAGATACCTCCCCAATATCCAAAAAGGCATGCCAGACGGCAATATGTTCGATACCAGGATGCACGCGATGAATAGCTTCCACTGTGTGCTTCAGTCCCTTGGGGAATCCTTTTGGGTGTGCCTCGAACTGTTTCCACCTTTGCTGGAATTGAGAGTTTCCTTCATTGTCGTTAGTCTGCCAACCATCATCGATAATAAGATTGACAATATTGATTCCATTGGACTTTAATGTATCCAAGGCGTGCAAAATCCTCTCTTCCGTAAGATCCTGTCCCAGTCCATTCCAGGTACAATACGTCAGACCATCGAACCACTCAGACAGCCACTGTGCAGTTGGGTCTTTCTCCACAATAACCATATCGTCACCCGGTGGAGACAATGGAACTTGCTCTTCCAAATCAATATTAGTCTGGTTTGCGAACGGCCTGACCACTTTCCGAGCTTCGTAGATCAGTGCGGAGATGGCGACTTCAAAGTCTTCTGCGGCACTGACCAGCACATGAAACCTCGATGGCTCTGAATTGTCACTCTTTGCTGTGACTACAACCTCACCCTTTTCATTTGACCGAAACACCGTCAAGACATCATTGACACCCGACACAGCCAGCATAACAAGATGTCTACCATCTTCGCGCAAGAAAGAACACAATATCGCGTCTTCGGTCAGTCGGAATTTATCTTTTCCATGCCTGGGACCTAGCCATGGACTCCACACACGCACCAGTGAGAAATACCTCACCACCGACGAAGGGGTGCCAATTGAAAGTCGCTTGATTGTGGATGCACCATCTTGAACGGCATCGATATCACCAGAAAGCGTCCAAAGTACTGACCCTGGAGCTTCACTCAAACGCGACTTAATCTGCAATTCGTGATTAAGATTATCAATGTACCTTCCTAGATCACCTCCGGGAGCTTGTGTAGTTGGATCGGTGGACCCACGCTTGTCGAGGTCGGAATGGCGTGGGCTATATACAATTTCACCGTCGCTCACAGGATGTTTCTGGTTTGCCCATTGCCAATCTGTGTCTGGGCCAGTGCGAAACCGCACAGTAAACCGGGCATGACCACCTGCTGCTGGCAGGAGTAACTCGCCCGAGAATACATGGCGATGATAGTTGTATTCGCTATCATCCCCAGTTAATAAAGGTGTATGATCAAGACGGCCTTCCCGCAGTGACAAGGATGTCCATTCGGATCCAGTAATATTATGCCAAATCTGCGCTTCCCACGATTGCGTAGGGAACGAGCTGCTGGACTCGATTGTCACTGTGAACCGTAGCTGTTGGTGATATCAGTATAATTGCACCCTGGTTATAGAAGGAACCCGGCAGTGGATAACATCAACTGAACGGCATATTCGGAAGACTCACCGCATCGTCTTCTTCGGATCGCAATGCCTTTTGCGCCCTTCGCAGACAAGTGATTTGACCCAACGGGGGATACGATGTTATCCGGGCAAACATGGCCATTTGCGCTGGACGAATAAATGGTGTTTGCGTCCGAGTGATTTGGCTCGCACCCCGGATTGGGAGGGTTGAGGGGGTATCTTGAGTGTTGACCTGCATTGGAGAGGGGTAGACCGTCAAAGCAGCTCTCTGGTCCAGCAACAGAAATCAAGGACAAAAGATGTTCGTTATGTGTGTGATACTGAAGATGAAATAGCTCATATAGAGAGGGTGTATGATTAAGTGTAACGAGGTTGAAGGTCGTTGTTGGGGTTGCCTGCAGATGAAGGTGATGATGAAAGTGGCGGGGGACCTATCAGATGCCAGTTGCCCTGGACATCGGCCCTCGAATCCAGGCTTTGATCTCAACTTATTCCTCAGCCGAGTTCTAGAGTCACCATTTTGTTGGCGCCTGAGACTGAGCTTGTTCTTATGTCAAGATCTCCTTTTACTGCTAGGGAAATCACAACATGCAGAGAAGATATCTCAATAATTTGCCCGATTGAAATCATTCTTGATTTGAAGACAGTATGCTGATCATGTCGTCTATATATTGGAACACGTTCTACTTCTATGCCGATCAGTTGATTTTGATGGTCAATTTGCCAAAATGCTTCTGGGCGAACTGCAATCCAACCCGTTAGTATGCAATCACTTCTACGAAATGAAAGACTACTCACCATGTAATCATAGGCCTCACGTGCCTGATCAAGGGTGAATACCTTGTCGTCAACCACAGGATGGATATCATTGGCCTCGATGGCTCGAATCATATCCTTCATGAGGGCCTTGCTACCGACATAAACACCACGAACAGTACAGATGTTACTCAATGTTTCCAAGACAGTCGGCTGAGTCTTTGGGTCCACGCCTCCAAGGAAGCCAATGACGCTAATGATACCTTCAAACTTCACGCACTTGAAGCTCTGCTGGAGAGTTCCACTGCCGCCCACTTCAATAATGTGGTCAACGCCAGCTGCATCGGGTGTCAGCTTGCGAGCAGTCTCGCCCCAGTTTGGGTCATTCTTATAGTTAATGACATGATCAGCACCGAGCTTCTTGAGTTTCTCAGCCTTCTCGGCGGAAGACGTTGTCGCAATGACTGTTGCGCCAGCAGCCTTGGCGAACTATCAAACAATGGAGTCAGTTCAGTGAAATCGGACTCGGGCTAGATAAAATATTGACTCACCTGCAAGCCAAATATGCTGACACCACCGGTTCCTTGAACGAGAACGACCTGGCCAGGCTTCAAAGGCTTCAGGCCATATAGCGCATTCCAACTGGTGAGTGCGGCACATGGGAGGGTGCTGGCCTCAAGGGCAGTGAGATTGCTAGGTGCCTTAACCAGACCCTGCTCATTGAACACACCATACTCGCGAAGGGTGCCATCAATTACACCTCCAAGGCCCGTTCCAGCGGCATATGAGTCAATCTCGCCATATTGGTGGCCCTGGTTGAAGAGAGTCGCGACGCGATCGCCCTTCTTGAACTGAGCAACCTTGCATCCAACCTCTACAACCTCACCAGCACCATCAGAGCCTGGCACTACAGGCAGATCCAGAGCGAATGGATATTGGCCCTGTCAAAGTTAGAAAATGATGTGCCAAGGGGACAGCAGTCTCAAGGAGACAGAGTCTACGCGGGAGAATGTTTAATATCCCCACAACACCATACCTTGGGGATAATCAGATCGCGATAATTCAGCGATGCAGCTTCAAGCCTCACTAGCACTTCGTTCTCACCGACTTTCGGAACAGCGGCATCCTGGTAAACAAGGCCGTCGAGGTCGTGTTCCTTATCTTGAATGACCCATTGCTTCATAGTGGAGGGAGACATTTCGGTACGTCGTATATACAATGGTACACACCCAATATGTTCGAATGGTGACAAGATGACGTGGTATGGAGGGGCTTATATCAGGGACGGCACTGACGTGTGCGGCCTGTTTTTGGTTCCACTTTCATGACGGAAAGATTATTAAGAGAACAAACCTGCCCAGGACAAAAACAAACCCGCTCATTCGTCGAATCCTTCATCAGGCATTCTGGAGGCCCAATTTCCATCGAGCTAGAAGTACCTAGATACTCATATCGTGTCACTGACATACCAAGTTGCAAGATTTTCGCTAATCTTTTCGTTCGGGGGATTTGGATCGAAAATATTTAGCACAAAACATATTTTATGCTAGTAATTTAGGCATTTAGCCCTATCGATTGCGAATGAAGAGTTTACGAATCGTATAAGAGCCCGTCGTGATATCAAACATTATATAGTCCTGCAAATCATGCATGTCGGCACTCGGGAATAACTCGGGTTCGGCTTGCTTTGTGCTGGGCTACCGGGTTTGAAGCCACTGCAGTTACCTGAATGCGAATCATATATATGCTTGTGATTTGTACACAGTTTGCTCATTGACTGGAAGTTTTGTAATAATAAGGCAAAATAAGCCACTCAAAGACAGGCCGAGAATGCAGACTAGTAGGAAAAAGGCATCCATTGTTAGGTTCTTGAATGAGGAACAGTATTTTACGTCTACAAAGGATCAAAATCGACCTCAAAAGGGGCATCGACTATATAATCACGTCGTTCAAGATTTGAAGGAGGCGCAATGCTAAAATGCCGTGGCTGCAGTATTTGAAGTGGGTTCCTTGTTAGCTGCATGAACTAAGTCAGCCTCAACTACTCCGTATAGATTGCATATTCAAAGACAACCCTAGATAAACCAAGAGTAAGTCATCCATTGCAAAGACTTAAAACATTATTCGCTACTATATTCTCAAGCTGCTGGCTTTTATTCATGCCTACGAGCTTCCAGATTACAAGACATCTCTACGGCTTGTTCTGAACTTAGTGAAGACGCCATTAGCGCTTTGCCCCAGTCTCCTCCTAGACCGCTGGGGATAATTTGGGATTCAATTCTCTGCAATAAACAGTAAGAAGTACTAGAGGACCAGGAGCTATGTCCGCTATTTCCCTAAGATTTCTCTCCGGGCTGAAACCAAGGACTCTGATCCAAGGTGAATAGGCAGCCTAACAAGACAGAGCCAAGTCAGCCACTACACGATCAAAGCATGGACTACCACGATTTCCTGATAGCGGGAATTATTTGTATAAAAGCAGCAATGACTCATGTAACAATCATATTCTCTCGTCGAATGAACCGAGTACGACTAGCTACATGACCAGCGTGCCTATAAACTTCCCCCGGTGCAACATTGTAAGCCAGAGCTTTATGTACATCCATATCTGGTTACACAACCCTCCCATTTGCGTTCTTTTGATTGCTACCTTGTACCCGTCGATTGAGAAGGAGCGGTGTGCGTATGTTGCAGACAAAGAAGCAAAAACAACGGCGATCATTTAATCAACATTTCAGAGAGTGACTATTATTGGTGCCCGGATACGAATTACTTCTGCAGCACTTGATCAAGGCAACGATGAGGAAGGTTTCGATAAGTATGACCTTATTGCCAGCACTTTATTGCCAAAGTTGAAAAGTGTGTCTATCCTATGCATGTTTGCTGTGCCATTCCTTTCGACCTTCTCGGTATGGAGCACGGAGTAAGCTTAGAGGTATTCTATAGTTTTGTACCGAGTTTGCCAGGCCATTTCTCAATCAATGTACATATTTTGCCAAGCTACACAATCTTGGCACGTACAGTGTCAAATGCAACTCGTTGACATGTCAACATTCGCGCTAACTCGCGAGTCGGCTCGGAGTACTCCGTACACGTAGTAAATTAGGCCTAGATTGGCTGTTTCTATGCATTTCTGCAGGAGGCACTTGCTCAATTACGCAGGTAGTTTGACCTCAGACCCAACAAACGTGCATTTGAAGACCCAACAAACGTGTAGTTGAAGGTTTCTTCACTACCTTGCATGTATCCATGGCGGATGAAGGATATTGCTTGTAGGGCTAGAACTCACTGAGGGGAAATAACGCTGGAAGCGGGCTCATAACCCGTCTAATCCACATTCACTCACGAATGGTGCTTCCGGCCTGTTCTGGGAGATTTCCGATTGATGGCAGAAGATACTCAGCCTGCATATTCTTCCACTATTATATTATAATCAAATACCAATCCACATCGGATATGCCTAATAGCAAACTCTGATTTTCATTATTCTAAAGATTCCCGGAGTTTGCGCACTAAGAAACCACTTCCTTTACAATATCTCTAATCAATGCAACCCCAGCGGATAGGAAGCCGAGATGGGGGTACTCCGTACGGAGTACTTAGCTCGAGCTATCAAGACTATATCAGTCAGATAAGGCCATCTTCACCGAATACGGGGTAGAAATTTGGGGTGAAACAGTTCTGCATAGGAAAGTCCACGGTTGGCGAAGATCAACAAGCTGTGCATGGAGTGTTCCGAAAGAGTAGGTGATTTGCCAGAATCAACAGATCACACAGGATACGAGGCTACGAGGTATGTGTCAAATTGATGGATGTTCTTTTGTACTCCGCACTCCGTACATCTTGCCCAGATGATTAGTTGTTCTTGATCCATGGGGGAACTTGCCTAGCCCGTACTCCGTACATGCACCTGAATAGGTAAATAGTCGATATCTGACCAACATATTGGAAACTGCTCAGGTGCCTAGGTGAACCCTCGAGCCAGGCCTTGCTTTGGTCGGATAGTAGAGACTATTTCGACAACTGCTGTGTACCTGTACGCAAAGTTTCTCTGTATGGGCATATAGAGTGACATGATCCTTATTTGCACGAGCAGGTACGAGAGCGTGGGGCCAGGGGGCGTCGGGTGCGGGGACATGAGGCTGAGAAGGCGCCCGTGGCTGCGGGAGGCCTGACGTTGGCGCTCTTTTAAATTCATCTTACCCAATAATGCGGCCTATCCCCTATGTGACTCGTCAGATCCGAGGTATTGTGCTTGGAATGGCTATTGTTTGTTCACTACGCTCTGTACTTCGTCCTGTCATACCAATATTGAGTCTTGGGTAATGACTCCGTTGACTAAGAGACGACTGGAGCATTGTCGCGAAGTATAAAAGCATCGAGATACCCTCCCCAAACTCGTACTCTTGGAAGTCAACCCTTCTTGAACAATCCACAACTTCAATCCAAACGCCCCCTTCACAATGAAGATTACAGCTCTCCTCTTTACCCTTATGGCTGCCACCGCCGTGAGTGCTTCCACGCTTGCTGTACGAGATCTCTGTGGTGGCAATGCTGGTGCCGACCAAAGACGTACCAATAGCCCTTGCAAATCCGGAAACGGAGATAGAAACTTCTGCGGCTGTGACCGAACCGGTGTGGTATGTTGAGATATCCATTCTGAAACATCAGTCAATCTTGCTAACCTGTATTGCGATGAAAAGGTCGAGTGCCGCGGTGGTACATGGACGGAGATTCAGGATTGTGGCCGCAGCTCATGCCGCGGTGGCAACCAGGGAGGAGCCGTGTGTTAAACTGGGAACAGCTTCTGGGGGGTCTATGTTTTCGGTCCAATCTTCCATTGGGGCCATTGGGTCACTTTGCTGGCAATTTGTGAAGCTCAGTTCACTCCCAGTTCGAAGCAATATGTTACTCGTCGCTCCTTGTTCTTGGCCAATTCATATACTCTGAGAGTACTGCTTGCTCTCTACTTGACCACGGCGTTGGGACCCACCCTAAAACATGTTATCATGGTAGAGCACGATGAGCAGAAGTAGATATCGAGATGGCTTGCTTCCATCGAGATTCGGGTCGTGACCCAGGTATACACTACATGTGGTTCCCAAGACCTCTTCCTCGCTGTCCTATACATATCGTTGGCCTTTCTCCAGACTAGTCTCTATTGAATAGTGGTAAAGGAGTATATGTCTACGGTTCAGCTCGGTCGGTTGTATGTATGGGACTACGTATGTCGAATGGTGCCTCTGATCTGCCACGATTTATCAAAGAACATAAAATGACTGAGCAATGGCTCCGCACAGGTATTTAACCCGTGGACTAACTGGCAGTCCTCGGTAGTATTGCAAAATGGTGGCTCTTGAGCTAGCCAAAATCACACAGTATGTCCACCCTTTCTGGCCATATTCATATAGCTTCAGGTATTAGGACCTGCTTGAAGATTATGTCACAACCCAAAGAGCTACCTAGGTAGGTACTTATTGTTGAAATGCGAAATGATGATTGGAGGGGCAGTAGTAACTATGTGACTCACAGTTGGGGAAAATATATATCAGCCTCAAGTTTGGAGAAGAAGTTCGTAGAGCATGTCAAGTCCACTAAGAACCCCGATTCAGTTGCGCATAGGAGCACTGTAGATTTTTCAATCATCTGAAATCAATAGGCGACGAAATAGGAGGTTTAAATCAAACTGCGCGTTATACTTCCCGTCAACAGCCAAAATCCGGGGTCGCCGGGCCATCGCCTCCGAACAACATTGCTCAGTATCTATGAACCTCTTCAGTTTTTCCACCCAATATCTGCGCACTTGATCATCTCATCTCGGACTTATCAAACACTCATATCAATTACCGTTGAAATCCCCCACCATGCCATCCGTAAAAGAAAGCCGAGTCACAAAACCAAAGGCCAAAAGACCGCGGTCCCCAATCCGACGCGTCTCCAACAAACGTGAGTAACTCCCTCGCCACGTTCAAGCACTACCCGAAGAAAGCTTCAACCTGATAATTGATCGCTTTATGATATCGAATGAAATGAATTTATGACGCGTACTGACAGTCCTTTAGTCCCACTGGTCGAAAAAACCAACGCTTTGTCTATTGAAGACTTCATCTCTCAATATGTGACTCCAACCACGCAGACAGGAGATCTAGCCAAGGAGAATGCCATTGATCAAGCGCATCCATCCCAAGATCACACAACCCGAGAGTTGATCGCCACGCCCGTGGAGATTTACTCCGCAGCGACAATCTCCGCAGCTGATCTGGAAGCATGTCTGAATCTAATTGAGCAAACATCGGGTGAAGCCTATGCTGCATCTAGCGGAGGCTGGTCGCGTACCAAGAAACGAAAAGAGATGAGATTGCCCGACATGAAGTATCTGATCCTGCGAAAAATACCGAATGATTTTGGTGATTCTAGCGGGGAACACGCTGGAGTAGAGAAGCACAGCGAAGATGCCGACAAAGCTGCTTCATCTCCGTCTAAGACAAGTGAGCACCCATCTGAGACTCCTTCTAAAGATGTACTCGGCTTCTTGTCGTTTATGGTCACCTACGAAGATGGGAAGGAGGTGGTTTATTGCTACGAGATCCACTTGTCGCCGACGGCCCGGGGACGGGGTGTTGGGAACTTGCTCATGAATCGGATGGAGAGCATCGGCCGGGCTGTCGACTTGGAAAAGGCTATGTTGACAGTTTTCAAGTCGAATGAAAGTGCTCGACGGTTCTATGAGCGGCTTGGGTATGAAGTTGATGAGTACTCGCCGCGGCCGCGTAAATTGCGCAATGGCACAATTAAGGATGTTGAGTACTTGATTTTGTCCAAGCGGTTGGATGAATGATCGGTGGATATTCTCTTTTTTTATTAATGTTTTGTATCCTGGTGATTGATATGGAAATAGCAATGAATATGCAATATGCAACAATTTAATGTACATTACACTTGCCGCACCTCTGTGCCCTCTTGTTCTGGATGCTCTTGCTCCCATTCGTCTCTGAGGGCGGCGAAGACTGTGTCCGCAAGCAGGATAGAGAGACCCAAACTCCAGACCAGCGTGATGGCGTAAAAGAAGTTCGCATTTCCAGACCCGGCGTAAATCCAAAGGTGGTAGAAAGCCGGACCGAGGAGGCTGGAGTATAGGATTGCCGATACCGCAAAGAAGGTATATCGCATCACTGTGCTGAGTTAGCCACGGTAGTCTCAAAGAGTTACTAAAGCGTTGTAAATACTTACATGGGAAAAGGTGCCGATACAATGGCAGCAATGCAAAGAACAACGATGCATCCGAAATGCTAGGGTACGGCTTGAAGATGGCGAAAACACCTAAAAGGGAGGCAATAACGAATAGAGGCTGACTGCGGAAACGAGCTGTGAGGCCCCCGACATAACTAGCCAAGTGAAGCCAGAACACACCGAGGAAGAACTCCCGGAAGGAGTCAAACATCTCGATGAAAAAGTACCACCACAGCCCCACGTTGGGGGTCAAGTCTGGGACCAGAAGATGGAAACCGTATGTTGCCGAGATGAATTCCCAAAAGTTGCCTGTAATCAGGCAGGAGAGACCAAGCAGTCCTGCCACACTGGCCAGCAGCAGGGCAGCGTGTTGGACAACGAAAGATCCAACATTGGGTGGGTTTAGTCCCTGCAAGCGGCAGTCATAGCATAGTAGAACCAACGGAAAAAATAGTAGTGCAGGGTAAAGCGATAAGTAGGAAGCAAACCCGAGGGCTAGCATTGCATTAATACTGTTTCCCCCGACTGCATTGGAGACAGCGAAGAGGACTCCTGATGTGGTGAACACGCTTGTTGACCGCGCTAGACATGTCGCAATAGTAAGAGGGTTGAACAAGAACCTATTTCTGCGTAAGCATGTAGACTCATGACAGACGAACCAGAAAGCCTACCATGCTGCAACTGACACCCCATCCCACCGGACATGTTTTCGGACCGCTGAGTGCAATCTCGATTTAACCGATTGACCCGACGCAGAAATTGCGATCAATGCATGCGCATTCAAAAGATCCACAAGGAAGTAGAAAATGGCGGTTGGTAGAGGTGAGCTCTTCGCATCCGGGAGTAGGGCGAACAGAGGTAATAGGAGGGGTGCCTAGATCATCAGATCAATTGTCAATACACGGCTTGAAATGAGAGGAAATTAGATTCACGAACCTGATGGAAGACACCTCCATCATAGGGCGACACATTTCTTGTGTACAAAAATAGGCCTTCCTGCACTATACATTGGAATTAGTTTATAGAATGCGGAGTCAATGGTTTGGAGACACGTACGGCGCTTGAAGCTATTGACGGGTGTAGAGACTTCAACCCTCCCGGTTAACAAATCAGGCAATGAAGGGAAGAGACATGCGAGAAGCAGACGCAGCACAAAGGCTGCGCCAAATACAGCAATCTTCCGCCGGTCTACAGCCATGACGGGGTGAGGTCTAGTTGTTGACTCCAGCTTGGCCCTTGGGACCAGCCCTCTCTCCGCCTTCGGGGCACGGACCACTTTGTTGCGGTAAGAAAAAAAAGTTATCGAGAAATTTTCTTCTTCTTATCAGCAGCCGTTTAGATCTTTTGACAACCACTTTTCACCATGGGCAAAATAAAGAAGAAGGGTATGCGGAAACGAATCCGGGATTTCAATTGACTTGACTGACACCTCTTTTAGGTTCCTCTGGCGCGGCCAAGAACTACATTACCAGAACACAGGCCGTGCGCAAACTTCAGATCTCTTTGCCGGATTTCCGTCGACTATGCATCTTCAAGGGTAATTGTCCTTCTCCAAGGCATTCTATCTGAATCGCAAGTCTAACAAGATCTCCGATCTTAGGTATCTACCCTCGCGAGCCCCGTAATAAGAAGAAGGCCTCCAAGACATCTACGCCCAACACTACCTTCTATTACACCAAGGACATCCAGTATCTGCTGCACGAGCCGTTGCTTAACAAGTTCCGTGACCAGAAGGCCGTTGCAAAGAAGATTGCTCGCTCCCTCGGCCGTGGAGAAGTCAGCGATGCCTCCCGTTTAGAAAAGAACCACGCCCCGAGACTCACTTTGGATCATGTCATTAAAGAGCGCTACCCGACCTTTATCGATGCCCTCCGTGACCTTGACGACGCTCTCTCTCTTCTTTTCCTTTTCGCCACTCTCCCCTCCACCGACCATGTTCCTTCCAAGACTGTTGCGCTCTGCCAGCGCCTTTGCCACGAGTTCCAGCACTACCTGATCATGACCAACTCCCTGCGCAGATCCTTCCTTTCCATCAAGGGTATCTACTACCAGGCTACCATTCAGGGACAGGATATCATGTGGCTTGTGCCTTACCGTTTCGTCCAGCGTGTCAATGGAGACGTCGATTACCGTATCATGGCTACCTTTGTCGAGTTTTACACCACCCTCCTCGGCTTCGTTAACTTCCGCCTGTACTCATCAATTGGATTGAGATACCCCCCTAAGTTTGATACCCGCAGTGACGAGAACGGTGCCGAATTGGCCGCTTTCACCCTTGAGGGCCGTGCAGTTGGTGAGGTTCCCAAGGCCATCGAGGCCAGCAAGGGCCAGAGCAACGGCAACTCCAACAAGGAAGTTTCCAAGGAACTCCAAGCCAAGGTCGATAAGGTGATCAAGAAGGCTGGTATGGGCGAGGAGGATGAGGAGATGACTGAGGCCGCCGACGAGGCCACCGATGCCATCGACCGCTTTGAGCCCGCCGCTCCCGAAGCCGATACTCTCCCTCAACCCGCAATGAGCGGCAACGAGGCTGGTGCACTCTTCGCCCCCTTCGTGTTCTACATTTCCCGTGAAGCCCCCAAGGCTCCTCTGGAGTTCATTCTGCGCGCATTCGGCTGCAAGCGCGTTGGCTGGGCCTCCGTGCTCGGCGATGGAGCCTTCACTCACGATGAGACCGACCCCCGCATCACTCACCAAATTGTCGATCGTCCCCAACTTCCTCAGGAATCTCTTCCCGCCATCCCCGCTGCCGACGAGAACGCCGTTCAGAAGGTCCAGCCTGGAACCCGCATCCCTGGCCGTACTTACATCCAGCCCCAGTGGGTTTGGGACTGCATCAACGATGGAAAGCTCCTCCGCGCTGATCTCTACGCACCTGGCACCACCCTCCCACCCCACTTGAGCCCTTGGGTCAAGGCTTCTCGTGGCGCTTACGACCCACGCGCCACCCTTGCCGAGCAGGAGGAGGAGGATGAGGCCGAGATTGCCGCCGAGGCCTCTGACAGTGATGAGGAGATGGCAGATGAGCCCGCGGCCGATGCCAAGGATGCTTCTGCCGAGGAGTCCGATGAGGAGTCTGTCGACGGTGGCATGGATGTCGCCGGCACCGACGATGACGAGAGCGAAGAGGAGTCCGACGAGGAGGTCGAAGACTTTGGTGGATTCGAGTCGGAAGCCGCATCCGAGTCCGAAGATGATGACGAGGCCGCCCGCACTCAGCACCAGAAGGAGCTCGAGGCCGAAGCCGCTGGTTTGCCATTCACATCCAACGCCGCCGCCGAGGAAGCTGCCAAGAAGAAGTCTTCCAAGTCCAAGAAGCTGGCCGCCAAGAAGCGCAGCGAGGATGAGGAGCTCGAGAGACAGAAGATGATGATGAGCCGGAAGAAGCGCAAGCTGCTTGAGAAGATGATCTACTCTAACAAGAAGACCGCTGACGAGTCCGCCAAGCTTCGCTCCAAGCGACGCAAGTTTGAGAAGGCCCAGAAGGGCGAGAAGAACTAAAGCTCGGGTTGAATTGTGCATGTTAGATAGTGCGTTTCCGGGCGTTTGTGGTTTGGATATGTCCCATGTATAGGCCCCTCAAAAATTTGTGAAGTTTTAATGCTATTTATGGGTGTGAAATCCCAATCATATGTATAGCTTTTGCCCTATACCACGTCAAGATGCTTTGTAGTTTACTTTTCTGTCGAGAAACAATGAATTACTAAGAACTCATGTCAATTGTATCCTCTAAGTCTTAGCCTTTGTAGACCTAAAGCCTACGGGATTTTAAGTGGCAATAAGGTTGGGAACTGAACGTGCACCTTCCCAAAGTGTCATCTCTTGGTCGACAGCACGTGGAAAGCACGTGGAAGCTGAACTTTGAAAGTATACAACGTCCTTCTTTCGGTCATTTGGTCGCACGTTATTCGTGGTCTGTCATGATATTTTCCAGGGTGATTGATCTAAAACTTCAAAACTTCAGACTCGCCCTATTCGGATCATGTTGTTTACAATGGTCTATTCACCATCACGACCTTTGCCACTTCAACTTCGATCTCTGTAAATACATCGAGATCTATACCGCATATATACCTAATCCAATCAAGAGTGGCTGGATTTGCTCTCATCGGGTTCAATTATGCTTTCTTCTTGATAAGCACGCCCTGAACCCTAGGCAACAAACTAAATGGTTCATGAGGTTCTTCAATCTCATGTGGATTTTCCCATTCGCCGCAGTTAAGAATGTCCGTCAGCACATTCCGAGTCAAATCACAACCGACGAATGTGCTCCAGGGAGGATTCCAGCAAGCTAGGGTTTTCTCATGTTAGCCGGTTCGCATATCGGATCCGTTATTCCACTCGAGACAAGCATACCTTGCGCTACAGTTGTCACGCGGTTTCGACTCCGCCCATGTTCCCAGAATATAAACTTGCCTCCTGGTTTGAGGAGTTTCCACACCTCCTTCATGACGTTCTTCGGATCCTTGACGGCACACAAGACCTGAATACATAACACAGTATCTAAGCTGCCCTCTGTGATTCCCTCTTCTCTCAAAACGTCGCTATCTTCAATGCCACAAGCTATGAGCTTATATTCATTCTGCAGACCATGTTTGTCCAAGAGAGCATCGATGGTATCTTTGAACTGGGGATTGGGTTCAACCCCATAGATATGGTTGACACGAGAGACATCAAAACGATGAATCTGATTTCCTGGCCCCGGGCCGAGTTCCAGAACAACGCCGCTAGCAGCTTGCACGAGGGAGGGAACAATGGTTGTATCTTCGTAAGCGATAAAGCCACTCGCTGTTCATGATGGTCAGTTGACTCAGTACATCATTTCGGCCAGGGTATATATGAGGAGCGGGGTGGATTACAGGTTATACTGAGCAACTTTGCTGAAGCGGCATCTCGAATTTGTTGTGGGTGACCAAGTGCAGCGAGCCCATCTCGACGAATGGCTTGTGTCAAGGCCTCCCAGTGTACTGAATGATATAATTAGTAGAGTTGGTGAAGTTTTGGGTGGGAAAGTCTTACAGCAGATGGAGAACCAGATCAGGCCGAATGGCCGTAGGATGGAAGCGAGACGGCCAGGTTTGGGCATGATGCTCTACCTAGGTACAGGTCATAGATGACCAGAGTTTTCTTTCGAAACAATAAGAAAAATGATGCTGATATTTGCAAAGATGCAATTTGTGGAAAGAAAACAGAAGGGTGAGCCCGAGTTGAAGCGATGTCACGTTCCGTAGTGGAGACAATATATGTACATGTAAGACGGTGTATGGCGCTCACCCTGAGAAGCCTTGATTACAGATGCTCTTGTATTCGAATGTCACATGTGAAGCTAGCGTATCGGGATTCATTGAGCTAGCACTGCACAAGTATACGACTGTTGGCCTGAAATGAGGCCATAATCAGGCGCTAAGACATGATTTCCCTCTAAACACGCACTAGACCCACTTGGGCTCCAGGGCTCCACTCCGTGGCCCCAGCTGCAGCTGAGTAAGCAAATCGGAGTGCCCCCTGGCGCCCACCCCGGTGCCCTGACCCATCAACTGCCCTCCAGGAACTGATTTGGAAGACTGCGGTTTCGCCCCAGGCATCCTATACACTGCAGGCCCGAGGAAGGTACAGTGGGTAGTGCAAAACAACGATGATAGGTATATTTCTTGCGAAGAGCCATTTTTGAGCCCAAGGTGTATCAAGTTTGAGACTTAACTCGGCATCAAGGACTGTGCCCCCTGCTCTTTGGAAGTTAACACGACTATCTTGTGCATGGGGTGGTAGTCAGCGGTCTCTAGTCCTCCATGACACCTCCCAAAGGCGATCAAAGCATTACTTTGACTGGAGATGACATTCAATTCGTGCCGGTCACCATCACCGCTGGCCGCTCGATGACGGCCACAGACGCCTCGAGTACCTCTACTGATGATGCAGCTTCTTCGGTCGCGACCTCGCCTACCAGCACCGGTGGTCTACCCCGGATGACTGCCAATTCTGGTGTGGCCTTGGAGGGTGCGGCGGCAGTAATTGTCGCAGCTCCTCCGTGAAGTTCGACAAGGAGATAAATCCTGTTTGTTAGACCGTATCACATAGGATATATCGTGAGCGTGGCCTTAGATAGCGAACAATTTGTATGTTCTGTACGGAGTAGCAAAACACATTCCGCATACAAATCGAACCGGATGCTTCCCCGCGCGGGAGCATCTGATTGGTGAGTCATCCTTCGGGTCAGATCCGAAATCTCACTATATTTTCTCGCGATGTTTTTGAACACTTTGTGACTCCGACTCCTATACCAAGCTGGATCTTGTTACATTCTACAGAGTATAGATAAACTACACCCACAAGATGACATCAAACAAACAACAAGTTGTGGGATGGATAGGTACGGCAAAGAACAACCACAATTTGGAGTAAGCGAGCACTAATACTCCCCAGGACTCGGAAGTATGGGTCTTGCTATGGCTCGAAATGTCCAAGGCTTTCTCCAAAACGAAGGAAAAACACCATTGAGATTTTGGAACCGTACAGCGTCTCGTGGAGCACCACTTGAATCCCTTGGCGGTATTGGATGCGAGTCTATTGCTCAGCTTGTAGGCGAGTGTGACTTGTTCTTCATTTCTGTGAGTACGTAAGAAAAGGGCCCTCAAATATAGCAAATGATTGTTTTTGCTTCCATTGGGGGTCGGGATGGATCTTGTTGACTGACATCGAGCAACAAGACAAGTGATGATGCTGCATTGAATGCAATCATTGACCAAATCTTGGCTGTCAATGATATCAATGGCAAGGTAATTGTCGATACTACCACCGTGTATTCAAATACGACCAAAGAGATAGATGAGAAATTGAAAGCACGCGGTGCAAGCTACATTGCTGGTAGGCCAATCGCCCTTGATCGTGATTCATAGCTTCTCACACACTGTCACAGCACCGGTATTTGGAGCTACGCCAGCTGCAGAGAGTGGTACGCTCTTGATAGCGATGGGTGGCGCACCTGCAGCGATTGATGTGGCTCTACCTTTGGTCAAAGGAGTGCTTGCTCGAGAGGTGATGATTGTTCCAGCGCCCGAGAAAGCCAGTCTTCTCAAGACCCTGGGGTGAGATTGCATCGGAGATTCTTTGTGTTTGGTTCATTATGCTGACACCAAGTAGCAATTTCATCGTTGCGGGAACAATGGAAATCATTGGCGAAGCTCAGGTATTAGCTGAGAAAAGCGACCTCGGTACAGGAACGCTTGAAAAGTTGCTTGAGCTGAATTTCGGGAGTCTGATGCACTCCACCTCTACTCGCATGACACAGGGTGTCTATCTACCAGCTCAGGGTATGTATATAGCATCAAATATCACATCTTACCGCTTCTCATTGGCTAATGATATGATTTAGGCGAATCTCCTTGGTCCAGCTTGAACCTTGGCATCAAAGATGTTCAACATGGCATCACTGCCGCCGAAGATGCCGGGATGAGATTGAAAGTTGCCGAGGTTGCCGTGGAAAATATGTTGCGAGCGAAGGGCTTTTCAGATGCGCATGGGAGCCGACCTTTGGATTCATCATCTGGATACGGCATCATAAGACAAGACGCAGGTCTTGACTTTGAGAATGCTTTTGTCAAGGAACGGGACTCCCCCAAAGAAGAAAAGCTCTAATTGTTGCTGCTCAAACTGGCAAGAAGTGCACATATTGTGGGGATGATTGCACACTCTTTTGAACATGGGAAGCTGTACGCCAGCTCAGAGTCACAACTGCTCCTTCTCCCAATCCGAGCACAGTGTCTATGTCCTTCAAAGATTCAAGAACAACAGTCGCACTTTTTGAGACTTGTGTGCTGGTCATGTGTAAGTTATTCAGTGGGATGATCGAAGTCCGAGATGTCATTACCAGGGTATCCAGGAGAAGACAAGAGCAAGAGTAACCCGCAAAAGGGCCCAATAAAGACCTTGAATGGAAAAGAATAGAATATAGAAAACAAACAGCAGAAAATTGTCGGATAGCAAAAGCTCCAGCCATAGTTGGGGGGCTCGCTGGCTACCTAACCACGCTTATGCGCACAAGGTGCAACGGAGAGAAACTGACCCCGGGGAAACGTCATCGCCTGTTTAGCCAACCAATGTGCAGAGAGGCGATTAACGTTCGAGCGACCTTCTCTGGTGGCTCTTTGTGTTTCCGACTACAAAGGGATTGATCCAGCCGTTTATTGAGAAGTAACGCTCACCTCTGTCTTTGGACTGCCAGACGATCGCAACATGTGATTGATCAGTGATCGACCAGTTCGACAGTTGAAAACTTCACGATTAACTTCGGCGTTTGGTCATCAAGCTTTTGTCACATCAGATGTCATTGATCTGAATATTACTCAAGCCGCCTACCTTTCGACGAGCGACAAACCTGCTCGGGGTTGCGGCTCACATTACCCGATATAGAAATGCGGGCCGATGACCGGTCGGCTATAAGCCTTAAGCCTCTATCTACAATGGCTAAAGGAAGGGAATTCAGCTTTTAGTTTCCCTATTCTATCACATTTTCAGGCCAGATACGACAAGCCCAAATCATAATGTCCTTCCGGTTACATCTTGTTCGACATGCGGAAGCCACGCATAATCCCGGCCACGATATCACCATTCTTGACCCACCATTGACAGAAAGGGGAATCCAACAGTGTCACAAGCTTTGCCGTGAGTTCCCTTTCAAGGAAACTGTCGGCCTGGTGATGGCATCTCCTCTCCGACGCACCCTTCAAACTGCCCGATTAGGCTTCCAACAATCCATTGATGAGAGGTTTTACGCTCAAGGCTCCAGAGTTGGAGTCCAAAATGGCGCACGCCTTTCGTTAGAGCCAGATCTACAAGCACACTCTTCCCGTCCATGTGATACTGGCTCAGATCCATCAGTTTTGCGCTCGGAATTCTATGATCTGCCATGGGAAATCATTGAGCTGAACCCTGTCTTCCCAGCAAAGGAGGGACTTTACGCGAGTGATATCGAGGCACTGAAGTTGCGCGGAACACGAGTTCAGCGTCATCTGCAATATAATTTTGAAAAGTTGAAGGATACTGAACGACCAGACATAGTCGTTGTTACCCATGGCGGGTTTTTGAGCTTTGTCAGTGGCCAGGAGGAAACGACAGTGGGCCAGGCAGAATGGAAGACCCTACTCGTCAACTTTGATCGTGATTCCAAACTTGTGGTGAAATCTTCGGATGAAGGATGCTCACTGCTGTGATTTGCCCTTTCCCGGGGTATTGGCGGCACGCAAATATGATATCGCTGCACTAGTCACTTTGTTTGTCATTTTCTTGTTCTCGCTTTTGTTTGATGGTCAGCTACAATCATTCGTCATTTTCATAATGACCAGGAACAAAACTGATAGGATACATAGTGAGCTACATCCGAGTCTTAGAGCCTCAAAGACTAGGGATCTGCAACCACACAATTATCTCCCAAGGCTTGCCTCGGCATCTCACCGGTTCCCAAATCATGCGCGGATTTAGACTTGTCCGCGAAAGGCAGCATGGTGAGCTCAAAGGGTATTGAGAAGACATATCACGGTTTCAGCCGCTACGGTACGCAGTGTCGAACTATCGACTGAGCCCCCGGGCGTGCTACGAACACTTCATGTTGCCAATAATTCCCTCACAAGCTCACCAAGAACCATAACAACAGCGCTTACCATGAAATTCCAGACCTGGTAAGTGTTGAACGGACCTCTCTATATGTCGTTACTTAATCCCACCTAGGCATCCATGGATGCCAGGATTACACTCCGATTGGACATATTTCCTGTTGCCTACTGTAGTCATCATGCATTATGTCCAGTGACACTACTAGTTGTGTAGAAAAGGCCACTAGCTAGGAATCGGCAATCTCATCTTTTAAAGCATCGTGCTTCAATTCGATATAGTCCGGTCTCAATGCTAACGTCGCGCCATCTGCACCACATACTCAGATTTTCTATAACGGGATTGCTTGCTGAACGCCCTTTTCGATAAGCCAAACCCAAGGCTCATTGTTTCATGCAAGTCGTCCTCAGTCCAACAACCTCCATCTCATTGGTAGTCTTGTCAAATTAACAGGCCACTCGGGTGACACAGCAATAATAGCAAGATCTCCCTTTGTTTGAGCGCTACCTAAGCCCCAATCTCGTATTATCCCCTGGGAAACTGTGAACAAGCAATTTGGCTACGCTTTGCCCGAAAGTAAAAGCTCCTCGTTCCAACCTACAGGTAGAAAGTTGGGAGGTTCACCCTTGCCCGCAGATCAGCACTTCAGCTGCCAGGTTGTACGGTTGTACAATAGCTCATAATAATTACATTTAGTTGCAACCAGCCTTCCTTGGCCACTCAGATCTTTCTTCTCGTAGCTCCTAGCCTCGCACAATATGATATAGCACGGCCTATACTTCAATACTACCCCATTACCCAGGAGATAGTTATATCTGGATGTAACCATAACCTATTATAGCATTTATAGGATTTTCAGAGGAAGTAAATCATCAAATACAGCTCTCGCTATTCAATCAACACCGTGAGTAGATCAGACTAACTTGCTATCCCAGTATTTTAGACCTGCTATCATATAGCGTTGAGTCTACAAGTTCCACCCATGTAATTGAGAAGATTATGAGATAAACCATGATTGATTTGTTTGTCTCATATAGGATATGGCGCTCCATACAGAATACCGTGGCTATAATGTTCTCCTCGTCTACTACACGGGAGCACTTTAGATCAACAAGCTTCCGAATTGGATGAACAGTGCTAGGATATCTAGATTCCGGAAATGGTCGGACATTTGACGGTTAGGACTAGATTTGAGGCAATAATCAACAAGTATAAACCTTGAAAATGAGATACAAATAGCACCTTCCACTTTGCTACTGCTTCCATATTTTGTACTGCTGATGACAAAATTGAACAATTCCTTGTAGGCCAAAGTCTCTCGAACGGTTCCTTCTCTTCTTCTCACGATATTTAAAATGCGGCTTTGTATTGCTTTTGTTGTGAGCCTTGCTATTACCACCCCTGCGTTCGGGGGCTGTCCTTATGCTCGAGATGCAAGCATTGAGCCCCATAACAGGCTGAATGTCCACAATCATTCGGCTTGCGACACCGATCCGAGTAAACCCGCGGCAAGTGCTTCTTCTACCATTCCCTCTTCGGCGACTGGGAAGAAGGGTGTGATGCTGATGAATCGAATTTCACCTGGGGCTTCAAAACTATATATTGCCAATGCAAACGGGACCGATGAGCGTCCTCTATTAGAGGATGCGGTTTACGAATATCACGCCGACTTTTCTCCCGATGGCGAATGGATCGCTTTCACTAGTGAGCGCAACGGTGATGGAAACTCCGACATCTGGCGCGTACGCCCAGATGGCTCAGATCTACAGCCCATTGTAACATCTCCAGCAGCCGAAGATAGTGTTGTGCTCTCGCCTAATGGAACATTGGCAGCATATGTCTCGACGGCCAACAACTACAAGGCCAACATTTGGATCAAGGATCTGCAGACTGGGGCCGAGTGGAATATCACGGATACCCCGGTCAACAGGCCGGACCAGTACATGATGCATGGTCATTTCCGTCCAGCTTGGTCGCCAGATGGAGAGTGGCTTGCGTTCTCCTCGGATCGCAACACTCCATGGGATGGTCACGGACCGCCGACATACCTGGGACGTGCTGGTTGGGAACACACTCAAGAGCTTTCCATCTACGTCATTCGTCCTGATGGTTCAGATCTGCGGCGTGTCGTCAACCATACTGGTCACTGTCTAGGATCCCCCAAATGGTCATCTGATGGGAAGCGCCTGATATTCTATGAGATGACTCGCGAGCAAACATGGGACGCACATCGACCTGAAAGCATATCATCCGCAAACTCCACCATTGTGTCTATTGGAATCGATGGCAACAACCGTCGCACAGAGGTCAGCGGTCCCAACGTCAAGACCTTCCCTCAATATTTGACAAATAACACCATTGGATACCATCTGAAGGGTGGTGACAAGGAAGGTTTATATCTCACAGACGGTAGCTACTCTAATACAAAGATGCGATCCCCTTCATGGTCGTCCGATGGAAAGTATGTGGTCTATGAAAAGGTTGATTGGTCTATTCGACCTCTCTATAAAGAGCTTTATAGCTGGGATAACGAGTGGGACTACCGCTTCACCGATGTATTTCCTCAACTCTCATCGAACGACCGCATAGCTGTGACCGAAAAACAGCTTGGCAACTCTTCCATTGTCACCTTTGACACAGACGGCGAGGAGATTTCCATAGTTTACAGTCCCACCGATACCGGTCTCGTCGACGGTACCTTGATTCAACAAGGCTTGGCCGGGGCATTTAATCCCACGTGGTCCCCGGACGGCGAATGGCTTGCTTTCGGAGTCGGAGGTTGGTTTGAATCGCGCGATTTCCACGGGGGCTGGATTGTGCTCTCCGCCGCGAACGGGAGTCACACCGAGGTCATTGCCGCCAGCAAGTTGAATCTTACAAGTAACAATGCGCTCAACAACGGATTTCCCAGTTTCTCTCCCGACGGCAAAAAGCTTGTGTATCGTGTGTGGGGCTTTGACACTGCCAAATATGGCGACAAGTCGGATATTGGTTTACGCATCATTGACTTGGAGACCAAGGAGATCATGCAGCTCACTAGCAACTGGGACAACCTGCCCTCCTTCTCGCCTGATGGAGAGCTAATCATTTTCACCCGCAAGGTTAGCACGGCAGATTACGACATCTGCACCATCCGCCCTGATGGCAGTGATCTTCGCACTTTGACTCACAGTGGTTCCAACGATGCCCACGCTGTTTGGCGCCAGGATGGAAAAATCCTTTGGTCATCGGGCATGTACGGGTTTCAATACGAGTGTGCTCTGTATGATGAAACCTTCCAACCCTATGGACAAATCATGATTATGGATCCCGATGGATCCAACAAGCGTGCTTTAACCAACTCTATTTGGGAGGATTCGATGCCCCTTTTCCTTCCTAACGACGGGTTTTAATCTGCGATCGAAAGTATAGAAAAAAAAGGTGGTTTTGCTCTTCCCTCTCGCAGTTGATTCTGTCACTTTCTTTCGCTTTGGATGGTTAGATAGAGCTGTTGTTATATATTTTTATGCGAATGGCATCATTATATCCTACTTGCAAAGACATCTTTATCTCACCAACTTTTCGTGACATTGTGGGTTTCTTCTATTGCGAATCTTAGAGCACGATAATCCGAAATAACTTGAAGGTTCGACATGACGTTCCATCCCATTCTCTGACTTGAAGCACCATCTTGTATACAAAGCCGTCAATCTCGAAAGTTGCTCTTCATAAGGTTAGGGTTGTGGAGACGCTAAGTCGTTTTGAGCAACTAGGCCCGACGGCTCCCATGTGTGCAGACCAAACGAATCCAACTTTGCATACAAAGCGCCCTTAGATACGGGCATATCTAGATTTTCCATTTTAGTATGAATGCTGAAAATTCCATGGTGAAGGTCCTCATATTTGTATTTTCAACCGGCATTCACACATCCTGGCTGGCATGTTAGGCTAAAATCTGCCAAAATATCGGGCCACAGACTTTTGTTCTCCTTCACCCTAAGACTTCCATACACAGTCTGTTTCCCCATCACTTTTATATCAAGGGAGCCCCTATCAAGGCAGCCTCGGAAGAACCGCCGGCTGAGTCAATTCCACTACTCCGTACATCGTGATACAATGCCATTCCATGCCATGGCCACGAAAGCTTTAGATCAACTCACCAGCTCAACTCGCCTATTTTTGACTTATGTGGCTGGATTCAACGCTATGACTGAGCCTCAATTCAATGGTATGACCAGGATCAATCAAATAGCGCGGATGGAGCTCTCCACTCTCTCGCCTAATATCTCCGATTCCGCCACCACATCGTGACGAACTGATTCATGGTCTACCTGAGACCAATCAGGGTTCTGGTCAAAGCTCGCCTGTAAAGGCTTGCATCGGCTAGGCCGAAGTTAACTATACGCTAATGATAATGTCTTAGCGCCTAGTGCAGGCAAAGTGTTAGCTTCCTCGTATCAAGGAAACCAAATTTGGGGCACGCAAGCGATGGTACTCAATGACTGCGGATACATATATGAGCCAGCATTTGAAAATCTGAGCTTGTTCCTACTTTTTGGAGATCGCATCTGGTCGTTTCATTCCTTTGGCCGTTCTCCTGCATTACTCGTTGTATTTTTGCACATGTATTTCATGTGAGCCACTCGTTTACCACACACTCATTTATATACCGAACTTTTTGCTGGCATATTTAATCACGGTGGTTAATCTGGCGACAAGTTGACCCTATTCACTATGCTTAACTTCCAAAAATCCCTTTTGAGGGCATGGTTCCTGGCTAGTGGTCTCCTCGCATTGACTGAAGCAGAGGTGACGTGCAATGAGGAGACAGTTCACGCCTTGGCCAACCCATCGTTCGAGACCGGGGATTTGACTGGTTGGAAATCGATGTTGGCTTCAGGAGGTCCATCGCTGGGTAATGTTGTAGCTGGTGACGCTTTTGACGGCGACTATCGCTTGTGAGTCCTACTTCAGAACCCACTCAAAGACAGGGAACAATCTAACAACAATATACAGCACGATTCAGGCAACCTCCATTTATACCTATCTGAAACAAACCCTGTCAGACCTTGATACCACCAAGCCGTACGATCTCTCTTTGGATTACAGAATCCAGACCACCCAGCCCGTCCGACCGTCCAACCCAGCACAAATTTGCTACCTGGGGTGGTCTAAGGATACTTGGTCTTCATGGGTGGTTCCACGGACTACGATTTCTCTTGCTTCTACCGATGCTCAATGGAAATCCCTTTCAATCCAATGGCAACCTACTTCTTCTATTCAAGATCTTTATCTTGTGTTTGCTTGCACACACCCTGGAGTGACGATTGACTTGGACAACTTTCAACTGCCCATTGGAAGCAAATCTGTTTGCACTACATCAATCCCACCCTCAGCTTCAAGTACCATCACTTCTGCTTTGCCTACATCAGCTGCACCAACCTCGGAGTCTGTCACTACCTCAAGTGTAAGTGTCTCTCAGGCTCCTGCCAGTTCGCCAGCCGAGACGTCTCCATCTTCCTCTACGAGCTTGCCAGGACAGTCTTCCACCTTGATCGTGGTACCTACCTCGTCTCCAGTTGAGATCACTGTTTCTCAATCGGTGCATCTATCTTCCTCTGCAGCATCGGTACCATCGCCGTCTTCTGTCGCAGTCCCACCATCATTGATCAGTACATCTGCATCTGCTTCGATTACCATTCACCCTTCGTCGATTGTTCCTCCCTCCATTCAATCATCTTCCGTCGTTTCTTTACCTGGTCAAGTCCCTTCATCGGTATCTTCATCTCAATCTCTTGCGACCAGCCAAACTGCGAGCCCGTCAGTAAACCCCCACCAGCCTGGATCGCCGTCTGGCTCGGGTCCCTTCGTGCCCAGCCAGACTATACCTAGTGGTGGCCCTGGTCCCGTTACTGGAGGTCCCTCATTGACCAACGGCCCTGGGATTCCGGCGTCGACACCCAATGTACCTCTCACAACATCTACTGTGTTGACTACCCGCACTTTTACAATTACAGCCTGCCCATCAACTGTCATACATTGTCCCGCTGCATCCAAAACCACCTCCGTGACCACCGAGACAGTGGTAGCATATACAACGGTCTGCCCAGTTACCAAAACTGAACAACCAATCCAAGCGACGCAGACAACATCCAGCATCTTCAGCACCCGCATTGCAACTGTCACATCCTGCGTGGATCATCAGCAGTATTGCGCACTGCCCCACAGAAGCACCCAGCTTGTGACGGAGACCGTATTGGTGTCCACAACTGTATACCTTGCTCCAGTACCAACCGCTAACAGAGAACCTATCTTTGTTGACAACAACGGCTTCTATAGATCTCCTCCAAAAGCCACCCAGATCAGTTCAGTTTCAACCGGCTCGGATGTTGGTGGACAGGTGCCTGCGGATGGGGCTGTGAACCTTCCTGGATTGGGGCCTGAAGTCACCAGAACGCAGATTGTTTTCTCCACTATTTTTGTGACACAACCCATCCTCGCAACTGTCTGTCCTCCTGCTCCAACAGGATCTTCCTCGGCACAGCCCCAGCCTCGACCGAGCAGTGTTCGCCCTGTGTACTTTTAGTCCATAGTTCCACGAGTAAGAGGCGCCTATATAGAGTATCAAGTTTCCTTAGTATATATGTCCGCGATCAATGGCTTGTTCGTACAACATCTGAAGCAACTATGATATGAATATGTGTTTGAATAGGACCTGTTAGTAATGTCTCAAAGTCGAGTAATACTGCGAATAGATTTCTTGAATAGAGAACAGCGAAGGGAAAATTGAGAAACAAAATTGATTTTTCAAATTCGACACTAGGGGAGATCTTCTTATCAACGGACAAATAGGTCCCTGAAGAGGCCTGCCTAAGACATATTATTATCATACGACAATAGAGTCAAGGTGAGATAGCCTATGACCAAGAATTCTGGAATCTTTGAGACCTGAAATGAAGATTAGTTAGACAGAGAAGCCAGAATTTAGATTATCATCTTGGGGTTTGATTGAAGTAGAAGAAAGGCCTATCTAAAACTTTATGCAACTATAACTTTCCTGTTATGGATTAGCGTGCATAATCTTGGCATTAACAGTGTATATCCGCCACGTGACCGCGTCAGTGATCCACCCGCCTGGAATTTTTGACATCTTTAACATCCAGGAACAATCAAAGTGTGCGACTAAAAAGTTGAAAGGATCTGGCCAATATACAGGAGACAGAGGTCTCTGCCACTGGATGCTTTATTGATGCATGAGGCCGAGTGGCAGCCAATGAAAACTAGCATTTATGCCACAATTAGACCCTACAGGTCCAAACCCTTCGCGCATACAAGCGATAAGTGACCAGCGTGTCCTTGAGACATGTCGTCTTTCCCTCAGAGCCAGATAGAGGAGTCTTGGCAATTCCCACCGCAGTCAGCACAGCCACGTCCATCGCTGTTCGGTGGACCCAGCAGTGATGTTGGTTTGCCTTCTTCTCAGCCAGAGCCGCCGAGGAGCTCAATTTTCGGTGGCCCCTTCTCTCAATATGGAAATCTAGATCCTGTGTCCGAAGCAGACCCCATGGACGAGGCACCAGATCAAGGCGAAAATGAGGCCGACATGATCATGCGAGACCAGTCCATCGTATCCCAAGATGACTTCATCGACGATTTTCAAGAGGAGAACCGTGGCAGATCTCTCAGACGCCGGACAAAGCCAGTTCAGCCTCAAACGGAGCCAATCCACTACGTAGTTGACCGAGGCCTTGACCTGCCACCAGGCGTTGAGCGGCCCAATCTGTTTACTGGGTTTGCCAACGCATGGAGACACTACAACTCCGACGATATCGGAGCTCATAATGCCATTATTACTCACCGCAGTCGAGATCTATCGGCTCATCTTTACAATGCCCACGCACTTCGCAGGCGAACGCGTGGTATTTCTCGGAAGATACTCGAAAATGACAAGAAGGCCCCACCCCTTGTACCTAGACGGTGGACGGCATGGCCTGTTCATGCTGCGAAAGTTCCTCGCGTTGATGAGATGCTCCGGAACAGACCGGAGGCTACAGAGATATTACAAATGGCACCGGATCCGCGACCGAGCGCTCAATTGGAACAATGCATCACAGCAGTCATGCTGAAGGCTTCGAAAGAAAGATTCCAGGCGCGAGAGTGGGATTTCGAAGAAATCGTAGAAGATCCTCCACGGATCACGGACGATTGTGATCAGCTGATGGAAGATGAATTGAAGAAAAATGAAGAGGATGAAGACGAGGAGCCTGTTGATACAAGAATCCTCGAGCCGATCGTACAACTGGATGATGAGGAGGCTTCTCATCAAGTGCGTCCGTTGGTACGAAATGTCATTTCTCAAGTAGATCGGCTGCTACACGGGCTGCACTGTGCTATGAAGAGTCGCCAATATGAAGACGACTCTGATGGCGAGCAGTCGAGTGAAGAGGACGAGGAATATCCGACTGACGATGATCGGGAAAGCCGAAGCCGAAGTCGATCGCGTGGTCGACAACACGATCGGCATGACTCATACGAACGACAAACATCAGTCCGTTCTAGCAGCGCACACACGTCTAGTGGAGCGGAAACAGACGAGGAAAGCCTGCGAGATGTATCTGAAAGCCGAGACCAATCCCGCAATCCCTCCGCAAGCCGTCAGGGCAACCGACATTTCAGAAGCAGACTCAAATTGCGCGATTGGAGCGAAGTCATGGGACTAGCATCAATGATGGGTCTCCCCGCCCCGGCGGTGATGCGCGCCTCAAAGCGATGCGCTGATCTTTTCGGAGAAGACATTGAGTTCCGGACGATGCCTGAGGGACGGGTACGAAAGAAGCGCCACATAACTGGCCAAGAAGAATATGCCTACACCGAAAGTGAGGGTGAAAGTGAAAGTGGGAGCGAAAGCGAAAGCGAAAGCGAAAGCGACTTCCTCAGTGACCCCGATCTTCCGATTGTGCCGCCAATATCTATGCCAGTTCCTCAACGCATTGTCAACCCTACCGTTCAGCCCAAGTCCAGGACGAAAACATCAGGTTCGCGACGCTCAAAGTCCAAAATGACCCCCGCAATCGTGCCTCCTTCGGATTCTCCGTCTCCATCCCCGGAAGGGCCACCGGAATTCGCCGAATCCGCCGCTGAGAACATAGAACAACCTACTGAGGAGACCAGACCAGTGAAGTTGGGCGTTGGAAAAGGCCCTCATCGCAAAGTGGATATTGTGTGCCCCATCAGGAGTTGCAGTCGACATGAGGACGGGTTCTCCCGGAAGTGGAACCTCAATCAACATTTGAAAAACACTCACGGAATTCAAAATGAAGCCCCCTGATGAGCGGGCTGGGGCTAGTAGGGCCATTGTACTTTAATAGGCTGTGTCCTTTCAATTGGCTCTGGCTCAGTCACTACATAGATGTAATCAAATACTAATCCGAGGCGGTTCACTCGCAACGAATGCCCCTTCCATGTGCATAATACACTCCATATTCAGGAATCTGAAGCGTGTCCGCTTTACGTGTATCCAGCGGATTGTTTACAGGGCTCGGCCTGGCATTACTTGCGCTCAAATGCCTGCTCCCTGTACATCATACGAACTCAGGCATGGCTCGAGCTGGGCGTTCTAAAACAACAACAACAACCCCTTGTCACTGGTGCGGTACAAACCAAGCATGAGCTTTTAGGTGCTCTATTCATATCTACAAGGGAACAGTACGAAAGCCCCAAAGTGTAGAACATACAAAACTCATTTCCAGATATCTGTGACCTACGCCAGACCGTGAAGGCAATCTTGGGGGTTTTCCTTTCTGTTTGTTAGGTTCATTTTCATAAATTAAAAAGAATGAACTGAAACCAATGCCTTAAAGGAGTCTCAGGAACACTATGGTCCATAGATGACATTCTCGAGGATAGTTTCCCCTTTCTCTTTCGATAAGCTGGCGGCATCTCTCAATCAACCATGAATTCTTTAGCTGGCTCAGAGATTATTGGGCATAGATGAAACTTCCTGGTTTCCACGGTTTCAAGCGGGCACGCACAAGCTCCAGTGCCTGCATGATGTCGAAATGAAGAGAACAATATGAATTGATGGGTATACCGAGGTCAACAGCCTAGCTGGGTTCAAGGTCTTCTTCGGTGGAAGAGATTGTTTCCTCGTCCTGAAAGGAGGTTAGTAAATATTTGTGAATTCCTCTGGGCGAATGTGTCCACGGGCCTTAGTTGCATCGGTATTGGTCTCGTCATTTGCATCTGGTGTCGGTAGCAGAAGGGAACACCACCGATAGGCAATGTCCCTGCGGTCCGTATAGCGCTCAATTTGTGGAAGCATGAGCCCCAATGCAATCATTCTGTATTCATCAAAGAAGCCGACACCGAAATGCCGAAAGTCCCCTCTTCTGCCAGCCTGCGAGATGCCAGAATGGGATAGGACGTAGCATTTTTGTGCCCAAAGGCATCCTGGAGCATGGACACGTCGAATCTGATCGTGCTGGGTGAGTTGCACACAATTCAAAGGAGTCAAGTCTTTACAACATGTTTGAAAGTTTCTTGGCTTTGCTCCGTGTAGTGGTTTGTCTAGCGCCTTCCAGGCCAGTGCTGCCTGGAATTGCTCGTTCTCATATACTGGCCCTCCACCAAAGCGAGATCCCCAGAAGTTCTCCAATGCGCCTTTCTTCAGATCAAGCAGAGTCGCTGCCACTGCACGTCTCAAGAAGTTGTTGCGAATGACATAGTCGCTTAGGGTTCGCCTTTCACACACAGCCTGTCGTAGTGCAACGAATAGCCATGGTTTCAAGAAAGCTTGCATCAGGCGCTGTTCCTCCATCCAAGACGGAGCACAGTCCTCCTCTAGGTAGCTGTAGAGTCGGACTCCTGGGGGCCTGGGTTCATTCTTTCGCCAAGGTCTCTGTCGATTCTTGGGGCGCTCTATTTTGGTAGACAAGCAAAGTTTGATACAGCCATGGAAGAAGGCATGTGCATCACCCCGAATCGCGCTCACAACTACAAGGAGACGGTAAAGAAGTCTTGGGGGTGTTGTTTGAGGGAATGGAACATTGCCTATCAACGGCGGGATGAGAGGGATAACGTGTTCAGGCACGTGCATCCAGCAAATCATAACATCAAAATAAGATTGTTGTAATGGGTTTCCCTCCGACGAAACCCCTATTCTAGCAGTCTCGTCACTCCACCATAGATATACCAGTGCTCGAAGCTGAACTTGGATATCGCGGTCAAGTCCTGTGTCTTGCTTCCGGTCCCGATGTGTCATGATTGCTTCCACAATCTTTGCGAAGAATGCAGGGGAGCTCTGGAGATAGCTTGCGACTGCTGGCGAAGCTTGATACAATTGATGTAGCGTGGGCAGATTATGCAGATTGATAAGGATTGCTTCAAGGGCCAGCCAGGGAAGAGATTCGAATGGATCGGTTAATCTGCGTTGCAGAGTGAGAGTCAGGGACAAGTCTGCATCCGAGGGGAGAGACCCAAGACGACGAGTGAATGCATTGTCTTCTTTCAAACACGCCAAGACGTGTTGGAACGCATCAGGAAGAGACGATGCTACCTGCTGAAGAAGGGAATCCATGGAGATCGATTGCTAGGGACTTCCCTTGTATTGCACGTCAGTGACCGGATGCTCCACCAATCTGGCTTCCCAGGCCTGGGCAATATAGAGACAATATGGGGAGAGTTTGATGAGACTTACTGGTGCACGTACTCTCGGGTGTAGAGTGAGAGATGCCCGATCTTGAAGCAAACAGACTGAGCCTCAGGGTTTCGTTAAATGAGGTGTGAGATTCCCTGTTTATCCGCCAGCATGTAACTTTCTAGGATGAGTCTGACGCGTCAGAGTCAAGTTATGGAGAAGAGAAGCTGATGGTCAACTCGGAATGGTCCCTGTGAGTGCATGGGGGCATGATGGAATCCAGGTTCGTGATAGTTGAAAGAGCAAGGGAATTGGCGGTTAGAATGAGGCAGGAGGAGGGTCCCCATAACAGGTGTTAGATACACGAAAGCGGCGTGTGTCTCAATTGATCGTCGCCAATTTGATTGTTGATGTCTGTCTCCGTGAGACAACAGCAGAATGAACATTCGGATTTGACCGACTACGTTTTGAGTCGGCATGGCGATAGCCAGATTCTCTTTTCAGCAAGGCAGATAGTTCCCCACATTTGAGATTGTAAGACCTTCTATCGTATCAAACGAACTGGCGGTCATTCTCTAGAGGGAATCCTGTGATGCCCGTGCAACTTTACATAGATCTATAGGTCCCTTTCTTGGTTGAATCATAGCAGATAAGTCTAAACAGGAGCTTCACTGGCACCAGTGTTACCTAGTGATATGATATCTATAAACTCATAATACTGAGTCGCAAGGGATTGCTATTCTAAATTGCAGTTAGATCGTCATAGGGTCTAGCAAAGCTCCTGGGTACCTCCATGGTACTAATGTGCTGTTATGTTTAGCAGACTTGATACAGTGATCCTAGGTAACGCTAGCTTCCAGTTGGATATCTCTCTTGCTTTTCATATTCCAATCGTTATTCTTCAGACTATTGTATGGGTTGACTCAGTTGATCGGCTTACCACTCTTTTAGATGTCAATGATGTGAGGTTGAATTGGAAACCAATACATCGTGGAAAGAATCGGCGTATTACAAATACGCTATCTTGGGGCTGAATGTTGGATGTTTATGCCGATTGATTGAAATTACCGAAATGTAAACAAACAGGTGTCCTATTGGCCAGCAACGCCGAATACAATAATATCTGTCACAATGTTACCAAAATTACGATTCTGTGGAAATGATGCAGTCCAGTACAAAGGCAATCTTTATTTCAATCGATCTATTTGGGCAATAATTCAAGAGTGATACTCTCTTTGTCCCTGGAAGTGATCAAATAGAGAAAAAAAGCAGGTATGGTATCCCGATCGTGAGCTCTGGGGGCTCTGGTTAAGAATGACATCAACTCCGCAGTTCCCCGCTTAAGCATGAAGCTTCCCTTCTGAGCTCGATCTGGCGGATTTCCAAGGTTATTACTATTACCATTACTCACATCTTCATCGGCTACTCCATCCTCGGTGCTCCTCGGACGCAAAGAGCAATCACCATTGAGACACCGCAACTCGAGACATCCGCCATACCCCACTAGCTGTGATTGCCGCTCCCTGTATAAAGGGCGTCTCCAACTCTCCAACTCCCCGCAATTTTAGACCGACATTCGCCGCTCAATTTCCTTCTTGTCCTGCTACCCCTCTCCTCTCAGCGAGTCTACCTTTATAATGGACCGCATCATCCGTCCTGTTGCCCGCCAATTGTTGAGACCCCGCCAGAGATATCCCTTTTCTATTCCCCCAACTGCTCGCGCGCAAAGACTCTACAGTATGACACACAGCGCACCACAGGTAAGATCGACGGTCTATTGATAGTCTGTCTATACTAATACCCCACATCCAGTTAAAAGACCAGTCGCTCTTCATTGAGAAGGCATACATTAACGGCGAGTGGGTCGACGCACAGTCCGGCAAGACCTTTGAAGTCCACGGTAAATGGTAAACCGATTGATATGTGTATGAAGCGTTACTAATTTGCGTTCTCTTGCAGACCCTGCCACTGGCAAACTGATCGGAACATGTCCCGAGCTCGATACATCCGATGTCGAGAAGGCGATCCAGGCCGCCTCCGAAGCCTTCCCCAAATTCCGCACAACCCTCGGACGCGAGCGCGCACGCATGCTTCGCCGGTGGTACCAGTTGATGGTCGACAACGCAGATGACTTGGCTAAGTTGATTACCTGGGAGAATGGAAAGCCCCTCGCCGATGCCAAGGGCGAGGTGAACTATGCCGCGAGCTTCTTCGAGTGGTTCAGCGAGGAGGCACCTCGCACATACGGTGACACAATCCCTTCCACTGTTCCCGGAAACCGGGTCATTACCCTCAAGCAGCCCGTTGGTGTGTGCGGCCTGATTACACCATGGAACTTCCCCGCCGCCATGATCACGCGAAAGATTGGCCCTGCCCTTGCTGCTGGCTGCACAGTCGTGGCCAAGTCTCCCCAGGAGACCCCCTTCACAGCCAATGCTATCGCTGAGCTTGCACACCGCGCTGGTATTCCTAAGGGTGTTGTCAACTTTGTTACCTCCTCCGAGAACACTCCTGCAGTAGGCGAGCTCCTTACTAGCCACCCAGAGGTTCGCAAGGTGTCATTCACCGGCTCAACCAATGTCGGCCGCATTCTTGGAAAGCAGTGTGCCTCGACAATCAAGAAGGTCTCCTGGGAGCTTGGCGGTAACGCGCCGTTCATTGTTTTCGATGATGTCGAGGACCTCGACGCCGCTGTGGCCGGTGCCATTGCCTCCAAGTTCCGCAGCTCTGGCCAGACTTGCGTATGCGCCAACCGTATCTACGTCCAGGAAGGCGTGTATGAGGAGTTCTCCAAGCGCTTTGTCCAGAAGGTCAAGGACTTCAAGTTGGGCGCTGGATTCGGCGAAGGCATCACCCACGGTCCCGTCATTCACGAGCGCGCCGTCAACAAGGCCCACCAGCATGTGCAGGACGCAGCCGCCAAGGGCGCTAAGATTGTCATTGGTGGTCAGAAGGCTACTGCTCTCGGTCCCAACTTCTACCACCCCACTGTTCTTACTGGCATGACCAAGGATATGCTTCTCGCTTCGGAGGAGACTTTCGGCCCCGTGGCTGGTCTTTTCCCCTTTAAGACCGAGAAGGAGGTCGTTGACTTGGCTAACCATGCTGAGGTTGGTCTCGCCGGTTACTTCTTCAGTGGAAATGTTCGTCGCATCTTCCGCGTTGCTGAGGCCCTGGAGGTCGGTATGGTTGGTGTCAACACTGGTTTGATCAGTGATGTTGCCTCTCCGTAAGTTCATCAGCTCCCATCATTTACATACTTAGCACTAACTTTTCCATAGATTCGGTGGTGTCAAGCAGAGTGGCTTCGGTCGCGAGGGCAGCAAGTATGGTATTGACGAGTTCATGACTATCAAGAGTGTGACTTTCGGTGGCATGGGCGAGCCTCTTCAGGAGTAGAAATTGGGCATTTAAAAACATTTTGGGAAGCGATATATCATTTTTACTAGACAAATTTATCACAGTTACATTGGCATGGTCTTCTTGCACCTCTCGGGTTCCATAGTATAGTAGTTTTCACTGCTAACCGTCCCTTACGTTGCTCTCGAGTCTTATCACATTGCAGATAGCACGAATTGAATGCAATTCAATCGCGTCTTTGCCTCATCCTGTTCAGCACATACTGTAGACCTACCATTTTGGGCGATCACCTGACCATAGAAAATACTACAACTCTGGCAGAAATATCCAATACCTCACCGCCTTCTATATCCCTTCTCCTACAACGAGAAGCGACGCCTTGACGTATCATCAGACGAAAGGTTATCTGGAATCTCCTATTAAGGCTCTTCATATAGACCGTTGACCTTCTGTGATACAATGCGGCCCTCACCCCATTTCCTAGCCGCGGTCGCCCGCAGCCAGCCTTCCAAGCTGAAGAAGCCTGCCATCGGTCTAGACCATGTTAGTATAACAAAACACATGTTCAGTGACGCTTGGTTTCGAGTATATATGCTAATAGAAAGTGCAGTTTATCCAAAGACAGCGGGTGTTATCATTATGGCGGGAGATCGTACGAGCATTAATAAGTATGCTCGCCATTCCCGATTTCTGATCCTTGTATGAGATTAATGAATATAGAAATTCCTCCGTCATCAACGAGGACTGAGCTGCACAGATACGCGCGCGATGAGTTTGAGCGCCAGCGCGGGGTATCAGATTTGGTAGGTTGACGTTGGGGGTTCTATTGGTTATGATTTAACCTGTTTGGCTGACCTTTTTTCCGCAGCAACACATAAGATACTTGCTTTCGGTATGAATCCCTGTTATTTAAGTGTGGTACCGGTTGCTAACGAGCTTATAGACCGGCAAAGCAGAATTTGAGACTATGAGACGCTATATCGACGAACAGATCGCTGGTTGATCTGCGTTGGTAGGCTGCATTTTGTAAATATTGGTTGTATCTCTAAAATTGTATAACCGGAACTCGAGTCATTTCCAAGCAAAGCGATGTGTACTATAGGATTGGGAAAGCTCGCAGTTGACGGAAATGTCAGAAGGCGAATCGAACTCCCCGTTGAGTGGCTGAACTACTGCGCCCCCAGTTTCACGTAAAGTCGTAACGCTAGTGAGTTGCCTGGTATAATTTACTGGCTGCTACCGGTTATCATGATTGATGGAGTTACTACACATGTGCAGACAAGGCTAATTTTGGTTACAATTAGGATGACGACCTAGTTTATGTCTTGGCAGGATACTAAAACATCGACGCAAATCGCGCGCGCTAAATGGATCGGGCTCAGACTGCTAAGATAGCCCGAGGCTTCATATCTAGCCCCAATCCCGTTCTTGGTGCTGTCTTTTCCCCACCGCTGTGCATATACCAAGCCACTCTGCCAGCGACGGCGCCTATTCCCAGGGCGCCCCTCATACGTGCGTCCAGCGCATCGTTCTCTTATGTATCTAGTCCTTGGTCTTAACAGACCCATTCGGCAGAGAATAATGACGGGAGAACAAAGTGCCATTACAACTGTACTTTGCGATTCAACTGATACTGAATTACCACAATGCCTGAACAAAGTCTGCGACTCCTTGCCCTGGATGGTGGAGGAATCCGCGGGCTGTCATCCCTCATGATATTGGAACAGTTAATGCAGACGGTCAATCCTGAGTCACCGCCAAAGCCCTGTGACTATTTCAATATGATCGGGGGAACGGGTATGGGCGGGTATGTGTTGATATCGATCTATGTAGCGTGGTATAGTTGTCGGACATGCGCTAACAAATCAGAATCATTGCGATCATGTTAGGACGACTCCAAATGACCGTCGAGGAATGCATAATCACATATATCTCTTTGATTGATTCTATCTTTCGAAAGAAACGGCGATTAAATCTCTTAGGCAAAGTCCAAGGCAGATTTGACTCGGCAGCACTGGAGGCTGCTGTGCAGAAGATAATTAAGGACCAAGGATATTGTTCGCATGAATTGCTCCGGGATACTCCTTATACAAATTGCAAAGTGTAGGCAGCGGCGAGCTTTGCGACGAGTCTATGGACTGACGCATTACATAGATTTGTCTGCGCTACAGGGGAAAAATACTGGCAAAGGTGTGCGATTCACAAGTTACCGGTCGCCCCGCGGTGGCAGAGATCTCCTTGACACCACCAAGATATGGGAGGCCTGCCGGGCAACGTCGGCAGCACCATCCTGTTTCAGCCCTATCACCATCGGACTTTTTCGAGAAGAGTTCGTTGGAGGGGGAACTGGTTCGAACAACCCTATTTGGGCGCTGTGGGAAGAAGCCCAAAGTATATGGGGACCTGAGCCAATTCAAGAGCAGATTGCATGTTTAGTCTCTATCGGGACAGGCATGCCCTCGCTTCAGGGATTTGGTAGCTCTCCCTTGCAACACGGCAGAACATTGCTGGCGATCGCGATGGAAACAGAGGATTCGGCGGAGCAGTTCCGGCGCGACAAGACAGATCTCCATCAGAGCGGTCGCTATTTCAGGTTTAATGTCATGCAGGGACTTGGCGCTATTGGCCTGACAGAGGTTCAAAGTGTCAATACGATCGCTCAAGCTACGCGGGTATATGTTGCAAGCCAAAATGTGGTAGAGCAGATGCAACGGTGTAGAGATGGTCCATCTGAAATGCACAGTCAGTCAACCTCCATTCCAACTCATCGTCTTAGATATGTGATTTTGATGCTGATAATTTGCTAGGATTGCGGTCTCTGTCCAAGGTCTTTTACCACATTCCGTTTTTGAAGAATAAGCGGTTCACAGGTCGGAGCGAGGAACTGGCCGCGATCGAGCAGAGCCTCTTTGTTGACAATACCTGTGATCAGCTCGCACTAGTTGGTCTTGGTGGTGTCGGGAAAACACAGGTTGTTTTGCAGTTCGCTCATATGTTGAAGGAGGCCTACCCGGAGTACTCAGTTGTCTGGCTGCCTGCGGTAAGTCTTCCAACTTATGAGCAGGCCTGTGTGGAGATTGCGGCGAAGCTGCATCTTGGTCAATCTAAAGGTGGGGAGGATGCGAAACTTCTATTGAAGCAATATCTCAGCGACGAAAGGGCTGGGAAATGGCTTTTGATTATCGATAATGCCGATGACCACGATCTCATCTTCGGCTGTCCCAGTCAACAGTCTCCTGGTATTGTTAACTTCCTCCCGAAGAGCGAAAACGGCCTGACTCTCTTCACCACACGATCTCAAGGAAATGGAGTGCGGCTTGCGGACAGCAATGTAATTGAGTTAAAACAAATGTTACCAGAAGAAGCCGTGGTCCTTTTTCGGCGATTTCTACCTCGGGTACAGGAAGGCCTGTCGGAGTTGCTAAGCGAGTTGGCGTATCTTCCTTTGGCGATCGTCCAAGCAGCAGCGTATATTATCACAAACAAAACATCCGTGACACGATATCTTCAACTATTGCGTCGCTCTGACCAGGATGCAATCAGCCTTCTCGGAAGGGGCTTTGATACCAACGCACGATATGACAACGCCGAAAACTCCATAGGACGCACATGGTTCGTCTCATTTTGTGAAATTCAAAGGCAAAACCAACATGCGGCCAGCATTCTCAAGTTCATGGCTTGTATTGAGCCAAAAGCGATACCTCGTTCGCTTCTGCCCCATCTTGGTTGCGAGGAGGAGATGGACTACGCGATAAACATCCTTCGGGCTTACGATTTTGTCACCCAGCGCGATGGAATGACATTTGATTTACACCACCTTGTGCACTTGGCGATCAGGATGTGGCTCGGGGAAGATGAGCTAGAACGAACAGAGCGAAGAGTCCTCGGTCATCTGAATCGGATGTTTCCATCTGAAACCTGGGACAATAGATTGGTTTGGAGGGAATATCTCCCTCACGTCTTCAAGCTCGCACAAGCGGAGTCAGTGCTAGATGTGCGAACCAGATACTTTTTGCTGATTCGAGCTGCGAGGTGTCTCTACCTCGACGGCAGACTGCAGGAAGCCATTAGCTGGTTGCGTGAAGCCTATGAAAGCACATCTCGCGCGAAAGGCTATATTTTCCGACTAGATGGAGAATCTGACCTAGGCGGTGCGCATGGGCGCATATGTCTGAGATTACCAAGTTGTCGAGCTGTTCAGCATACCCAGCATCATCACAACACACCAGACGATCCTACGGAGGGAAGATGCCTTTTTCGACGGGCCGCAACTGCGCCATTAGAGGATATCTTGTCTGTGAATGTGAAACCTCACAAAGACCATGACAATCGTCAACGGGTATTGCCAAAGCAATCTAGGGATGCTGATGGACAGGCTGTCACAGCGGCGAATGTGCTCGAGCAGAATATACCATCGACAGTCGAATTCCTTGCTAGGGATAAACTCGCTTTCATGGTCTTCGAAGCGAACTCCATTAGCGGGGGCTAGGGGGACGTCGAGCTCCTTGAACGAGTGGTGGGGGTGGAGGAGCAACTTCTTAGGATTACTCGAGCCTCTCCATGTCAAGACATGCACTCAGAAGCCTGTCTGAATCTCTGATGGTTTATGAGCAGAAGAGTGACAAGAGTGGCTCCGATGTTTGATCGATTTGTACGGAGTATTATACATGTTTACTTTCCACTATACTTACTACTTACTGTAATTCTTTTCCATTCTTCGCAGATGCCCGATGGCCCCGATCGCCCAAATGCGAAAGATCCAGATCATTCTTTACTTGTATTCGATCGAAGAATAATATGATGTCACTGACTCCAACTCCAGGTTCAAATAGCCTGCAGGATCCTGAAATCCCGAACAACTGGGCCCATCGCACTAGCGTTCGCCACTGTACATTTCTTGTCTGACTTTAAATTCCGCGTTTGATTCCTGTTTTCTGTTTGGCACTTCGTTGAATCCCCTTGTGGGTGAAGGTTCCTTGTTTGGTGATGATTGGATGGCACAAACCGGAAGCGGCTGCCAGGTTGCAGTCTCGAAGCTTGCAAGCTTGCTTTCATCCTGGCCAAGGTTCCTTTGAGACAACACGTCATGGATTTGGGTCCAGACTCGCGTTTATATAGGGCATTGCGGGGGAGGAATTGTTTGGAAACATTCTAGATGTTTGGGCGTTTTAGTTAAAATAATCCCATTCTCGTTGTATCCGAAAGCCTTCCACATCCTCTCCTCCACCACCTCCACCTCGGCCTCCACACTAGGATAGCGTGAACCAAAAAAGATCCAATAAAGATGAAATCCGGATCCCACCAATCCTCCCACCCCATCAGCCCCAAGCGGGCCAAGCACCTCGAACGCAACCGCATCGCCGCCAACAAATGCCGCGAGCGAAAGAAGCGCGAACACAAGCAAATCGAGCGTCGCCTGAGCGATGAAGCCGAAAAGAAAGACCTCCTGCTCGCCCAGTTGAACTGTCTCCGCGAAGAAGTCTGGGATCTGAAGAACATCATCTTCCAGCACGCCGAGTGTGAGGACCACCAAATCAACCTCCAACTCGCCAAAATGACCCAAACCGTCCTGGATTGCCAACCCGACCTGAACACGGGCTCGTCGCCGACATTCTCGAGTGGGACGTGGTCGGATGAGTCGGTCGCAGACGAGACCAATATAATCGGACCGGGCGCAAACACTGGCAGTGATTGGACGGTGTTGCCCAAGGCCGCGAATGATCTCGTTCCTTACGAGCCAACTGGATTTACCGAGTCGCTCTTTGAGAACTACATCGCCGACAATCTGTATCCTTGAGTATCCGTGAGAAAGGCTGTTTTTGACGTTCATTAGCGCTGGGCATATGTATAATAATTATTTTTTTTTTAGCTTCAGAGAGGCTCTTTCACCAAAACCCGATCTGTGGATCGATCTGCTCGTTGACGAATATATACGAATCTATGAATCAAACCATCACTTGCCGATATCCTTTTCCACCTGCGCACGGCGCAGTTGAGTCAACCCATCCCAGGACATGATCTCAGGGATCGGAGGAATATTCCCATGACGCCGAGGCGTGTGCCACTAATGTGACAAGTAGCTAGAGGCTCGAATGCTGCGAAAGCCTGCAAGCCTCGAAACAGCCCTGCAGGACTTGACAGGCAAAGGGACATTTCACACTTGATCGAGGGGCAAAAAAAGGATCAGCTCATCGGCTTATTGCCATGTCCACTGCGGACACTGTACACGTAAAACGGCCGTGTTTCGATCCACAAAGCCTCTGATGTCACCGTCAACCCGCCAAGCACCCCACGCGTGGAGTGTATACCTGAGCGTCGCGCTGTTCCTTCTCTTCTGTTCTTGTGAATATTGCCTGAATTTTGTTGAACTCAAGTTGGAATCTAAAAGCTGATTGTACTTTGTATTATAGCATTCCGTTATTTACTTGAATCCTATTGTCTCGATGATGCCGGCCTCGCAGCTACGTACGCCACCCTACGGGGAGCAACTGGCGAACTTCTCTCAGAAATCAGTAATGGGCACTATCTTCGAGACCACGGACCGGTTAGAACAGCCTGTAATCACCCATCCGTGCTAGTATGCTAAGACTATACCATTCCAGGTATACTGATTGGCGGCCTGTGGGCCTAGGAGTATCAGGACTCGTCTGGTATTGCTCCCTGTCGTGCGCAATCCACACGAAGTGGAAACTAACATCTCTCACCCTCCATACAGCTCCGCCAGGGACCAGCTTTGCCATCAGACCGTTGCCGTGAAGAAGCTTGCCGACCCATTCAAGACAGAGACCATTGCAAGACACATGTTCCGAGAAATCAAATTGCTACGACAACTGCGACACGAAAATGTGCGTATCGCAAGAAACAAGCCCAAAGGAACAGTCTAACAAGCCCCCAGATCATCAACCTAACCGACATATTCATCTCTCCCTCCGAAGACATGTACACAAACTCGACTCTCACTCCAAGAAACATACTAACACCCTCAGATACCTCGTGACCGAACTGATGGCCACCGACCTAAACACAATCCTCAAAGCGAAAAAGGTCGAAGACCAGTTCGCCCAATACTTCATGTACCAAATAATGGTTCGTGCCGTACATACCAGCGCAACAAAACACGATCTTCTAATGCACATCAGCGTGGCCTGAAATATCTGCATTCGGCCGGTGTTATACACCGAGATCTGAAACCGAGCAATATCCTCGTCAATGAGAATTGCGATTTGAAAATATGCGACTTTGGGCTTGCCCGGGTCCAGGAATTACATATGACGGGCTATGTCTCGACGAGGTACTACCGTGCCCCGGAGATCATGCTCACTTGGCGAAAATATACCGAGAAAGTCGATATCTGGAGTGCGGGGTGTATCTTTGCGGAATTACTTCTCGGTGAGCCTTTGTTCCCAGGGAAGAACCATATCAACCAGTTCTGTGTGATTGCCGATTTATTGGGGAATCCTCCGGAAGAAGTGATTTCGAATATCACGAGTGAAAACGTGAGTATCTCAGAATACGCTGATTTCAATGTCCATTTCTCGTGGAACTTCGATGCTGATTCATTCAAGACATTGAATTTCATCAAATCCCTCCCAAAACGGGACCGCAAGCCCATGTCCCAAGTGATCCCCAGAGCAAATGCAGATGGTATGTTCTGTTCCACCATTCCAATCCAGTAACATATCTCTCAAAAGAGGGAGAATAGAATATTGACACCACCAGCAACGAACCTAATCGACAAGATGCTCGAATTCGACCCCCAAGTCCGCCTCACCGCAACAGAAACCCTCTCATCACCCTACCTCGCCCCATACCACGACCCCACCGACGAACCAGTCGCAGCAGAAACATTCGATTGGGCCTTCCTCGAAGCAAACCTCCCAGCTGACATGTGGAAGACAATCATGTAAGTGCTAACGGCATCCATGTCTGCGACCATTGTTCCAATCAAAATGCATAGGTACGGCGAGGTCCTCCGGTTCCACGAACAAGCGCAGCAGGGTGGTCTGATAGGACCGATGAAATCGGTACATCAGGTGGATGGAATGGATCTGGGATAAAGTGCTGTTTTACTTTGTCTGGATTTGTATTTGGATATCTATGAACCCATTTTATTACTAGATTACATCTCTATTTAATGATTTTGTTTGAGTTTGGTATTGTTGCTTTTGGAATTGGACTTATAAGAGAATAAGGGATTATCGTATTAGCATTAGACGGATTTTGCGACGGAGATGAATTTCCGGCATGCGCATGCTTTGCGTATAAACAATGGTAGGGCGTATATGTTTCATCAAATAGACCCGGAAGGGTGGGAGGTGTATCGCATTCATCCAGGCTCAACATATCATGGCTTGCAGGTATGCTTGCAAGCATCGTTGGTTCATAAACATATATCCACAGGCATGGATCACCGTTTAGACAGCGGACTCAGGGTTGGTAGTGGTGTTGGCATTATTGTTGGCATTATTGTCGGCAGTAGCCATCTCCGAGGTATCGTCAGTGAGGTTTCTCTTTGAGTTGCGACGAGAGTTCTTCAAATCCGTCAGGGCAAAGTAGTTTGTGACAACGAAGGTAGCCCTGTTGTCATGGTCAGAAACCGAGTACTATATTCATGTCTCGGGATGCTTACCATTGCACGGCACTGACAACAATCAATGCCTGGAGAGCATGGCAGCTGGCGTAGCTACATGCACTGGGCGAGGGGATCATGGCAGCTAGTGCAATCCAGCCGGTGAACCAGAGGCCGCAGGTGAGGAGTTCCACGAGGGGGATGGCGACTTCATGGGAGAATCGGGGGAAGGCTAGTGGTGCTAGGCCGAGGTAGGGGACTGCAATGGCTGTTGTCCAGCAGCCGTTGAAGAGCATGTAGTAGATGACATTGGAGTAGGACCATTCGTCGTACAGAGATGCAACTTCTACATTCGGTTAGTACTTTTGCGTTTCTGGATTGAGTATGGGAGACATGCCATATGCCGCTAGACCGATTGTGGCCAGGGCCAGGATGGCCTGCAAGACGCGCAGGGGGTAGATCCAGGAGAGCATGGTGTGTGGACTTTCGTTCTCTTGGTATAGTCTGGGATACGGGGTATAGTCTGGGGTATGGAAGTGGGTATTGAGTGCTTTTGAAAGGTGGATGGAGGAAAGTATTAGAAAACCAGAAGAATTAGAGCCATAAGATATTGCTATGGGACTTTATACTCTTGAGAAGCGCCCATCTTCTGCCCTACACGTCATGATATTATGATTCGGAAAGAGATATGCAGATTGGCAAGAGTTAGACCCGAGGATGGGCGGAGACTAGGGACAGAGTTTAGGAGTAGAGACTGAAATATTTGACGCAGTATCTTTGTGATAGACCTTGAGGCTTTCCGAATTAGGGTTTTGGTGTTTGTTGTAGTCCGACTTCCCCGCTACGAGACATCTTTTCGGATATACACTTGACAACATCGGTGTTCAATGTTGAACAAATGTATCTACTCCTTACTCTTGGAGACTAAAAGGTGCCAGAATGAAGCCAAACTCACTACACGCCATTCTTTTTCCGGAATGAAGCATCAGATGTCAGGGTACCTCACAGCGCTGGCCTTGTCGATCTCACATGAATGCCTCGGCCAAGGAAGTACCTTCGGCTGCTTGTTCGGGAATCGGTCCAGGATACTGCCAAGGATGGTGATGTACATACCTTGTTTGCTAGTACCCTTGGTCAAGCTTGTCTGGCGTGGATCAATTGTGGCAAGTTGCTACCTCGGCATGGCGATCCTCGGATCGGACGTATACACCACAGCATAGATATAACACCCGGGTGAGCACATCGTACGTTGGACTTCCGTCTTATGCATTCTATGAGTATAAGCCAAATCCATCAGTTGAAGATGCACAAACGATTGGAGAATTTCGATGCATATGTACAAGAAAAAAACAAGAGAAGAAAAATATAATCTATCCTATCTTACAGATCCCATTCCAATCAGTTTCGATCAGTTTCGTGACATAAGCGCCTTCACAGCATCCATAACGCCAATAGACTTCTCATCAGCCGACTCAATCGCCGACTGTGCCGCACCAGGCTCACTGCGCGGTGGCGCGGGCTTGTTGCCGACCTCCTTGGCAGCAGCTTCAATAGCAGCGTGACGCTCCCTCCATTCGCGATCTTCCTTGTCACGAATCTCCAGCTCGCGCAACCAAGCGTCACGCTTTTCTTGCTTCTTGCGAATCTCCACAGCCTGGTCGAATTCCCGGCGCTGCTGTCGCTCTGTCTTGAAGTACATTCCACCGGCAACGAGGGCGACGAGTGTGAAGGCTTGTGCGTAGATACGGGCTCGGAACATTCGGTTCATTTCGACTGAGTCGCCGGATTTCATTGACCGGTAGGCGCGGTAGAGGGCGTAACATGTTGCGGCGCATCCTGGGTTATGTATTAGTTTCAGTCGAAGGGGAGGGAAAGCTGGTAGATGGTGTGGCCTGTGCTGGGGAGAAGTCCATACCGAGGGGAACAAGCGGCTCTTCCTTCAGACGTCGGGTGAATTTTTGAGTTCCGGTCTCTTCTGTGAATTGACTATCGGAGGCCGAGTGTTAGCAGGCGGTCCTCTCCCTTCACTTCTCCGTGACATTTGTGTGTGCGGCTTGCGGAGTGCGCGGATATTATTCCACATACGGGTTGTCGTCAAAAGACGATGGGACAGGTTCGCGCTCCATGATGAAGATGGTTGGGGTATATCGACTTTGGTTTAGCTTTGGTCGTGCGGAGTTCAATCGCGTTCACGGGATGCGGAGTTTTCGAGGTCGAGGATATTTGGTCAACCCTTGAGATTGGCGGTGTGAATTATCACGATCAAGTGAAGCGTGGAGAGTTGGTGATTTCGAGGTTGAATTAGACTCCCAAGATTGCACAGGGTCAAGCTCGAAGGCTGTGGTATGACGCCAAGTTTTCAAGCATTATGTAACTATCTGGCCCGGCCTTGAAGCGGGGGGGGGTCCTGCATCTAACTACTACTTACGCCAACACACTGTTATGGGGGTTTCTGGTCGAATCTAATGTAGCTTGGACTATTGCTACTCCATAACTGGCTGTGTGAGACTACAAACGTAGCAACAAGCAAGGACCTGTATAATCAACGCTCCACGACTGACCGCTATCTACAAGATTGTATTTAACCTCGTTTAGATCGTTCCCCACGTTCCCTTCTTTCATCCACGAGGCTGCCCTCGAACGATCAGACAATTAGAAAGCTTGATATTTGCCCAGGAAAGATTTCTCTGATACTTTCATCTGATCTCATTTATCTTTTACACTATTTTCCCACGCTGGTTTCCAGATTAGGCTCTGTTTAGGGCTCGCACTGAGGGTTGATGACATAAGGCCCTCCGATCATCGGTCCCGCCTCCGCAAGAAAAAAAGAGTCATAGTCGATAATTTCCCATCAGCTTTCAGATTGTATTGATCATCATTGTGATTGATCTTATCTCGAGGTCACGATGTCCGACGAAACTCCAACCAACGGCGTGGTGACGCCCGTCACCTCGAAGATCAGTGGGTTCGCGTTGACTGAGTATACCGCCACTCCGACGCCGCCCTCTGAGCGCGAGCAACGTACTCCTGGCTTGCCTCCTAATTGGGGCATTCCCGAAGCTTTCCTGCTTCCCAATGGCTATCCGGATGTAATACCATCCTTGTATTCATCTCTGAGATTAAAATTCTAACATTTTGCCCCGCCATTCTAGTATCTCCGGTTGATTTTGACCTCAAGAGTTTACGATGTTATTGAAGAGAGTCCTCTGACCCATGCGGTCAACCTGAGCAACCGGTTGGAGACCCGAGTTCTTCTCAAGCGCGAGGACTTGCTGCCCGTGTTTAGTTTCAAGCTCCGTGGCGCCTACAACAAGATGGCTCATCTGAACAATGAACAGCGGTGGAAGGGTGTCATTGCTTGCTCTGCGGGTGAGCGCATCGCCGGTAGTTAACCTAGTGCACAGTGCTGTTTTCTAACTCACTATAGGCAATCATGCGCAGGGTGTTGCCTTTTCTGCTCGCAAGCTGAAGATCCCCGCTACTATCGTTATGCCCTCTGGCACCCCCGCCATTAAGCATCTGAATGTTGCTCGGTTGGGAGGAAGTGTTGTTCTGCACGGAATGGATTTCGATGCCGCTAAGGATGAAGCCCACAAATTGGAGAAGCAGCATGGGTTGACCAACATTCCTCCATTCGATGATCCCTATGTCATTGCTGGTCAAGGTACCATTGGTATGGAGCTTTTGCGCCAAGCAAACCTGGACAAGCTGGAAGCAGTATTCTGTGCTGTTGGTGGAGGTGGTCTGATTGCCGGCATCGGTGTTTACCTCAAGCGCATCGCACCCCAGGTGAAGGTCATCGGTGTTGAGGCTTACGATGCCAATGCCATGGCTCAGTCCCTCGATACTGGTAACCGAGTCTTCCTCAAGGAGGTCGGCCTCTTTGCAGATGGTGCAGCAGTCAAGTCCGTTGGCGAGGAGACTTGGCGTCTCAGCCGCGAGGTGATCGACGATATCATCCAGGTGAGCACCGACGAGACCTGTGCAGCCATTAAGGACGCCTTCGAGGATACCCGTTCCATCGTCGAGCCCGCCGGTGCTCTCGCTCTTGCCGGTCTTAAGAAATACATCGCCAGGAACCCCAGCGCCGACGTCAATCGCGAGCTGATTGCCATTACCTCCGGTGCGAACATGGATTTCGACCGTCTGCGCTTTGTTGCTGAGCGCGCTGCTCTTGGTGAGAAGAAGGAGGCTCTTCTGAGCGTTAAGATTCCCGAGAAGCCCGGCGCCTTTGCCAAGCTCGTTGAGATTGTTCTTCCCCACGCTGTTACTGCTTTCAACTACCGCTATGCCCGCGAAGAATCCGCTGATGTGCTGATGGGTATCTCGCTATCTGCCTCTACCGGTCGCGAAGATCTGGCCAAAATCATGACACAACTGGAGCAGGGAGGTATGGACTGCCGTGATTTGAGTGATGATGAACTCGCCAAGCGCCATCTGCGCTTCCTCGTCGGTGGCCGCTGCGAGGTGGCCGATGAGCGCATCTTCATGTTCGAGTTCCCCGAGCGTCCAGGTGCTCTCGCCAAGTTCCTCACCACCCTCCGTCCTGAACAAAATATTTCTCTGTTCCACTACCGTAACTACGGCGGTGATGTTGGCAAGGTTCTCGCTGGTATCCAGTGTCCATCGCCTGAGAAGGAGGATCTGGAGGCATTCCTTCAGGATTTGGGCTATCCTTTCAGTGAGCACACTGATTCACCCACTTACAAGACCTTTTTGCGTTCCGAATAAACTTAATTTGAGGATATGGGTAACGAGAAGATGCATTATTCATAGCTTTATTGATTTAAGCGGTTTAAGGTCCAGGCCTGGTTTGTGTTCAGTTTGGCGTTTGGTTCACCTTGATAGACCTCCTGTATCATTAGGTCACATAGCTGCGTCTAGGATTTTCTACTAGTGGCAAATTTTCAAACATTTACATATTTCTCCACTTGATGTCCAGCATTCACATAGTCTCACTTCATCTTCATTGTTGTCTCGCAGATCTAGTCCTTGCAGTCCACCCGATGCATGTAGATAAGAGGTTTCCCGGCCTGCTTTGATGTAAAAAGTGATTATCCATCACTTTAAATAGCCATCAAATCAATCCATCCATCGATGTGTTTCTATTATCCTTCGTTTTCACTGCCCTCGATATACTTGTACTGCCAAGCCGACCAATCACGGCAGCCAACCCCTCGGCCGATCGGCGATACAGAACCTCCGGCCAACATTTGCGATTGCACCAGAGAACCTTCGGAGCCAAACATCAGCCTCGCACCCGCGCCTTGATACCTCTTGTTCTTAATAGGATACAACTTGAGGCACAGCGTTCAATCGATCACCGTCCTTGGAGATATCCCGAAACCGAAACCCGCCGTCATGTTCTCCCTCCGCGCCGTCTTCGGTGCCTCCTCCGGGGCTCTCCGCCAGTTCCTCCCCTCTGTGAACACCCGGGCGGTCACATTACGACCTTTCTCGCACATGATTCGCAACAGCTTGACGAGACTCCGTGGACAAGCAAAGTCCGGCAACGCTGTTGCGATCGTCAATGCGTCCGCAAGACAGGTTGAGCAGGTTCGGGGAATGAAGACTCGCTCTTCTGTCAAGAGACTGTGTGATGGCTGCAAGGTATGATATGGCATAGCCAATATGGATATATTGGAATAAGTGGAAGTTATGAATTTGGAGGTGCTGACTGCTGAATAGCCCGTTCACCGCAAGGGCCGTGTCTACATTATTTGGTGAGTTCTGGTTACCCCGGGTCAATGAAGGCCATGCTTGAAATCATTGGATTCTAATTTTTTATTTCCTTACAGCTCGAAGAACCCCAAGCACAAGCAACGGCAAGGAAAATAGACTCCTCGCTTTTCGTCATTTTCTTCGATAGCATGCATCGCTTCATCCTTCCGCAACAGCCTTATTTCAAGCAACTTGAGAAGTGGGCAAGACATTCAAATATGGGAATACGCTCTCAATAACCAATGCTGACGTGCATTGTTGGATACACGATTTGCCGTCGCGGAGTCTGGATCGGTGGCATACTTTTGCATTCTTGTTTCAAAACCTGACAGTGGTTGGATACCACGGCGCTTGTTTCTTTTTCTTGTATAGCGGATGTATCATAAACTTTTGCCTCTTTCACACTTTCCCCGCAAGTACGTAGATTGAGCTTTTGAGTAGAAATGATAAAATCATTTTCTGTGTCAGAGTTAGGAGGGAGGCTGACTACCTTCTCAAAGAGCAGTACTACGTCTTAATCATATATGTATAACGTGATAATAACTTTAATAAATGAGCCGTGGGCTTCAGATGATTCTAAAAGACCTAGTTCAGTCACAAGGGCTAGGTTAGGTGGGATTTGAGGACATTGTATGTGATTCAACAGTACTTGGGTGTATTACTTTTGTCCTTAAACACCTTTAGTGGACCACTGGTGCCAACAGCTTTGAACACAGACTATTGCTCAAATAGTTCAGCTTAGTATAATGCAAGTTGGCGATACTACAGGACGTTCAAATTTGGAGTAGTAAACTATGCTGTCTGATATTATCCAAAATAGGAAATAATCCCCGGGCGGTGTGGCAATTTTGCCATCCCGGACGATATAATCGGAAGTAAATCCTCACGTGACGCGTTCCTGGCGTCCCCGAACCTTTTTTTTCGGGACAACTAAACATTCAATCCGCGTTGATCATATCAATTTTGGTGTGAGTGGATCATCACCATGCGGTCTTCTTGTCTTGCCCGGTTACAATCCAGTGCGGTGTCTGGCTTGACCAGATCAGCCCGTTTCCAACCCCAGACTCTTCTGCGCCAGCGATGCGCTTCAACGGCCGCGTTCCGGTCCGCCGCTGTTGCGCCAGCTTATCAGTCAAAGTTGGGACATTGGCACCAGCGTCGAAATGCATCCGCTGCTGCTTCCGCAGTGTAAGTTTAATCATTGGATTGGTCTCTCTTTGTTTCTCAAACTAATTCCAATCTTGTGTTTAGTCTTGAGGCTGCTAAGGCCAACCCCGACGGCCTGTCCCAGGCCGCAATTATCGACAACCTCGATCCGGTAGAGGCCGCTCGTCTTGACAAGTGTCGTAACATCGGTATTGCGGTACATAATATCCCAATTGTCTCCTATCTACTTGTTGATCTTGTCTAACGATGTGTTTCTGCATAGGCCCACATCGACAGTGGTAAAACCACCTGTACCGAGCGAGTTCTTTTCTACACTGGTCGTATCAAGGCTATCCACGAGGTCCGCGGGCGTGACAGCGTCGGTGCCAAGATGGACTCCATGGATCTGGAACGTGAGAAGGGTATCACCATTCAGTCCGCTGCCACTTTCTGTGACTGGGTTAAGAAGGATAAGGACGGTGTTGACCAAAAGTACCACCTGAACTTGATTGATACCCCGGGCCACATTGATTTCACTATTGAGGTCGAGAGAGCGCTGCGCGTTCTGGACGGTGCTGTCATGATTCTGTGTGCTGTCTCCGGTGTTCAGTCTCAAACCATTACCGTCGATCGTCAAATGCGCCGCTACAACGTTCCCCGTATCTCGTTCGTGAACAAGATGGATCGTATGGGTGCCAATCCCTTCAAGGCGGTTGACCAGATTAACACTAAGCTCAAGATTCCTGCCGCTGCTGTTCAGGTCCCCATCGGTGCCGAGGACGAGTTCGAGGGTGTCGTTGATCTGATCCGCATGAAGGCTCTCTACAACGTTGGCGCCAGCGGTGATGAGATCGTGGAGAAGGATGAGATCCCCGAGAAGGTTAAGGCCATTGCCGAGGAACGCCGCACCATGCTCATTGAGACTCTTGCCGATGTCGACGATGAGATCGCGGAAATGTTCTTGGATGAGATCACCCCCAGCGAGGATCAAATCCGTGCCGCTATCCGCCGTGCTACCATTGGATTGAAGTTCACCCCTGTCTTCATGGGATCTGCTTTGGCCAACAAGTCCGTTCAGCCTATGCTGGACGGTGTTATTGACTTCCTTCCCAACCCCGCTGAGGTTGAGAACTTGGCCCTCGACCAGAAGCGTGACGAGGCCTCTGTCAAGCTTGTCCCCTATAACTCTCTGCCTTTCGTCGGTCTCGCCTTCAAGCTGGAAGAGAGCAACTTCGGTCAATTGACCTACATCCGTGTCTACCAGGGTACTCTCCGCAAGGGTTCCAACGTCTTCAACGCTCGCAACAACAAGAAGGTCAAGGTTCCCCGTATTGTCCGCATGCACTCTAACGAGATGGAGGAAGTCAGCGAAATTGGTGCTGGTGAGATCTGTGCTGTGTTCGGTATTGAGTGTGCTTCTGGTGACACCTTCACCGATGGAACTTTGGGTTACAGCATGACATCCATGTTCGTCCCCGAGCCCGTCATTTCGCTCTCTATCAAGCCCAAGCAGAGCAAGGACGGTGCCAACTTCTCCAAGGCCATGGCCCGTTTCCAGAGAGAGGACCCGACCTTCCGAGTCACCTACGATAACGAGAGCGACCAGACCATTATCTCCGGTATGGGTGAACTTCACCTTGACATCTACGTGGAGCGTATGCGTCGTGAGTACCGCGTTGACTGCGAGACCGGTCAGCCCCAGGTCGCCTACCGTGAGACCATCGGCAACCGTGTCGAGTTTGACCACTTGCTCAAGAAGCAGTCCGGTGGACCTGGTGAATACGCCCGTGTCATGGGATACATGGAGCCTACTGGCGTCCTCGAAGACAACAAGTTCGAGCAACAAGTTGTTGGAGGCAGTATCTCAGAGAAGTTCCTGTACGCTTGCGAGAAGGGTTTCAACCTCTCTTGTGAAAAGGGTCCTCTCATCGGCCACAAGGTTCTTGGAACTCGCATGGTCATCAACGATGGTGCCACTCACATGACTGATTCTTCCGAAATGTCCTTCAAGAATGCCACCCAACAGGCATTCCGCAAGGCTTTCGCGGACAGCCAGCCTTCCGTTCTGGAGCCTCTCATGAAGACTGTTGTTACCGCCCCGACTGAATTCCAGGGTGATGTCATCGGCCTGCTCAACAAGCGCGGTGCCACCATCAACGACACTGAGACCGGTGTTGATGAGTTCACTATCTACGCTGACTGCAGTCTGAACGGCATGTTCGGCTTCAGTACTAACCTGCGCGCCGCTACCCAGGGCAAGGGTGAATACACCATGGAGTTCAGCCACTACGAGAAGGCTCCTCCTCACATGCAGTATGTTCCAATCCTAATCTTCTGTCTGTTTGTCCATGCTAACCAATTCGTCTCTTTACAGGAAGGAACTCATTGCCAAGTACCTGAAGGCCCAGGCCGACAGACACAAGAAATAAACGATAAAATATGTAATAATTCCCCACTCCGACCACACTGGCAATCCAAGTTAGGCAGTGCCTGGCCTTGGCTCTTGTCAGATCTAAGAAGCAGCGCATTTTGGTTTCGATGCCGCTGTTTCTTCCACAAAAAAACCCCCTGTACTATTTATGCATGACACTATATCACGCTGTGACTTTCTGGGACCTGTATTTCAAGATCAAGATACTACTTTCTACTCTCCTGTCTGAACAAATAGATCATTGTTTTATTAGCTTTCTTCTCCTATCGGGTATTCTGTCAAGTCGTGTACAATCTGAAAGTCTAGCTCATGGTGCAGTGTGTCTCAGGGCAGATTCAGTTCACATAAGACAAGAATATGAAATCATAGTCATTTTTCTCGGATGATGTACTCGAACTTGCTGAGGAATGAGAATCTTTTGTTCTTTCAAATGGTACTCTATCTATCAATATCCAATCAACATCCAACGAAAACAGTAACTATGAGACATAGAGTCTAGGAGCAAGCATGTTGAGACTGTACGATTCCGTTCAAAGAACGACTTAAGCAAAGAGCTGTCCATATTAATCAAACTACGCCAAACCTTAGACATCTTATATGCTGGAGTGAACGAAACATAATCTATCAGGCTGTCCCATGTTCATTATTGGTAAAAGTTATATAAATTCAGAAGAATGTATAGTATGTACCATCAGATCCACCTATTATTGAAGCTTTACGATTTCCACCACCTCCAGATCCACTGGCTCCAATTATTGAAGCTTCACGATTTCGAGTTTTGCGCAAGTCTTCCCATCCTGTCTTCTTTAGAGGCCGAGGAACAGCAGGAGGAATATCATCATCCGTCACCACATAGTATGGGACATGCGGAAGTGGCTTGTCGACATTAATAGGGGATTTTTCGCCAGACGAGGAATTCAGGTCAGTCTTACTCTTACTCTTTCGGATAGTAACCATCTTACTGTGCACCCTATCTACTGACTCGGTCCTAGCCGTTCTTTCTGCGTTGCGGGTCGACACACGCGCAGATGAAGAAACCCGAGGCGACAGCGATGGGCTGGGAGGGAGCGGGAGCAGGGGTTTGGCTGGAAGAGGGCTATTCTGTGACCTATCAGTCTGCGGGGTATGTCTATCCTGAACAGGCCCATATTGGAGCAGAGGAAGATCCGCCCAGAGGTCGTCCTTGTGGATAGTGAATCTCCGGAATGCTTGGAGGATGGGAAGATCTCGCTTATCTGCGCCAGTGAACAAGGGAGGCGAACTTTTCCCATTGGTATACTGACTTTCTCCCAATTGGTTGACGAGATCTTCGAATTCTTTGTCGCTGAGCGAACCCAGGAAGTGCGGCCATCTGGGATCAGCAGGCTGCGGTGTGGAAATCAGACACTGGAAGCCCTCCGTGACAGCGGCGGTATCTTCAGCAATGCTTACGCCCAATCTGGGCGATTTGGGATCATATTCTTCCGGGTAGACTGCTATGTTATCCCAGATGGGATCACCGAGGAGATCGCGGAGTTGGTAAAATGCTAATATGCGACGAGCGATGTGCAGTTGTGTCTGTCCGTCTCTTACCAACGCAGTCAGCCGGTAATCGAGGTGGAAATCTTGTTCGTATAAGACTATCACCAGGAATGCGCCGATTGCATCGCCTGGGACTCGATTTATGACCCACGCCCTCAGGCATTGTCTCAGGTAGTGGATGGCTTTGATGTCCCAGGAAATGAGAAGATCTCGATTTTGGACGGCGAGTAGGGTATCGGTCGGTCTGTCTTCAAGGAATGATTGGAAGAGAGGTCGCAAGTCCCACCGGCTAGTGCTGGCTTCTTGATAGCACTGGCTCACACGGGGGTCTAATGGCCTGGCGGCCTTAGTGGAGACCTTGTTACCTGTGGCAGACATATCTGCAGTTGAGGATCAGTGGTATATTATAGATGAAAACGTAGTTAAGGAAAAAAGGATTGTTTAGTCACTGCGAAAAGGAAATGTGAAGCTTCTTGAAGGTTATAGGCATGGGATATCGAATGAATCCAACGTCAGCGATGGCCTGGGTATTTATCTTCCTAGGGCATTGTCGTATAATGAAGGCTCCCATTGTTGGGCATGAGAAGGAGGAAACAAGGGAAATGCTTGTCCATTGTCAAGTCCCTTGATCAAAGATATTGTCCAAAATAACCTGCAAGAGGGAGTATATAGAACAAAGAAGCCTGAAAAGCTTTGTGCCAAAAATGTCGAGTCGCTCATTGTCGACAGCGGTTGCTTGCAAGGATATCTCAGCTTGTCCTACCCCCTGTCGGTGATTCTGTGGACAAGGAATAATCCGAATTCTACGCAAAGAGGTGAATGATGACAGATCGCATTCTCATGTATTGGGAAAGAAATAATACAACTGGATTGTGTATACCGAAGAACAAGATGATATGATGGGAATCAATTAAGGCAAATGCAGCGCTCTATTAAATCATGTATGGTCAATGAGAATGAGAAAAAAAGGGCGGCGGGCTTGAGGTCACCCACCGAAGGGTATATGCACGCCAACAGAGGCGATCAGTTAAAGTCAGTATGGATAAAAAAAAGTCCACAGATGCGGACAGGAAAAATAAAAGAAGAAGGGAGTTCGAAAAAAGAAAAAGAAAGAAAAATGTGGCGACTAAAGCCACAAGACCCATCGAACAGCAGAGAAGGCACCTCGGAAGACACCACGCACAAGCTTGAAAGCCATGACAATCAACCACACCCACCAAAGCATAGCAACAAGAGCCCATTCCAGGACCATGAACCCGGTGCGGCGAATCCACCGCAACCGACGGCGACGCTTGCGAATGCCTTTGTCAAGGGCATCGCTCAGCTGTTTGACAGCGAGAGTGCTGGTGGTATTAAGCTGGACACACATATCCTCCGCGTCGTTAGCCGTGGCTCGGACACGGGGGGCCAAGGATTGATTAACCAGATTCTCCAAGTTCGTCAGCTGGGTGCGGAGCGGCGAAGAGGTGGTGGTAGAGAAATGATGCATGGATTGTTGGAAAGATTGTTGAGTCATCTCAAAGCGCTGGAGGAGATTCTGAGCGGCAAGATCAAATTCGTTGATCCGAGTTACTCGGGGAAGAGATACGCCAGGGCCTATGGAGCTTTGAAGCCAGTGAGGAGCAGGCTCGCGGGCAGTGTGAGCTCGACGAGTAATTTCCCGAGCTTTAATCCCTGATGACAAAAGAAGAGCTCGTGTGCGCTCGACCTCTGGTTTGCCAGGAACACCTGTGTCAACCAAGGTTTGCAGACTGCGCCCCGAGATACTCCAGGCACGACTGGCCCCCGAAAGCCCGGGGCGTCTTCCATCTGGAGAAATCTCCGGAGATGCCCGAGCATTGGCGAGTCCAGTCACAGGAGGTCGTGTCAAGCTGAAAGGGATGGAAGGGTCTTTAATCTCGTGGTGCTTTGTCCGCCCAGGGTGCAGAGAAGTGCTGAAATCGATGGTTTTGCTGCGTGGCAGCGGAAGTCTCTTAGTGGACTCACGAGAATCATCTTTCCGTGGAGCCAATAGTCGTTCACGAGGGCTGCCAAGATCGGTTGCTTCATATGCTTGGCTTCGTTCATCTTGCCGTAAGGGTGATATGAAGGTTGGCAGTGAAGGTTTGAAGGTTCGAGATGAGGTCTTCTCCAAATCTCTGCGGGTCAATCGCCCAGGCTCATCTCCAAACGCTGGTAGGCGCCGTAAAAGTCCCTTGGAACTAGACTTCTTGTCACCTTTAGATTCTGCATCTGAATCGCTATCATCTGACGCAAAAGTAGTGGCTGACGACGATTTCCGAGATTCGGGATCTGCGTCTTTCTTCAGAATGAGATCTCCAACCTTAGAGACCTCATTACCCACGATTTCTGCTATCCGACCTGGTCCCTTGAAAATTCCTCGTAGCTTTGATTCAGGAAGATGTGGTCCTTTACGAGATCGGTGTGTATCTGCCCGGTTCCCTTCATGTATATCTTGATCATCACGATAAGATGATGATACAACATCAGGAAGAGGACTTGGCTCAAGTTTTGACGCACTCTCCGTCCGTGCCGGGGCCGTCACATTTCGTTGGTGTGAGATATCATGTTCTGGCAATTCATCCTCGTGTTCACGGTCCTGATCCCGCTCACGATCTGCTTGCTTACTCTTGCTACGCTCGTGGCGTGAGGCAATCTTATGACGAAGACCTTTCTTCACGGGCGAGGGAGACCGGCTTGGCGGGGGTGACAGGTTTACTGCTATGCTCGGGAAGTAGCCAACATGGGCCGGAGAGCTAGGTGCGGTGCTATCCATTCCTTCCAAAGACATCCGAGGATCTTGCTGATCGTCAAGGCTGCCTGTCGATGAGATAGAGCCTGTTCTATGTCCACGAGACTGCGGCTCCGTTGGTTGAGGTGTCCTTCCTCGATCAATATCAGTGTCGTGAATGGCGGGGGATTTGGCGCGAGATATCCGAGATCCCGATTGTGCATGGTCGACAAATCTTTGGGCATGCGCACGGGGATGCTCGCGAGATGTGCCAGGCTTTCCGTCAAATGAAGGGAGAGAATCCGAGCTAGATGTACTCGAGACGCTCCCCGAGCGCATTTTGACTCTATCCCACCGTGACGGCTTTCGTTTGCTGGAGGCGCTCCGGCTGCGTAAACTTTGTGAATGACTTCGAAATTTGTGCCTGTGTCGCCCACGACCCACACTCCTGAATTCCTGTGCCAGTGCAGGGTGCGCACTGGAGTAAGAGGTACGGGGCGACGAATGGGTCTCGCCGATATCCCCCATTTCGGCCGAGCGGCGTTGCTTCTGCGGTGTCACGAATGCATCCTGTGTCTTCATGATGACCAGCTTTGTAGGGTCAGGATAGAGTTTATAACCCTCCTTGTCCACTACTTTCGTCTTATTAATACCATCTTCTAGCCAAGCGGCATCAGCCAAGAGTTCTTCTGGCGAGATCTTCCAATCAATACGTGGCCGACGAGCCTTCATGCTGCTAGTTCGGCTAATACGCCGCAAACTTGAGGGAGGAGAGGTAGGCACAATGTCCGTATACTCATTTCCTCCAATAGAGGAGGCATGGCGCCGACCTTGGTGAAATGGTGGCAATTTCAAGCAATCTAGTTGATCATGCTCTCTTTGGCTGTATTTTTGCTCGATGTGATTGATCCATTGGTGCACTCTTTCCACTTCGTGCCATCCCTCGGCATCTGCGTCAATGGAGCATTTCTCACGATATCTGACTTTCCGGTTGCGAATCATTTGAAGTGGGTTATATCCACGGTGAGGCTGCTGAGGTTTGGACTCAGCGCCTTCCTTGACCGCATCTCGAAGGGGTGGTAGCGAGGGAAGTAGCCGCATATATTCATGAAAGAGGTCAAAATAGTTGCGTGCTTTTTCGGCTCGGGCCAGAGTATTTTCTGAGAATTCGTATGCCCGATGGTCCTCAACCGCGGATCTAGGTAACAAATTGACAACAGATGACTGCTCTAAGCCCGGTAGTGTCCCTTGTGACAATCGATTACTAGAAATATGCGTAAAACTGCGATATGACGAGTCTCGCTGGAAACTCCTTCCTCGTGGGTGGTATGCATAGCTGTCTACTGGGACAGCAGGCTGAGAGACGGATATTGGCCTTTGGCTCTGAGTGCCCGGGGGTATCCCGGAAGCTGCTCTCCTCCGAGATTCGTTAAGATTTAGAGCTAGATTCACAATCTGAATTGAATCTCTATCAAGCCCCGAATGCGGCTGTTCCTCGTTATCTTCGTTTACCTCGTGCTGCAAGGAGCCTCCAGGCGGTTGGCTGTCCGAAGGCGTAGAGAATTGTCGAGCACTGATCGGGCTCGAACTTGGATCGTCCGGTCCCAGATCAGACGTATGGTGCTTAAGCCGGCCCCATGTAAATCGCGAGCGTTTCTTGGGGACCACGATGTCCGGCTCGGGGACGCTGCGCGTTACTTGGGGTGGTTCTGACGGGAAAGGCTGATGCAGGCTAGCTCTCGTACTTCTCGAACGAGGAAGAGAGTCAAGCAAGAATCCACTTGAGCTCTGGGTCCTTCGTTGGCCCGGTGCCCTGCGAGTTCCGTCACGGGAACTGCCTCCCAATGTACTACCCTCTAACTCCCCGCTTGTTCGTCCGTTGTTCATTCGGGATGGGGTCTGGCGAAATGAGCCTCTATCAGATCGGATAAAAGGCGACTCGGGTCCAGTGGATCGATCGCGGGGTTGTCCATTTGCCGGGGGCATTAAAGGTCGTACAGGGGGGTCGTTTGGTCGTTGCGACATTGCCGCGGGAGGTGCAACAGTGCTAGATAGGCACGCTTGACAAAGAGACGGACATAGTTTGAGCAGGCGCAAGCATTAACGCGGTCAGCCAATCTGGCGAAAAGCCTATTACAAGTAAAATTAAAGACAAGAGTGCCCGATCAATCAAATGTCGACCAACATCCCCCGTGTAGATCGGCATGCGCGCCCCGGGGCCGACCAATAGGGTTACGTAAGCGCTTTATTCGGCCCGAGACCCCTGCACAGGCACCCAGCGGAGAAGACTTGCAAGCTTGGGCATCAGACATCATGGATTCAATCAAGCTAGATGTGTAACATAGGTTCAGGTCTCGAGTACAAGCTCTACTAAATTCACGTCCGAGAAAGGCAAGGGAACACGAGGAAATTCTAGCATTTGGTCTAAAGCACAAGTACAACTAGAGGTACAGTTCCTGTAAAAGACGAGGATATACAGGGAAAAATGAATTCTGCTTCGCTCAAAGTATGCACTTACTCAACCCGCAAGCACTGGAGGCGGGCCTCGGCCTCGATAACCTGTGGAGGAATATTGTTAGCTGATCTGTTATCTTCAACCCTAAATGTAGAACCAGAACTTACCTCGAGAGCCTGTCTAACTTCAAGAACCTTGCGGACATCACCCAACCAATCCTTGCTGAGAATCTTGGCCCAGCCCTGGAGAGTGTTCATCTCCCGAGCAGCGGCGTCAATATCACCCTGTTGCAACAAGTTCTCGGTGCGCACCAAAACGCTCTCCACGTCATCACCCTCGGACAGAGCATCCTTCTTGAACATGACCTTGCTCAGGACAAGGCTGGCGGCGTGGCTAGCCACACCGGCATCCTCGGGCAGCAGGCTAGCCTTGCGGACTTCACTTGCAACTCGGCGGAAACGCTCAAAGATCTGGGTGGTAGAGGGGATTCCACGCTGGTAAGCGGTGGGGTTAATGGAAGCGATGGCAGCCTCGACAACAGCGTCACCGGCAGCAAGCTCCTTCACGGCAACAAGCTCACGGATGAACGGCTGAGGGATCTCAGTACGCTCGACAACGGTGCGAACGGCGTCCAGGGCGACCTGAAGCTGCTGGGTCTTGAGGTTGGTGTCAATGACATCGCTCCATGCAGCAGTCAGCTTCTCAAGCTCCTTGACGTCAGAAGTGAGCTCGGTCAACTTGCTCAGGCGGCCCTCGCGCTCACGCTCGACCAGGCTCTGAACCTGGTGAACATACTTGCGGTTCAGCTCAATAGCCTGCTCAACAAGTTCATTCTGGAGACGCTGCTCAGCGAGCTCCTGAGCATGGCGGAGCTCACTGCTGAGCTTCTGCTGGTATGCAAGAGCGAGCTTCTCGCGCTCGGCTTCGAACTCCTCGCGGAACGAGGTAACATCATTAGAGCGCACTTCCTCAAACTGGCGCATCAATTCCCGTGCCGACTCATCAAAAGTGGCATGGAGCTTATTGATCTCATCCTGGGCGGTGGTTTGAACATCGCTACGAATAGCAGCAATCTTTGCAGCAATCTTCTCCAGCTCGCCCTTGGCCTTGGCAACAGGCGCGGAGTATTTGCTGACGTTCTCATCAGCGCTGATGACAGTGACAATGTCATTGAAGGTGTTGACCAGATGCTGGACAACGGAGTCATCACCATCCTGAAGCTGGAGCAATGGAATGGGGCTTGCAGAAACAGCGGGTTGTCTAGGCTCATCCAAGGAGACGACCTTCTTCTCAGATTCAGGCTTAGTTTCCTTAGGGCTCTGCTTCGCGGCCTTGTCTTCCTTGGCCTTCAAGATTGCAGCGTTCCGATCCTCGGACTTGGTTTGAGCCTCCTGGGCAGATGCCTTCTTGGCATCATTTTCGGCCTTCTCTTCTTCAGCGATCTTCCAAGTCAGTCCGCTCTTGCTAGGAATTGTGACGGGCTTTCCCTCCTCGCGGGGGGTGACTGGGAGACGGTTCTGGTGTCTCGAAGCATTGGGGAAGCGGCGATAGAAGTCGCGCTCCTCGAAGTAAAGCACACTCTCTTCACCGTATGGAATGTATTCGGTAAAGAAGTCATGGAAGTTGTCAGACTTCAGAGCCAGGAAGATGCTGCCACCGTAGGCTAGGCCGGAAGTGAGGATCAGGTAGATCAAGAACCGGCGGAAACGACCGGATTTGCGGGGAGCAGGGACCGAAGGCGAGGGGGGAATTTTGGACTCTGCAAGAATAATACATTAGAAATTGAGCAAATGGCCTCGATGTTGATCGATGAAGGAGGGGTCTTCATACCTTGTTCAGCGGCCTTGGAGATGGTCTCGGGAGGGACACTGGACTCAGAGGAAGGGGAAGCTGGTGTCGGACCACCGGTGGTAGGAGGCTTAGAATCGGCGAAGAATCGCTGCGCGTTATGACTGTGAGTATGAAGAAAATACAAAGCTTATGTATGTCGTCTTCTTACCTGGCCTGCAAGCCGGTTGCTCGCACCGGCTCTAGACAGCCATTGCGACGGGATCCGTTGGCGAACAGGGTTAGACAGCAATTGCCGACCCGGAGCAATCGAGGAGCGCAGCATGACTAGCCACACAATCGCCAAAATGAATGACTATAAGTGATCAGAGAGATGAATGGGTAGGAAAACGGGAACTGGGTATTCGGTTGCGATCCGCCCCGATAATCCTGCGGGCGGTCAGGGTGGCTTTGCGCACCATTTCATGCCCTCGTCCATACTGATATCAGAGGTATATACTTGCTATAGCTTAGTTTTGAATTAAATTTTATGGTAATTTGTCAAGAATATAGTCAATTTATAAAAATGCCACACCACGTTGTAAGAGTTTGCCTCAGACTAGCTCTTTCCGGGGTCAAATGTGAAATGTTTGGGGAGATATATAGTTGCGGGCTAAACATATCTTCAACATCGGGACATTTACAATTAATTACTGGACAATACCTACAATAGGTAGATCCAAAACCCTCGATCAGTCTTTAAAGCTAGAACTGAAATACTGGAGAGGACATAAATTATGACACCTACATAGGGTAAAATTATTGTAGGACTTCACTGTACATACAAGTGCGGAAAATGTATTATTTGAGCATAACATACTAAGAGTTTGAGAGACAAGGGTAACAAGAAGAGCAGAAATTCAGCCTCACAAGACTTAGGACGAAAGAAAAGAAGAGCGGATGCAGACGCCGGGTGAGAAGGAACAAGGAGTACAGGAGGAACAGCACTGTTAAGCACCGACAGATCCAGCTGCAGCATGTCTAAAGCCAAATTCCACATGCGTCCATGGAAGCCAAATCCTTCTGCCAGTGAGGGACTTGGTAGGCCTTAGTTGAGTAGGCTGAGCAAAGACGAAAGAATCAAAGGAAATCCGAGAGGGCTAGATTGATCACGAACCGAGAGTCTATCCCTCGGCTCCATGGCGGGTAAAGAATGAATAGTGCCAGAATCCGATCGCATGACGTTGGCAAAATCATAGAAAGTCACAGAGTTATACCACCGTTGAAACACGCAAAGATGAACAGGCTCCGCCTTATCTCAAACGGTGGGTGAGGCGACAACGCAATAACCAAGGGGGAATATGATCGGATAGTTGCTTAGCAATTGCATGCACCAGCACCTTGAGTACCAGGGGCTTCTGGTCGCAAATCGACACCGGGCCGAGGGGTCGCCCGCAAGTTCCGAGGATTGGCCTGATCCAGAGGCAGTTTCTTGGCGATGGCGGTAAACAATTCTTTGACATTAATCGATGACTTGGCAGATGTTTCGAAGAAGAGCAGACCCGCTTCGCGTGCATAGGCCTCTGCATCGGCCTCGGAGATCGCTCGTTTATCGGGGCTCTCTGTGACAAGATCAAGCTTGTTGCCTGCCAGGGCAATCACAATGTTTTCATTCGCTTGGCGTTGGAGTTCCTTCACCCATGACTTGGCTTTGTCTAGCGATGACTGTATGGTAGTCCCACCAATATTAGCTGCTATATCGGAGAATGAAATCGGAGACAAGTTGCAGGACTGGATCATACAGCTTGAGTGATGTCATAGACAACCACAGCGCAGTTGGCATTTCGATAGTACATCGGGGCCAACGACTTATACCGCTCCTGTCCAGCAGTATCCCAAATTTCAAACTTGACTGTGGTGCTATCATCGAGGGAGATGGTCTGTGTCAGGAAGGCGGCTCCGATGGTGGACTCGCGGTAATCATCGAATTGGTCCTAAATCGATCAGTTAGCATTATGTTACTCGATATACGCCCGGGTCGCCGCGGGAAACGGCATGGGAATTTTCGAGCACCCACTTTAACGAATCTAAGAACTAGCGAACTCTAGAAGATAGCGGTCAAGTCAGCGGCTGATAAAGAAGATCGCAAGCGTTATCCCAACCTTTCCAACGGCGGACTCTCCTAGAAGCACAGCATGTCAGCGGTTGAAGTGAACTGAAGAGTATCCTGAAGACAACGTACCAAGAAGGACGAGCTTGAACTGGGCGAACTTTGCGCCCGGGCGGGCTCCTGCTGCTTGCCTGGAAGCCATGATCAGGAGAGGATGGGGTCTGTGGGGGGAAAAGGTCGAACGAGGCAGGGAGGTCAGATATCGAGGAACTGGGGTATTGTTTCAAGGTCTTATGACCCAGATAGACAAATCAAGAGAAATGAAAGATTTCAAGGGTATTTAAAGATTCAAAGACCGTAGTTTAAGGCAGCGAGGAATAGATGACGGAAGGCCCAGCCACAAGAGCAGCGGGGCGGTGTGGCTGCGTACTGACCAGAGTGGCCCGCTGTACCTTCCCTTATCATGTGTTCTGGGAGTTGGACTTGGACTTGGGCTTGCTTTCTTTCTTTGCCAGTTTCCTTTCCCACACTCCTTTAATCTTCATTACGGCCTGTCCACGCTATGGCTCGTCCTGTTCTCCCGTTTCGGGATATCAATTTACATGCGTCATCCTCCCACTATGCCTTTACTTCGCCCTCATCACGACAGGCACCCACTCTGGTAGTCGACCGACCAACCGGTGATTTGCGCTTGAGCGATGGCCCCCTTCCTGGGGCCAAGCGCATTTCCAGTATTGCTGGCATTTTGGGAATTCTGAAATTGAAGCTTGGTAATCGCGATCGCAAATCGAGACTCAGGAGGTTGCGCTAATACGTACAGATAAATACATTATTGTTATCACCAAAGCCCAGCCCATGGGACGATTGCGCGGTCATATGGTTTACAAGGTTGCTGGAACGGAATTCCTCCCTATGCGAGAACGACCGCTGCATGATACCGACGAAGATGCTTATCTTACCCTGGTCAAAGACTTGCTTCGGAGGGGACCTATGTACTTCTCGTACTCGTTGGATATTACGAACAACTTCCAACGACAGGCGCAAAATCCTCCCGATGTTCCGATGTGGAAGGGTGCAGACGACCGCTTCTTCTGGAATCGTTTCATTCAATCAGATTTGATCGACTTCAGCTTGGGACACAACGACACCAGTGGAATTCGTTATGGTCCCCAGCCAGGTGCCGACCCTTACATTTTGCCAGTGATGTTTGGCATGATGCGCATTACTCCCGCCCGAGTCAAGTCGACTTCGTTCACTTTCGCGCTCATCACCCGGCGATCTAGACACAGAGCCGGAACGAGATACTTCTCCCGAGGAATCGACGAGGAAGGTCATGTCGGAAACTACAATGAAACTGAGCAGATAGTGATCTTGAATGACTCGACTGGTGGACTATCTGGATTTGGCGGAGGTCAATCAATGACTAGTGGCAAAGCCGGGCAAGACCTTCAAGTGTACTCTTTTGTGCAGACTCGAGGCAGTGTTCCCGTGTTCTGGGCCGAAGTTAATGATTTGAAGTACACACCAAAACTTCAGGTTCGCGGTGTTGAAACTTCTGTTGAAGCTGCGCGGAAGCATTTCAGCGAACAGATTCGCATCTATGGAGAGAACTATTTGGTCAATCTTGTCAACCAGAAGGGTAGGGAGGAGAATGTCAAACGGGCATATGAGCAGCTGATCCGCACATTAGTCACATCCTCGTCCGAAAGAACAGAGGCTGATGCACATACCTCGGAAAAGATGCATGTCTTGGAGCCGGGATCTAGGCAGAAAGAGATGGATCGCCTGCACTATGTGTATTTTGATTTCCACAACGAGACTAAGGGCCTCAAGTGGCATCGTGCTGAGTTACTCATGGGCCGTCTCAACGACGGACTGAACCAGGGCGGTTACTTCCGTGGAGTGGAGAGTCCTGGTGCCCCTGGTGGGCAGCTGGACACTCGTTCTACACAAACGAGTGTCGTCCGAACAAATTGCATGGATTGTTTAGATCGTACCAACGTGGTACAAAGCATGCTCGGGCGTTGGGCGGTCACGCGACAGCTCATAGATGCAGGCGTTCTTCGTACCGGAGAAACTGCCAACGATGACCGGGAGTTTGAAGACCTATTCCGGAACATTTGGGCAGACAATGCAGATGTTGTCTCCAAGACCTATTCTGGCACTGGTGCGCTGAAGACTGATTTCACTCGGACTGGCAAACGTACACGTGCCGGTATGCTGCAAGATTTGAACAATTCTATCGCTCGATATGTACGCAACAACTTTATGGACGGGCCTCGTCAAGACGGATTTGACGTGTTTTTGGGCACATATCTTCCATCGAACTCGACATTCGCCAACATTCAGCTCTTCTTTGACCAACGCCCTCTGGTTATCCAGTCTATCCCATATGTCCTCGCTGCTAGTGTATTCATGATTCTGGTAGCACTTTTCACAAGAAGGCTGCCTGACGCTACTGTCTGGCCCCTTCGTTTGTTCATGATTTTCTGGTTGCTAGTGGCTACTTATTGCTTCCGTTTTGTCCACGGGCATGGCATGCTCTATGTAAGTTGATTCTCTTTTGAACCCGCTCTAGAGTGATTTGTCACTGACTTGATCTTTTTACCAGGTTAATTGGCCGAAGCTGAACACACCAATTGCTGGCGCCGAGGGATACCAGGACGCTCTTATTAAAGCACGCTCCGATCCCATAATTGGCAAATGGCTTCCTGCCAGACGACACCAGCGTGGTATCAGCAATGCTCGTCTTGTTTTCCTGGAAGAAGGAAAGACAAGGATCGAATAAAACCTTCTGGCAGTCAGGCGTTCTTCGGCTATCTTTTCCTATCCTTTCCTGTCATACTCTGTATACTTCAAAGGCTATATCTTTTATCACTGTTCTTTTCTCTAGGCCTGCTGGCATCTCCTTCTGTTCGTTACCCAGTCAATTCTAATTTCTTGTTTCTTTCATCGATACACCTTTCCTTTGCTTTGTATCACAGGACCCTTGAAACATGTGTTCCTGTTATGTTTTTCGAAATGTTTTCTATCGTGCAGCTCAGGTTCCCCGGAGGCAGAGATCTCCATGGCTTTGCAGAGTTTAGACAATAAGCATACACCCCAAGAACTCCATGTATCAATATCAATACCCGTATGAATGTCGGTTATCGTTGCGCGTTATATCTTAAAAACGAAGGTGCGGTTGTACTTTCCAAATTGTCATCCCAAGCTTCCGAGGGTTTGATTCCATGTTCTGAGTTATACGTTCTTATTCGTCTTGTTCTTGAGGCGGAATGGAAATCAAGTCAAATTCAATACCCCTAGCTACAAAAACAGACGCAACTATTTTCACGATCTCGCTTCTCACAAGGCTTAACTTCACCCTCGAAACTAATTTCTAGGCGCCTGAACAGCTTTACATGACACATCTTATCTTCCCCTTGGCGAGGTTAATGGAGAGATTCAGGTAGTGGGCGTTGGAAGAAGCCCTCTCTGAAACTGCGCCCTTGCTTTGCTCCAAAATGACCTGGTGCGCCGTCTGCATACCGCTCTGGACGGCACCGTCGATCCAACCACACCATCCGTCTGACCAATCTGCGCTGGCAAAGAAGACGTTGCCGTGCGGCCGCTGGAGAACGGGGATATAGTTGGTCGTGGCGTTTGGTGGAGGGAAGCACCAAGTACCATTTGAGAACTCATCCTTGTTCCAATCGTGGGACACCTGGTGCATGCTTGGTTAGGATATCATGCTAACACGGAAGAGAAATTGGGGGAGGTAAAGGCAGGGCGTTACATACAATACGTTTGATGACAGCCTCGCTTTGCTTGTTTTCAGGGAGGAGGTGGAGAACGGCATCCTTGACGACATCGAGGTTGTCGAGAGTAATTCCAACCGCAGCTTCGGGGTCAGGACCAAAGCATACAAGATGAGTGTCATTCGCGGGGGTAAGGTGATCTCCGAATGCTGAGAGCAATCCCTTTCCGGGAGTGGCCATCGATCCCCATGACAGGTAGTCGGGGCCTTTCATATCGACATGGACCTTGTTGCATCGGTTCACCGACTCGTGCTGGAGAGCCTGGACCTTGTCTGCAGGCAGTGGAGGGTTGAATACCACTGAAGACAGGACGTTGAGAGGTACAGTGCTGATAACAGATTTGGCCTTCCAGGTCTTTCCGTCCCGGGTAGTCACAGTGACAATACCTCCCTCATCCTCGATGCGCTGGACGGGGGCTTGGAACCCGTGGGAAAGATTACCCGTAGACTTGGCGTGCTCGAAGATACGACGGTGAAGCTCACTGTTCCCGCTACGCAAGCGGGTGTGGAGGGCAATGTCATTCAGCCCAGTTGGGGTGTGGCTACCCAGTGCCCACCAGCGGAGTGCGCCGATAAGACCCATCTTGTCCAAGGTGTTGCCGCCCATCTGCATCAGCTGGGCCACCAGAATGCCATGCTCCTCGGCCGTGAGCTGGTCACGGATCTGGTCCACTCGATCTTGACAGGACATCTTGTCCCACTGAGCCATGAGCTCAGGGGACTGATCGGTGCCGAATGCATATTTCCATGACTGTCGGAGATCGTCTCCGTCAAGGTTGCTGAAGACGCGGAAGACTCGGCCACAAACATCGATCTATAGTGGTAAATCTCGGTCAGCTTTGGGGCTTTCAATTCACGAACAAATGTGAAGGACATCAGATTACACACCTCCTCTTCGTGTGAGAGATTACGTTGCTCACTGCCGTTGGTGAATGTGAAGTAATCTTCCTTGCTGCCGGGGTTTTGGGTAACGATCCAGTCATTGTGCAGGCCGTACAAAGACACCTCGCGGTAGATATGGGGCATGTGCCAGTGAATCCAGGTTCCACCCATCTCATAGTTGAAACCATTGACGGTTGCATGCCATGTACGACCTCCGAGTCTGTCTCGTGCTTCCAGGAGGAGTGTCTTCTTGCCTAAGGAGCACTGTCAGCTATCTTCATAACACGCTTGGAGAGAAGCACCAGCCATATTTTGGAGCTTACCTTGTGTGGCCAGATCTCGAGCGGCGACGAGACCAGCATATCCGGCACCAATGACAATCACATCGTGGATATCTCCTTCCGGCTGAATGGAGTGTGTTGCTGGCTTGACAACACCAATGGTGGGAAGGCCTTCACGGCGACCAGCTGAAGGTGTCCAGGAGAATCCGTCGGTAGAGTAGTTGAAGGCCATCTCGGCGTTTTGCTAGTAGACTTCAAGTATGAAGGAATGTCCGCGAATTGACGACCCCATGCGCGGTGGTGCCGGGGTCTTATGTGTTTCTTCCATTACCACTAATCGTGAGCAATCGAACCCCTCGGAGGCAGATCACAGCACGTACCCCCGTACACAGTACAATCCGCTTGGAAGGCGACTGCATGTCCGCGTCGCAAGTTGATTTGCTGGAATCCGGGGCAGCGATGGGGAATGCCAAGCCGGAAAAATACCGCCAATCAGAAGTTGCTCCCTGCTCTCCGGAGACGACTTCGAGAAGACCTGGACCTCTCATGAGGGTGGAGCTGTCGTACGATACGGCTCAATTCGATGTGCATTCTGTTTGATAGCTGATAGTCAACATCGAGTTCTATCAGGGAGGTTGGCGTCCCCAGACTCAATGTCTCAAGCCAATTCTGCGATTCATGGACCATACAGAAGGAAGGTGACTCTAGCGTGTGGTTCTTGTCGGAAGCGAAGGGTGAGTGGTAAGCCCAGGGGCCTTGCTCGCACTGCTGATGCTAACGTAGCCATCGAAATCTGAAGGTGAAATGCAGTGGTAGCCAGCCATGCACGTTGTGCTCGGAGAGTGGGCGGGAGTGTGAATACGATAGTAAGAATAGGGCACGACGCGGCCCCAGACCTCGAAGAAATGCACAATCGCAAAGGGTTATTCATCAATTAGCCGCTCGAATCCCATCCTGTGAGAAAGCGCCTCTCTCTTCGCAACTTCAGCTTACAGCCGACTCTGTATGGCACCCCCAAGAAGAGATACAGTATGCGGGAACGATTGAGAGATGTGTCACTGAAGAGACCACTGATGTTAATGATGATATTAATAATGATGATGATGAAGATGAACCTGCGCCAGATCCATCGGCATGGAAACCTGGTTTGGAAGCCTTACTTTACAATAATGATACCACTTCGACAGTGTATGCTAAGACACAACGCCGGCTGCGTGTCATTCAATGCATTGATACTAACAGAAAGTCTTGTAGATTGCCTGCATTGGACATAGATCTGATGTGCCATCTCATACACACCTTCTGCACCCGAGCAAACGCACAGCTAAGGTCCTTATTGTCACCATCCCAGATACAATACCAATTATCTCAGGGTACAATGTCTCGGGCCTTAGTATTGGCAGTATGCGCATCCAGCATGCGATTTACTGTGCATAGAGCTGCGAAGGGACCGCAAGCTAGGGAATTTGCCGAGGCAATGGAACGCGAGGCACGGAAGTGTATTCAAACTTCTAGTGTTGGGTGGCATCAAGTCAACAATGTCAAGACGCTATGTGTTCTTGTCGACTATATGGCAAGTTATGGTCATGGGCGGCAAGCATGGATGGATATCGGTAAGTTAAGTTAGATCCTTCATGCATATCTAAAAATGTGCATGTGCGCGCGAAAGAGCTGACGATTTCAAGCAATGGGTCGCAGCCTACTGCAATTAGCGAAATCAGACTGTGAACTTGAGATGGAACAAACCCAAGCGCTGACCATCGCCGAGCGGTATCTGACCATTGCACAAGCATCTCATTGCTTGGGCCACCGCCACTTGCAGCCTTCCCACAGTCGACAAACTAAAAGGCCAAGGCTTGAATGCGCACCATGCCCCGAAGACTGTCCGCACTTAGTAGAATTGTTAGAGGTTCTTGCTTGTATTCACCAACTGTGTCTGGTTCCATTTAGGGAGCAGAATCCGCTACCTTGGACCCCCGATTCAGAATTTCGAGCTCTGCAGGATGAGCTTGAAGAATATCTCCTCCGCCACCCCAGCACATTCCGGTTCGGCTCCAATTCTCCCTCGGCGCAGCCGTCCAGGTTGGGAGACCTGGACGCGTCGATCTCCTCCATAATATGGCATTGCTGTGTCATCGTACTCAACAGGAACTTTCTTCCTATACCCGAAAGACGGCCCAATCCTGCTGCAGATGGAGCATTATACCCACCGGCTCGCTCTCTCGACTTTCCCGAGGCACCACCACTATTTCTCAAAGAAAGAATATATCGCTGCGAGTCTAGCGCAGATGCAATATGCGACATCTCACAGGACATAATCAGGAATGGCGGATTTTACTCGGTACGTCTTAGCTCGAAATTCCTCTCATTCATAGATGCCTTGTGGACCTGGCTTAAATTTAGTATATCTAGCATGCATTGTTCGTCGGATATGCCTGCACGCAGAGTGCACTGGTATCTATCAACCGCATACACCGTTCACCGAAGCCATACGATGGTCGAATTGTGGACAACTTGAAGCTTGCATTCGTTATACTAGGGGCTCTCCAACCCTTCTATACCCCGGCGCAAGAATGGGTATGTTATTTTCCAAAGATTGAACCTACCCCAGATATTACGCAAACTTGGCTGACAAGCGACGTACTTACGTTCCATTAACTATAGATGAATCTTCTTTTCCGTGCCCACGACACCAATTATGCATCTGAGATAAGCGATCACTCATTTGACAACTACTTCAGTAGATTCCTCAACATCGAGGAGCCGACCTTCATGCCACTACAGCCAAAGACCAGCGATACTACATCCGAAGATAACGAGGGCGACGGAGAACACGGTCGAACCAAACATGTGCAAAATGAGGAGGAGGAAAGAGCCGACGAAACCGTGCCTGCAAATTCTGCCCCGGAATGGCTCCAAGCCTATGCGGGTCATCTGTCCGGAGACATTGAATCAGATGATGAGGAGAGCCCCGATGAAAGTCCACGAAGCTCAGGAGTCCATATCGGACCAATACCAACGCAAGGAACAAACGCCATGACTCAAATGGTCCCACTCGACAACCCTGGCGAGGGTCAGGATCGAATGAACATGGGCATGGGAGGAGGCACCTCGGAAATCTTGCCGGTTCATATGGCCGGCGCAATCCTCACGTCTATGTCAGGGGGAGCGCCAAGTTTCCCCTTGCACGCACAAGAGCACCGCCATCAACAACTTGTGCATACGGAATATGATGAACAGTGCATGGCTATGGACAATCAGACTGAGTTCCCTGGGCTCTTTAGCCAGATGCCTACGTTTGCAGACTTTTCTGAACTTGGACCCGAAATACCTATATTTCCAGGACTGGAATCGGTTGTGGGAGAATCGGATATGTGGTCTGATATATTCCATAATAACATGTTCGAGTGATAATTTATTATAAGAAAATTACATCCATCCCAGTTGCCAAGGCAGTATTGTTGACTGTCCTCGTATTGTCCTCGCACAGGTCCCGTGCGGTCCTCGTGCCGCCGTAACCGGCTATTGCCTCGTACCCCAGGTTCCCCGCAATTTCCCCAGCTCCGAAACCGCTGGGCACAAATGGACGTATTTAAGCAAGGCCTAGGTAGTGATCATTCTGGGACTAGAAGTTTCTTTCGGCTATACAACGAGTCTAAACGAATCTTGATAAGCGTTCTGCAAACCAGGGCCACTAAGACTAAAGTGTGATGGCGTCTTTAGCCAACAAGAGGGGAAACAATCGCGTTGATAAGCCATCAACTAACCTCCAAATTCCGCCCGCGCTCGCTTTCCGCCAACCTTCCTCTTTGCAATACACATGTTCTGGAAGCATCCACGACTTGAGATCCTCACACAAAAATGGAACAAAGTCTGCCTCGTGCGGAGCGACAGAATGATCACGGAATATGTTGGACCTGCCTCGATAAGAACAGACAGTGCGACGGAGGACTACCTTGTATGTTGATCCTGGGCCCAAACCACTGCCTAGGCCCTTGAGGTGATTAACGAGATTTGGAAAATCGCTGACCGTCGATCTTCTGCCCAGGCTGTGGGATATGCAGACAAAGGGGTGTGAAATGTCGCGGATATGGAGTTCGGTTGCAATGGCCAGCGGGAGTCGCAGGCGGCGCGAAAAAACAGAAGTCAATGAGGATGCGCCGAGGCCGATCGTCATCGAGTCCGGAGTCGCCAGAGATGACTCTTCCTGGCAATATATCGGCGCTAGGGTTACCCGCGGAGGAGAGCTTTTTTATGCAACATTACATTCGTACGTTCTCCAGCCAAACTAACGGCCTCTGCACCTCATCTCCATTATCTTTATGCCGATCAGTCGCTAACATGAATTCTTTCCATTAGAGAACATCGCGAGGATAGCTCTCGCTATCGACTATACTGGGAACGGATATCGCTCGTTGCTGCCTATGGCCGCGCAAGAGCCCGCGGTGTTAAACGCCGCCCTCGCAGTTGCCGCTTCCCACCATAGCCGCTGGCAGCGCAAGGCCGATACAATGTCTCGCAAGTATCTCAAGGCCGCCTCTAAGGCTCTCCGAGAAAGATTCTTGGCTCCGGACCGTATCCACGACCCAGTTACCCTGGCGTCCATGTTGCTACTGGTCTCATTCGAGGTATCTTTGATCCCGGTTCCCCTTTTAGTCATATATCATCTCCTGCATCGCTCTAATGATCCCCTCATTTGCTGAATTTTCTTGTAACTAGGTATTCTCAGGCTCTAGTCGGTGGAAGGGCCACTATGATGCCATCCGCGGCTGGATCCGATCTCGAGGCGACTGTTCAGATCTCGACCCATTTTTGAAGACATGGGTTTGTTTGCTCGATACTCAGACAGCTCTCAACCTAGGACAGCCGGCGATGGCAGAGTTGGAGTCTTGGCTTGATACGACAGCCACGCCAGGGGATCAAGAAGAATTCGTGGACGCTCTTTTTGGCTGTTCATCCAGGTTACCCAAACTTATGGTCAGTCATCTCCATGTATGCTTGATATCTCGAATCTCTCACTTTAATCAACATTTGTGTTTTCTTTCCTCTATAATATAAGCGACACGAGCTGACCTTAGGGACAATCCAGTGGGCGGCTTCCCGATTATACGCAGCCTCCAAAGACAACCAACTCATGCCAGAACAATTACAAAATCAGGTCGACATCCTACAGTCTCAGATCCGGTCGACTGCCATAATACTCGAATCAAGTCCTCTTGTGAACATTTCATGTCGGACTACCACCCAGCCCTTCGCCACTGTTGGAATGGGACAAGAAGAGCTACGACGGAGAATGGTCGCCACAGCGGAAATATTCCGGCATTCATCCCACATCTATGTACACCGCATTCTCCATGGCCCCGAGGAGCCACTCAACAAGGAGATGCAGGCATCACTTGACACCGCCCAGGAGCTCCTAACCATGGTCCCGGATGCGCTCGGCCCTGGCGCTAATCTCGGCTGGTGTCTTGTTGTCATCGGTGCTGAGATGGACCGCGTTCACCAAAGGGATTACGTCCAGTCCAGGCTGGATGGTTTACATTTACTCGGTATTCACAACACTAAGAACGGTCAGAAGATCCTCGATGAGGTCTGGACCCGTCGAGACCTCGTTACTCGCGGACAGGCCGTGCCTGAGAGGTGGCAGGATACTATGCAACGGATCGGGCAGTCGCAGATATTGGTCTGATGTTGACGTCCGCGTTCCAGAGATCTAAGATGATGGGAATATCTCTGCCCATCATAGAGTGGAACTGTCGCTATTGCAATCGGACTCTCTGCTGGAAAAGACCTAGCTCATCTCCACCCCCGCTCGGATGTAATCTGCTCCGAAGGTCCCCGACTTCAGCACCCGTTATCAAAGGTTGCTCATGGTCACAGACGACATCAAATCACGCGGGCTTGTGGGAATATCATTCAATACGCCCGAGATAGTCAACCATCACATGATGTAACTATAGGTACAAAGGCCTCCAGTGTAGGGCCCCATCTAGCTCGGATCCCACTCACATTGATGGAATACTGCTCCACAATCGGAGAGTGTGAGCCCCATTGTGGGTTCCCTTCCCAGCTCAGTGCTGGCAGACCTTCCTACGAACGCAACTCACGGTATTGGGGGAGGCATCCCCTTGATGTGATATTAGCGAGCAGATTGATGAATGCTCACTTTCGCAATACTCTTGAGGATGGAGACCTTGTTGCTTGTATACTAACAGATTGCAATTTCCATCAGTTTCCAAGGCGTGAAACCAGATTTTGAAATCTCTATCATTGGAAAAGGGATTTGGTGTCTTCAGCGCCGCCTGAATCGCCTCCTTTATGTATATTCTCACTGCAGAAACTATTCACCTATGAACCATCTCTTCTCTAACCTTCCGCATCGACTTTCCCTAATTGTAATATTCTTTTAGCTATAGAAATTAATAATATATCCCTGCTCTTCCGACGCATTCCCGCAAAGCCCTTCTGCCACGTCGTTCGCGACTATAATTCGTTTTCTCGGACATATCGGCGTCCTTCCATCCAGTTCTCTTTAACAAGCCCCCAACCCCGAGTCTCTCCATCACGTCAGGTATCTAAACCCACTAAACTTGATATGTGCAACACCATGGCAGGTCAGCTTGAACTAGGATTTCTCTGTCGCTCTGCTCAAACGGATTCTGCCGCAAAAATTCCAGAACCAAATCCTTATGACCCGGAGTCCGCGGGGTAAACACGCATTCAAACGGCTGCGGATGGCTAATGAGACCCGGCGTAAAGTCAACCTGTGGTTCAATGAATTTCCCATCCGCGCCGCGCGGTTTGCTCAGATCGAATACAGCGAGTATGCTGGCCATGGTGATGAAAAGTGTTGTATCTGCAAGGAGATGTCCGGGACATCTACGCTGCCCAAATCCAAATGCGACATTGCGTGGGTCGGGGGCGGCATCGATTCCTTCGGAGGGGATGAATCTTTCGGGTTTGAATTCGGATGGCTCGGGGTAGATTTCTGGATTGTGGTTATAAGCCCTACCATCTTGTTAGTATGGACGTAGGAATATTACGGCTTGGTCCAGGGTGATACCAGATATTCGGTAGCAGCAATGCATCCTTTGGTATCAAATATCCATTGATAACATGGTCCTCCTCGGCTCTGTGGGGGATACTAAGCGGTGCAACTGTGTGCCAGCGAAGGATTTCAGTAACGATAGCATCGATATATGGCAAGTTACTTCGGTCAGCTACGGAAGGCAAAACCCTTTCACCAAGCACGCGATCGATTTCAGCTTGTGCCTTTTGTTGAACCTCGGGATTTAGAATCATGGCAAGATGGAAAGCTTGCAAAGCAGACACAGTCTAGCAAATGTTAGCAGCAGATAGGTAGAAATCGAGACGGTTGCGGGATATCTCATACAGGATCTACACCGGCCAAATATAATCCGGCTGATGCCCATTCTAAAATTTCTCTATCCTCGGGTTCCGCGAGCAATTGGGAGGCGAAGGAATGCTGGTAGCGATATTGGAGCACTAGTGTCAGGAAGAATGAGTAACCGCCATGGGCAAACTGGCGCATGCTTCCAGCGTAGTGACGAGCTGTCTTTTTGAACCCGGTTCCTGGGACCCATTTTGGTACGGGTTTCACTAGTCGTTATTAGAGAAAACTCGGAAACTGATTAACAGCGGGATTGAATGCGTGTTAGAGGTGAAGTCCTACATGCTGGTATCAAATCAACCAACCAGGCGCCAGGGGCAGTGGCCTTGGAGAAGTTCTGCAAAGCTCGATCGGCTAAGTCGACGAAAAGATCATCCTCATGCGGGTCGATAGTGTAGTCATATGTGCTCTTCAAGATGAATGCCCTAGCAAACCTTTGAACGGCAGATCAGCCAGTACCCCAGGTTTCACCCGGCGGAAGATACTGACTTCTGGGTGTGATTTACGAAGTCTTGTGGACTATGAAGTAGACGCCAAAGAAATCGTCGTGATTCCACTTCTAATATGCCATCGAACTTGGAGACTGCATCGCGCGAACCTAAAGTGCGTGCCATCGCTCTATGATAGGCTTGAAGTAGGCTGGTATTATCCAGAGTGCTGATCTCTTTCCCAAAGCCAGCTCTAAAACATGTTAACGGGTTTGTTTCTTTCAAAAAAAGAAAGATGATACTGAAATAGCTCAAATGGGATGGTGGAGCTCTGCCGAGGCAAACATGCTCCATGTGGACATAGATGTTGGAACGGAGGTTGCGCTCACAGTTCGTTCGCAAACACCCGCCGGGGTCGAGACGAGTTTATCGCTGAGTGCTTGTCTAGTATCTCAGAGGCCAGCCGGTGGTCATTGATGATGACCATTGTAACTCCAAAGGCCGTGGTCGAACTCAAAGGCCCTTGATCAATATAAATCGAATTGCCAGGGGTCAGTTCAGGTGTGTCACCTACCATAGAGATCCTTGTGCTTCAGCCAATGCTGCCATGGCTGCGAGCTAGCAGGTGGCAGGTCAAGCCAGTTTCCTATTATGGGAAATCCTCTTGGTCCTGGAGGTAGAGATGGTCCTGGAGGTAGAGGTGGGAAACTTTTACCAAGTAAGAAAGCCTTGAAGCGGGCTAAAGCCACTGCAATAGCAGCGAGGATACCCATATTCCCCTAAACGCTTGAATTCGTGGGAAGATAAAAGATTCAATGTCACCTATCACAATCATAATCTAGGCACCTTGAGTTGGACCAGGAATGAGAATTCCACAATGATTGGGGCCGATCGAAGGAGAGAATAAGCGTGGAAGAGGGCAACCGTGGACCTCGGGAGGATGATATGTGGCGTTGTCGCTCCGTTCTGGTGCACACCCCCTCGCCGCTTTTGCTTAGAATTGGGCACAACGCATACTCTAGTTTGATTCTCCTTCTTTGAAAACTCCATGTTCTCTCCAAGAGACTGGGATATCATCGCTATCCTACTTACTGTAGTTTCATGTCTGGGGAGGGCCAGGATCCTGACCTGGCCGTTGCTTATTACTAATGCATGGTGCTTGTACAGACAATATTATTCATCCAGACCTATTGCGTCCATAGAACGATTTCACTATGAGAACAGAGAAAGCAGTACATGTTGAAAGAGCGAGTAGTGTATGAGCTGCGTACGTATGACTAGTAAAGCTAGAATAGCAGTTGGTTACAAGCACAAAATAACATCCAGGACTCTCATTCAAAACGATAGCTCTGAAGTTGCTGTTTCAAAACAGCGATATACACATGCCTTTATTTCCATTTGGCATCGACAGTTACAGCTTGGCCAGAGCATCCAGCGGGCACGGTGTAACTTCTGTTAGGATCGCTCTCCCAAGTCACACTTCCGCCTGTCTTCTTGATAAATTTGTACTCGAAGGTTGTACCGACGGGAAGAGTGACCGTTCCTGTCCACAGGTGGTTTGAATTTGTATACGAACCGGCTGACAGGGCAATTGCCGATGATGTGTCCCATGAGCCCAGTTGGCTGATGGATCCGACGAGGTAGATGTCTGTTCCAGTCGTTGTCGTGACAATCTCGTTGAAGACGACCGCAACACTCGTCGCCGCTGCACATGTTGCAGTAGTGGTTGGTTTGGTGGTAGTTGTCATTGTTTTGCTAGTCGTGGTGCTGGAAGAAGGAGGGCCCGAACCACCCCCAATGCGAATATCAGCGCAGTGAAGATACGCCTGACCAGTCTGGTAAGAGTTCCATCGGAATCGCAGCAAAGTGTGATCAGAGTTGTAGTTGGGGATCTTGATCTTCTTAGTGACTGTATAGCCACCCGCAATGGTTGTCTTGCAAGATCCAAGCGCGGCACCATCAACTCCCTGGCAGCCACGTCTCGAGTCGGCCTGGAATGCGTTGCAAGTGAACCAGTCATTGCGATAGCATGGCTGTCCAGGGGAACAGTCCGGGCTATACCCGCAATTTTGACCATCCACGTCTGTGCACTTCAGCTCGCCCTTCAGGAAACAGTCCTCCGCGGCTTGCTTTTCTTCATTTGTGGGAAGATAACCAGGTGTTAGGAAGAGATCGACAAGCGCTTGATCTTGGCAAATGCCGTAAGTGAACATTCCACCGTGATCGCCATTGTGATCGACACACCACTGGACTTCTACTACGTCGCCTGCAGTATAAGTTGCGACGACTTCGTTGCCCCAGTGTTCTCCGGGTTGGTTATAGTCGACGCTGACTCGGGCGTTGTACCCACAGGGTCCACTTCGGCCTACTTGAGGTCCTTCGAGATCCGGCCAGGGACTGACGGGCTCGAGGATCGAACATTCAGGGCAAGTGTCAATTCCAGCCTATGAACATGAAAGGACAGTGTTCGTTAGCTGGAAAGTTTCAGCGCAGGGACGATTGGGATCCATACCTCAAAACCCAGACGGGTTCGACTGAATGGAATTGTGAGATATCCATGCGCATTGGCCCAGGCGACAAGGCCAGCAATGGCAGTGAACCTTGCGAGTTTCATGATTGCTGGGTTTAAATCTTGATCGGAGCAGCAAATAGCAACCTAACTGATAGCCCTTGCACGAAGTCTTCCGTTAGCGACATTTCCCCTTTATATACCATTTCTCAGAACAGAAATGATTGATGCTAATCCTGAATCAAAACGGACATATACTTTTACCCGAGGGGCGCTTTAAAGCTGTGTCCTTTCTTGGCTATGGGGTAAAGGGTGTCTGATTCGCTCTTGATGCATCGTCAACCCGACAATTTTCCGGCGAGGCGCTCACCTGTGGACACTTTATTCTCATGACTGATGAGATGCTCAAGCCCGATAGGCTTATATCCCGGCATGGCTTCGCTGAAGAAACGCCTCAAGAAAGCCTCCGAATAGAAACGACAGAGATAAATTCATAAACCAGAACTGCCTTAGGTAGCAAGCCCGATAAATCACCGCTTCCCCCGCTTCCCCACATCCCTCAACCCCGGAGAAGATCTTGACGACTTTTACACCTTGAAGACGTAAAATTAAAGACTAGGTCGTATTTGGCATGTGGTAAGCCAAAAATATCGAAGACGTTACTTTCAATAAGTTCTCTTTTTGGAAGTTGGATTTCTGCTTTTTCCAGATTCACGAGTTTGCTATTCACCATCAATGGGGTTTATCCGCTGCAACATATCCACAACATGTTCATATATCTTTCAAAAGACTGGGACACGGGATTTCACATTGTGTATTGCTTTTAGATCCGTTTCGGGATCTCAATATCGGTAACCTCGGCGAACCCACCGAAGGAATCTGTCCCCCCACGCCCTAGTTGTTCTCACAGTTACTTTGCCGCTATTGCTGAGTCGGCCGATAGTAGCGTCCGCATATAAGCGGATGAATCATCTCATCACATTGTGACTTTGAAAAATGTAACCTGGAACGGGCTTATTGTATTGGGATCCATTATATGGGTCTACTGTGGAATCAGGGAAAAGTCCGCCTTGCTGTTGACTATTTTGATGCAGTCTGGAACCGCCTAAAACTACAACACTAGAGGCTCTTGATATAATCATTGAGTCTTTGGGAGCCTGAAATTCACTTCTAACTGCATCTTTCTGTGTCTTCCTCGTTACAAATAAGGAGATGGCTCATTTCCCGTTGTGATACGGTGGATAGAATTAAGGCAGTCTCTTGTTAAAGAGAGACTAAGGCTAGGGGAAATACGCACACAGATTGCCACCAAAGTAAAATACTGCAGGCGATACCCATTTGGGATATAGAGATATGTTAGGAGACAAACGCTGATACTCCGTACTCCGTACAACGTGTAGAATTCAGGGTTCACTACCCCGTACGGAGTAAGCACTGGGCGACCCCAATATCATTGAGTAGTTCCGAGTTATCGCCGAGCGGCCCCAATTGGTCACTGAGCCCGTGCTAACATCTATTAACCGAGGCTAACCCCGGACGCCCCGATAAATGCGGCGGTAGCCGAGACAGTCCACCCCCACCTGGCAAACATTATCCAGGTTTCTATGTACGTGGATAGCTGCACGATCACATCTGTCAGTTCTGAGAGCAGATGATCGGTGGACTAATGCACCAGGCTGCATGAAGTTAGCCGGTCTATTCCTGCTGTCATCAAGGCCAAAGCTCCCGTCAGGCGGCTATCACCTGCATATGTACATGTCCGTGAACCCATCTTACAGTCAAATTGACTGATTGCGTGATAGCATCTAACTACATAGTTAGACACTTGAGCACTACCTGACCACAATATCACACTAAGCTTAGTAATGTCCATTTACTACTACAATAGTCAAGAGATGGAAGTTTCGGCACTACAACCAGTAACATTTGAAACACAGGCAACCAAAGCATGCTATTAGACGATCTTGATATATATACATCTTTCTCCCTTCACTTTTCCCTTTGCGTAGATCTGAAAAATGTATCGGCTATTCCTTGATAAACCCAAAGACTATACCAGTGCTGTCGACTTTGCTTTGTGCGGAATGCCCACTCACTGGAACCTTTTGAAGATATACGAGATGGTATGTTGCTTGCTGTGCATTCATAAACCAGTTCAATACACTGCTGGCTCAATATCTATGGCCGGTTACCTACGATGTATGCACATCTAAGCATGTGCCATGTATCCACGTGTATAGAGTGCGCATCCGAAAGCGGATTAGCGTGCAGATTCAATAACACGTGCGATGTCAAAGGTCGCGCTAGCCTAATTGGGACTAGCCCGAGATACGAATACTCGGGCCCCGGAAGCACAATAATCCGATAGGATCCCCCATGCTACGAGCTGTGATGGCTCGGGGGCAGAGAATGGTTATTTTCCAATTGGCTCGGACAGCTAGCCACTATCTGGGGATTTCTCCTTTAGTATATAATTTGGAGAACTTCGATACCTCTTTTAGCCTGAGGCCAAAACAAAATGCACTCTCCATTTTCCCGTAACAAACAACGTTGACCAAAACCTGGAAGAGCTTTGTGACAAACATACGCTACCTAGGCAGATTCAAGCGGTTCTAAGCTATCAACCCTTCCCCAAACTCAGCACAACGGATCTACAGCACCAAAGTCGATAGGACAATCGAGTTTTTCCTGGCCCAATCGCGAGATTTTCCGGGTCTTCCCCCCGGCAGTGCCAAGAGGATCCCCGCATAGCAGTGGCAGTTAGAGCTTCATGCCCAGGCTGCGAGTGGCCCCATTGCCAGTCGGATAAAAGCCTTGGTAGCTAATCAACGATCTGATTGGCAGACACTAGATGCTATAATGGGTTCGACATCTTTCTAAATAAGTCTCCCAGGGTCTCTAGTTTATTCTTTCGGACTCGTATTTTCTGTATCTTTTTCTTTTGGCAAGAAAGGATGCTCGCTTCACAAGGGACGCCATCATCGCTCATCGCTCTGGCCAACCAGTACTGGCCAGTCGTGGTCGGTGGTCTACTCGTCACATGGATTGTTTCGCAGCGGTATCTCACGCCGTTGAGGAAAGTCCCGGGGCCGTTCTTCGCATCATGGACCCGTCTCCCTCGGTTCTTTGCTGTGCTGAGAGGAAAGCCGCATGAATGGGAACTCGATCTGCACCGCAAGTATGGCAAGATCGTGAGGACAGGACCAGATCTCGTCTCTGTAGGCGACCCAGCCGCTATCAACGTTATTTACAACGCGAATGATAAGTTCAAGAAGGTAAGGGAATGACTCAATTCATATGAAATTGGGTGTACTGGATCTAACTGTGATATAGTCAGCATTTTATACTCCATTTATGATTTATGATGACGAAGGATTGATTCCGGATCCATTGGTCTTGATAGACAAGGCCCAACACACACGCATGAAGAAGAACGCATACAATGCCTACTCAATGGGAGCTATGCTACAGTTAGAGCCCCTTGTCAATGAAGTCACAACACGGTTCTTCAACATCCTCAGCGATGTGGCTGAGACCCCGAGTCGAACATGTGATCTGGGTAACTGGCTACGATTTTACGCAACCGATGTCATTTTCTCCGTCACATTTGGCGAGGATCTGAAGTTCATGGAAAAGGGCGATCCCATTGGCATGATGCCAATGCTTGAATATCTTGCCGGGGACTATACAGCTATCGTAAATCATCCCTATCTTGACACTTTGTCCGCGCAATTGCTAACTTCAACTCTCCAGGTCGGTCAAATGCCATGGCTTCACAGACTTCTGCTCGGAAACAGCCTCGTTTCCAAGATTCTGCTGGGAAACAGTTCTCTCGACGGTGCAACCTTCGACCTGGCCGAAAAGCAAGTCGCCAAGTTCCGCGAGAAGATGGCAGCCCAGCTAGTAACCGGACCTTGCAGCTTCGTGCAGCGACTTCTGGAACAACAAAAAGCCAACCCAGAAACTATCACGGACCGCGAACTCAAGACCCACGCTTTCGGCAACGTCACCGCAGGAGCAGACACCACAACAATCGCCATGCGCACAATCATGTTCGACGTGATCAAACACCCGGAAGTCTACCGCAAACTGTCCAGTGAGATCCGCGATCAAGCCAAATTGAGCCTCCCAGTATCCTACGCCGCCGCCAGTGCCCTCCCATATCTCGATTCGGTGATCAAGGAAGCTCTCCGCATCCACCCACCCAACGGAATCATGTACGCCCGGACCGTGCCAGCCGAGGGCGCCACGATTTGCGGCAAGTTCATCCCCGGCGGCACAGAGATTGGCATCAGCCCTTGGGTGGTGCACTACGACACAGAGCTGTTCCCCGAGCCCGAGAAGTTCCAGCCGGAGCGCTGGTTGGCGGATGATGCCAACTTGGTTGCGGCGAGACGGAGATCCATCTTTGCGTTCAGTGCTGGCTCGCATACCTGTCTTGGAAAGAATATCAGTTTGATGGAAATCACCAAATTGATTGCGTCGTTGTTCGTGCAGTATGACTTCGCGCTGGTCAATCCGGATTCGAAGTTGTCGTTCAAGTGTCGCTGGTTTACGCCTCAGACTGGTTTGATGGTTAAAGTGACAAAGCGACATGCTTAGATAGCTATGTAGCTATCGAGAATTGGACAATGTGTTATTGAATTTGGGGGTTTATGCGCTACTCCCGCCCAGAGATTGTACATAGTATCCAGGCTTGGTATTTGAAATTTGGATCTTTTTTTCCTCAACTGGACAACCATGTCCTCTGTCTGCACAGTATCACGAGCACATGCGATTCCTGAAACGGTCAGTGGTCATTTCTGCTGATGGGGATTCCAGAAAAGCTCCAGAACAGAGATCGAACACCAAGCATGATGGTTAAAGGGATAGACGCATTCTGCAAATCACCCAGATGAACTGTAAGCCACCACCAAAATCTGTGCCTGTCGGGAAACCCTTCTATTTCTTCCAATGCCCCTTAGACGTGGGCAGGAATCCGTTGGCTAATCCGATGTCTTCCTCACCTTCTACACAGCAATGTGGGGTGCAGCCCCATGTAATGCCACTCAGTGCATAGTACACAAATCCACCCTGTAGGTCAGTTCTCGCGCCGTACATGAGGCTTCCACGAAGCGCCCATTCAGGCTCGAGGGCTATCCACCTGAAAGGTAAGGTCACAAACCGGCAGTGCACACAAGAGAGATATAAGTGCAAAGAAATTCTACCCATGAAGGCCCCGCAGGCGCATAGTAGAGTCCCATTTCCAAGTCTCCTCCCCCTGTCGTGTGTACGTATGTATGTGGCATGATGCGAACCCCAACTGTCACAGATCTATGATAAAGATTTGATTCCAAGAATGCTGAAATTGTCTAGAAAAGGATATGGATATTTGAACAGAAAGCAATCACCAAACTAAGCTTGGACCTGAACTTCAGTAGTAGATACCAGATCATCCAGCTTTTCTTCCGGAATTCTCTTCTCCAGCAACATTGCATCGTAATTGCCGCCAGCCGGCAAAGCAAGCTCTTGAATAGTACCAGCCTTCCCACTTCGAACGTCCTCCAGCAAATGATCAAAGTGCTCCTCCGCATTGGCGAAGACATCGAAATCGGTGACCCAGGGGTAGAACGGAATAATCAATGAGTCGGGATATTCACGCACCAACTCGGGCGTCCATTCATTCTTATGATAAATATTTCGTGTTGTGATAGATGCCTGGTGGATGACATGCGAGCGGTTGTAACGGATACGCTCGAATACTTGTAGGGCAGATGCTACATCGCCGTTAGACTTCTGCAGACAGATGGCAGCTGTGACGCCGTCCTCGACGGCTTGGCATGCGCCCTGGGCGGAGGTGGGGAGATGGCAATGTGCTGCATCGCCCATTACTGCGCACTTCTTGCTGCCGGAGAGCCATGTGGGAATGGGGTCACGCCAGACAAGCTTGTAATCGATCAGGCGGTCGTCAGGGGTGGCGGCCAGAGCTTGGTGCCAGATTTTGGGGAAGCCGGCTTGGTTCAGGTATTTTTCGACATCTGACTTCTTTCCAGGGAAGGACCATGTCTCGTCAATATTTGCGTCGTCGAGGTGAGTAAGGACCCAGGCGCAGTCCCTAGAGACAGAAACAGGGTATGTTAGCACATCGACCCCTGAGGACTGTTTTCTGGGGACAAAGTATTTACCTTCCGTTCTTCCAAATGTAAATGAAACCGTGCATATCAGGGCCGACCCAGAATCGCACGCTATCCTCACCCTCCTTGATCATATCGGCGAACTCAGGAAGTGCACGCATCTCATCGGTAATATTGAAGAACGCTCGGAAAATGGCATAGCCACTGTTGACCTTGGACTCGGGCAGATTGAGGAGCTGAGAACGAGCCAGGGACCGAGGACCATCACAGGCCAGAACCACGTCACCGAGGATCTTCTCTCCTCCTACCACCACGACACCCCGCTCAGTGTCTGTATCGAGATACTTCTCAACCCGCTTACTGAACTGCATCTCGACGCCCACCTCAATGGCATACTCGTAGATGATTCTGTGCATCTCACCGCGGTGCCCGGCGTAGACGCAGTCCTTGTCCTCGGCCTGGGGCCAAGGGTCTTTGCGGAGCAGCACATCCTTCGAGTTGTAGAACTCGAGATACTTGGCGGCATTGACACCGGCCTTCATCAGCCTGTGACCGACCTTGCCGTTATCCCAGGACTCGAAAACCCGACCAGCATTGCGCACAAAGTCAAGCAAGTCGCCGTGCGAGCTGGCACCGGGGTAGGCCTCGACGAGGATCGGATGCATGCCCCGCAGCTTGCACTCAATGGCAGCGGTGAGGCCACAGAAGCCACCACCGACAATGACGACGCGGAGGTCCTTGCTAGTGGCTTTGGTCATGGTTGCGGTATGATAGATGTTGACGTATTTCCAAACTCGGAGAAGTTGAGAAAGTCCGAAATAGATGATTCGTATCGTCGGAATACACCCACGACCCCGAGGCTATATGAATTCGCTCGACATCTGGACATGTCCTCCATTCCTTTTTTTCCTGAAGTGATATACCAGGCAATGCACGAATCCAATCAAAAGATCTTCCGCATTTTATCGCGAGGTGCGGGGTAATTAATCGTTGAGTGGGTTCTCTGCCATCCCACTTCCGGATCAATCGTCAATCGTGTCTTTGCCGCGAGGTTGAGGTAGGGCGTTCTCTAATCCCTGCAAGTATACAAATGCCTGTCCGTGGGTCCTTCGGCTCTTGTCTCCGTAACTGCGTTGGGTTCATCCGACCTCGGTCTAAGCGTTCGCAAGCCCTACCGATATTCGCTCAAAAGCGAGTGAAGATTAGGCAAAGGCATCAGGTGCTAACTCAGTATCCACCTTGAAGTCGCCAAGCAGGTTGATAGAACTGCAGATGGTCTCTACTTTGCACTTGGTGGCTCCCAGAAGATCCCATGAACCACGCTACACGATATGACAGAACGGAAAGTAATTATTGAGCAAATCCATTAAATAGGAAAGAACCAACTAAAAGAGCTGAATTGATTATAACATACATACGCACAAAACTTAACCCTGCTTCTTAGCTTCCACGTAATCTACCACGCTCTCCTCCTGCGGTGCTGGTGCCCCAGGGGTGACTTCCTCAGCCAACACCCCCAAATAACCCCGGCGACCATACGCCATCCATGTCACAGCAGTGATCAACAGACACGCGCCGAAGATAAGAGGCGAGTAGTTCATGTTCACCTCATTCACAGGCATGCGAGTAGGGAAGCACAGGAAGATGATCAGATAAGTAGACCAGCAAGCGGCGAAGATATTGATGGGCAAGCTCCAAGAGCCAAGGGTGAAAGGTCCCATCTCCAAGTTGGTGTTCTTGAATCCGTATATAAGTCGGAGGAAGATAGGCATGGCGTAGGAGAAGATCATGATGACGGTCACGCCAGAGCCGATCCCGTAATACGCAGTCTCATTGCCAATGTAGATCAAGCAAAGGGCAGAGATGCAAAACCAGGACAGGATCAATGCGTTGACGGGGACTTCCTGGCGCTTATGAACGCGTGAGAAGGCCTCCGGGAGGCCACCTTCACGCGCGAAGGACCAGATGACGCGGGACGAGGCGGCAAGACATCCGGGGCCACCGACGAAGAAGCCCAGGAAAAGGAAGAAGAATGTGATTCCGATGGTCATGGCTTGATCGCCACCGGAGACGTTGTATACGAGCTGTACCAAGGGGCAGGTCATGCCGACAGGTCCGTTCAGGAGGCCTTCGATATCTGTCAAGCAGAATGCCAGCGCGATAACCCAGGGGAAGGTGATGATTCCGGAGAGGGCAACGCAGCCCCAGACTATTGAAGGGTTAGTATCAAACCAGATCTGGGATTCTGTGGAAACGGCTAGAACTTACGGACACGAGGAAGATCCCGCGACGCATTTTGCATTTCCTCCGCCATGTGCGTGGCCGAGTCCCAGTTAATGAGGCCCACGGCAGAGCTCATAAGACCGATGGACTACGCCAATCCATCACTCTTCCAACCGCTCATGTTGGTCAAGTCAGTGAAGACATACGTGGCCGAATTCTTCGGGTACACCTTGACCAGCAGATAGACGATGATCGTAACGTAACCTGCAATGTGCAGCACGATACCCAAGAATGTCAATCGATGCAGCCATCGTGTGCCGAGGACGTTGATCCCGAGGAAGCAGGTAGTGAAGGCAATAACCAGCATACTGGTGTGCCATCGCTCGGCCGTGTAGCCCGGGTTGAACAAAATAATGTAAGCCTGCAGCCGCATAGCATTGGAGAAGATGCCCATCAGTGCAGACAGGATCCAACTCCAGATGGTGGCCCAGCCGGCGATCCACGAAAGCAGGCGTCTGTACTTGAGCGGAGACAGGGCTGCCACGTAGTGGTATTGACCACCGGCTGTTGGCACCATACTGGCGAACTCGCTGAGGCAGAGGGCGATGCTTAGAGCGCCGATCGCTGCGGCAAAGAACCCCCAGACCAGACTTGAGCTACCGCCCGATTGAAGGGACTGAGCCATGGTTGAGGTCAGAGCCTCCCAGGTGACACTTGTGCAGAAGGCGAGGAAGATCAGGGACCACACGTTGAAGTGGCGGCCCATGGCCTGCTCCTGACCCAGAGCTGCGAGGCGGGCCTCATCGTCGGACACTGGCTTTTCAACCTTGAGAGAAGTTTCGGTCATGGTGGCAATGCCACTCGACTAATGCAGTCGACTAAGTTTATCAAAGAGGAAGGGAAGAGATCAACAAATTATAATAGACAGTACATATAGGTTAGAAGGGTAGTATAAAAGAGCAGATCAATGGATTGGATATCTCTAATGTATTAATGGTTATCAGCAGGATTTCACAAACACTTGATATGCAGGGCATAAAGTGACGGTTATCAGAAAAGCTTCAAGGCCACATGTCCACGAATATCTAGGCGACCCGTCCAATCAGAAGAAGATCCAGCAGATAGAATTCGGCCTAAAAGATAGCAACTATGCGGGGAACCTGGTCTGGGGAAGTGGAGCCGCAGACAGTAGTGGACCGGATTAATCTGCCATTGTCTCGGCCTGGCTGTTTCGATGGAACTAGTCTCAACAAGTGACCTAGGTCAGAGCTAGGTCTGGGTTTTAGTCAGATCAATGCTGTTATAGGTAGACAGCGGAGCCGGTACTATTGGAGACTGGCAAGGATATTATCAATAGCAATCATGCGGCCCACATGGCAATACGGTTCTTTCTAGATGCACTTTATGAGGAGGCTCATGATAGACTGTAGACACTGTTGGCCACTAAATCATGGCAATGGGATGGCCCTGTCATTATCTGACGCTACTGGCACTAATAATGCATATGCATGCAGCCAAGGTATTCAAGTCTATGTGTCTTATCATTCATAGCGTGGATACCTACCTAGGTAGGCACCTAACCAAGGCACGCAGTTGGATCCCGATTATGGAGATTAGGAGATTACTTTCTATCCGGTGTTCCCTAGCTGTGCTAACACTAGCTCCTACCAAGCCCAATATCGAGACCGTCCTCGTATGGCTGTGACGAAGGATCAGTCCCCGCATCGCCACAAAAGCCCCCGTAAGGCTATTATTCGCATATAGAGCCGAAAGGGAGTCAGGAAAAGTCCAAATTAGCAGGTGGCTGGATGGAGTACTCCATACCGCACCTCATAATAGTACTGGCAGCGGTAGCAAATGGCTTTATCCTTCTGCCTTTCAGGCCTGCCTAAGATCCAAGGCGCCTTGGCTGACTCTACAACATTTACCCCTTGCATAAAGCCAACTTCAGATTATCAAGGGGACGTCAGGAAAGGGAGATCACCGTCGTTAAGTGCATGAATCTCATTGCTGCGGTTCCGGTCCCACAAGACTTTCTGCTCGAGGGAATTTCAGCGAACCTGTAGGATCTCCCGGAAAGCAAATCCTCTATGGGGGGCTGTGGCAATTTCCCATGTGTTCTTTTACGTATTCCCCCAGCTATACTGCGCCCAGTGGATTGAAGTGGAGCGAACGAATATCGCGCAGTCCAGTCGAGGATCAAAATGCGATTGGTCATGATATGGAGACACTAAGCTCTGGCTCCATTGGGTGTCTTGAGAGACAATATAAAGGCTTGACCGGCTTTCATATATACTATTTACAGTGCAATCGCCATTCCATCTCGAATTCATCTCGCTTAAGCAATCTATCCGAGACACAAACATGGGTTTCGAGTGGCTAGACGAGGGCAAGTTCCACCGCGTCCCCAAGCTGGAAGGCGCTCCCGCCAACATTTACTATGGTAAGGACCTTGATTCACTGCTCCCTTATCTATTCAGTTCCGGAACTGACATGTGTCTTGTTCATCCTGACAGGCGATGTTTTCTCCACCCTGTCCAAGGCCGACTCCAGTCCCTTGACTGGATCAATGTTCCTCCTTGAGCAGACCGACAAGCCTGAGCCAGCGCCCCTGTACGAATGTGACGAGACAGGAGTTGTGATGAGAGGTAAGTCAATACAAATTCACAGACGCATCCTATACCTAGATGCAGAAGATCCTGACACAGTACCCCTTTGTGTTGTAGGCGAACTGCACCTCGAGGATGAGAATGGCAAGACTGCTAAGCTGCTCCCTGGAGACACCTTCTTCATTCACCGTGGAAGCACCATTCTCTTCACGACCCCTCGCTACGCTGTCGCCTACAAAGTTAGTGCTCGTCACAAGATGTAAAGGCGATATGGTTGTATGTTTCAAATAGACGGACGTGCTAGCTTTAGCCATAGCGGTTGATAACATTTGGGAGGACATCAATAAAGGGATAGATGAATACATATGTGGCTATATGAGCATTTTGACTGAGTCCCATTGTACATATATCAGTGTCAAACTCGGATATATCGTCGAGAATTGCCTTGTAGTTTGTATGTAATATTGCACGACAACTGGTCGATATGAACCTGAGTGAAATGGTAAATATCTTTGTCCAGAATCGCAATGAATCATATGTCTACAACTTCAGAGGTCGTGACTCCTGCGTTCCCAGCCGTGTTTCTTCATAATCTGGTCACATAGAATTATGGGTCAGCGGACAATTCCCTGAAATATAGAGTGCATGGCTTTCTATAGCATAATTCATGATAATCTTTTCTAATACAGAAATGACTAGTTCTCACCTTCTGTTGGCAGGGTCAAGTACTTGACAGTCTTAGTGCTTAACCACCCATCTAGTGCTTCTTCGCCCATATCACGACCAAACCCAGACTGCTTCACTCCACCGAAGGGAGTGTTGGCGTGCAACATACCCCAGCAGTTAATCGTGACTTGACCACACTCAATGGCCGCAGAAACGCGTTGCGCCCGGTTGACGTCGTTAGTGAACACGGCGGCGCTGAGTCCAAACTCGGTGGCATTGGCCTTCGCAATGACCTCGGATTCGGTGGTAAACTTGGCAATTGACTAGAAACAGTAAGCAGATGCAGTGAATCACAATGGACTTGTGTGAAACTCACAGCGACAGGACCGAAGATCTCCTCTTGCATAATGCGGGCATCATCAGGGACATCGGCAAACGCAGCATTCGGAACAAAGTGACCATCCTTCGCAATATCCTCTCCTCCAGCCAACAGACGAAGACCGGTTTCCTTCGCATGTCGAATATACGCAGAAATCTTATCCCTCTGTGTCTTGCTGATAACTGGACCCTTAGTCGTCTCGTTCGACAAGGGATCGCCAGGAGTTGTGTTTGCCAGCTTCTCAGCGAAGGCAAGGAGGAATTTATCATAAATGCTTGCATGGATATAGATGCGAGAACCTGCTGCGCAGACCTGTCCGTTGTTGGCAGTAATACCAAGCGACGTCCAGAATAGGGCATTTTCCAAATTGGCATCCCCAAATACAATTGAGGGGCCCTTGCCTCCAAGCTCCAGAGTCACTTTCTTGAGGTTCGATCCCGCTGCGGCTCGCAGGATCTCCCGACCGACGGGCGCGCTTCCAGTGAAAGCAATCTTTTTGATTCCGCCGTGCTCAGCCAATGCCTGTCCGGCAACCGAGCCGAGTCCACAGATAATGCTGATGGCGCCGGCTGGGAACCCGGCCTCTTTCACGAGAGCGGCGAGTTTCTGGGCATACAGAGGCGCCAACTCAGGTGTCTTGATGATCAAAGCATTACCAGCTGCGATGGCAGGAGCGAGCTTCCAGATTGTGATCATTCTGCGTTTTCACAATGAGCAAGGCTATCGATTAAGATTGGACATGGCATGGACTTACAAGGGCGCGTTCCATGGGACAACGGCAGCGCAGACACCGAGCGGTTCTCTCCGTGTGTACGCATATCCCTGTGGGATGCTCAACAATTGTCCAGCGATCTTGTCTGCCCATCCAGCAAAGTATCTGAGTGTCTCTGTAGCCTGGGGGATGTGAAGGGCCTTGGACTCCCTGAACAACACTCCTGCATCAAGGGCCTCAAGGCTGGCCAGGTCATCCGCGTCGCGTTCGACCAAGTCTGCGAGTCGATTGAGCAACTGGCCCCGTTGGGCTGGGGTCACTGTTCCCCATGGACCTTTTAGCGCTGCCTGTGCCGCACTGACTGCGATATCGATATCCTCTCGTTGTGCGGCAGATACGGTTACAAGGTGGGTTCCAGTGGTGGGATTCTCGACCTCGAGTTGAGCACCTCCGGTCGCAGGCTGGAATTCATTGTTGATGAACAGGCCCGTGTTGACTAGCGAATTGTTAATTAGTCTCCGCTGACCATGCGCAAGCCACAGTTGCAGCGCTAGGGGGTGCACATACTGTGGACAGGCCGTCCCTCGAAGCCGGCGAGTGTGATTTCGCTCATATTGACGGATTATGAATATGAGAGTATTGTAAATATCCTTGCATAAATGTACAAAGCACAGGTACAACAACAATAGTTTCTGCTCCTAGGTAGATCCCACATGATCTTGTATTATACCAGCTTCTGCATCTATAGAGCTCGCAATGGCGTTGACCCACTCCCGGAACATTTAGGCCAATAGCATAATGTTCCTGCTGTGACTACCTTGCCTTCTCTATTTACCCTGGTCCGTGAGAGGGAAATCTAGGCAAGCTTTAGGTTTATCAAGATATATTCTTGCTGTAGCCTTGCTTGGAGGAGCTGTGCTAGGACTCGGCGCCGAGGCCGCTTGCGGTTTGGCAGTTGCTATCTCTCTTAACTTGGAAGTTATCAGCAGACCTATGATTGTCATTGTTTTTCTATTTCACTCCTTAGCTTTGTTGAGAACCATGGCTGGGGCAGGATTCTCTCATCCGCAGGATTAGCAACGCTACGCCTCTGCTGTCTTTTCCGCCGAAAAGCTCACTTTTAGGGGCCAAAATGAGGACTCCGATCCTCGGCACACAAAGGGGCATAAATAGCAGGAAAAGGCAGATATTATCTAGATCTTTAGACAATTCTACACTTTCATGAGAGATCCTATTCCTAGTATCATTTGAACCTATTGTTGAAACCTTACATGCTATATCATACCTCTGTATCTTCAACAGACTTCTCTCTATATGAAATATATATATTTATATGTTAATTCTCTGTCACCTGTTAAACCCCCGTATTAGGCTAGATCAGGGCCGGCGCCGAGATCTTCCGCGGTAAGCATATAGACGCTGTTGAAGATACAGAGGTATGATACAGCATGTAGGGTTCAACAATGGGTTCAAATGATACTAGGAATAGGATCTCTCATGGAAGTATTGAATTGTCTGAAGATCTAGATAATATCTGCCTTTTCCTGCTATTTATGCCCCTTTGTGTGCCGAGGATCGGAGTCCTCAATTTGGCCCCTAAAGGTGAGCTTTTCGGCAGAAAAGACAAAAGAGGCGTAGCGTTGCTAATCCTACGGATGAGAGAATCCTGCCTTAGGCATAGTTCTTAACACGCCCTCTCAACGTGTAGCCGTTGTATATCATAAGATCATATTGTTAGGGACTAAGATAAATAAGGTTTCTTAGTCAAAAGGTGTAGCTTTTAGACTATAGGAAGGTGTGAAACTAGTAGTTTTACACTACGAAAGACGTAGTTTTATATTACGAAAAATATAGGGGTTTATTCTACCGAAAGTCTATATATTTTAGGGTTAAGTTTTAAACCTACGATAAACTCTATAAATTTAGGAGCCCTAAGGGGCTTTATTAGTCTATCTATAATATTTTTAGTCCCTTTTATATATACTAGCTTAATTTTTCCCCTTTTAACTTACTCGCGGATCTAATACTAGTATATATCGATATATTTTAAACGTCCTAAAATAGTAGGGTTCTTTATTATTGTAATCGTAGACTAGCTATCGCTATATAAAGGGATAAGGGGGAGGTCTATACTCCCTTAGTAAAAGTTAAGATCTTTTAGTAGTTTTCGTAGCTAAATTACCTCTCCGCTAGTAATTAAGAGGGCTATATATTTAGCTTCGGCGCTTAATTTTACTATACTAGTCTACTTTTAAGATTTCTATAATATTAGACCCTCTATAAGAAAGAAGATATACCTAGTTCTACTTTTACTTTCTAAGGCTAATCTATATAAGGCGTTAATATACCCCTAGAGGTCTTAATTAGGTCTAGATTAGTATATAATTATATAATAGCTAGTATATCCTATATAAGTAATTACTCTTTATACTAAATCCTCGTATTTAGCGTTTAGGTTTATAGTAAACTATAAAAGTATACTTATTATAAGTAAGAGGTCTAGATATATAACTATACTAATATAGTTAATCGAGCCTATATTAGATTAGTACTATTTTACTACCTTACTTATAGCGGTAAGAGTCTCTTCCTTTATTAGGATAATAAATAAAGGGATTATAGGTCTTAAAGTTATAGTTTTTAAGAACCTTTTAATATATATTTTTTATAAAATTATTATTTTTCCTATCTCTCTATTATAGACTATTTTTATTAAAAAATAGTAGGATAGCTTACTAAGATCTAATATAGACTATTTTATTAAGATAAGGTCTTTTATAGTTTTAATAAAATCTACTATAGAAACTATAATTAAAAGATTATTAACGTATATAAAAATATAAATAATTATACTAACGCCTTTTTAATTATATTACGTATAAAGATATAGATTAAATATAGATCGTATAAAGCCTTTTATTAATAAATAGTCCCCTAATATATTAAATTAGTTTACTACTAACTATTTTAGACTATAAAGACTCTTTTTTAAGAGGTAGACTTTACTTTAGATCTCTAAAAAATCGGTATTATCTTTAAAACCTTTAGGGTAGTATATTAAGAGTCTCTCTTTTAGTATAGCGTTAAAATATATAACGTTTATATTAATATAAGCTATAAAAAACTTTTTTTATATAATTATAGCGAGAAGAATCTATAGTATAATATAGCTATCTATACTAGTAAAGATCTCGGTATAGTCTAGATCTTCCTATTATTAGAAACCTCTCGCTATCTAACGAGCCTTAAATTTTAGGGGGTCTCTATCTATATCGAGTTTTAGTTTATATACCTACTTACCGGTAAGGATACGTATATTTTTAACGGGTATAAGGGTAGGGATTATCTTCTAAGCTTTAATTAAACTAAGTTATTTAAACTCGATTTTTATAGCGCGGTACTACTAAGGCTAAAGGGGTAAGTTACGTACTTATCGGACTAATTTAGAGTCTTCTATCTATTTAGAGTCTATATTTTTTAGGGTTATTAGTAGAGGTAAGGTTAGGAGATCCTTAGATAATAAGACTAGTCTAGCTTACGTATATAGGATAGTAGTATATTATACTAGATCCTATATACGTTTTTTATCTACCTAAGGTATAGTAGTATAGAAAACCTTACTTTAGATCTTATAGTTAAGGTTAGCGAGTTCTTCGGTAGATAGTCTCGGTAGGTTAGCTAATAAGACCGATTCGTTACTAGAACTCTTATCGATAAGTCTAAGATCTTCCTTAGAGTCTAAAAAAGGGGTACTTTCTTCGGCGGAAGAAGTTATAGGAGTCTCTTTAGCGGAAGAAATTATAAGGTTTATATTATTTATAGGGTCTATAGGGTTCTTAGGGTCTATAAGGTTCTTAGGGTCTATAAGGTTCTTAGGGTCTATAAGGTCCCTAGGGTCTAGAAATAGGAACCTAGACTATTTTACTAACCGTAGGGTTTCTAATAGGACTAGGAGATTAGGATTATTATATAGGGTCTAGTCGTCTCCTTTATTAAAAATAACGTCTCTCCGAGTTATAATCTCTTCTCTATTTCTATCTATATTTAGACGCTAGATATAGTATTATATACTATAGTAGCTACTATACCCGATAAGTCTACCTATCTAGGCGCGGGGCTATAAATATCTACTTATTAATATACTAACTATATATTAGGACCGGCGTACTAGCGGGTCCTAGTAGGTAATATAGAACTAGAGTGAAGGAATAGTAGGATACTAGTATATTTATAAACTAATCGCTAAAGAGCTAAGTTCCCCTAGTAGTCTCTATAGGGATAACCTCTAGCGGGTCACGGGACTAGGTCACCTAACCCGGTAGGACTTAGTCTTTATAATACGCTCTCTAGCGGGGGGTTATACTACCCCTACTAGGTTACGGGTCCTAGGTTATAGGACTAGGCGGGATCTAGCCTATAAGGCACTCTCCTAGTAGAGGGTCGTAATATTTTCCCCCTCCTTAAAGAGCTACGATCTCGTAGCTAAGGGTCGGGGGTCGAGGACCTCTTATAGTCGACGTAGGGAGGGTTCGAAAATAGCACGTATATCTAGCTATCTAAAAGGGAGTAATTTATCTTTATAGTAGAAGGTGTAGATAGACTCGGAGCTTTAAGCGTTATCTCTCTTCGTCGCGTATAGTATAAGTTCTTTATATATTTTTCACTTATCTCTCTTCGAGTTATAGCTTTCTTTTTCCTATACTTCTTCGTCCTTTTACTTTTTCTTCTTATAGCTTTTCGTCGTTTCGCTTTTCTTATTATAAGTCCTCCTAAGTTATTATAGTAGCTCCCTTTCCTCTAGTTACGAGTACGATATATACCTCTATTAATAATTATACCCCTCCGGCTATTATCTCCCCTACTAACCCTATAAGTACGTAGTATTAGCGTTATATAGACTATTTTAGATATAACCCGGTATATATATATATCCCTCCCCTTAGCGGGATTAACGTTAATACTCCTTAGTACGACTATTATATAAGGAAACGGTAGTCTTATATAATAGTAAATATAGATCTCCGCTTATATTAGTAGTTATTAACGTTCTTTAAATTAATTCTAGGCTTAATACTTAAACTAATACTTATATTTTAGTATCTTATATTACCTCTATATAGAATATATTATTCTTTATAATTATATAAGGATTTTAAAATACGTAGAATACTTTAACTTAGGATATCTATATAGATATAGTTATACCTTTTAGTCCTCTTTATATTATATTTTCTCTACCTTCCTTACTCTTTTTACCTCTTTTAATATAGATTTTATTAATAAATTAGGTTATAGGTTAGCTTTAAACGCCTCCTTAGGCTAGATTATATATATAGTAGTAAGAATATAGATATATCTTAAAGGTTTCTTATTTAGTATAAGTAGTTATTATATTATACCTTTAGAGAGTATTAGCTATATTACTTTTTATCCTATTTTTCGGTAATAAACTTTTATATATCTTTATTATATATCTATAGTCTCTTTAGGATATTTTTTATCTACTTTTTATCTTTATTAATATTTTAGATCCTCCCTCTATTTATTTATAGTATATACTAGCGTAGCTAATTATTTTCTAAAAATCCGTTTAATAGTTAGCTATTAGATTTA